CTTTTTTTATTCCCAGTAATTGCCATCCAGCCGTGTATTCGTACCCTTTGCTGCTGTTGAGTGAAAATACCTCCCTGAGTAAACAGGAAACGAAGAGTGAATAGTGTTGCCCACTGATGTTCAGGACCCACCTGCTCTCCAACTTCGATGAGCCAGGCCCATCTACATAGCCTCTATTTTGGTTTATACGTTGGCTCAAGAGTTACATGAGGAAGTCTTGGAACGCAGTTGAAATGCGAACGCATACTGCTTGACCCCTGCGACTCCCAGAACGGATCCCTGCGAGTACCAAAACAGATCCCTGCAAGCACTAAAACAGATCCCTGCAAGCACTAAAACAGATCCCTGCGAGTACCAAAGCGGATCCCTGCGAGTACCAAGGCGGATCCCTCCGAGTACCAAAACGGATCCCTGACTAATCACCTGGGTTATCGAGAGCCGATCAAGTCCTCAATATGTATAACTACGCCAAATAAACCAAGATCCAAATGAGAATCTTCTGGATGAGAATATGACTGATAAAAGCGTGAGAGCAGCTGACGGCCATCCCCCAAAATGAGTCGCCGGGGGCATTCAGAGATGATGAAACCAACGTTCTCCCCCAAGTCCTTTACTAAATCCGCTACACTTAAGGTCTGGGGTTGTCTTCAAATCTGACAATAGCCATGGGCCAGCTACCCATTCTCCTAACTCCGAACAACTATCGATCCCTGAAATAAATGCGTCAGAAAATGAAGACTCACAGCCAGAAAGATCCAATTCTGAGAGTCCCTGAGTGGCACACAAGATGGAGGTGGTTTATTTCACCTTCTGGTCTTGCCTGGGTGGACCATTTAGACACTCTTTATGTAGATGTGTGTCTGTTATGATATATCCTGGCATGAGGTTATTCCCAAGTGTTGGTGCCTCAGGCTTCCCGGACCTGATAAGCCGGCAGGCTTTCTGTGGAGGTTCGCTGGGGCTTCGGCATCAGTACGTGTACGAACTCCTGCAGGGAACACCCTTGACAGAGGTTACACAAGCCTCGTGTTTCACCCCGCTCCCATTTCCCTACCAAGGATATATCTCCTTCCTGTTTGAGCGATGAGACTGTATATAAATTGACCTATGTTGAAGAGGATTTACGATCCTCAAGAAACAGTCTTTGACCTTTCTACACTATTGACTTGGCTCCATTCCTCCTACCTGATTGACAGGCCTCTATCCTGACTTATAGAGTATATCCTTACAGTGTCCAAGAAATACGCGAGGAAAGGGTTTTCTATCTATGATTAGCTCCAACGTAGTATCACTCGTGTGACATGCTTCCGGGGATGGAATACAGATGGAGTGAATGCTGTTTATATGTTTTCAACTGAAGAGGAGGAAAAACTCGTGACTGAAGGTAAACTTAAGGGAGTCAACGATCCCGCTTTAATCCCCATAAAGAGGGTCTCCAGACAAACGTGAAAGATCTTTGAAATGAGGCTTTTAGAGTGACGATGGTCTTTAGACTATCCAGAGCTCGATAATATCATTATAGAAGAATATTAAATACCGGAAGGCTTTCCCGGGATATCTATTGATTTGAGAGCGTACGTGTTTCGTGAAGAGAATCTTGAGAGAGATTTAATACCAGAAACCTCGTCTCACGACAGGAATTGTCTCGTGTAGGCAGTCCTGAGATATTGTAGTCAAGACTAATGATATAAAACGAGCCTCCTATGACTAAGCTCCTGAGAGACCTGAGCTTCCAAGACCTTAGTCATATGATGGGCCTCTTGGGAAGGTTCTATTCCTGAGAGAATCGTCTTGAGACGAAACTAGTCCTGTGAGACCCGACCAGAGAACAGAGGGCAGACAAGAGGAGGTACGTTATGAGAGACTGTTCTTCAACTTGAGGTCGTCCTATAATAGTCATCCTAGGCCTAACTCAGTTTAAGACAGGTAGGGGCCAGCCAATAGTGTTGCGCTGCGGAGGTGAATTCAGCGGTTTAGTCCCCACTTCCAGTAAGGAGGGATCCCATTGGCTGACTGTGTTAATTGCCTGCTGAAGTGGGTCGCGGTGGAAATACGGAGTCCAACTACCACAGTGGCCTCCGGGAGTGTTGGCGTGGCAAGACGCCCCGCGGAAACACTGTATTGTGGCTGTGTCGAGCAAGGTGGTCTTGATATTGTGGGGTACAAGTTTGCGGGTTTGGCGGCAGCGCGCGCTGTTCGTCATTTACAGTATTGCCTCTCACTAACCTCCCAAACTGAGGGGGCGGTGCTTCGATGCGACGACTGAGGATGGCACGAACACATTTTTGTGACATTTGGCGACGACCTGGCTGTAAGTGAGGAGACAGTGGATTCGATCACACGGCCACTCTGCGATGATGATCGGCCGGCGAAACGCCAGCAGTAGACTTGACCAATGTATGCATCCCGAGATTTCGATCCAAAGATTTGAGTCTTGTTAAGACGGTAGTCAGCAGACCTGTGGCCCTTATAGTTACTCAGCCATACTGGCCGCCAGTTGACAGATCGAAAGCCGCATTAGACCTAAAGCTGTGGACGTACGTCCAGAGTGGATCCGCATCCACAGCTCCCTGTTCGTGGCCGAAAATCAACAGTGTTAGGTCACTGGGCCCAAAGCCAAAGCCTTCCCACCACAGCTTCCCGACCACGGACCCGCATCTCCAGATTCGAAGCCCACCTAGACATGGTTCCACAGATCTATTACATGACTAGCCTTAAGGTACTAGACATATATGTCTCTTCCGACCCGAGGACGACACAGGCGAGAAAACGCTTTTCCTAAATCCATAGTGGCCCCAGGTATCCAGACTTACCGCCCCAATGCAGAATACTGCACATCAAGCACATTTCCAGTTCTAGCCTCGACCTCATTGTAAACGTCCCTAAGGGGGCTTTTAAATAAAACCTCCAGTTTGGAACGAGCCTAATATCGTCTACGCGATGAGATTGAAAGGTAATACTATAAAGGGCGAGCCTCTTAGAAACCCCTTTGCCCGCTAGTCCAAATGACGACCACGAAAGACAGATAATCAGATTTTTTAATTCATGGAGATTGCTCCAGTATGTTGAGTCAGCCCCTTAACCAATCATATTGAAGCGGTCGGGAGGGGAATAACCGCTGTTGAGGTGAATTCAGTGCTTGGTTCAGTCCCCCGCCCTAATGAAGAGGGATTCCATTGGCCCATTGTGTCATTGCCTACTGAAGTGGGTCACAATCGAGATGCAAAGATACAACTGTCGTAGTGGTCTCCAATTCGGTAGTTCTCGGGTATGGGAAGACGCTCTGCGAACGATACTACCAGTGAGTGAATGTCGTGCTCGAGGGTCCTGATATTCTGGGCTTGCTACAGCAATATTCGAAATCGGCTTCCATCTTTTACACAGATAAGTGTAATCTAGCAGGTCAGCGCAAGCTCATCCAATTACAACTGTAGAAATTGCACGAGCCCCACATTATATCTCAAGGCAGTATAGCTATATCCATATTTGGACTAGCGGCAAAGCGTGAGATAGTTTCTCTGTGAGTAATAGAGAATCGTCCTTAGTCGTCCTCGGTCGTCCTTGAATGTCGTGCTAGTACAGGCCTTTGTATTCTGGGGGAGGGGGGGCCAAAGCCTGCCTACTGGGCCATAATATTTATGAGTTGCTTGCACCCCAGCTGTTGAAAAAAGATCTTCTGCGACGGTCAATGTTCAATTAGTTGACCACAGTCTTTTTTCTGCCCTCGGTTGCATTGTACGTCTTGACCCAAGAGACGCAATCGATCGTTTTAACTGCGGCTTCAACGCAAAAGGTCAACAGAAGGGAACAGTCGGCCGTGAAACCGCAGTTTAATTCAATAATCCAGGTGTTGTAGAACAGAGCTTGCAAAATCTGGAGAAAGCTGCTGGTTAAACATAGTCTTCACAGAATTATTTGCATTCAGTTTTTATTCCTCAAGGATGGGGTTTTCCATTTTCTACCGAAGTGTTTTTTACCCTCACCTTTGAGCATGGTTAGCGAAACCGTGACTTAGTGCAAGTATAAAAAACTGCCGATGTGCAGCAAAATTGAGACTACTTAGCTAGTTAGCACCCCTCTTTTATTTCCTCCCTCCTTCACTTGTCTAAAAGTGACGCTTGAGCCATCTTTTTATTCGTGGAAGTGGCTACTTAGAAATGGCTGTTGCACCACACACCCGACCGACTCGACTTGTTCCGAGCAAGAAAGCAAAGCGCCAGAAACAGTGTCGTCGTAAATCAACTCTGATGACAAAGGCATGAGAATACAGCAAGATGTGTGATGCAGATGTCTGTCTGGGCATCCGTCTCCGTGAGACGGGCCAAGTATACATTCTTTCGGCGGATGCTTCGGGATTTTGGGCCTTTCTTAGCTCTCAGCTAGTACGTCGCCAATGCTACCTGGTGGAAAGTCCACTAACCCCTCCAGAATTCATATTATCCAACCCCGAAGCTAGTAACGGATCGAGATCTCGAGGTAGTTTGACGTGCATGCACTACTCGGGGATATTATATATGGATCAAGAGATCAGATAACGAAACTGAGGGACCTCCCATCCCGCCATTCTGACTTGGCGCTTGTCCAACCCTGATATCTACATCCTTGATGACCTATGCTTTCTAAGTATAGCATCCCTCTCCGTGCTTCTTGGATGACCCCCTATTATACCTTGAATCATCTCCCACGATAGAGCTCAAGTGAACTTCCTCGATAGAGAATACAGCTGTAATATGTCTGCTTCCTTCTCACGCCTGCTTATGATTTATTAAGAGTGTGCACTCGCTGTGCCCGTTATTTTTCTTTTTCTAAAGAGCTAAATCGTGAAGCCACGGAAGTAGAAGCCGGGTGAGAGGTGTGGACGCGTAGAATACACGCTTTCTAGAAAATAGTGAGTGGCGCATGGATAAAAATAGAATTTAAATTAGTTTCTCCGTATCAAAGCGGCTGTCCAAGGTGATTATTTAGAACCACAGGCGACCACCTACTTAGTTCATTAGAGATTAGAGATCTGCTGACCATCCTAGCTCATTCCAAGAAACCGTGATGCGGCCCACGGTAAAAAGAGCCAGAGGCGGTGAATAACAGGAGGTAGGTACTGCCGCGTGGTAATCATGCTTTTGCAGAAACCGTGCTGTGGCCCACGGCAAGAAGAGCCAGGAGGCAGACTCTGGCGCCTGGTGATCATGCTTTTGCAGAAACCGTGCTGTGGCCCACGGCAAGAAGAGCCAGGAGGCAGACTCTGGCGCCTGGTGATCATGATTTACAGAAACCGTGATGTGGCTCACGGTAAAGAGCGCCGGGAGGTAGGGGTTAACAGGAGGCAGGTACTGGCGCATGTTATCTATGCATTTACAGATACCGTGATGTGGCCCACGGTAAAGAGCGCCGGGAGGCATGAGGTAACGGGAGGCAGGCACTGGCGCATGGTAACCATGCATTAGAGAAACCGTGATGTGGCTCACGGTAAAGAGCGCCGGGAGGTAGGGGTTAACAGGAGGCAGGTACTGGCGCATGTTATCTATGCATTTACAGATACCGTGATGTGGCCCACGGTAAAGAGCGCCGGGAGGCATGAGGTAACGGGAGGCAGGCACTGGCGCATGGTAACCATGCATTAGAGAAACCGTGATATGGCCCACGGTAAAGAGCGCCAAGAGGCATGAGGTAACGGGAGGCAGGCACTGGCGCATGGTAACCATGCATTAGAGAAACCGTGATATGGCTCACGGTAAAGAGCGCCAAGAGGCGGATACTGGCGCCTGGTAATCGTGCTTTTACAGAAACCGTGATGGCCCACGGTGACTCCTCCGCCCGGCCTCGTTTCGGCTCTGTATTCCTCATTGCAGTTGAGATGGGGCGTTTTTGCCCTTGATCCGCAACCTCATACGTCAATCGGTTAGTCGATCGTCGAACCTCGGCGCCTCCAGGTGCTTTCACACTTCGCTTCTGGACCATCGCGGCTGTACAGAGGCTTTAAATCTGCCCCATGGGTGCAAGGCTCCGGCAAGGGTGTTGGCAGCCTTGGATGATGATGTTCGGACCATTTCAGGGCCGAGGATGACCGAGATATTGCTTCGATGATTAGTGACGCTGTTACAGGAAGTGGCTCCTATGATGCGTGATCAACGGAACGCAACCTGTCGCGTGAGGAAGGCATCTCTGCTGAACTCAGATGATCTGAACGATTGACAAAAAGAGCTAGCTTGACGACGATGTTCAATCCAGAGAGGCAGACTTGCTTGCAGTAGCTTACAGAGGAGGGAAAAGCGTGGTCGGCCCTGCGATCTGGCCGATCCAGAGAAGCAGCTATTCTTGTGTAGCTTACAGAGGGGGAAAAGTGTGGTCGGCCCTGCGATCTGGCCGATCCAGAGAAGCAGCTTTCCTTGTGATGGATTGGCAAGAGGCCCTTCCCACGAAGGGTTCTCTCAAATCTTTTCTCACGGCACGCCACGGTTTCCCTCCTACTTTACTAAAGTAGCTTCTAGCGACGTTATACAGTACAAAACTCGGCCTAATACGCCTGTTGTCAAGGTACGTACTAGCATTGTGAATATGGGATCAAAGTCACGCACCAACCATCTTCAAGACATTTTATGGAATATAACGGGGAAAATGAAGACTAATGACATATATGTGGATAGGCTGACCCACAGTCAACCGATATCTTCACCAGAACTCAACGGGTGATCATAGTTACACTTGCCGAGTAAGTCTGAAGTTTATTCCCTTATCCGAGTCCTCCAGGGCGTTCGAGTTTCCTGGCGTCTTAGACCCAGCTCGCCATTCATGCCGTGCTCGTTTCAACATGTTCTGTGCGATGTGGTGTTTTTGTGCTTATTCTGTTCTTCTTTGACGGAAGTTCCGTATTCTTCGCACCCGTTTTGCTTATATGCAATTGACTTGTTGGGATGTGTACTGTAGTACAAAGGAGTCGAGTCTCCCTTTCGGTGAAGGAGGAGAAACAGCAAATCGCAGAAGACATGCTTGAGGATCTCCCGAACGAGCTCCTGGAAAATATTGCAGAGTGGGTGCGTATATGTGCCTATGGTACAATTAAACTATGTTGTTTATAAATAAGACAAATTTCACGATAGAAAATGCTAATCTGATGGAGAGAATATTAACCAAAATTTATCACAAAATCGGACTGAACAGAAGACTTAGATACAAAGATATACTCCCAAAGAAAAACTGGAAATCCGCAGCATCCCCAGCGTTTTTCCAGAGGATAGGCCAATCGGTTAGTCAGAATATGCGGTGCATGGATAGGTACACTGAAGATGTAATCTCGCACAACTAAGGGTTTTCGGAGGTCGCAAGATGTAACGCATTTTCGACATCTCGCTTTCGGAATGCTGGTCCATGTCCATTGCAGATAGGGCTGAGAGAAAGAACTGCAGTCATGTTAATAACTGACATGCAAATAATTTCTTTGAGAACCCACGTCTAATAAAGGTAATCACATTGAACTGTGATGAGGAAGTGAATCGTGGGCTGGAGTCTGGAGAGCTAGTATCCGGGATCTGAATCCCCTTCTGTAGCAAGAACGCTTGCACGTCGCTCGCGTCAAACCATTCATCAGACCCCGGTTCGAAGGATATTTGCAATGATGGCGATGATGGCGATGATATCGCGAGTTGCTCGGGCCAGTAAATATCTTTCACCGGCCGGAGAGGGCTAACAGCTTTGGTTCCGAGCTCAATTATGTCCCCGAACTCGCCATGCAAGGCAGCATAAAATCCCCTGATCATATGTTTGCGCTCAGAGGCATTCAATTGCTTGCCAAATATAGCCGGAATTTTCGGATCATTCCCAGATGAGTTTATCAGTAATCGATACCCATTATCCCAGCATTCTCGCACGAGACGGTGCGAAAGAATCCAGCGCTCTTGCTTCATAAGACTGCTAGCGGATACCGTTGTCGAAAGTCTGGCTAAGGACGGCCTACGCGCAGATGAGAATGGAATCGTTGGCGACGATAAGACTATTCCAAATGGGAGAATTTCTTGTTCTTGATGGGACGGCGTGGGAGGTGATTGCGCCACCGGACATCGGTCTGCCGTGGTGAGTGAGGGCTGGGTGGTCTTGTCAACCGCTGGCAAGGCATCATGTCGTGCAACGACGGGATTATAGTCTAGATTAATGATTTGTGTAACGTCGAGCTTGCGGAACTTCACAACGGCATCAGCTAGGTCAGCTTGATCTGGTTCGTCGCAGCCCCTCCTGGCCAAGGACACACACTGCTGCGTGACTTTGTAGAACGCGGATGTGACATGAGGTTGTTTCTCGAGAACATTGGTGTCGAAGAGGAGAGTACTGAATGATAGGAAGGAGCGGCAGAGCTCTTCAACGCCTGATTCTAGCTCTTGCACGCGAGTTTGTAGATTGGCGATCGTAGTCTCCTTTCGCTGGCGATACGTTTGCTGTGCTACGCGCAGCTGCTCGCGACGTCTCTTGGACATAGTGAGTCGACATGAATTCGCTAGATTCTTTTGGGACTACCCACATCCGTGGCTTGCTCATAGACCGTCACGGTTCGTGGACGGCCTCTCTTGCGGGGCGCGGGCGCATCAGCCCTCGCATCAGCCATCATTGTTGGTTTTCGTTACCGTGCTCCTTGCTTTCTACACGAAAAGCAAGGACCTAGAGTTATGAATAGATAGGCTCAGAAAAGGCACCGAGTCAGTTAGTTAACTGGTTAACAAGCGGTGGCTGATTCATCACGTCTCGCGGCCCGCGGCGTCGGAGTGTTGAATAATCGCGGGATTGAACATATTGGTGTTTCTATGGCCTTGCCGAGCGCAATTTTCGTGCATCATGTGTAACACAAGGTAAGAGAGCAAATAGCAACTCTTAGACCTCGGCATGGTCCGACTCAGGTTCCAACTTTTAGAACCTGAGTCGGATCGCGACACTATCAGGTTCGACTCCAAAAGCCGTGGGGTCGGATCGCGGTTCCAAAACCTTAGAATTGGAACCTGAGTCTTGGCGGTTCTGAGTCGAATCGAACCGGGAGAGTCGCGACTCCTGCCGAGGTCTAGCAACTCTTCATTTTCGGCAGTGGGTGATTAGTAACCGATATCTCAACCTAGTTTAAATCCGATCTTCACAAAGCTTCCACCTTTAAAAGTTACGTACCCTTGCAAGGCATATGCGGGGTGATTTATAATCTGGAAGAATTACCTTGGCGCCCTACCAGTGCAATTGCTGAGGGTCATAATGGAATCAGTTATTTGCACTTTCTTGAAAATGCCTCATAAATACCTTATAAATATAGTTCTATTGATGAGCTATCAAGCCCGAGACCGAGGTTATACCAAAGGAGTTGGTTGTGAGGTTAAAACCATTTCCTTGTTCCCTTTCTCGTGTACTGAGCTTCATCAAATCCATTATTCTTGATTCTATATCTCGCTTCCCGCACTCCTCGCAAGTAACTCTCTTTGAAGATGTCCGGCCTAAGAGTGTCTGTTTATACCGTTCCCCCAGTCGCTTGTGTTGACCACGTATCGCATCAGCAGAATACTACATGGTCTCCAGAATCCTGCACTTTGGTTTACTCGGAAAATGAAGCTGTCCTTGTGGATACTGGAATCACAATCAATCAAAACAAGGAATTGATCAAGTGGATCGAGGAAACCGCGCCGGGACGCAAGCTCTCCTACATCTATATCACGCACGGCCATGCAGACCATTTCCTAGGCCTGCCCCTTTTGCTGCAGCGCTTCCCAGAAGCGCAGGCAGTTGCGACCGAGGCCACTGTCCGGCATATCGAGCAGCAGATCTCCGAACCATACTTCTCCTCGACATGGGTTGCGTTTTTCCCCGGAGGTCAACTTTATACTCCACAGCAGCCGCCGAAAGTGCTTCCGAGGGATAATAAATTTGTTTTGGAAGACCGATGGACTTTCGAGGCAATCGAGTGCGGGCATTCTGACACTTTTGACTCTACTATCCTATGGGTTCCTGACCTGCGACTTGCCGTCTGTGGAGATGTTGTTTACGGAGATGTTCATCAGATGCTGTTCGAAGCCAACACTCCAGAGAAGCGGGAGGAATGGATCAGAGCTATTGAGAAAGTGGAGTCACTCAACCCAGTTTATGTGGTTCCTGGACATCGCAACGCCAATGAGATGGATGGTGTTTGGCATCTGGAATCGACAAAAAGATACATCCGGGACTTTATCGATGTTTTGAAAGAAAAGCCTCAAACTGTGACAGAACTATTTTCTGCTATGATCGCGAAGTACCCTAACAGATTTAATCCGATGGTCTTGGGTTGGGGCTGTGCTGGAGCCCATGTCTCTGGCGAAGTTCCCTCAGCTAACTGAGAGACATCAATAACTTCGCGAGTAAGCGCGTTACATATTTAGTCAGAAAAGATTATTGGAACCTTATATTACGTCTTTCGCACAGACTTTTATCACCTTTGGCTTTCCGTTTTGTCAGTCATAAATGTAGGTACTTTCTAAAGCCTCAAGTCTTGTACTGACTGAGCTGTGGTGTAGTACCTGGTCAGCAAATGCGCATGCGCAATATCGCATGTGTTTGTTTTTAGTCTCTCGTTGATTAAATAGTTGCTTTATCGAAGGGGCGGATATCGATTTGGCGAACTCCAAGCGAAGGCTTACTCTCGATCTTGTATCCGAGAGCGCTGAAAAGGTGCTTCGGAGTTTATGTTTTGGGGTTGCTTTACCTACGATAGAAAAGGACCTTGTCACTGTTGGGCGCCTGAAACAGCTGCTGAAAAACGTGAAGCTGAGAAAGCTATTGAACAATTAAATACGATCTTGGAGCCTGAACTTCGTCAGGAATGGGAGCTTACGAATGGAATACGATGCTTAAATCTTCGTCAGACTCCGGGTCGTCAACATCAGTGGCGGTTTAATCAACAAACCGGTAAACTATCTCGAACTTCACGAGGTAGAATTGATTGGTGGCGATATCCAAAGCATATTTTGGTACCAAAATTGCTACCGTTTGCGAAAGAATGTGCTATCGATCGCCCGAATACGATGGTCCAAGAGGATAACGCACCAGCACATTCACATTGGTTCTAAAAGCGAATTTATAAAATATATGAAGTGCAGCGATTACTTTGGTGCCCGAATTCGCCAGATTTAAACGCTATCGAGCCAACTTGGTTTTGGAGGAAGCGACGTACAACACGAAAAGGTGCGCCAAAGAATAAAGCGCAAGCTTATATTGCGTGGAAATCAGCGTGAGATGAGCTTCCTCCAAAACAGATTCAGGCCTGGATAGAGCGTATCCCTTGGCATATCCAGCAAATTATAGCTTGTGGTGGTGGCAATGAGTATCAAGAAGGTCGTGATAGAAAATATAGGAGTTGATAAGCTAAGAACGGATGTATTTAATACTAATACAGATAATCCTATCCTGATATAGTAAGGTGGTAAAATTGGTCGACGCAATAATTTTGAGGGGCTCCTCCGTAGTTAACGTTAATCCAACACGTGACTGGATTACTGATAGTCTGGTTCTGTATCACTACCCGACAGTGAACTAAACTTCAGGTCTTCAAACCACAAAATCTCGATCGAGTCCTTCCCACGACCACTAACGCGGTTTGGGGCAGTTAGTTAACCAGTTTGGCTAAGTGACTATTTAGGTCAGTCGTTACATGATGCGTTGGAATAAGTTGGTCCGAATTACGAGTGCCGCCATGCCTTGATTCCTTTCTTCTGCCAAATGAGCAGCCCCAGGGTTTAAAAGTGGGATGATTATTCAACCCTCCGAGACTAACACTGGTTAATAAACATCCGAACCACACCTCCCCACACCGAGGATAAACGTTTTTATTGACCAATATCGTTACATACTGTTCTCGAACATGCTACAGCCAGTTTATACTGTATGTGCGACTCTTTTTGTGTGTAGATCCCGTAAGACTCCCGGATATTTCAGTGGTCGTCTAAGTTCAACCCCGCTGCATTCCGTCGAATTTCGCCATGGGTATCATTAAATTCCATATACCTAGTGCGCCATGTGGTGGGCTATGTTAGCCAGTTAGCCGATCAACTCTCTTGTTATCATTAGCCACGTTTATTGTCCCTATAAAGCCCTTAACCTATGACTCCAGATTGGGATCTACACCTATCTACCTATGCATCAATTGACTTTGCTTTGGAAGCATAAACACTGTTCACCTAACTGTGTACACGGTACCTAGCTGATGATACCAGCACTACTGGAGGCCGAAAAGAAAACCTCGATCTGATATTTTGACGGTCCCATCTGTTGAATGTCAATATATTATCCTTCAAAATGCTAGATAGGTCGTGAGTACATCACGGTTCTAGTATTTACCACTTGAAGAATGGGTTGGTAATAGCTAGACATACAACTATCAGTTTATGGACTCGGGCTATTCCAAGTTCCTAAATCGTTTAGGTGTCTGAAATTGTCCGTAAAATTGACCTATCAGGGTAGGCAGAACTATTCAGCTCCAGCTTGCACTATGACAGGAAATCCTGTATCGCAGCAGAATATAGAAGAGAGATATGGGAAACCTCTGAAACGGCCAGTTAAATAAGGTTGACCAGAAACTCATGGCGGGAAAATCTTCAAAACCTCAGAACTCATACCCTAAGTCAACTCCATAACTCAATAGGCACCTTCCCAAACAACTGGTCTGTTTTCCTTGGCCCACACCTTCTCTGCGTCACTGCCAAACGGTGGAGGAATCATTCCATTGACCATCCAGAGTCTCCTTTCAGTCTCATCGACATGGAATTCCCAGTCATAACCTTTGTCGGCAATATGCGGCCTCAATGCATTTTCGATCGCACCGCATGTTTGCTTGTAAATGCGGTCCTCATCATCAAGTCGAACCGCAATGTGTTCGGCAACGATTCGAATGAATGGCTTTTCGAGTTTCCTTTCGGCGCCAACCCAAACATCTCCAGGTGGGAGCTTCATAAAATTGACAACCACATAAAAGGCAGGAAGACCAATTCCGGTGTATATTTTCGTTATATCTTTTGTCAAGGCATGCTTAGAAGCGGCGTCCTCAAAAGTTCCCGTGGGGTGGAATACGAGCCAAAGGGGCATGTTGTTTTATAGGGCAACAATTTGGAAAGGACTTAGGGAGTTGTCAAGCAGAGGGTGCGGTAAAATAAGAAGAAGTTAAATCCTTGAGCAAGGTGCAACATTGATGGTAGTACGGTCTTGGGCGTTCATATAGCAATCATATCCCTCCTGGAAGCTTCTTACCCCGCATTAACCTTTGTAGCTCAACACCGCTTCACTGTAGGCCGAAGCATCTTTCATGCTATGTTCAAATTCCACACTTATAATAACTAATCATCCCGAAATTATTGAAGACGGGCCTCCCGGACTTCAATTATGGCTCGGAGAAGGAACGTAATCACAATTCGAGTTTATACCGAGGTCTCGTTAACTGCGGCAAATTGTTTGAGAACTCCGAAGATTATGTCGACTGCATTAGGATTACGTTAACCGCCTCGGAAGACTAATCTTATTGCGTTGTTGACGAAAACTGGTTGAATGGACATGAGCCTCGGCCCACGGCCCCTTTGTGCCTTCATTGTTGTTTTTCGTGGTCGGTTCTTTTTAAAATAGCACCACATTTCCATTTTACAATCTTCGAAAAGTATAAGAAGAAAGGATCCCTTCGTCAACAAGGGGGATAGACTAGCTTAAAGAGCTGTGCCCTGCGCCTGAACGTACCAACGAGATTTATCACTTCCCAACATTTTGAAACGATGAGCCCAAGAAACGTCGAGTTTCGCACTCTTGATGGATTGGCACTGCGAGGTTTATTTTACACGACAGGGAAACCGCAGCAGCCCTGTATTATTATGACCCACGGCGTAAGTCGCCGTCCCTTCGTCTTCCCGGTGGAGTTGATCCTGAGCTAAGCCACAATTCAGTTTGCTGGCCGCAAAGAGCAGTTCTTGCCGGACTTTGCGGAGCGGTTCCTTGACGCCGGCTACGCGGTTCTTTTGTACGATAATCGGAACTGGGGTGAGAGTGAAGGCACGCCTCGCAATGAGGTGGACCCGTTCTACCAGGCGCGGGACTACTTCCAGGCCTTCAATTACGCAGCATCACTCTCCGAGGTTGATCAGACGAAGATCGTATACTGGGGGACTAGCATGTCAGGAGGCACTGCTCTTTATGCGGCCTCTATCGACAAACGCATCCGAGGTGTTATAGTACAGGTTCCTTTCGTGACAGACGAATATCTTCAGGCACGGCAAAGGCAGATTCTTCCGTTGCTTTCCTCGACTCAGCCACACACCGAAGGAGGAAGCGCTCCGGCAATGCTAAATACCACCGCGGAGAGCGTAGAAGAGGCAACGAGTGGTCTCTCCCGCGCTGCACTTCCGCATCCGGACGTCTTTGTTTTCCTGGACGAGATAAAGCGGCGAGGAATCGTCCCTCTCGAAAAGCAGGTCACCCTCCAGTCGCTTCTGAATCTCAGCAATTTTGATCCGAAGTCGTTCCTCCATCGCATAGCTCCTACCCCTCTGCTCATGGTTGCTGTCGACAACGATGTTACGGTCCCGACTCTATCGCAACTGCAGGCCTTTCAGATAGCCCTTGAGCCAAAGAGTCTTGCTATCATCCGTGGTGCAGGGCATTTTGAGGTCTATATCGGCGAGAAGTTCGAGGAAAACGTTGCCATCCAGCTCAAGTTCCTTGACAGCCTCTTTTCAGAGAAATAGCCCAAACAACTGTTTTTGTTCCTAGTCTATTTTTATTTTATTTTTTGAATACTATTCACTCCGAGAAGACAGTATCTGAACCAATAGACGGAAACTACTCAATGGTGGCGGATGGTATCGACACCCTACACCAGTCTTCGCTGTTTTGATTGGTCCGCCGTGCGTGCTCCCGTCGTCACGGACGCGTGCGCGAATCGACCATGGCGGGCCGTATTGGCCCTTCAAAATTTGTCGGAGCAAGCTGAGACAGTAATGGGGAGTAATCCTAGTAGGAGAATGAGGTTGAGGATAGGACCAAGCGGAACCAATCTTTCCCTAGCAGAAGACTCTGCCACATACTAATTGTGAAGCAAGAAAAGCCCAAAATCCGGAAGCATCTGCGGACAAAATATGTACCTGGCCCGTCTCTCGGATGCGAATGCCCACGCATACATCTGTGTCGCACATCTTACTATATTCGTATGCCTTTCTCATCAAACTTGTTTTGCGACGGCATTGTTTTTGGCGTGTCAATTTTCTCTTTGAGGAGTAATTAGATCGAGTTGGCTTATAGCAGCCATCGCGAGTGGTCACCTTGTTCATTGGGGGAGCGATAAAGGTGAAAAGCATCAGAAGCGCAAGCTCTTATAGGGATAGTTTGTTAACAGGAAAGAGCCAAAGTGTGCAAAGAGTACTTTTCAATTTTCTGAGGATCATGGTCTTTTGAGGGTTGAGTAATACTTGGGCGCTAAGACGGCGCGTAGTTAGGGCTTCTCCACGTGATATTAATACTTTCTGCTATCTCGCCGAAAGTACGTGGGAGGAGGACGCAACACGAAAAAACGGCTTGAACACGAGTCATTGAACTAGACCTGCAACACGATATATATGCTTTATCCTGCAAAAGGGTAGCATCCGATATATCCCGCGATTGGTGCTCGGCAGATAGGGCACTTCTCCGTTGTTCCAAGACTTCCTGCGCATGACCTGCAGACCATGTGCCCACATGGAAGGAACACCCAGCGATCTGGCTGCATATAGCAGATACTGACTGCACTCTAAAATACGCTTCTCCCTTTGCTGGGAAAGTTCAGCTTCTGTATTTTGGTTCCTCTCCCTCTCCTGGCGAAGTTCATCTCGAAGCGTGCGATTTTTCTCTTGTAGCCGTTGCATTTTATGGCTGACTGCCTTTCGGAGCTCTTCAAAGGCGTTATCCTGGTCCATTGTTAGTCAAGAACGAAGAAGGTCTGCGAGGAATTGCTACCAAAGCAGACGACTCCTTCGTTTCAACTCTTTTGCGTTTGCGTGATGGTGTCGATTCTGTCTCATCATCGACTGCTTCAACGATCATGCTCTCAAAATCTCGGTAACTGTAATCACGGCGAGGGGCCCTCTGAGGTCGTGAGCTGCCTGGCTCGAGGCTTGGCAATTCCTCGTCATCGGCGATAATAATCGTGTTGGAGGGGCTTGCCATCGTGATCTTTGTCGCCACGACTAGGTGAGGAAAGTCGATACAAGCTGGCTTGGAGAGGAAAAAAGGATATCAGAGCATGCAACCGGCCAGGGGAAGGAGGCCCTTTATATACCTGATAACCAAGAGTGATGGACTCAGCCCCTGGAAATAATTGGTCATTGTGAGATCGCAATATCCTAAGATGCATTACACGATTGGACATCAAGCCGTGATAGTGATGAAACAAGGCTATGCGTTGCATGCGCTGCCCCGAGAGGCAGACAGTGTATACCTATATTTATCCGGATCCCCCCGCTTGACTGCCATTCAGGGCTTCATGGCCTGCTTATTCTTGTCTCTGAAGTTCCTGCACCGGATTTGGGCAACGCTTGCGACTGCGCACATGATGCACATCAAAAGCATGGCGCTGAAACGCCATTTGATGTAGCAAGGCCACTTCACACCAGTTGCACTTAAGTGGCTTTTCTTTGAGATGAATAGCGTCAAAATGACGCGTAACACACCCGGCGTCATGATACATCTGGAAGCGAACATGATCAGGGAGCCCCTTGTTTGCAAAGCATTGAAAGCAAGCCTCTGGCTTCTCAGAATTCTCGAGGTATTCCTTAGTGGCACGCGACGGCTTGCCAGCGACAGAAACAGGTACCTCACATGAGTTAGCAACATTTTGGCTCTGCCCTGCATCTTGCGGCTGGTTTATGGGACTAGCCGACATAACGGATTCAGAGGCGTTCCGCTTGGGCCGGCCCCTTAACGGACCTCCTTCAAGGACGTCACAATACTGCACGACGGCTGCAGCACCGGTGTCGCGCCGATTCCACTCATCCTCCAACGAGTTGGAGATTGGGTAGGAAAGAAGACTCTGGACTAGATGCAACTGGAGGGGGTGCATTCTGTCCTCCAAGGATGACTCGTCCTCGCTCTCTTCCTTAGCCACTGTACCAGACAACTGCGCCTCGATGTCTAGAAACGCTTGCTCTTCATCAAAATTCTCCCGGATTTGATGCCGCAAGCTCCTTTGCAACCGTTTTCGCGTGTTCCTCACCTCTTTCTCCCGTTGCTGGATTCGAGGGAGCAGGGCGGGCTGTTGAGTCTTCTCGTATTGGGCACGGATCTGGCTAAGTTTGCGCCGGGCCTCTTCCAACTCGGGGTGTTCCTCAAGTTGTGCCCTTTGTTGATCAGTCAAATAGCGTGGGCGTCGCGTGTCCCGCCAACGACTTTGCCGCGTGACGGCTCGCATCAGTTCTACATCCGGGTCGAGGCCACAGATAACCCGAATCATATCGGTGTCGAGCTGCAGAGGATGATAGTGGTCGAGAAAGGTCCGGGGGCTGGCGTGCTTCATGATCAACATGTGTTGTTCCTTGCTCACCCACCCTACAGACTACATTAGCCACTGACGGAACAGAAGGAAGAGAAGAATTAGGGGCCTGCATAGCAGTACTCACCGCTCTCGTTGAGCACTTTACCACTTCCGTAACGGAACTGATGGGCATGGAACGCCCCTTTCCACCCGCGGATCTCCCCAAAGGTGACTAGCAAAGTGGACATGGCCGACTTGGACATCGGTACGGTCCGCTGAATGGTCGGAGTGCCATTGACCAACTCCGTCTTACAGAAGATATACCAATCAGACTTGTTCGGGTCCAAGGGCACCAGGAGCTGTTCACAGCCTTTGCTGATGAATAGTTTCCGTAGCTGAGCCTTCGAGGTCAGCCTCGAATTCCGGAATGCGCGCGCATGGAACAGGATACCGAAAAGCAATGTATGCGGGCATATCACCAGAGAGGGCCCGTAAACGATCTCGGGAAGTGCAAAAGTAGTTCTGCTGATCGGTTAGCTGCATGGCCAAAGCCAGAAATTCCGGAGACGACAAGAAGGATCTCAAAAGATATCATGGATCCGGGGGTGGTTGGGGAATTGAGAGACGGAGAGAAATTGTCTCGACGTACAATTTGGTCAGACCGAGGAACTTTTTGGTCCCTTCAGGAGTAAGTTCAATCATAGGGACGGGTGGGCTTCCACGAGGATCCTTCTGAAGGGAGATCTGCAGGTCCTTGAACTGCAGACTCAACAAGGCGTTTCTTCGGTGCACGGTAAAGAGAGCCAGGGAATTGAACAGACACACTTGGATACGTTGGAAGCCCAGATAGAACTTTTTCTCCTGCGTCGACAAAATCGTTTCGTTAAACGGGCCAATATCCTCGATATAAACCGGTGTCTTCTTTCCAGGCTGCGTGTCTAACCCATGCTCTTGGACCAAGTACTTCATACCCTGTAAATCAGCTGTTAAAAAGATGACGGTCTACGAATCCAGGTTGATGATACTGACCCTGCGTACATCCGAGCCATCCTCGTCGTTGATTTTGATCTTGGTAAGCTTTTGGTAGTAGCCGCGGAGGTTTTTCCAGTCCGTATTCAACGAGCTAGCTTTGTTAATGCGTTTTAACCGCCGACCTTCCTTGCCGCGCTCGAGTTTGAGACACCAGCCTAGGAACCGATACATGTCATTGTTCGATGCCTGGCGTAGCGCCTCCTCAGGCTCCCTCCATTTTGGCTCATTTAGCTTGTTTATCCGTTGGCTGGCACAGTACCTGCCCTTACATTAGTAGATAGAAATGTGGTCAATCTCTGTAATCGCTGACCGTTTCCACCGCCCCTCAATCCGCTCTCGTCGTTCAATCGTACCAGGGGCCTTGTCGAAATCCTCGGGAATCTCAGACAAATCAACTCCATCATCATCTAGTGGATCATCGTAGAATTCCCTCAAGTCACCAGAGAGCCCTGGCTCCAAGGCAGAGCAGTTCTCATCCGACCGGAGACGTTTTCGTGAGCTCGGAGCATCGTCGAGCTCCGTCAGATCCGTCTCATAAGTAGCATCGCCCTGCTCGTCTGAGTCGCTAGTAGTGGTTGTAGTTGTATCATCCTCGGCACAGTCCCTTCCTAGCTTTCTATTCCGTCGGGGCCGAGAGCGCTTCATCGTTGGGATCGGAGGAAGACAAGGGACGGCGAAGGTGCGGAGGAAGTGGAAGGGACTAAGGCCACAAAACCACAACACGGGCGGCTGGCCGGCAGCACACTGAAAGGTGAACGAGCAACTTTGTATGAGGGGACACGGTCAATGTCAGGGGAGCAGGAAAGGCGGAAGGAAGAAGAGCAGAAGAACGAAGAATATGAGGGAAAGGGCCCTTGGTAGGCTCGGGGGGATACACTCGCGATCGAGGGAGCAGGAAGGGTGGAAGAACGAAGAATATAAAGGAAAGGGGCCACGGTAGGCAGGTTTGCACCATTGTAACTTGGCCTGTGGCCTGGCCCGTTTAATGGGGTGTATTGAGGCCATTTTTGGCGCCTTCGCAGGGCGTCAAGAGGAGGGGCTTTTTTGACAGAGACAACTGAATTGCTGGGGTGCCCGCGAGTGGGTCTGGCTGGTGCGTGGTGGTAGCCGGACGGGGACGTGTTGGAAGATCGGGGTCACGTGTTACCAAATGACGGCCGAAAAAGGCGTCGATGGAGGCCAGAAATGGCACCCATTTGGTAAACCCAAATTGTATAGTAGTAATATTCTCTATTAGTTACTAAAGGAACGCAAACTCTTAGATTAGATCTTTAGCGTTACTATAGATAATACGACTAATAATAAGACTTTAATCCGAGCTTTATAAGAGAAACTAATCTCTAATAGCGCGATTAGCTCTAAGGAATCTATTATCCGGGTTCCTTATATAGCCTATATAATCCAGCTTTACCTAAAACAGCTTTTAGGGTATATTAGAGCAGCGCCTAAGAATAAAGAAGTAAAGACTTTTTAGTCCGACACTTAAGCTATTAGTTTAAGGGACTTAGTAAATTATAGAGACGTAGCTTACGCCCTAGTAAAGGTAAGCCTACAGTGTCCACAAACGACTATTAATACAGACAGAGTACTTATAGAGATAGATTCGATTATTTATAGTTTTTGTTAATATAAGCCCTTAACAACGAGATATATTTTTATGTCTTTAATTAGGCGGTACTCGGCTATTTCTATTATATAATATTTAAACACGTTAGAATTCTATATTTTTAATGCTTCGCTGTGCTCGTCGACTAAGAAGTATTATCAACAAATACTGCTACGATTATAAATACTTATAATTTAAGGTTACTAACGTTAAATAGCGACAGATTAACTACCTAGTCTACTTAACTAAACTATTCTTTTAGTTCACTATAGCTCTAATAAAGACTAAAGACGTTATAATCTATAGCGTGTTCCTTGTGTATAGGAAACTTCTAGAGTATATTAAACGATCGAATCGAAAATTAAAGAGAAAGATAACGCCTTAGAAGAAGGATATATATACTACGCTGCTTACTACAAGGTAGAAACTAAAAGAGTACTATAAGAAGACCTATCGTAACTATAGCTTTCTTTACAGTACAGGAACTTTATTTGCTCTGTAATATAAACTATCTACCTTTAATAATAGGGAGTACTCTACTTACTATAAGGATACTGTCGGATTTACGCCGTGTGCATAAACCCTGAGGCGTTTGCTTGTAGGCGCACACAGGTCGATCGAATACCACGATTATGGAAGAGAGACGAAAGTGCAATAGAGGTGGGTCGGCAGCGAACAGGTTGAACAGTGGAGGGTCAACACAGTTTAATCAGAATTGCCTTGAGCTCTATTCGTGAGTGGAAAGGGTGTCAAACTTATTCAATTTAACTAGGGAAACAGGCAGTATTTATAACTTTGGGTACATAGCAGAATGTCACAGGAAAAGAGTCATGAAAGTCCGAAATAACATGGGGGCATACGAGAGTGTTAGGAAACTCGTTGCTTTTTCCATTTGATGCAGTAGTTGATAATTAGCATTGTATATCATGAAGCGGTGTATATGGATGCAGATTTATGCATCCGATTGCATTAGCGCGCGCATGCATGCATGCGCTCGCTTATTGCGGGGATACGCACACACACACATGTTGACAGATACTTCAAAAAGGTACTATAAATACTTAAGAATATACTTTACGCAGTATTAACAACAAAACCCCGAGTTATTACTTCGTATAGTGAATCGTACTTCTGTACTGCAAACTTCGGAACTTAATCGACTACTTAAACCGGTTAATAACTTTATACTACGTGAAGGGGCAGAGTATAACAAGGTAAATTAGTATCTTAGAGAAGGTACAGTAACCTGTATAGTATACTTAGACGACTAATTAACTTCTAACAGCAAATATTCCTGTCCTACTATAGCTCTATTAGAGAGAGTATAAGCGTAAATTCCCGGTACTTTCCTAGCTTGTACGCGACTTGCTTTCGGTTCTAGCTACTAGTATAGGTATAGAAAGGCTTTTTAATAGTGCGTAAGATATCTGCTATTATCGTCGAGGATCTCTTTATAAAGCGACTATTCAAGATTTGATAATATATATATACTCAGAGAAATTTATATTAGAGGGATAGCAGTTAACTCGCCTAGAAAAGCCGATAGAGAGCGAGAGCTAGGAGGCACTTAAAGAGGATAAAGCGCTAAAGGCAAATAAAGAGGATACTACGCCGATCAGCAATAATAAAGAGGTCGAAGAGAGTAGAGATATTAAGGGCAATATCGAACCCGCGGCGATATACTAGCTAGATAATATATTAGCAGAGACTAAGTAGTATTTAATACACAACTAGGTATACGACGCGGAAGGAGACGAAGAGGAGATAGAGGACAGAGAGGTAGATAAAGATAATAAAGCTGATTTGCTTCTACCACTAATCACGCAACTAGGTGATAGAAGTCAGAAGAGATCTTCTAGTAGGGCTATAATACCTTTAAGTCGACTGTAAGGATATAAGCTATATTAGTCCTCTTTATCATAAGCTAATCTTACTTTTCTTCGCTAATAACGTTGGTTCTGAATTACTCTCAGCTGTAGACGAAAGCACCCAAACGATAGCAATACTATTATATAATCGAATATTACTGCACAATTTAATGTAAATTGATTTGTCAATCTTTTTTGCTTTTTTGGGTTATACAGGGTACCCATTTGGGTCTTAGGTTGGGTTTGCCTGAAGACAACCCGCCCACGGGTCTGCTGACTAAGACCCAACCCAACCCACAGGTAGGGTTTTCGCGGGCGGGTTTGGGCGGTGGGCGGGTTTTGGCGAGGCCTAATCTATATAGATATTCAAGCTTTCCTTCATGACTATCTTCCCTCTTCACACTTCCTCCTACCCAACCACCCCTACCTCCAGTATACGGTAGTATTAATAACCCTTTCCCTATTAGGAAATTGATTCTGATTGAATTTTATTGCAGAAATCGCCGTATTCGGCTGCTCGCAGCTCGCTATGTGCCCCTAGCTTGATCTTGAGCCCTACCGGAGGGAAATAACCCAACTTGCGGGTTCGAATTGCTCGCATAAGGCTATTCGCATCTTCCTTCTCTATACGCACGGCGTGTGCGCTTCTACGAATACGATATCCCGGCGCCTACAGTCCTGGGGCCTCTGTACACGCCGGCTTTACCTACCTGCAGGCGCTCGCGATACGATCGTTTATGAGCTTCTCCGGCTATCATTGAGTACTGAGGAGATCCTTTTAATCCTTGCGAAGAAGGTTATACTATCCTCTGAACGTACCCTACTGTTATGATATACCCTGGCATGAGGTTATTCCCAAGTGTTGGTGCCTCAGGCTTCCCGGACCTGATAAGCCGGCAGGCTTTCTGTGGAGGTTCGCTGGGGCTTCGTCATCAGTACGTGTACGAACTCCTGCAGGGAACACCCTTGACAGAGGTTACACAAGCCTCGTGTTTCATCCCGCTCCCATTTCCCTACCAAGGATACATCTCCTTCCTGTTTGAGCGATGAAACTGTATATAAATTGACCCATGTTGAAGAGGTTTTACGAACCTCAAGAAACAGTCTTTGACAATCTCACACTATTGACTTAGCCCCGTTTCTCCTACCTGATTGACAGGCCTCTATCCTGACTTATAGAGTATATCCTTGCAGTATGCGAGGGGAGAGATAAAATGACTGTTTGTGTTTTCCAAACGACACCTCCAAAGGAAAGGAAAAGGTACTTACTCTGGGAGTATTTGAATTATAATGAAACTATTCCGTCAGATTTATCACTAAAACTGGAGATATCATTATAAGCAGGGGCATTAGAGGAAGTGAGCGGCACAAGTTCGGCTAGTTAAATAGTTAACAACAGATATGTCACCGTCCTGGTGCTGTTCCAATATGATTGGTTCAGAAGGCTGCCTCGGCATCATTAGCAGTCTTCCTAGATTTGATTTTCTGTCGTTTGTGAGTATTTCCTTCCTATATATATATATGAAATCAGTTGTTGCGGATACCGGGACTGATGAATTACTAAAGGTAACCTAGCTTTTACTGAGGTTAAGCGACCTACTCCGCAAGAAGATGCTATTTTAGCAGTAAATTTATGGTGAAATAAACACACTACGCAAGCCATGGATTTCCTATAAGCCGCAGAAAAATATATGTAGTCATTGTTACTAGTTGGAGAGCGTGCTGATCTCCGATTATAGAGCGAACTAATCATATGTTACTATAACAGATTGCTGCCATAATTCTTCCTCAATGTGATTGGTTCAGAACTCTGACTCAGCATACTGGTGCAATGCCCTTCCATCTTGCTGTGCAGCACTGTATTCGTTAGATGATGGGAGTCCCGCGAGAAATCTCAAGACCATGATTGGTTGGAACTACTTTACCGGATCTACAAAGCCGCATCAAACAAACACTAGTGACAAGAATTCGTGATTCAGCCTGGTACGACGCCAGCTACGTTATAATTCCTACTTTCCTGGGTCTGTGGCCCCCCCTGCGTTTGCCGCAACTTGAGACTTTACATCTCAGTCTAGGTACGTTCTGTTGAAGAGATCTTTTGATTCTGATTACATTGTTAAAGCCCGCACATAAGCTAACAGTTAGACTCACAATAGATGTTATCAGAGTTATCAGAGTTATCGAGATTCACACGACGCAATAACCGCTACAGCCACCAAAGTGGCTCATGTGCTATCCTTTCTAGGCACAAGCCAGCATGAACACCACTTGCTCAATCAATTGTCGCCGGTGCCTAGAGGGTTACAGTCAAACAATGCTCGCACATACTCAGTCTCAGATTTCAATACTGGTTGGTCTAGATGAGTACTCCAGAATAGCCATTGACGCAGACCATGTTTCCTTCGTTGTTGTGCCACACCAACAAGTCCCTGAAGCTCCGAATACATCTGTGATGGAAGAAGCCAGGAACCTCATTGTTAATGATGCAGGGGTTCACCGGTCTTGAGCTATATAGCTGAATGAGATTCGATCGAAAAATCGCTTCTACCACTATAGCGAGCGCGCAGCCTATGACAACCCAAGCAGCTTAGCTTCGGTGGTAGATATAGTGATAGTGGGCTGTTTCGTGGCCTTCTAATCGACTGGGCTACTATAAACCCGGTAGATATACCTGTTACAAACCCAAATGCCTGACTGAGGGCGGTAACGGGCCGAGGGGCAGCCGAGAGCTAACCATTCTCCAGGCAGCACCACATTAGTGAAATCACGTGCGTCTCGGTATACTTATGTCGGAGCAGCAGTACTGGTAGAATACTCGGAGAGAGGAGATACTAGTTATAGATCCGCCAGGATTAGTCATGTATTTGAGCCCATCTAGATTGCCAATTAAGAGGCTATAGCAATTCAGACCTGTTGATATCCTATTAGTGCACGTGCATGACCCACTGAGCAGTATTCTGACTCCTCTCCGTTGGCAGTTATGCCAAGCTATGCACTGGAGAAAATACGAGCACTGAAACATTATCCATGTGTATACACGATGGTCTAGAACGGAAAGGAAACATAGCTTATAAACACGGTAGTGTTATATTTCTCAGCATTACAAATATGATTCTTTTAGCAGTGAACTTTCCTGAGATGAGGTATTTAATGAGGACATCAACATCCGAGTGCTCTAGTGCTAAGTCTGAAGAAAGGTTATTGAACAGAACCTTTACTACATTTCTATACGCTCACTGCCCGTTTTTTTTTTTCGTCTCAAAATGGCTTCCTTTTCCGGCAAAACCGCGCTTATTGTCGGCGGCAGCCATGGAATCGGCTTTTCAACCGCGCAACTCCTTATCAAGCATGGCACCAAAGTCCTTATCACTGGCCGCAGCACTGCACCTATTAAAGCTGCCCATGAGAATCTAGGAGACAAAGCAAAGGTTGTCCCTTGTGATATTAGGTCTATTGCGGCCATCTCGGATCTCGTGCAAACGGCCAAATCATATTTTGGGGCTGGAAAGTCTATCGATCTACTTTTTATCAACGCTGGATATGCCGCTCTGGAGGCCTTCACTCAAGTCTCAGAAGAATCCTATCGGCGACACTTTGACACCAACGTCTTCGGCACATTCTTTGTCGCCCAAAAGCTGGCCCCTATGGTAAAGAATGGTGGCTCAATTGTTTTCACCACCTCCGTTTCGAACCAGGTCGGCTTTCCTGGTATGGCGATATACTCTGCTACTAAGGCTGCCGTTCAGTCATTTGTTCAGACGATCGCTGCAGAATTAGCTAGTCAGCAGATTCGTGTGAACGCAGTTGCACCGGGATTCGTGAAAACCCCGACAATGGGGGTCGCGGATTCTTCCCCTGCAGAATTGAAAGAGTTCGAGGGCAAGGGGGCGCAGACTACGCCGCTTGGAAGAATTGGAGAACCGGAAGAGATCGCAAAGGCTGTAGTTTTCCTTGCCTTTGAAGCGTCTTTCATGACTGGTTCACAGTTGGTGCTAGATGGGGGTTTGGGATCGTTGAAGCTGCATTAATGTGTAGCTGTTACGAAACAACTATGATAGCACGTGCGCTAATGCGGGGAGAAGGGCACTGACAACCAATCAACTTGGATTAGTCAGCAAAGATGACGACCTGACGAGCCAACCCGAAGTTGCAGAAGGGACAGTTAAGTCACATCGACCAATCAGAATCACGTGACCAACACGAGGTACGTTATATCCAGAAGATAACGTAAACATCCCAACTGTGACGGAAACTATCCACGACATAACCAGGACTACTCATGATATGCTGGGGACTATCTGCGATACACTCAAGGCCACCTCGCAAGGATGAAGGACTGGGTATATAAGGACACTCATTTGGCTATAATGTATATAGCTCTTTGCGATCAATCACACATTGTTACTTGATTACTACCGTTAGTACATGCACTTCACAATTCACCCTCAAGATAACCCAACCTACAAGTAGGGGAGCTCACTTAGTAGTAACACTCAGTGACTGACTTACTAGGCACGCACTCTGGCACACCCTGCAAGGTAGTCAAAAGGAGTAAAGGACCCGGGATCGAAGTCTGTGCCGACGGGACCGGAACCGGTCGCTACAGCACATATAGTTGTTGTCCGTCTAAAGGTACTTCAATGCGAGTTTCAATCCAGAAAAACCTAGGGAAAGATAACATCCCTTTTTTTGAAAAATTTTTTTCAATCCTCTAGCGATAGGAAAAGCTGATCTTGCAACAAACCCACAGGACACAGCTTATCACCCCCATTCAAACGATCGTCCAACCTCAAGACACATTCGCATCGAGCCTGGAGAACCCCTTGCAATATCTGATTCTCTCCATATCCCACTTCCCTGGCGATTCTTCTGCAAGATCGTTCCCGACAGGCAACACCAACCCAGCGATATCAACAGCAGGGTTCCCAATTCCAGCATCTGCCCAATCGAGGATCCCAGTTATCCGACCGCTTTGGGGATCTACGAGGATATGTTCGCCTTTTATGTCATTGTGAACGAGTGTCGGGCTGTATTCTGAAGAAAGGTATTGTATCTTCTCCAGCATGGCGGTTTTATTCTCCAGCAACCCGTTTATGGGCTGCTGATCATCAACATCTTTCACAGATACCTGGCCCCGCTCCACTAGCCTCGTCCACGCTTCGATTGCAGACTCTCTGAGAAATTTATAATTGGGAAATGGAATCGAGGGCATTTTGGTCCCTAGATTTTGTTCCAATTCTTTCCCATTGATGCTCTTCAGCACAGAAAGAAAGGATTTCAATCCTTGGACCGTCAACTCAGAAAGGAAAGAGGAGCGAGGTGCAGTCCCGACCCTCGGAGCTTGGTTTCAGCGAAGCCACATATTCCCCATCATCGCTCAGCTGCCAGGTCCTGATGGAGCATGGGATGATGTGCTCATCTAGGCAACGAGCCCGGTACTCATCTTGGATAAGTCTGCGCAATGCGATGTCGCGGGCTGCATCTCTTTGTCATTGTAGGAGCGGGAGCCATCTTCGCGCGGCTTGGTGACTCGGACGATATAGTCGGGATTGGAATCAATGAGGAAAATCATGTGATCATCACCTTCAATGGTGGGTTGACGGTACAGAGATATGGAGGCTGGGTGAGAATGGATGCATGTCGTAACACATTCCTTCAATCTGGAAATTGAGAATGGGAGAGTGTAGGACATGACAAATGGTTATTGTCACCTGAAGGGTTGAAGGAGTTAGCCGTTTTGTCCTTCGAGTGCGGACTTTTTACCTTGAACGTCGGGGTCCCAAAAGAGTATGGGACTTTCCTTTTACGGATTACAGTACTAGTTGGATTTGAACGTTAGTGAAATGCGGGATCCACTGTGCTCATTGCTGCCCTCTGTCGGGTCGGGTCGGGGCAGAACGCCACAATATCGTAAGTAAATGACTAATGAATGCTAAAGGCGGTAGCAATGCCAGGAATTTCCACGACGAGATCAAGATGAAGCAAAGAAAGGCGCTTCCTCACGCCCAGGGGAACCCACATAAGCTATGTGGGTCTGTCATCGTATGTGTACGTTACAAATTATTTAGACCAATCCCAACTGCTGCGGCCAGGCATCATGCTCCTAGGTGTATATATGGCGCCCACAAGAGAGGGTATCGCAGCCACTTTGACCGCATCTCCATTACTGACTGGTGTGCTGCGACCGCCACGTCTCTGTTCTCGATCCCTCTTTCAATCTTGTCCTTCAATTGCCCGTAGAATCCCGTTGCCATCTCCGCACAGGCATCGTCATCCGTCGGCCACATGGATGCAATTACGTGACTGAATCCCGCTATCTGAAATCCACTGGCTAGATGTATCACCTCGTCTAAAAGCCGTATAGCCCAGGTCTCGGCCGTCGAACAGGCTGACAAATATGCTATTCTCGCGCCTTTCAGATGGAGGTTGAAGACCTCTCTTACACTGAGGTTATCCACCGTCGCCGCTGCTCCGTGGCCTTTCTGCAGCAAAAGGCTACTGTTGAATGGATCAGTATAGTCGGCCACTCCACGACCGGCAAAGTGAAGCATGTCACATTGTATCAGTCTCTCTAGCACCATTTTGGCGTCGGGCTGATTAAGTGTCTCCGTCGGAAACGTAGATTGTGCAACCATCTCAATAGCCGCCTTCTCGTTTTCTACCCCGGGAAGATCTCTTTTACCTGGGGTCCGGGGCATCGTCACTACCAAGGGTTTCGGTGGGTCTAACGTGACTGTTGCCGTTGTTCTCCCTTCCCTCGCATAGGTGAGAGCTATGATTGTTGGGGCGTAAGAGGAGACGGCCCAGCAAAGAGTATTGTCTGATGATCCGAGCGTGTGAATACCAGCGGCGTGGAAAGGCAAATAAGAAGCAATCCCAGCGCCCATCCACCAGACACGGGGAAGATTCCCAGTATTAGGCCTCCTTCCTGTGAGATTTCCTGCAAAATCACTTCCACACAGCTCGACCACAGCCATCGCAAGAATTCCAGATACTTTTTTTTTTTTTTTTGCCCTTTGCCTGCGGATCACGGCTTGGGCGATTCGTTAGAAATATAGATGAGCCTCAGCAAGACTTCCTCGATCCCGATTGCAATATTCCCCAAGACTCCGTGATCGTTAAACCACACCTTCGCTTTGAGGGAGTGCAGCACAATGCTGAAGACAAGTCTTTCACGGCCATGTTGACAAGTCTAGTGTCGGCCTCCCGCACAAAGCGCAACAATGCATATACTCAGATCAGCACGGATCAAGTCAAAACTTATCAACTCAGCAATTCAGTGTTGTGGTTCAAGTCAGCGGTCAAGTCGGAGGCTGTTCATGGATGGATCAACGAATCTATTGAGCAGGGAGACGACATTTACGTCGTAGTGGGATATCACACCATGATGAATGCAAGGATCATTGAGGGTGTGGCGGATTCAGTGGATACATCTGCCTGGCTTAAACTTCCCGTGGGAGAAGCGCTCGCTATAGCCGGCGCTGGGATACCATTGGGTAGTGTGGTCGACCCAGCTATTGGGGCCTAAAAGTTTCACCAAGAAGGTGTTCACAGACGATTTGTGGCGGTCGGCGAGCAGGTCTGTGCAGTGCAGTATCGCAAAGTACACTTCAAATGGTTCTCGAGTAGCGATCTAGACAAAACGTCACTAGAGAAGAATAGTCGTTGGAAGGTGTATTGGAATGTGCGAGGTCAGGAGAATGGCACAAACGATGTGGTGGAAGCAGACCTTCAAGAGGATTTAGAGTTGGAGGACCATGAGCGATACGTGTACGACACGGAGCAGTTTTTGATATAATAATATGATGATAGATCTATTGTAACTAGGACAAATTAGCGTTACAAAGTCACGAAAGACATCGTAGAGGACTTATGGATTCATTTAGCAGTGGAAATCTTTCAAACTGTACGAGAAATAGCATGGATATGTATACTTGTTTTCATCAAAATAGCGATGCGTATGTGGCATAGTCGCTCAACAAATACAACAGCTCGGATGAATGGAATAGAGAATCACCACTCGGGCCTGATCTCGGAGGTTACCATGACAATCTTGCAGTCAGGGAAACGCTCACCAACATAACTTCTTACGAAGGCAATGCCAAATTTCACCTCCTCATTCCCGCGTATACCCCTCTAGTGTTAGATTTTGAAAGCATATTCCACCACAATCTTTTCCCTCTTCAAATTACCCGGGAAAAGCACCGCAACGTTGAATTCGCCTGGTTTGATATTCAAGAAGAAAGAGAGGGTACTGACCTCAAACATGTTGGAGAGCTGGAGACTGCCGAAAGTCCCATCACTAATGCTTCTATATGGAGTGCTCTTGCCTGTGGTGCTGGTTCTACGGTGAGTGCTTTCGGTGGTTCCATCTTTCCTCTCGCAGGGGTGGCAGCCTCATCTGTTTTGGTCAGGTGCATTGGCCCTAGGCGCCGGAGGTCAAGTCTATGATGCTTTCAATAAAGAAGAGGCTATTGTTCTGGGTGACCCAATATTCCTTGACTCTCCAATATGAGACTGTCATCAACACTTATCGCGCCGTGAGTGTATCGATGGTCGATATGAGTGATCCCGCTGAGGGTGTAACATCCGGGATTCGACAGGCCAGTTCGAAAATTGACCATGCAAGTGTTCAACACACGTAAAATATGATGGATGTCAGTTCTCTGCGCTTTAATTTCATATTTCTTTCCGACAGCGGTCATAGCTAGCCATCCTAGACACACCAATGCCAATATCGATTCTTTTTAGTCGTGTGCCCACAACACCTGGCGAAGATGTCCCGCCTCAAACATTTCAATTAATCTTACGTCCCGTCGAATAAGTTTCAAGCATCTGGCCAAACTTCAATTACGTTTGATCACAGAGCTCGTATTACTGTAGCCGCGCCACAAAGCAGTCTAATGCGGAGGCCGGCAAGAGACACTGAGATTGTTTTCGGGTAGATGCATATACGGTACTAAGTGGATGTACAAAAATAACGAAGTAATGGGAGCCTGTATATCACAAGCGGTAGGTCAGGGTAGAAGATAGTATTTAGGAAGGGAGATATAAGAATGGAAGGCTATTAGACTAATTTATATTAGGAAGGCGGTTATAGGTTGCTTGTCATCATAGATGGACGGAAGTACCACGCTAACATTGTTAATGGCCCCGACCACAGTACTCTACAAAAAAACTGCGATTATGAGATGTGCTCACATCAGGATCTTGTACATGATTGCTGAGGGGGGGTACATTGACTGTAGATCGTTATAGAATCCGCGCGGCGACCGACGATCATTCGCTGCACCGCTGCCAGCATGAGTCCTTGGCAAAGTTTGGCATAGTCGCGAGAAAGTTATCATTCCACTCAACAGCAGTTTGCCCAGGATTGTAGATACAAAAACAGGTAGTCATAAGGGCTGATGTGACGGTATCCATAAAAATTGCCTGGTTGAAGAGTGCATATCAACGGCAATTCACATTTCACAGAGCACTATTTTGATTGCCGAAACACTGTGCCAGAATATGAGTGCATGCCGTAGTCCCTGCAATTCCTACATAAGAGCCGCTTGCAGTGAGGAAATCGAAGCTATTCACATATAAGTCAAGATTTCCCCGCATTGTGGCAATATGAACACTCTATATAATACAGTTCACTGGAAGGGCAAGACAAATATTTTCCTGGGAAAGTCTCACAACTTTTCTTCATTTACTTTCGCAGATCACCAAAGTTACAACAGACAACACCTTCTCACACCACTACGAATGCAACACCGCTCCAGAGGTATCACATCGCTACAGACAGAAGAAACGACCTGCTCTCTGTAGCATGCTAGGATATCATTTTCCCTCAAATTTCTGACGTTTCGGAACAGGACATTCTATTATTTTAACATATGACAAGAAAGCAAACATCATATAAGGGACATAAATCGACACGGCTAGCTGCGCTCCCCACCTGCATAGCACCGATACCTTTTCTTCCCCTCCAGAGCTGTTTCGCCTCCAAGACCCAACTCGCTTATGCAAGTGTTGTCTGTCTCCACGCCTGTGGTGCTTCCTATCCACCCGGGCAGCTGGTCAAGATCATTGACTTCGTCTGAACTATGCGCTAGGCGTAGTGGGAAACGGTCTGGCGCCGCCGAACCTATACGCATCATTGCAAACGAGTCAAGCTGGTTGGTCCATCGCGGCGTCCACGCGGCGTACAGCGAAAGCCCTAGTATGCAAAGAAGATAGAGTGCTAGCAAGATGGATATAAGCACCACCCCGGCATGAGGTATACTTGGGACTTGTTGGTCGACGCCCAAATCCCAGTTCAGTGAACCACTTGTGTCCAGATCACTCCACGTAGAACCATATTGCATCCACTCGTCGACGGCCATGAATGCTGCTGCCGTGAAAGCATTCTCTATGTGCTTTGCAGAAGGTGAGATGATGTAATTGAAATAATAGGCTTGTTCTTCGGCAGAGAATAGCCAGATATAGTCAGCTACCAGCTTGAGGAGTCCATGTCCCTTTGTATTAGAACCATCAATGCACGGATCTATGTCCAGTGAGACGCGCTTGTCGTCTTCTCCATGGAGTAGTTGGACGAGGGGTGGTATATCGATACATCCACCCCACTCATCTGGCCCTCCGTTGTGATAGGCTTGAGCAGCTGTATGTTCAATGTCGAGATATGATCCCGTGGTGAATAGAGCCAGAGTGGTAAATAAAAGAGGGCCCTTGCTTACTACTGATGAGAGAGATTCAGTAAGATTTGCCAGGGCTACTTCGGTACTGTTGGTCACCGGCCCGACAAAGTATCGCTTCTTCTGATAATTTGAGGCTGTCTGAGATTGTAACCTGCACTGTGCGCCGCAAGTATTCTCTTGACCATTGTCTGGATCATCGAGAAGTGGGCCAGGTAGCTGGCCATTTTCGTAATTTGGAAGCTCAAAGTAGCCTGCCGTGGTGTTGAGTGTGACTTTGAAAGAGTATTTGCCCGGAGCAAATGATAGATATTCCCCCGGTGCGTTTTCAGCATCTTCCCCCTTCCATTCCAGAGTCATTTTGACGTATAACTCCTCGCTAAAATCCTGTCTTTTGCGAGTAGCTTTCCATGGGGACTGTTTCTGGTCACCTGGCATGCAGATATCGACAATATAGCCACCGATATCAGTCATGTTCTCGTAGTGAATGAACAACGCGCCTGGCTCATGTCTGCAGTCCTTTGGGAAATCATCCTCTAAAATCTTGTCATACTTGGTCGTGAAGTTAACTCGAGGAGCAAACTGCTGCCATAACCCAGTCTGGAACCCGACCGGGGGCTGCGCCCAGAAAGGATCATTGATATTGGGCATGATTCCGAACGTGGACTGGCCAGACTTGTTACATGTCGGACTTGAATTATCAGTAGAGTTCGTGCACCCATCCCCCCTAGACCAAAGCCTGAACTGAGGGTCTGAATTGCTGGCTGAGATCAGTCGGGACCTGAGCTTTGTTGCGGGTTCAGCCACATCGTTATCATGGATTGGGTCCGCCGCCCAAGTTATCCATTTTTCCAAGTCAATTAAGTCCATGGAGCTCATTTTGGTAGGAACTTTAATCGACTTGTATGATACAAATAAACCCTGAAACGGCGCGATAGAAGCGCCTTTAGGAGCGTCAGCAGGCATCGAAAATCCGGCACCAGGCCTCTCTTACTCACCAATAAGGTTTAGTACCAAGGCGAAGACGAGAAAGATGGAGCCATATCGCTTCCACCCGCCAGCAATGATTTTTGCGATGAGCACCGGGTCACTCCAACCTTTATCAGCCAATACCATAGACTGCCTTAATGTCGGGGCATGCCAGCTTTGTTTGGCTCGCCGCTGGAGAAAGGCCACTGCTGCGCACGAGCAGACCATGGAAGTCAACGGGATGGTTAGAACCGAAGCCAGCGATTGGCACACTCGGCAAGCCCGAAGAAGACGCTCGGTTGTGCCGAAACTGCCTTTTGCACCGTCCAAATAATCTTCCAACTCGGTTTTGGAGCCAAGATTGGGTTGGTAACTTCGAGCCCCGATGGGACGATGGGTCAGTATGCAGAGAACTGCCCAGGAAAATATCGCAACCACTGCATAGAGCAGGGCCAGGATCACAATATGGGGGGCACGGCGGAGAGTATCAGAGGGGACTCGATTCTTTTCAGCGCTCTCTTCACTTGATCGCCCCTCCCCATTCCCCATTAAGGACTCAGAGGGAAGAGAATCATCTCGGGGGTCAGGCTCTTCTGGCATAGTCGTTTCGTGGATGCATTCAATGGTGTGGAATACCAGAGCCAGGAGACATAACGTCTTTATCGGGGTCGTACTGCGAGGCAGAAATTGCGGGGGCCCGTGTTTGGTAGGATCGTTGTGCACCTTGGGGCTGTGAATTCACGGTTTTTGAATGCACCAATCCCTCAGGGGCGCCTTGGCACAGCCCACCGGCCCCATCAGTTGCCTTCTAAACATAGCACACGTATTAGGGCATGTTTCCTTTATCGGGTTCTGCATATGCAATTCCCTCTGTTACCTCTATTTCCAAATCTCTCTACAGAAAAAGGATTTGGGATATCGGAATTTATAAAGCTCTTCTCCGTAGTCATCTCATAGATCGTCTAGGAACCTGGTGCGTGGCGGCCCTCCACACATGATTCACAGACCCACTGCGGGGTTCCATGGAAGGTCGACGGGATTCTCATGAGACGAATGTATTATTACTTCGCTATATACTGTATCATACCAATTCATTTTACAAGTCCCTTAACTATGTGTGGCTAGGGCAATACCTGATCTACGCTAAGGTCTTGGCGGTGGGGCCAGAGAAGAGACTGTGAGTGTGTACCGGTCAAAGAGGATGTTGATAGATCATATCCGTGGTCTTGGATACATTACAGGTAAGTCAGCTTCGCCGCTCATCAGGCCAATCTTACGTCGGGATGCAACCGGATAGGAAAGCGCTAAGAGACCAGGTAAGAGAGGGTCCGTGCGGTAGTCGAGTGGCGCGCGACGTTAAAGCGGCGCTAACCCACTTCTCACCCACTTCTCACCCGGGCGGCAGCAACCCGACTATCTGCCGCACGTAAGCCGAACGCTGGCAGGCTAGTAATTTGGTGAACCAGTAACTTGGAAGAATGTAAATGTATTTGTATAAATACAATAGCGATTAATTCGCATATGACTTCTTTGCTCGGCTCACCTTCCCTAACTCCTTGCCAACGCAGGGAGTGGACATTAACGCACAGAGCGGACACTACAGCAGCGCTCTCCGGGCCGCCTCAGAGGGAGGACATCAAGAGATTGTCAAACTGCTCTTGGACAAGCGAGCGGATGTCAACGCGTAGGGCGGCCGCTACGGCAACGCTCTGAATGCGGCCTCAGCGGGAGACTATCTCGGCGCATGAATCGGCTCTATCATTGGAATGTGGGAAGGATATAGGTCAGCCATGGACAGTATCGTTGGATAACGGTAGGTGCGTCTCTATTGTGACAGTCATATGAAGAAATATGCAACTTATGATTTCTTTCTTCCCCTCCGACTTTGTGGGCGCCTTCTTTTGGCTCTCTGATGCCTTAATTTGGTAGAATAGTGAAGCTGAAGTGAAGCTGAAGTGCGGCCAGGAAAATAGTTAGTGATTTCCTTTCCTCCTTCAACTTCACCAGCAAGTTGTTCTCCTCCGTGCAATATGTTCGGCGTTTGCTTTTCCCGCGAGTTGACCGGCTTGCCCCCACTGGTGGCTTCAACACTCCAGTCGTTCTCTCCTAGTTGTCTGGAGGGCTGTGCGCGGCAACGTTTGATATCGAGGGGACGTTGTCGGGCACAAGAGTGAAGAAGAAAGTGGGCTCTGATCCCTAGGTCTCAATAGTGAGGATTGCCTGCCTAATAACATCGCGGCTCTCGCAATTCCTGAGCGACGAACCAAAGGATATATCGTTAGGACAGTATAGAGCGGTCCTATTTGGAGGACCCTGTTTCTCCTCCCCGGAATCCTCAATGTCTGGAAGTTCTGATTAGACTGCATCGCTTATAAGTCTTCGTCCGAGGAATTATTAAAGTCCTCGCTACTTTCGCCCTTAGATATATTCAGGGGAACAGGTTCTACTCTTAAGCGTAAACTCTGTACAGGCTTAGGCCGCGGCGGAGCAACAACTACAGCGATAGACGAGTGGCGCTTATAACGAGTACTATTTTGTTTCCCAGTCTAAGGTATTAGGCGTTCTTTCTCATTGTATTTTCTCGGACGAGCTAAACTGTTACGATATACCTGACATGAGGCTATCCACAAATGCCGGTGCCTCAGGCTACCAGGACCCTGGTAAGCCGCTAAGCTTTCGGTGGGGGTTCACTGGGGCTTCGCTGCCGGTACGTGTACGGACCCCTGCAAGGAAGGCTCTTGTAGAGGTTACACAAGCCTCGTGTTTTCCCCCACTCCCATTCCCGCACTAAGGCTACATCTCCTTCCTGTTTTGGGCAATATAACTATATATAAATTGATCCATGTTGGAGAGGTTTTACATCCCTCAAGAAACAGTCTTTGACCTTTCTGAACAATTGACTTGGTCCCTTTCTCCTGCCTGATTGACAGGCCTCTATCCTGACTTATAGAGTATCCTTACAATTTCTGTTTCTTCTTCTTCGATCACCTAGGAGAAATAGCACTAAGGACCTGTTCTACTCCCTCTACTGAAGGGGCAGCGAACCCTCCCTGTATCACGGAAGAAATCCTAATTGCGACCGAATAGGGTTTAACCCCAACCGATCTTGACGCTAACCTCGCAGCTCCTTAAGCTACTATAGAGAAGCTACAGAGGCTTAAAGACCTTTAAGATTAAGTCGAGACTCTTAAATTATAGCTATAGGACAGAACCTAGACGAGACCCCGTCGAACCTATACTAGGACCCTTACGACTTATCAGGAAAGGGTCAGGACATCAAGCTCAAAAATATTCCTACGTTTACTCTCAACTCTTCACTGCAATAACGATAAGAATGGCTCCTAGACCTCTAACAGCAATTCGAAGGAGATCTAAGGCGCTATCACGACGGTCGGACCTAAATCCTTAGAGTATTAAGCTATATAGATACAACCTGTTTGTAAAGGGCTGTGATACAGGACAGGGGCCTGTCAACTAGGTAAGGAAAAGAAGATGCAAAGAAACAGTGGTATTGGAACAAGACTAAATCTTGGAGATCTCTGGTAACGATCTCCTGCGATTATATGATATAGAGAGGATTCGCTAAAGCTTCGGAACCGAAACGGCCCGGACGCACAATGAGAAAATGCAAAGAGAGTGTAGGCACTTAAGGATCTGCCGGAATCCTGAGGCCTCTGCAGGGTCGCCCATGACATAGATATAGTAGGGAATACTGCGTAGAGGGTGTAACAGCGCCTTACAGTTACGTAGTAGGCTATTGTAATCAGAGACTAATAAGGCTTACCGGTAGAAGAAGACCTAGGTAGCTTTATAGTATAGAGTATAGTCACTCCCTTAGGGAAGGAGTAGGAGTATCGATGCGACGTCTTACGATACTACTGCGGGCTGGACTATCTTAGTGGTTCTGCCCTTATACAACTGCTAGTCCAGCGGGAGGAGCGAGAATAAGCTAGGCGTCGGATCGAGCGGTATCTCCGGTAAAATGAAAGGGGCAGTGCGTCGGGCTGAAAGCTAAGGCGCAATAGTCGGTGGGGGCCGGATTGGAAGAAAGGGGCCGGCGATGAGTGCAAGATAGAGGAGTTAAAGGGAGAGAGGGGGAAGAGAAAAGAGGTCGAGAGGCAGGCCTTGTCTTTTATGTCGGAGCGATGGGGGAGAGGTGACAAAACAGCGTATTGGGGCGCTAGGCCGGGAACGGCAAAACTAACCGCATCTAGTAATTCACAGGTCCCTATATTACATAGTAGATTTGATCTTTCCCTGATCACTCATGCCATCAACAGCAGGGTGTACACAGCCGACAGCCATCGAATAGAATGACACCGGATCGAAAGCCACTTTACTCTATACAAAAGCAAGAAGGTAGATGACTAGGGTGAAAATCATTGAGTTGTCTGGAAAGGAAAATACAGTCATAAATCATCATCATAAGGCGCGTGCGTAAATCATAAAATCTCAGATCAGATCAGCAGAGAAAAACAAAACCATATCAAAAACAGAAAATCTCAAAAACATAACGGCATTGGGCATCATCAAGGCATCCAATCCAGCACAACCTGGAGGGAAGAAAAACAAAAGGGCAAGAACGTATCAAAGGACCACCCAAAATTAAAAGGACAAAACAAGAGCACGCCAAAATCCGTCATCCACCAATGGAAGTTAGAAAGGTATTCTCAACTCATCACCATTTCCAAAAACCCCAAGTTTTGGACCAACGAGAGTCAACAAAGCTCACGATTCCAAGTTTAGTTTATCAGTGCGAACGAAGGGCATATTAGATAAGAACTTTTGCAAGGTTTCTCAGATAATCCTCCAATCTTTCAACAGATGAGTTCTCGCTACTTTCGGGAAGTCGACGACCCTTTGAATCGAAGCGTTCTGGGAGGTCGATGGTAGAGTCTGAGTCGAGTGGGGAGTCTTCTCGGGGGGATGATCTTTGAGAATGATGGGAATGGCGATTGGATGAATGTTGGTGGTGTCGAGGTGAAGAAGAACTAGAACTGGGACCTGCACCACCGCTACCATCGCTGGTTCGGTGATGGGCAGAAGGTACGGAAGATGAGCGCCGGTGAGTTTGGGATTGGAATTTGGGGTGATGGCGTGGTGTGTACCCGTCAATAGTTGAATCGCTGTCGTCGGTCTCATACCCCGCGTCAGCGGACCGTTTAGGATCCGTGTCCAGGTCAAAGGCCACGGATTTAGACGATGATGCTGATGGGTTGACTTCGCGGGATATGGACGGGGGAATGTGTAGATGAGGGTCGTTGTTTAAACCTGGGGTGGGAAATGTTAGCCCTGGGTTTCTGGGGACAGCACCGGACGGCGTTGCGGTGAACGCACCGTGGGCATGGGTTTGCTCGGTGGGTAGGGTGGAGCTCGACGGAGCACTCACATTCTCATCGGCCCTGCGTGGCCGCGGGGCATAGGTCTCTGGCCCTGTGTTGGCGGCACCGTAGTTGTAGGGCTGGGCGGGGGGTGCGGCGCCCGGGGGAGGCGGGTAGTCGGCCGGGTTGTAGGGCTGAGGGGGTGGCATTCAGGTTTGAGGTTGAGCCCGGGGGTGGGGGGAAATAGTTGCTGTTCGGGAAGTAGTTCTCGGCGGGTCGCTGATGAGCAGCCTGCGCGGAGATGGGGTAGGGCTCTGGGTCGTAGGACTCCTCGTAGGGATCGCGGTGAGCATCGTCCTCATATCCTGCGTTGGAAATATTAGCATGACAGAGGTTGGGTCAAGAGGGAGGATCCATGACGGACTCACGAGTCCTCGAACGTGAGCGCGAACGCTCGGTCTTCTTGCGGTCTCGGTGCTGCGAGTATTTGTGTGCTGCGTAACCTAGACCAGTGGCGCCCAGGGCGGCAGAGGCTAGTTCACGAGAACGGCTGCGGTGCTTCTTGCTCTTGCGTCGGCCGTCACGGTCCGAATCGGAGCTTCCGCTGTAACGCCCACCGCGGCTGCGAGATCGGCTGTGGCGACGAGCACCGTCAGAGTAGTAGGGATCACCATGGCCTGCTGGCTGGCCGTAGTAGTGCTCTGCCGGGATGCTTCCCGCGACGGGGTCAGCACCATACTCGATCAGACCAGTAGAGTCACGGGTTGGATCAGGGTAGGCTTCGGATGGGGCACGGCTGCGGCTGCGAGATCGTGAGCGGCGTCCTTCGCGGGGCACCAGCTCCTTTTGCTCCTTGTCGGCCTTCTTCTTCTCGTACAAACCAGCGGCAGCTGCAGTAGCCAGACCAGCACCAACAATGGGGAGGGCCTTTCGCAAGCGACTGTGGGAGCGCTCTCCCTTACGAGAGCGTGAACGGCTGCGAGCATGTTCGACCAGGCCTGCAACGGCAGCACCAGCCAGGCCTGCGCCAGCCATGTGCTGTCGGCGCTTGGTCTCATCACTGGCGCCGTCCTTGTCCTTGTCCGAGCGGGTGCTACTCAATGCACGAGCACGGGAGCGAGAACGAGTTCGGGATCGGCTGCGACGGTCATTTTTGGACTTGCTTCGCAGGGCAGCTGCACCGGCAGCCAATGCAGCGGCGCCGATACCAATCTCCAGCAGTGTCTTGCCCCGGGAGTGGGAGTGAGAGCGACTACGACTGCGGCGGCTATGGCGATGGGAATGGGAACGATCATCATCGAAAGAGTGCGAACGATGGCGACTGCGGCTCTTGCTGCGGTAGTAGTCGCGAACATGACCCGCTGCGTTGACAGCAACGGCACCAAGGGCACCAGCGCCGGCCGTCTTCACTGCGTGGCTCATGCCATGGCTGACCTCCTTACCCTCGCGCTTACTGTGGCTACGCAGCAATTCAGCAGCACCGACACCAACGAGAGCACCCTCGGCAAGGTGGCGCTTGTGGTGGTTGTGCTCACCGTCGTAGTCGCGGGTCTCTTTGCGGATATAGACCATGCTGTCATCACTGCTGTAGTCGTCGCGGTCGCGATCGCGATGGTGACGGCGACTCGTCTGGGAGATGGAGTCGCCGGGACTCAATTCACGGCGCGAGCGACGGTCTTCGTACTCGCGAACTCGGCGGTGGTGATGATAGTAGTAAGGGTCCTCCTCGGCATCCGAGCGACGAACAACATCATACTCGGACTCACGAGGACTGCTGTAAGCATTTCGGGCTGTATTTACGACGGTTACTGACTGCTCGCGAACGACGAGAGCTCCTGAATGGGGGGCCGGTGGCCGATGTGGAAGAGTTTCCTGGGACTTGGCTTTACGGTGGGAGCCGTAGGACTTTTGGGACTCACGTTCATAGTAGTCTCGCTCATACTCACGCTCGACGCGGCGGACCGGAGGATCGTATTCTACGTCACGCTCGTACCGTGAGATAGACAGGGGCTCTTCTCGTTCAGTCTTTCTCCGGATGACCAACTCGCGGTCTCCGATGGCATCTTCGCGACTCATGAAGTCTCGTCGTTCTTCTCGATCGTCGGAGCCGATGACGTAACGCTTGATGGTCACTGGTCGGTCCTCTTCGTAGCGATCACGCTCTCGGTAGCTGTACGACATGGTACACAGGTGAGAGAGTGTGAAACTTGGCGGGTTAAGAGCAGGGGGAAGAGATAGCGATCAAGGGACGATGGAGGGGGTGAGTGAGCAGGAAAGAAAAGAAGTGAGATTACGGGAGGGGCTCAAGCAACCGACAGGGCGTTAGGAGGGGCAAAACGGGACGGATGCGATGCAGGGAATTTGGGAATTCGGGGAGGGGCGCAGGTTGAGTGGGGTAAATCACGTAGTGCAAGAGTGAGTAAGAGCCTGAGTCTCAGTCAGTGATCGACTAAATCGACTAGTGTCTGAAAGTTCTCGGCACTGACGGGAGAGAAGGATGTAGGATCCGATTGGTAAGGCTTCCAGAAGAGAATAGAAGTCCCTTCCTCGGAATTCTTGGCCTGATGATCGAATGACCAGGAGAAAGAGGATCTCAGCCCAAGCCGAGCGGAGCCTCTTGGGAGTGAGCCCCGCGGGTCTCAGCCTGCAGATCAACAGGCAGCACAAATTCGCCGAGAATGGGGGAGAAGACGAGATCAAAGTGAGAGGAAGGGTAATTCTGAGATGCTCGAATGTCGAGGAAATTGATGATAAACAATCGAAGATGAAGAGTGAGTCGAACAAGCAGGAAGAAGGATGAAAGAGAAGAAGAGGTGAAAGCGGCCAAGGGAGTGATAAAAAGTAGTTGTGCTGCCCACTGGAAAGAAGCGCCACGTGAGGCTCTCTCTCTCTCTCTCTCTCTTCCTTTTCCTCTCTCATTCTCTCTGGCAATTTCAATTTACACCGACTACCACTGGGCTGCAGATCGGGGCAAAGTCAGTTGAACCCCAACCTTCTTGGTGTCTCTTGCTGTATTCCACCCCAGTCTGAAGACTTTCGCCCGGGTTGCACCGTGGCAAATCGACGGTGTGTAGTGGCTGAGTTCTGCTTCTAGTTCCACGCTAGTGTCATCTTGAGTATACTTTCGTACTGGATGGAGCAGATGTGCATAATCTACTACTAAGTACTCCGTACTTTTTGTTTACTCCTACTAACTACTGATGCTTGATAGAACTGGCCCACGGGTCGACTGTCGACTTCCCGAGTGGCATTCCATGGAAACCGGGCTGAACTGGACCCCAGTCCCCAGCATGTTTGGTCCTGGTGGGCCAGCGCCCGATACGAGATCTGTCTGTCAACCTTGCCCATTATTCTCTCTCTCTCTCCCCCCTCTCCCTTTCGAGGCGCAGTACTCCTCCTTGATCATCTTCAAAGACCAGCTTCCTTTGTTCATGGTTATAAGACCATGATCTATACTCGCGCTACTCAAAGGACGACGTCAATAACGAAAAAAAATGTGAAACGCTGCGCCTAATCCCGGGACTTGGGGAACTGGGCGACGAACCGATGATGCCATTTACTACTTTACTACAATGATGGGTTGCAAATAAGACTATCTATTATCACGCTTGTCACTGACCTACTGGCAGAACTACTACTGATAAAACGAACAGGGAATAATTCAACCTGCTTGTGATTGTAGTTTTTTTCCTCCACGCGGCTGTCAATGTGGGGGTTGACCCGATGACGTCAATGGCTTCCTCGACTCATCCTCTTTGTTTGGCCTCCCGCTTCAGCTGGGAAGATTGGAAACTCAACCGATGAAAGCATCCTATCATGATGAGCGATGAAAAGAGATAGGGTTCTCATGTCCTCATTCTACCCACTAGAGTTAGGCGGGTCGATCGTCCATGATAACACCACTTAGAGCCGAAGGATATGGCCCCCGGCCGAGTGGCTAAAGTCCAGCGGCTACGTGATACAAACGACTACTCGAGGATAACGCGTCTTTGGGAAGCTTGTTTGAGTGTGACTCGACTATTCTGTAATTGACGTCGATTATAACTCGTCGCAGCTAGTCTGTGTAACTGGAAAACGTACATTGCATCGCATCGCATCGCATCGCCTTACCTCGTACCTACCGTTTTAATGCAGAGAGGCAAGGGAGGAATCAAAAGAGAATGCGCCTTCTTTTACAGATAAATTAAAGCCTTTATTATAGAGCAAATCTGGATCCAATAGACAGACTACGAGTGATCTCGCTTTTCGGATCCTCGGTTGCGTCAAGTAACTAAGCGGTGTATATAGACTATCCGTCCGTTGTTTCCAAAGGGTCTGTATGTATGGGGCTCTATCAGGAGCGCGATAATGATTTGAATAATTGGAAAGCTCTTAAAGAAGGTTCCCTTGGGTAGTCACCCTAGATTTGTCGTATTTCCTGGCCCATGATCGATCAGTGCTTGGGTGAGTAGGTGAGGTTTGAAAGATCGACCAACCTTAGCTCTGAACAGCAACCCGGGGCGGATATTGTTCATAGATGGGCATCAGTGGTGCTATTTGTTGAAAACTTATTCCATCCGCACAGAAATACAGGCGCGCTCGAAATCAGTTTCACCAACTTTCTTCCTTCCGACTATTTCCCGAACTCTATTTTGAAACACGCTAGTCTACGTTGGTTTAGCGGATTTCAGAGTCTGGAAACGTATTGTAAGTCGGAGTCACATGAATCTGCTACATACTTGGCAATTTTCTGAAAGTACGCTTACGAACAATACTCTATCGTAACACGGGGAAGTCGACCACACGGCCGTGTCACCATGACTAAGTAAGCACCTGATGGTGAGCTGGCCGGACAACAAAGTCCCAAGCATAAACGGCCCCAACTAACTTGGTTATTATAATGAAAGACTCATTGGTCAACTACGCTATCATAACTAACTCGATGAACGCCCTCCATCTCTTCGTCAAGGTTCAATTGAGCTTGGCATAGTCCTATCATCATATATCGAGGATCTCCCGTTTCCCAATGCAGTCAAAACCTGACCCTTATAGACTTATTGAGCATTGCAATCTTTGAACTGATAGGCTAGAACAGCTGCCCGTTGACAAGCCATCCTACTGTGCCAAATACCACCGCACCTAGCGCAAGCCAGGATATTGCACCCCGAGCATACAGAATCATCACGACAATTCGAACTTCGGAAGCATCGTTGCGGTGAGGAAAAGGCTCATGTCTTGGTGCCTGCTTGCCGAGAAGTACGCACAAAGGTTCCCATCCATCTTGAGGCTCGAATTCCAAGACCCCCCGCCCGCGCTTAGCTGCCTCGGCGTGAATCCAAGCATTATGAGCATCATAATGCTTTACCGTCAAAAGCTCGTCGGCAGTTAGATTCAGTTTTCTCTGACAGACCTCCATAATCTCGCGCCACATGGCAGCCACATTGCGGTCTGTTTTCCATAAGAAGCACAGAGCGCGGTACACCGGTGAGGCTGCGAAGGTAAGCAGCTTGATCGACTGCACCCACTGGCGGCCGCCACCAGGCCGCTTGTTCAGCACGACCTTAGCGTCCGGATACATGTCCATAAGATCATCCATGAACATGGACGCAGGGAAATCGGTGGCTGCTTGGAAACCATTAAATAATTTATAAAGTAGCTTGTGACGCCGTGTAGAGTCCTTCTCCCGGAGTGCAGCTAGGACGATATCCCCGCGTTCGGCGTTCGGCGCAATATGCGCGAAGTGCATGCAGGGAGTCAGACCGATATATTGTGATTCAAGGGCGGCTTGCAGAGAGCTTGTTGCACAACGGGGAAGACCGGCACCAAGCACTTGTATAGGGGTTCGGTCCGTCTGGTCAATAGCGAGATGGTTTTCAAAGAAGCGCATTATGTGAGAATGGTTTAGGAGACAAAACAAAGATAACTTTACTCCTGAGTTTGAGATTGCAGAAAGATCGAAGATAAGAAGTTATAATAACAAAGGAGATTCCCGAAGGCGAAGCTCCTCTCTCCTCTTAACTACTGTCAGCGTCAGCACTAACTAACGAAAATGGAACCCGAAGGCTAAGATTATGTTGTTAGGCGCTAACTATATATAGACCGTCCTTAGGCTGGTTAGCGCAGGATTTTGAATTATAAAGCTTAAAAATTTAGAATTCCACTCAGCCCCGTACAGTAACTTATCAGTTACAGTCAGCGTTCATTAGTATTTGGAACATGGTACCTGCTCCGCCTATCTTTCTGCCAGTTGGAAGAAGTATCGTGTTCCAAATACTAATGAACGGCCACTGTAGTTACTAGTTAGTTAAACATGGAGTCCTTATATAATACAACAGCGCCAAGCACTCCGGAGGTATCGAGTGGCCGTGCTGTCGCAAAGGCTTAACCACAGTGCCAGCCAGTTAAGAATAAGAGGTGAGATCAGGTTGAGATTGATATAACGTACCCTTCCCTCGATCATACGAATTTCCCCGTGGCTGAACTTGAAGGTCTTGAAGTCACAACCTTCCACTTTACTATTATCAAAATCAATCTTCTGGGCTGACTCCGAAATGTAAGAAAGGGGTAGAAACTCATGGGTGTAGAGAGAATTGGTGAAAAGTAGGGACAACTTGGTAGTACGAAATTGAGAGGGATGTGACAGAAATGAGCGGTCGGCATGAATGCCTAAATATGCTGATCTGTTTTGCAAAGGAAACGATTCTAGACTAGGCGTGGGCCATACAGCACAGATACAATAACTACTGTATTTGTATACTGTTAATTACTTTCGTACGAGTGAAACTGATTTCGAGCGGTCCTGTAAAGCTTTGGGACCCTGTGGCTTGATCTAGTGGACAAGCATGCTTCTTCAAAAAGCAATTATGCCAGCCACTTTTCTGGCCATGGCACCATCGCTAACTCAGGGGTTCATCGACATTTTGGCATTGCTTTTGAACCGAAATTAATGGTCACATTTGATTGCACGAAAGTCATTCTCGGTTCAGTATATAGATAGGGATTCACAGTTTAATGAGGAATACAGAAAGTTTTGACTTGCTTATCGTCGTCAAGGCACCATTTCTAAAAACACCCAAAACTCCAAAATACAATAATAGCCTAAATTCTTTGACAAACCCGAAAAATTTGATGAACGATGTAAACCTTCTGGTTTTCTCTTGTGATATCCTCTCCAGGATCGTAATTCCCACTTAATCCAAATCACCGACTGCGTTTCGGACCCATCTGTACCCAGACAATAACCGCACAATAAAACACTCCCACAATTCCAGCCACAACACTATACGCAATAATAGCGCCCTTAGGTCCCCTCGCCAATTGAAACCCAAGCCCACCATTGATAATTCCCAAAACAATCATCACTCGCCCAAACCACCGATGTACATAACCAAAGATGCCCTTTCCACCACTCTTGCGATAATAGCGATGCTGCAGCAGGCCCATGATTGGCTGGAAAGCAGTCAGTCCGGCAACAACCACCATGCCAATGATAGGGTGGTGGTTGGTCAACAAGTTGATATCCTGGGCCATGGACACTCCGAGTCCGAGGCCGACTAGAGCAACCACCAGCGTCAGAAGCTGAAGTAACCCGTGGACACTTGCTGTCTTGGAGGATGGGAAGATGTGAAGTGTCAAGGCGAAGAAGGGGAACATGATCACGAATGCAATGATCATTAGTACTGCGTGTGCGGTTCTCTTCTTGTTGAACACGGCTAGCGGATTCTGAGCAGTAGCCGTGGTGACTTTTGTAGGAGTCACAGGAGACGAAGAGGTGGATTTGGAGGAATCGAAGAATGGATTATCGGAGCTTCCTCCTGTAGCTTTGACGAGGTCAACAGTCACAGCACCGGAATCGTCATGTTGAGTGAGTTCGGCAGAGACATCGCTCGAATCTAGCGGTGATCCGTATTTCACGGCCCAGATCCAGGAGCTTGAGGAGCTTGTCACGTCGGCGCTTCCACCAGTCCATTTGATACAGCTATCGCATCGGATATTCGCGGTTACCGCGCCATTGGAGACACTGCTTCCATCCAAGAGCGAGACTTGAGCATCACTGTTGAATAGTGGTTGGATTTCGCCCATGCCCAGTCGTGGTGAAACAGTGATGTTGTTGTTGCCATTTGGATATACAACGAAGATATTCGCGCCCACCATCCGCGTCCCCTGGCCCAGGGCGAACCATCGCACTTGTTTTGTTGAGTTTAATTGAAAGTATATCGACCCTGAGCCCGACTGCGCCGTGCTCTGAGGAATATTGATGCTGTAGGTAAGATCATCGTGTCCGATGGGATGAAAGCTCTGAAGTTGAGCGAGGCAGGACGCAGCCCAAGCCAGCCAGCAAAGGTATAACACAGCCATGCCGTGGAAATGATGGTATAGCGACTCGAAGAGGGACGGGGTCGCCAACGAATGTAAATACAGCCCTTAATAGAAATCTTGCAGACGAGCGATTTCAACGTGAAGATGGTGTCATCAGAAAAAGACGCAGATCATCCGAATAATCATCAGTCATTGAGTTTTCGTTCTCGTGTCAGCGCGGGCCAGGCACCATATCTGGCATGAAGGGAGGGGGCTTTATTCTAAATTCGAGGTATGGGGCTGCCCAGCAATTCAAAGACTGTGTCGTTTTCGTATTTCCTTTGTTATCATGCAGACATCTGACACTTGGCAACGGCAATTTGGGGGTTAATCTTCTTTGTTGGAACTTGGCTGCGACCGAGGTGAATGGTGAATGGTGAAAGGCCCAGCAGTGATGGGCCTGCACAGCCCGGGAGACTCGGGCCAGTCTTAAAAAAGCAATCTACGAACTGCCACATTGAGTAGGGTCTCAGAAAATTAGAACTAACTTTGGTGGTTCTGTGGGCGATCTTTTAGACCTGCTTGACCCTAAACTTTGCAGAAACCTTAATTGAGGAGCTCGCGCTGCGCCTCCTTCATTGTGTGACGGCATTCTCAACCATCTTCCTTAAAGCCGATTCATTACCTGAAAATAGTTATATCTTCGACTTGCCATCAGCTGATTGTGCTGGTTACAAATGTATCTCTCTTGGAGGTTGATAATTGGAAACCAATCTGATTATTTTGGGGGGCGTAAGCTGTGAATGGCCCGGACCCGGCGGTAGAAGAAACAGGGTCCACTTTATCACTGGACCCTCTGGGGTAAGCTTTGGCCCATTAACCTAATCTGGCAATTTGGAATTGTCCAGCTCAAGCTGCGTTCGCGGAAAATTAACCGGCGGATGGGGCAGTGGCTATGCTTTTAGCAAATTAATTAATCCAACATCTTTGGTTGGGCAAAGCATAGATTAAGATTTAGCACGGTTAATTAATCAAAACCCAAAATGCTTCACTAAAAGCACCTTGTCGTTGTTTAGGAAGCCACGCCATGTTTCCAGTAAGACCGTGGCTTTAGTCGCGTGGTTCAAAGCAATTAGAGTTAACGTCATGGTAATGAAGCATCTAGGCCGACAAATTAATTCAATTCCCGTGGTTAGAGTTAGGTTCAGGGTTCTTAAGTATAAACGGGACCATAAATAGGATCGGTAGGGAGCTCTTTTCTCCAGTTTTCTATCACAAATCCATGAAACCAAGAGAGACGTACTTTTAACGAATCGCAAATATGATGAACTTTTTAAGCACCGCTCTTCTTTTCTCTTCTTTGCCCTTGATCCATGCTCAGTCTGGGAATGGCGTGCACACCATTGATGTCGGCGAAGATGGTCTCAGCTTCAACCCAGCTTCCTTGACTGTTGCTCCGGGTGACAAGGTCGAGTTCCACTTCTACCCACCGGATCACTCGGTCGTTCAAGCTTCGTTTGCAAACCCTTGTCAGCCAATTAGCAGTGGGGGTTTCTTCAGTGGATTTTTCAAGACAACTGAGGAATCAGTAAGTAGTTCGAATTATAACGAGCCAAAGATATGCGGCTAACACCATCAGAAAACCGTTTTCACGCTGACCGTCAACAACACTGACCCCATTTGGTACTACTGTGGTGTGCAGGGACACTGTCAGGCCGGCATGGTTGGAGTCATCAATCCTCCGTAAGTGTGCTTCAAACAAGTTCCAATCGCAGCGTTAAATTTGAAAAAAAAAACATCGGTTAACTCTTTGTTCCACTACAGCTCCAGCGGACAGGATACTCTGGACTCGTTTAAGTCTGCAGCCGCAAAGGCTAAAGATACTACCGTGCCGGCAAACGTCTTCGGTGGTGTTGTGGGCAATGCCAGCAGCGGAAATACGAGCAGCACAACTACTGGCACGGCTACTAGCACAGCTACTTCATCGCCAAGCAAGACAAGTGCTACTACTGCTACCACAACCAATGCGGCTAATACTATGCACACTGCAGGTGACGTCGGCGCTTTGATGTTGTTGGGTCTGTTCTCGTGGCTTATGATGTAAGCGTTTCAATGTGGAGGACACTGTCTCAGGGGTGAATTCGTGATCACGGTCGAGACTGATTCAAGTTGCCGGGTGGTAATTTAATCAAACCAGTACCCTTGATGGATTCATTATACTCAAATTGAAGTTGTGATTGATGTTTGGATATCCAAGACAAATTACTCCTTTAGGACCTAAAACAGGGTCTATAACCTACTCCTTCCAATTGACAGAATATTTCATTGCTTGACATCATACGTGAAGAACAGAAATGTGAACATATTCAATTCATTTGTAGTCTAGCTAGCTCTCCCAGAGATTTTAAGGAGTTATGAGATTATCTCATCTCCCTGAACTCAGAGCCATGGGTGGCGTCTGGCGTCATTTCCCCACAACCACTCTAGCTATTATTTCAACCGCCACAATGATCAGCGGCCCGCAGGGAAGTAAGCTTTGCTCCTGGGCTCCCACCCGAAGCCACAATACTCCGTATCCGGACGTACGAATGAGGATTTTCTCTACGAATGATTTATCCTGGATTTGGGTCAACTTTATTGAACTGTCTTACATGATATAGTCTTTGTAACACTATCAGATCAATTCACCAGGTTAGCGATTCTTGCAACTTTACCGAAGGAAAGTAAATTAGAACAAGTAATACCAACAATATCTCCACCACAGAATGATGGAGTGACCGCTCAAGCTATGTACAAACTTCTCTATCACTTGGTCTCCAGCGTCCAGATGCTAGAGTTTGCGGTCCACTTCCTAAAATAATTCTTCCCGGCAAAGTAGAACAGGAAGTCGAAGGAACACCAAAGTACCGTGAGACACATGTTCGTCATAATAGCAGGGAGATCGCAAGATGCTTCGGTCCAAGGGGTGATAAAGGCTAAATCCATAGCCCCAGAGGTTCTTGTTCACTGTGATTGCGACGAAGATGGAGCCAACGGCAGACTTGTAGCTGTCAACCGTATAGGTGCTCGCAATGGTGGGAAGCGCAGCTACCTGAATGCCGGCACAGGTGTAGCCGACAATGACAGTTACCTAACAAAGATAGGTGTCAGTAAATCACGATTGAATACGTATAAGGAGCCAAGGGCTAGAAGAAGAGATGTAATGTCTCGAACATACCCGCCAGTCCCAAACGTACTCATACCCAAACGCGATGATAAAGTTGCCCAAATTCGCAATCAACACGTAGGTTATCATAGCTGGCAAACGCATTTCCGGCTCTCTAATTCCACGGTTTTTCTTCGTGGCTCGCATTGAAATCCAGTCAGACAGAGGCCCACTTGTGGCTAGTCCAATGATAATACCCGCGAGAAGGGCAAAGTTGGTGAATCCAACGCTCTGGCTAGACCAATTGTAAGGGGGGCAGCCAGGGCCTGGCTCTGAGTGACATTGACAGTCAAGAAACAACTTGCCGACCATGATACAAGAAAGGCAGCGTAGTGGACGATTGAGTAAAGGTGTAGCTTCCAGGAAACCCAGAAGACGAGCTATAAGGACTTTGCCGAGTCCTTGCCAATCACGTAGACTTTGAACTGACTCTTTGATGGATAGCCCATGTGCAAGAACGGATCGGAAGACTCATCAATGTGTTCTGTTGTCGTCCTGAAATTGTCATTCATTCCTTTCACTGCTGCTGGCTCATCACTAGTCTTAGTAGCAAGATTCATGTCGGCAGGCTGGGCTATGCTTTGGGTCTCTGTAGGCTGGAAACGATGCCATTTTGTTTCTGGGAAGAAGAAGATGCCTCCAATCACTACAAGCGCACAGCCATGTGCAAGAACGGATCGGAAGACTCATCAATGTGTTCTGTTGTCGTCCTGAAATTGTCATTCATTCCTTTCACTGCTGCTGGCTCATCACTAGTCTTAGTAGCAAGATTCATGTCGGCAGGCTGGGCTATGCTTTGGGTCTCTGTAGGCTGGAAACGATGCCATTTTGTTTCTGGGAAGAAGAAGATGCCTCCAATCACTACAAGCGCACAGCCATGTGCAAGAACGGATCGGAAGACTCATCAATGTGTTCTGTTGTCGTCCTGAAATTGTCATTCATTCCTTTCACTGCTGCTGGCTCATCACTAGTCTTAGTAGCAAGATTCATGTCGGCAGGCTGGGCTATGCTTTGGGTCTCTGTAGGCTGGAAACGATGCCATTTTGTTTCTGGGAAGAAGAAGATGCCTCCAATCACTACAAGCGCACAGCCTACAACATTAAGCCACCAGAAGCTACACCAGCCCACGTGAAGGGCCAGGACACCAGAGATGCTTGGTCCGACCTGTATTCAACAGATATTAGCGTTCCTGCAAGTTCTCGATTTATTATCGCAGTTGTTGCTCACCATGAAGGATCCAAAATAGAATGTGAAGTATAGAGTGTTATAGAAACCTCGTTCGTGGAGGAAAACAGTATCGGTAATGACTTGTGGCGAGAGTCTATTATGATTCACAAGTCAGTCTTGCTCGTTGCAAACGCCAGTCAGTGTAAATGCTGCGACGTACCTCACATGGTCCAGCACTGAAGCCATTGAGGGCACAGCTCTCAGAAGTCTAATATCTTTGCAATAATGTAGAAAAGATTGTTTGTGTTGGATACTTGAGCGTATAATTTTCCAGCTTCAAGTCTATATCCTTACTCACTACCTGTCTTTTCCTACACATATTTCCTATCTCGTGGCCGCCATTTCCATTGCAGCCTGTATGCACATCAAGAGACACATGGCATTGGCCATGGGAGGGCTCCCAGTCCTTGCAATGGCCTCGTCGTCAACAGCTGATGGTGATCAGTTCAAGGAGTACACCATTAGTGCCAACAACATTACTGCAAAATTCATTCCTAATGGTGCACGCCTGATGTCTTTGCTTGTACCTGATCGATCCGGCAACTTGCAAGATGTTGTTTTTGGCTATGACAATCTCAAGGGCTGCCGTGGTGATAAGCCCCAAGCCAAGACGTCGGGCTCAGATTTGAAAAACTTCCATGATAGAGATATCTCCAAGTTTGCACGTTCTGGCCAAGCCAGTCCCTGGAATGGGCTGTTAGTATATCTATTCATTTGGAAAGGGGTGACAAGGCCATACAGCACGGATTGATGGATCGGACAATTGAATAGACCTTGGGTTCCCTTAGTAGCCAAAGCTTCATCGACTGTGGTCTGATCCAAGTCAAAGAAGCCTGTGAACCCGTGATTTCCTCCGATCAGGGTTGGCTATCATAATATCTATAATTAGAGAATTCAAAGAGATGAAAGAGGATAAGTGAAACAAGGCGGATCATCAGTAAAGGTCCCAGAGAGGTACAAATGTCGGTACCTTTAGCAATTTCCCATTATTTGTGTTACACTCTACAAGTAGCCGAAAGTTTTGCGTTGGGGAAAACGGCCCATCTTGTACGCGACTATGAGTTTCATGATCATCCATTCATCTTTATAGAGTCCGATTCTTCATTGTTAATTTTTCTTTGGCTATATTCAAGGTATTCTGGGATTGTTGCGTGTCAGGTCTGAGGTGTTAGATAGAATTGTGGACGAACCCCTGCTTCAAAATGAAAGTTCAATAGAGAAGATAGCTATATATCTATTCAACAGGATCGAGAGACAGAATTTAGGGAAGTATTACTTGTCATAATAACGTTGACCCACACCTCTCCGCATTTCATTTGGGGCTTAATAATACTGTAGAATTCTCGAAACTGTTCGCATCTCCGTGGAGTACTCCTCCACAGGCCACAGCGTTGGTGGGGGATGACGAGGCCCGGTATATTTGCTCGGGGCCAAAGGCGTTGAGTCAACAAGCATGTGGATGCTCATGTTATTTGAATCTATTGGCTTAGTACTAGAATTTCCTTCGCTTATTTAACCGCGGGCAGCATGGCTGGCTAAAGCTTGAACGATTCCGGCGATTCTAGCTGTGGGCTGGTTGATATCCACACGGAGTTGGTACGGTATGGGGTTGTGGGGCGGCATATTGACAAGCGAACACACATACTACATAGTTATTGAAGTCTGATTCTGGTCTTGTTCGCACCCTCTTTTTCTCAGATGCCAGACTTAATTGCCGTTTCGGAACCCCGATTTTGGGTGCACTAATACATAGGACTTTCTGCAACTTTGATGCCGAAATTCCTTACCGAGGGCTATGCTACGCGCAGCCTGGGCGCCACTTTAGCTCAAGTTCGCCTGTTGTCGCAAATTCATGCAAATTGCGATGAGCTTGGATCTATAGTAGTCTGAGAGTGCCCTTGAACTTCACGAAGGGGATTTAGCGTATCTTGCATCTTGTCATATTGAATCTCTGATGGCAGCGCCATGTAGCTTAACAACTGAAACAATTGAAGAGTAATTGAAGAGAATAATCGGTTTACCGTCACATTCATAATCATACTATTGCATGACTGAAAGAACGATTATCCAAAGCCAACTAAACCCGTCCCACCCCTTCTTACGCCTTCACCTTGAAAGACTGGGGCTTGGGCAGAGCCACAGGGGTATCACTACGCTTGACATTCGTAATCAAATGATCAAACGAGGCCGAGGTAGCAACACGAGGCGTAAACGGCTCAAAGTCCCACAGATAACCCAAAGTCCGCAAGATAGACGAAGCAGAGTATGAAACAGTCTGCCCATCCGAGTTGGTACCCTTCTGCTCAACAAGACCCTTGCCAACCCATGGCGAGATCAGCAGAGTAGGGATACGCCCACCGAGACGGTTGAATGAGAAAGTGTACTTCTCGCCGTTGGGCGCGGTCTCGGTGTAAGTCAAGTTATCTGGGCGTGCGGCCAGGGGTGGGGGAACGTGGTCGTGGAAACCGCCGGTCTCGTCAAAGGTCAGGATGAAGAGGGTTTGATTCCACTGGGGCGAGGCGCGGAGTGCATCGTAGACGTTCTTGATGAATGTTTCTCCGTCGGAGATTAGGCCGGTTGGGTGCATTGAGTTTGTGCCGGTGCCGCAGCAGGATGGATCGATGAAGCTGAATTCTGGAAGGGTGCCGGCTTTCGCGTCGGAGTAGAACTTGGATAGTGGGACGGCTTTGTCGGTGTTGCCGGAGGTAAAGGTCCAGTCGAAGAAGAAGGCATCTACCATGCCGGTGTTTGTGTAGTAGTTTTTCCAGGTGTGGTTGGTCTCGGACAGTTGCTGGAAAATAGAGCGCTGGGTTAGGCCGTGGACATCGGAATCGAATGAATCGTCATTGGTGCCGTGGCCAGCGGAAGTTCCAGAGAGGACGTAGGCCCGGTTAGGGTTGGTAGGCTAGGGAATTTGTTAGTCTAAGAGTAGAATATGTCATTAGTGTTGCTCTCGCTATCTTACGCCAGGGTGGTCTGAGTGCCAGTGATTGAAGGTCAGATAGTTCTGCACCAGGGAGGTCAATACAGGCACCTCATCCTCGGTGTAGTAGTTAAGGACCTGCTTCGCCAGCGAGGTCTTATTCACGTCATCACCATAGCGGCGCAGCTGCTCGTGCACGAAACCCTGCTGGGGAGGAGTGAGCTTGCCACTGGCAATGGCGGCATTGTCAGGAGTGAAAGTCCCATAGAACTCGATGTTGTTGCCGGTAACTGAGTGATCGGGGTCATCCAAAATAGAGTCAAAGTCCTTAGCAGCACTGCAGACCTTGCCCTGCGTAGAGTCGGTCAGGTTGTATGGATTGCAGTAGGGGCCGTTGTTAATAGGGTTCTCGATACCCTTCAGGGTCTGACCACCCAGGAGATTATCCAGGGAGCGATTCTCCATTTCGAGGATGACCACATTCTTGATATGGCTCTTGAAGTTTGTAACCGAAGAGCTTGAGTGGGCAGTGGCGTGACGCTTTGGAGGAGCAGCAGTCACGGCGGCTGCAAAGGCCAAAAGGCCAAGGAGGGCGCTGGGATTCATCTGGGATCTGGAGGACTCGCAATTTTCGAATTCAGATCTAGCCAATGACTTCAAAGTTCTATATCTTCAGGTAAAATTGCTTGCTTCTTATAGCTCCCGCGATCCCCCCTGCCTTTGCGCAGGGGCGGCCTTCGTACCGAGACGAAAGAGCATCTCGTCGTCGCTGCGTCCCACGTGTGTTCTCAAAGCTCACCGTCTTGTGCTCGTATCACAAGGCTATACGAAACATCACGGAGTTATTCCGGGCACTCGCGCTGCGGGTTTCATCAACTAGTGCGACCGCGGCAACACTAAAGCTCTCAAGAGATGCCCAGTTGGGACGTAGCCGATAGAAATGTAAACCATCCGATTGGCGACGACGTGTGGACCTCATAGATCGGACCTCACGATTCGCGAAGATTGACAGGTACACTGCTGCAACACAGGCACAAGACGGCCCGTTTAGGATGTTGATGCCCATTGACCATGAAGATAGTGGGGGGTGAACAAGCCGCTAACGCTTAGTTCTGGGCATCGGCGTGGGCCGTGACGAGTGATTCCGAGCCGGTCTCCGAGTCAAATCAAAGCATCCACATCCTGCACGAGTGGACGAAGTGGAGGGCGAGTGGTGGTGGATGGCTTTATGCTAAATTACTTCGGTGGATTTATGCAGTTCACATTGGCCTTGTCAGCGGGGCACGCCAAGATTGAGTTTACATCCTGCTTGAGGTGGAGGGCATATTCATTCCGGATCTCGCTGGAGACTGTCGATCATGCAACGTTTCTCGACCTCGCTTGGAGAGAATGATGGGATCTCGCCATCATCTAATCTTCTTAGCACTGTTTGTTGCGTGTGGGCGGGATATGCCGAACTGGTACGCGTCTGAATCTGGGTACTGATCGGCACGCGTGATGCATCAAACTGATCTGATTGGGACTTGGCCTGCTCTAGCTCACTCGACATACAGGATTGTCTTGCTTAATGTAAAGAATCTCGTATACATTCCGATATCCAGGATAATTCAATGGTCATCTGGACATAATGGTACGGACACAGTCGGATCATGCAAATTTTAAGAGTAATATCAGTCACCTGAGATCATCCACATGATGAGCTCAAGGTAACTTGACCAGCATTGCACAGGAATCACCCCTTGGGCAGCTCACAGTTATTAGTTCGATGGACAAGGTATCGATACCAGACTGCGAAGAGCCAAGATATTTGCTTCACGGCTAGAATCTTCCCCAGACAGATTGGACATTAGGACCTATGAAAGGGACTGTTCCAAGATATTGGAGAAGAAGAAATTATTACAAAGTCCCAAAGTCCCAAATCGAATTTAAAGATGTAAATACTAAAAAGGTATAGAAATCCCCTGTCCCAATCATGATCTCATAAGAAAAGTGCACTCGGCAAACAACAAATTCAACCCAAAAAGGGTGAAAAAAAAAAAAAAAAAAAAGGCTAACCACTCACCCAGCCTGCAATCCAATGCGTTCTATTGCAGAAAGTCCCACCCAAGTTCCAAAACACTTTTAGGTATCCCCAGAACAGAAAAGAAAACCGAAGCACCCCGCGCCAACCCAAGCTAAGCCAGCCAAATCGATCCACAATGAAAGAGAGGAAAACAACTAAGAAAGAAGATAGGAAACAATCCTGCCCAAACCTCCGAAAGGCTTTAGACAACATCAGACTCAAACTTGAACTGTCCCATCGACGCACCCAACGTATCCCACGGCACAGAAGTCGGTCCCAACCAATTCTGCGGATGCAAATGCGACCCGAAACTAGAGTGCATTGTGGGATCACTAGACGAGGACGCGACAGTAGGGACGGGCGAATTCGCCTGTGAGTGTGGATGCGAGTGGGAAAGCATGAAGCTGTCCGGCATGGTGAGTGAGGAGAGACTGGGTGCCAGAGAACTGAGCATTGATTGTTGTTGCTGTTGTTGCTGGTGCTGTTGCGGTATCGTGTGGGCGTTGATTTGTGCTTGTATTTGGAGTTGGGATTGGAGGGGTGTTTGGTGTTGCTGGGTTTGTTGGTATTGGGTTGATGTTACGTCGCTAGGTATAGTGTTAGTCCAGTCCATATTAATTGCATCGGATGATGGGGATGAAGGGGAATTTGGGGGAGGGTGACATACATGATCTGCCGCACAACGGGCATAGCCTTACTGCAGAAAGTACTTCGTACTGATAATGAGGCAAACATATCCAATGCTTTGCCGAGAATCTCTTTCGTGTCGTCGAATTCAGCTTGATTCTCCGGGTTCATCAGGCCAACGGCCAACACTACCGCGGCGTGGAAGGCATGGAAGCTACCCAGACCACTGGTATACCACCTATACGGGGCGAACTGTGGGTTCTCGAGGAGAGACTGGAAGATAGATAGTGCGGCCTTGGCGGATGCCATGCACTTCCCGCGAGCCTCACACGTCTCCGATGTGATCTCGCCTTGCAGGAATTGGCAAAGACTGGGTCGTAGTAGTAGGAGGAGTAATTGGTGGATGTGAGCGTAGAGGATATTCAGGTTTGCCTGGTGGTGTACCGGCAGTGGATCACGGGATGTGTCGAGGTTATACCTCGCATCGCAGAGCTCGCGGATTGCTAGGACTTCTGATTCTAGCTGGGAGGTTGAGAAGCGGGACTGCGGGTATGTGAAGATAGATTCGCAGATGCGATTGGAAACCTTGTATAGGCGAGATGTGAGGAGGAGGAAGGTCATTTGTGTTGGGCGAGTGATGATTGGGGAGGATGGGTCGGAGGTAAGAGAGAGGCTTGGAGCAGTTAGGAGATCGACATCATCAACGTCAGCAGGTGGTTTTACATCCTGTGCGTGCGGTGTCTGGTCGAGACTACCAAATGAGGTGTTCTGGATGGTATAGAGCATCATGAGACCGGCCCAGACACGACGACGCTCTTCGCGCTCGATGGGGCCTAGGCTGAACCGTTCAGGATCCAAGTGGCAGCCCATCGAGATTGCAACGTGATGCGTAAAGCCAAGCAGGGTCCAGAAGGGGAGACCCCGGTGTAGCCGAGCATAGCTGATGAGAACGAGAGCTTGGAGCGAGTTGATTGAGTGCCGGGTCATGACACCGTCCGCAGCCAGGCAGCGAAGCGCTGCAGATCGGTAACGTGCCGAGAGCACTTTGATATTGCGGCTCACTGTCCGCTCACGGCCGAGATCAGCAAGAAGAGGATCATCATCGTTCAGAGCGCTAACTGCAATAGCAAGGATAGCGAAGAGTAGGGCCAACCAGGCTGTTGAGACACTGCCTGGATCATGACAGAATTGCTGATATTCGGCCTCAAAAGTCAAGTCGTGCAGAATGTGGAAGACCTTTCAACATATCAGTCATCATCCAAGAGAACCAAATTACTTTCTGGCTTTAGCTCGAAGAGGGAAGAAACATACAGGAGAGAATACTCGAAAGTACACTTCTTTTAGAGTGTCACAATATCGTCCCGGTGGGAGAAGCGCCAATAGCTCAGCCCTAGAGATACTTCCATTACGTGCAAGTGGAATCTGCAGATCATCATCATCCGCGATGTCCGCATCTGAGCTCCGCAAACACTCCGCAGCGGGGCTTTTCGCAACCACAGACTCCCATTGTGAGGCAAGTGGGACGTACCGCACATGGCCCGAGGGCGATGTGTGTAGAGTACCAACATTACCCAGCAATGGGCTCCCCCACGCCTCCAGGGACGCGCCCAACTCAGACTCAGAGAAGCTGCCCGTAGCACTGGTGGCACCTAATGGAGACGCCGCACCCGCTGGAGTTCCCGCCTGTGAGTTGACCTGTTTTTGAAGAAGGCCCTCAAGATTGCGGATACGTGCGAGTAATTCCTTTTGGACTGTTGGGTCCGCTGGAGCAGACTGTTCTGATGAGAGTCGAGGCTGACCCAGGTAGATGCAATCTTCGGCACCGAGGCCACGCCGTACACAGGTCTGGCAGGGTCGACCATCTCTTGAACAGCGGATCTTTCGTGTGCGACATGCCTGACAACTGATTGGGAGGCGTTTCCCTGATGAACGGGATGATGAAGCCATGGTAGGGCTTCTGGGTAGAGAATGTGTGCGAATGTGGTAGACCCAGATGTAAAAATCTCTGTGGATGACTCTTTTGGGAGTTGAGATACACAGACGAGAGGATTATCGATCAACAATGATCGTTTGGTTCAACAAGCGATGGCGTTGGGATGGGTGGACCGGTGGCAGGTGGCCGGTGGCTGCTCGTAATGCTCCAGTTCTGACGTGCCCACTTACCCGTCCACTGGGTCTAGATGTGGAATCTGGGTTCTGGACTGGGTCGGGATCTGAAGATATAGGAAGAAAATTCTGTTTCCAAATCCACCACGGGCCTGACAGGTGGGGGAAAAGAGGAAAGGATAGAACCTTTAAGGTTTTGTTTTGAAGGGCGAGATCGACTGGGGGATTCGCGAGCCATGCGTCATGAAATTCATGTCAAGTAATTTGTACATGTCATGACAATTCAAACTTGCACAGGCGTGATTTATAATTTAATAATGTTTTTTTAAACGAAATTCCATGGTCAGCCAAAATAGGTAGGAAATACAGGGTTGCCTCCGAAGTGATGGCCGACGAGAGGCAACGGGCAGACCCTGATGGGTTTAGCGCGACGAAGGGCTGAACATTTGACAACACCTCACCGTTCGCCCCCTTTGCAGTCGGATAATTGGATAGGGTAATGAGAGACAATCTCTCGGTAAAGACAATATGCCGGCCGCACATAATGAATAAGAAATGAATAATGTGGAAGAAAAAAAACAACCATGCAAGCCCCAAAATTCCAGAACCGTGCAGGATTCCAGGAAGAATCCCAGCCCTGCATGGAAGAAGAGACTGGCTGATGGACTGACAATAGCGCGGAGCGCCCGAGAACTAACTAAGTGGGGCACATGGAATGTTTTTCAGTCTTCTAGAAGGTCCAAGAGGGCCCGCCGCATCCGAAACTTGAATCAAGGTTTTCATGAGTTATTTAGAAGTGACTGGTTAAAGGGCGCCTCGTAGCTTCCGACAGTCCTTGCTAGTCAGATAAATAAAGTATGTGCCAGCCTCTGGCTTGGGAGAACTAACCTGTAGGGGTTCATAGGGCCAACTTCCGAAGAATTCCCACCATCCACGCTATGCAGAATAGGGTACTAACCTTCCTGACAGGCATTGATAGAAAAGCAATAGTATGACGGATCCCACCACCATGGATGGAACATTGCAGACATGCAACATGGCACTTTGTCAACCGTGCTCAAGACCCGCTCAACCGTCTTCTAGAAGCTGATCTTCGGCCCGGGGGAAAGGACGCAATGAAGCACGGTGTCTGGTCAACCCCTGATTTGCTCGATGCCATACAGAAGAGACTCCGATCATCATCCCAAGGGAATGGATGAGCTGCGACATGCGATGCGAGGAGTCAAGTGCTTTGGCCCTACAAGGGCATGATAGGGTGAGGATGCATGCATGACTCGGGGATTCGGCTGTGAATCACGGGAGAATCGGCAAGAGATATATCAAGGCGATCCCGAAACAGTGAGGTCGGGGCTTCAGGATTGCCAAGACGGGAGGAATGATGCGACGAGGACTTCGCTTTACAGTAATGCGATTGTCAGCGACTCGGAGGAATTTTCGGGGTGTATCTATGTGTGTTTTGCCACAAGAGGTCCAAGCGACATTCAAAGAACCATAAGTGGTCAAATACGAACGACGATGCGTCGCGCCTAGTATGAATCAGGTCAAGTGCGAGCTAAGCCACTTGTGGGAGCGCCACAGAGTCAACACTTTTTCCTTTTTCTGCGACTAGCGCGAACTAACGAACTAGTCCAATAATCACAAGGCTATTCTCAGATGTGAAGCAGCACTATATGTTAGCTCGCACAGATTTTTTATTCTTGCAGGTTCCTAGTTCCCCAGAAACGTCACTGCCTGTCGTGGTACCGAGTCCCTGGGACTGGCTACTGCAGCTATGGCCAGTGGGAAAATGACACGGCTGGATGGCAAGGCACATGGTAGCTGAAGTTAGACAGGTGGTGGCCAGAGCAGGGAAGAAAGTACGGGGCAAGCTATGTATCCAAAGACGTGGTTACCGATAGCAGGCAACTACGACTGAATTGTAGCAAATGCTATTACGTGGACCACTATGTACTGAAGAGGTGGTCGCCAAGACTAAACTAACTACGGAGTGGGCAAAGATACATGGTGGAATCGTCCTAGATCTTGGTACACCTTCGTATGCATGGCAGAATTGAGTCAACACATTTCCCAATCGGGCGGCACCGGCCATGTTACAGCAGTCATAGTCCCACAAATACTAAATGCTATACGAAGTATAGTGGATGAGTATGGAGTCACGATTTCTAAAACATGGAACGACACACAAATTAGGACTGAAGATTCCGTGTGAGTGACTATTGATTATCACCAAGAAATTACTCAGGCTCAACAAATTCGAGGCACTCCTCTCTCCAAGCCTAGTCCTTACAGCAATAAGGCGATTCACCGCGTGTACCCCCGCGGGAACCTAATTGTCGATCCTGACCTGAAACCCACCATTGATCTAAGTCAAAGCAAGGGCAAATAATGAGGGAGAACCCAGCAAAAAGCCAAGTGGACGATCTCCGCCCAGAACACCAACCCTAAATTTCCACATGGCGGCGCCATTCCTAGACTATGGAGTATGGTTACAACGAGCAAGAATCGTGCGGAATGTACGGAATGCAACCCGTCGGCTCTTGACAGGGCGAGAACTAGCCGGTGCTCGGGCCTGCTGTTCCTGAGATTGGATTGAAAAAAGGTTGAAAACAATCTGGGGATAGATCGGCGTCACAGTGCGTCCGCCGTCTACAGTCCTGGCCCTATCTTCATCCTCCCCGAGTGCCCCGGAAGAAGGGGGGGAGGAGATGATCTGCCATGTGCATGGGCCCTTGGGTAAGGGGGTTGGACCCCGCGATGCAGGAGAGCGGTTAACCAAGTGGCCGGGAAACAATATCCAGACTCTTTTCAATAAAATATAGTTTGAAGTTTGAACTGTACAGGAGTGCCTGTAGGGAGTTGTATAGGGCCCGGGGCAGGGGAATAACTTCAATGATCCCCGCTAGCCGACCCCGTTTGCCGAGCCGCTAGATTGTTTAACAGCCATCTATGAACTCTGTACTCCGTATGAAGGAGACCAGACATAGCCTGCCATGCACGATGCAGGGTGGCAAATAGTGTCCTCCCCGAGCGATCGGAACTGCACGGTCGGTGCAGGGCACTATTATACTTACTACCGGGTTGGTGGGAACGATGAGACGATGAAACTCTGGAACTATAGATCTGTGGGGCTTAACATGTCTTGACACTATGAGTATGACCCATAGGAACCTGCCTTCAGGGCGCGGAGAAAATCTAAAAAATACCTAAATAGGCAAGGGACCCCCGTCTTGAGTTTTTCTACGGAGTACATACTGTACCATCCCCCCGGGATACGAACATTAAACACATGTGCACCTGGTTGACCACGATCAGGGATCCTCGCGTGGCAATCTAGTTTTCAAATTGCTTCTTGTTTCATTGCTTCTTCCTTCGGAACGAGTGCATTCTGCATCGGATAACAGGGGTTTAAGTCACGCGGCTTGACTAGTCGGCAGTTAGTAACAATCTAACCAGCGTTGTCCCAACCTCACCGACTCCCAAATAGATCATGCATAGACAATAGGCTGAATTCAATTTTGATTTCCCTCACGATGAAGTCGATCACCCATCTACAGTATCCTGAATCTGATATCCGAAAGGGCCGTTGGAATGGAATAAAACGGGGACACTATTTAGCGCGAATCCAGCGTGACGGGTCCGATCCTAGTCGTCGGTCCATTGTTAGGGGTGGATCGGGGGCTGAACAGGAAAATTTTTACTGTATGGGAGCATTGGGAGGAGATTCAGGGACATGGGAAAACTTTACCACTGCTCGAGGATCCGTTCCAGATTTTTTCATGCCGAATATAAGGCGGCGATTCTCACAATAGCTCTCAACTATTACAATGAAAGGCCTTGAAATTGTACCTTTTGAGTACAGTGTTATTATGCAAGGCGCTCAGCCGTTGATGATGATGACGTCATGCGGCTGTCGGGATCAAGCGGGAAGGGCAACAAGCCTCACAGCCTTGTTTAGGAAGGTGTCATTTAGTCAGGCACCTCTCGTACTCCTACTTAATACGGTGAGCACTTTTTTTGTGCATACTTGTTATTTAGGTGGATACCAGGAGCTTATGGCAGCTCTGTTGAGAGTCTCAGTGCTTCGTTGCTAGTAAGTATATTTATCTGCGTATACCATCCATACCCAGCTGGACCTGGTAAACGCGGCAGCCTGGGGCTATATCAATCTCGCCACGACTGCGTGTACAATTATCCACCTCGACGAGATAGGCTCACCATTCTATCGTAGAATGAAGGAGTCTGCAACTATGCCGACGAAGACTCACCGACTGTTTCGACGTGGTCGGCCTTTCCCGTGACAGAGACTCGCTTAGGAGCCTGCTCAGCCAGAACAACCCGGTCGCCGAAGGAAGCGGCGACTTCTTCAAGAGTCTTTTGCTTGGTTTCACTACACAGATGTGTAAGATTTTAGTAAATGCGTCTCGTCCCGTCCCGTGAGGCGGTAGTAAGGGAAATAAAGTGATGGGGATACATACGGGAAGAAAAAGTATGCAATGACAAGAAAAAAGGCCGAGCATACTACAAACACGTAGTAGTAATTCTCGTGAATAGTAGCAAAAGCGCTCGGTCCGGCTTCGGTGACTATGTTGGGAATTTGCATCAGCGATCATTATCATATCAATCTGAGGTCAGATTCAGGGCTGAAAGTGAAAAGGCTCTCTTACTGGCAACATTAACGATGAAGTGTGACGCTGCTGCGAGACCCATCACTTTGCTTCTTAGCGCTATGGGCAGGACTTCTGCGCCGTACAGCCAGGTCGTACTGTTAAGCATACCATCTAGAAGGAAGCCCATGAGTCAGCGATCCATGCACAAACCTACACTGTCCCAAGAAACTGATTCATCATTCCCCAGATCCTGGCCAGCCAGCGGCCTTGGTCCACTTACAGTAGCACACGACGAAGAGGTAAATTCCCAGAATAGCAAAGCCCTTGCCGACCCGGTTATTCGTATTCTGGAACTCGCGCTGCATGACAGCGGCGTAGATCTCGATGAGAACGATACCCGCCAATCCGGTGATCAGCATCCTATACGTTTTGTCAGTTTTGATTTACTAGAATGAAGCCAATACCGATCTCATGATTCAGGTGCTTCATGCTATGCTCCACATCTGCATGGCGGGTCACGTACTTGCGGCGGCCCCACTGGTCCGTCAGAAACCTTGTGGTGATGGCGTTGGAGCAGAAAGCGATGGTGCCGTAGACGGCGGCCAGGGCGAGAATCGAGTGCGAGTCGATGCCGAGAGATTTGTACAGGATTGCTGCAGATTGGATTTAGTTCCTGGTTTCTACTAATCGGAGTTATGAGATATCAGAGATCAGCATAGGCGATACTCACTTTGATAGTACTGCGGGGGGAGAAAGATTAGCATAATGTTCTTAGAGTGGATCGTTCAGTGTCGTAGCGGGGTATAGACCAACATACCTGAATTACATTGACACCAGTCAGACTAGTCATCGTCTGCACTGCAATGGATCTGTCATCGAAGTCGGTCAGTCACTGATACGCTACAACAACCCGTCTCCCTGCTTCACTTCCCCCCAACATGAAGTGATACATACACCAACACCCGACGACGGAAAAGTTTCCAAATCTCCCGATAACTTTTAATCTCCCTCTCCATCTCATACTCAATCTGCGCCTGCATCTGCACAAACTCCTCCTCGACCTCATGCAGATTCACGCCACGTCGAATGCGCGAAAACTCGTTTCGGGCCTCTTCAATCTTCCCGTTACGAATTAACTGACGCGGTGAGTTGGGCATGAACGTCGCCAAGCCGACGAACATGATCACACCCCAGGGAATCTGGATACCCAATGGGAGACGCCATTGCACGGGACCATAGGAGGCATAGCTGCAAGCGAAGCCGACCCAGTTGGACACCATGGTACCGAAGGAGATGCCACAGCCGGAGATACCACCGATCAGACCGCGGAAGCGTGGGTCGGATATCTCGCTGAGGTAGATGGGCACTGTGGCGACCATGCCGCTGGATGGTTTGTAGTTAGCAGGGTGCAATGAGGCCGTTGATTTCGAGTATCAACTGCTGGATGGGGGACTTACCCAACTGCGTAGCCGGCTAGCACGCGGCCAGCGAGGAACATGCCGATGTTGATAGAGGCAGTCTGGATGACGGTGCCAATGGTCACGATCACACACATCAGTTGCATGAACCGGATGCGCCCGAGTTTATCACCGATGAATGTCTGTGTTAGGGCACCACCGGCCTCGCCGGCGATATACACGGCCACCACCTGAAGAGTAATTAGTCAGGGTGGACTCGATGGTAGATAGAATTCCATTGATCCGTGATTGGGTGGGACATACAGCTCCTGTCAAGCCATGGGAAGGCTTGTGCATATAATCAATCCAACTCTGGTGTGCAATAGCTGGAGCAAGTATTAGTCTTCTGCACTACCCTCCGATTCACACAGACCAGGTTACTCACTCGTCGTCGCGATACCCGTATCAAACCCCTGCGTCCAGATCAGCCCAGCTCCCAAAGATCAATTCTACAACTTCGAAGGACATGCACATACAAACAAAAAAGTGCCGATGGCAGCGAAGAACGCAATACCCAGCGAATACCACATCGCCATAATGAAAACAGGTCTGACAGACAAATCCAATACAAGCGAGCCCAGGAAAGGTTAGAAGATGACTAGACTAGTCCAGGAGTCTAGTACGTTTGCCAGAGCAGACTGCAGAATGACCAGAACGACCAGGATGTCCAGCTCTGTTATCTAGCAACAGCCAGCGGCATTCATCCGAGCAACCGAGGAAGGATCACAGGATGTCTGTACAACCTAACAAGACGGCCGAGTTGGCTCGGAGATCGGCCGAGTTGGCAATGATATGCTGGGGATGCGGGGGTGGACGGGTCGAGATGCGCCGACGATACGAGACAAGACAAAAACTGGGTTTTGCACTGAGGATTCGTCGAGTAAGCGCTCTTCAATGGCGAGATGATTGACTCGGGATTGCCTCTTTGAGATAGCGCGTGGCTTTTGAATGAAATCCCGGGGCAAGATGCTTGTGCATTGATGAGTTTGGGGGATTTGCTTGGCGTGGGGGGAGGACAAAGTGCGGGGGGTTGTCCGAACCGGATGACTCGTCTTTCTTTACGGAGTCATGATTGGCCTGTCTGTGGTTGTGTGACGGGTAAAAGGGCGTGGGGAGATATTTACTTTGCTTGCGATTAGAAATCACGGTGAGTTGGTGAGTTAGGATGTTGGAATCCTTCCGAGTTGAGGAGTCGATGAGCGCGGTGGCTTGGTTGTAGAGGTCGGTGTTACTTATACAGGAAAAAATTATAGTACCAAGCATGAGGTCAAGGGATATTTCTTCTCCTTGCTGTTCAAGTGCTTCTTTAGGCGAAAACCCGCCATCACGAAGAATGAAAAAGTGGATCGGCTAAGGAGACTAGAACAGGACCCTTGTTGGAAATACCGAATTACATTGACAGGCAGTGATCACCCATCACACTGAACGGAAATTTAATGGCTCATTGTTGCTTCAAACGTAAAATAAACATCAACTTGACAGGCCTGTCACTCAAGGGTCCACTTCTCCAAGGGCCGTTGGTCCTTCCTAATCCACACAATGATGATCTTGTCTCAGGCTAGACTAAGGTTGTTCTTCCTTCTTGTTATTGCATGAGGCCGGGATCAAGTCCTACCTTAGTCATACTATACCAGCAGTCGTTATAACTCTTTCAAAGCCAAAAGAAACTATGTAGAAAGGAGGGCACGATGTCATGCTCACCACAGGAGTAGGAGGAAGTCTGTGGACACTCTGCTGCAAGGTCTACAACACAAAGGAGGACCAGGCTGTAAGGCCTCATTTTCATCTGCCAGCCATCACCTAGATGAATAGTACACAGGCATGATCTCTACAAAAGAGAGATGTGGAAATCCACATGCCAGTCGCACCAGTGGTCTACGGGTCAATCGCAACGAATTTGGGCCTCAAAAGAGTGCAACGCCAGACAACAGACATCCACATCAAGCTTAGGGACCCCTACCAAAGCAGCGGGATTTACCATGTGGAAAAGGCAAGTAGAAAAGAAGAAGACTCGTATCAGGTAGTCATCGAGTTGTTTTTGAAGATATGAATTCCTATTTCATTTTTCCATTGCCACCATCATATGACCTCCACAAAAACAGCGGAGTGTCTGTGCAATGCAGGAAACCCAGAAGCCGAACAAGGAAATCGAACGCTTAGAAGACGAGAGCAGCACCCTTGGTCTTCTTGTCACCACTGTAGAGGAGAGAAAAAAGTCATTAGTCAGAGGTCCATATTAAGAATCCAGGAGACCGGATCCAATCCCCCGATGCGGTCGAAAGTATAGATGAAACATACCCAAGCTCGAAGTGCTTGCAGCGCTTGAGAGCGAGCTGCTTCTTGGCCTTGCAGGCAGTGCACTCGAGGCGGAGGACAACCTTCTTGGTGGTCTTGGCCTTCTTGTGGAAGACGGGCTTGGTCTGACCACCGTAACCGCTCTGCTTCCGGTCATAACGACGCTTACCCTGGGCGTACAGGGAGGCCTATTTTTTTTTGGAATCGCACGTTAGAGTTGTTATTCTGTGTGTCGGTCGACGGCAGTACGGTGTGGACCGCGGCCTCGAACAGCGGGAGGGGGATCGGTTCTCACCTTGCCAGCCTTGTACTGGGTGACCTTGTGCTGGGTGTGCTTGTGGCACTCCCTGCCCTTGCAGTAGGTCCGGCGGGTTTTGGGAATGTTGACCTATTCGCGAGAGAGATTCGTGAGCTAGTGTCCGTGCGAAGGTGAAGAAAATGTGCCAGTGCAGGTTGCTTGTGTCTTGTGGGTCTGATCTTCGAAAATGTTGCGGTCGCGGAGATTTATTTGTTGACAAAAGTGATCTCGACAAAGAATTTCTTGATGTTGACGGACTCGTGGAGCAGGATTGTTCTCGGTTGCGTGAAATTTTCGAGATTCCGTCCCCTCCATCGTGCGGTGCTCGCGTTCGGTCTTGGCCTCCCGATCGCATTTCCAACTTGGTCGATGGGTTAGATATCGTGTCGCGTTCTCAGGGAATTCCGGTAATATTTCCAGGTGGACGGTAAATCCGCAGTGTTGGCGAATATCGGTCGGTCGTCAACTTTCACGGCGTCGAGTTCGGCCACACAAGTCCGTATCTTCCCATTCCCACAATATCTCCACGACGTCGGAACAATTTTCGATCGATCAAGACTTCATGGCACAGCAACCTGAAGCACAGAGGGTAAATAGCCTTACCATTTTGACTGGGTTGCCGGATAGCGAGGTGGTGGTCGTTGGATTGTCGCTTGTCGGAGAAGAACCAGCGGACAAGTGTGGTTGTGGGATTTCGTTCGCTTAGTGCCCTATTCGGTCATGCGCTTAGCCTAATTGGGTTACCCCGCCAAGACTTGAGGATGAGTCATCATATCCAGAGGGCCGCATTGCCCGATTGGGAAGCTACACTTTAACCTACTAAACTAAAAAATGATGGGACCATTCATTCTATTATTGCAGAATGAAGTGGGCAATAATTTATTGGAAACCCTTGCCAATTATGATACTTTCACCCTTTCCATACCAGGACCGTCCCTTCATCAACTCCAATCCTTTCTCCTGTCCTACTACCCACTCGCCTCGCGACGGATCACCAAATCGCTTCCAATGATCTGATCTCAATTCTTGATTGATATCCTCGATTGTAGCGACCAGCTCTTGAGCCCTTTTGTGAAAGAGATCAGACCCTCCAGACTCCCTCTCAGACCATCCAACTGGGCGCACAAATCGTGCAATTGTGACATGGGCTGATGGCACCGTGTACCGTGCCTCCAGCTGGCAACCAGCTTCAGTCACGATATCATAGAGATCACTGCGTAGATACTGATACGAGTAGCTCTTGTTTGACTTTCCATCGACCTCACGATCCCTGTCTTCCACAGCAGGGATGAAGCTCAAGGCCAAGGCCGAAGCATCATAGCTGACAATCGGGCGTACCAACCGAGCACGGTGACTTAGCGTGTAGTTGACAATATCTTGCAAGGACGTGTTCTCCTTAAGGAACTTTTCAAGCTCGTTCACCTCGGCGAGAGTCCGTGCTGGCAGCATCTCCAGCGTAGTCATATGGAGATGGTCCGAAGGGGTGAGCCAAAGGCCTATAGCATAGCCCCGCGTTAGCTCCATTGTTTACCCTGTATGGCCGAACCGGCACGACTCACAGGGTCCTGCTATCGGTGCAAGAATTTGCTGTATTTCATCAATCAATTCCCGGATATGTCGTGGGGGTCGAGACCAAAGGGATAGATTGTTCCTCGGGTCGACATATTGGGTGAGACCCTGTTTGGCCTCGAGGACTTGGTGCAGGATCTCGTCGAATTGCCATTGTTGAAAGCTGGGATTGAGAATGAGATTCTTGAATTTTGCGTTCCGGGCTGATCGGTGCTTTTCAAAAGCTTGTTGTACTTTTTCCTGTGAGGTCGGTCAGTCGGGTCATCGATGCCAGTGTGGGGGTTCAAGGAATTTACCGCGTCGTTCTCACATGCGATGATCAACTGCTTGAACACATTAGATTGTACTAGTGCGGGTTCTTGATGAGTTTCAATGGTCATAATCGGTGTTTCCAGTGAGTTGTGTTGTTGTTGAATACCTATGGCAACAGGGTTGATAAACCAACCCCACGGATATATATCGGTACCTGGTGGAGGTAGGTTGCGCTGGCGCCGATCGTCCTATGTGGCGGGCATGCAAGACGGAAAACGCGAATATTAGGGAAATCCCACGAGATATACCTACCGGGCATGTTCTTAGTTTTATTATTCTATCTTTTCTTGAAATATTTCCCAGCAATTTTCTACTTTCCAATACTTAGACATACCAAAGGCACCAAATTAGAAGAGTTTGCACAACAATCGACACTGCGCTGGCTGCAGACATTATGCCCGGTTTTGGTTAGGAACAGGGAGAATTTCAAGCATGCAAGATCACAAAGTAGTCATTTAAAGTATTTAAATCACCTCTTACCGAAATGAAAGAAAGTCGCCTATACAACTGTAGAAGAAGGATTACCCAGCCTCATTATCAATCAGGCAATAAGGCCATTGGCCCCACCAAAACCCCGCCAACGCGGCTCTCTCTTCCTCCCCTTCCAGACCCTCATTGACACTCACGACTCCTGTCATCACCGACACTACAATTACAGCGATCTACCCGTCTACCTACATCTCCTCTACCACTGAATCCAAACCCATCGCACCATCACCATGTTGATCAAGTAAGTGGTGGCTCCGCTCTGGTCCCGCGCCCTACAATTGCATCATCGCCGGCCCGAGACAAGGAAACACCAGAGCAGCTTGGCAACTAACATTTTACACTCACAAGGGTCCGCACACTCACCGGCAAGGAGATCGAGCTCGATATCGAGCCTGATTACAAGGTGAGACTCACAACGCCCGTATACCTACGAGAACCTCGCGCCGGAAAGGCTTCATCGGACGATCCGACAATCAGCTGCGCTCCGAGTGCAACATACCTAATAGTTACACGGACTGACATTCCTTGGTGGAAATAGGTCTCCCGTATAAAGGAGCGCGTCGAGGAGAAGGAGGGTATCCCTCCAGTTCAGCAGCGACTTATCTTCGGCGGCAAGCAAATGTACGTTTCCCCGCCATTTCCCATACACAAAGAGAGCTAGCTCTTCAATCACTCGTGTCTTTTGATGAGAATCGCCCCCGGCTAACATGTTCACTTCTTACTGCTAGGGCGGACGACAAAACGGCGGCTGAATACAACCTCGAGGGTGGCGCTACGCTTCACCTTGTCCTCGCCCTCCGTGGTGGATGCGACGCGATGTAATCAGTTATTCTCTCCCCTACCCTATGTTAAGATACCATTTTTACTTTGAGCAATGTGATTCAAAATTGAGGTTGCTGCTCTCGTGCGGAACCGCTTGCATTCGAGCCGTGCACTTTGTTTTCCTCGAGGCCGGGCATTTCCATATCGTGGAGGGTGGTAGACTTGGTAGGATTTGAGGCCTTTGATGAGTATGGGCAGGATGCTTTGCGCCTGTTGGCATCTTTTTGCGAAAAGAATGTCCTGGTAAATCGTGTCTCCCCGAAGATGAAGATTGCCACAAATTTGTTGCTCATCAAGTACACATTTCTATTGCTGAGACGAAGATTACGCTTGATATGATGAATGCATCAAAATTATCCCAAGAGAGATCCCCAAGATGTGCGGTGAAGATTCCATCCCACTGTCCAAGAAATTGATATCCAAGGCCCCATATCCAATGATCAGGATCACCTAAATAAAATTCCGTGCCCCCAGTGAACGCCGGGGAAAATGCATTATGTACAGATGCCAGTGGAAAGGAGGCCCAAAAGCAGGAAAAGACACGCTAAAGGGAAAGGAAAGAAAATGCAAATGTCAGACTACTCTCCTCTTCTTCGGTCGAAGGAAGATATCGACCTCTGTTCGTTTCCGGACGACAGCTGGACGGGCAGTGGGTTCAGACCCAGAGTTTTCTGCTCTACTAGCAGATGGACCATCAAAATTCGATGGTTTGGATGGTGATGATGAGGGAATCTGAGGAGGCGGAGACGTCGCCCTGCGCTTGGGGATAGCCCTTTTGACCGGCGAAGGAGCTTCCCTAGATGAGGCAGGAGAGCCATGAGAATTATAAGTATTATCCGTGGCAGCAGCCGCAGCCGATGATGAGGATGATGATGCATTTGGCCTCTGTGGCAATGGCTTTCCAGATTGAATAGCCTTCAATCTCGCCTCCCGCTCCGCCAGCGAAGACGAAACCCGTAGATCAGGTGCCGGACGAGCAGACGCAGAAGCCGCTCTCCCAGGCAAAGGCACCCGCCCGGGCGCAATAAGATGATGCTCACGCCGGAGCGTAGCTTGTTCCACCGGCCGCCGATGCTCCTCAATCAGCGACCGCGGCGCCTTCTTAATCTGCGTCGCCCTCGTACTGAGATGCTTCGTCGGCACCGCAAGCGCCGTATTCCTCTTCTGCGGCGCAAAAATAGCCGCCTTCTTCTTAGCCTCCGGCGCCGTAAGTCCACCAGACCGAGGTATATAAAGACCTCTTGACGCAACTCGCGGACGAGATGGGCGTGCGCCTCTGGGCAATTGGTTCATGACTTTTGGTTGGAGTTGGGCTCGCTCGGATTTGATTCCGTCAATGGCCATTTTCATTTTTGCGGCGTCGGCGTCGAGTTCGCGCTGGACTTCGGCTTGGAGGTCGCAGTATACTTCGTACCAGCGGTTTGTGTGTTTGGGGAGATCGTAGGTGTTCCAGCGGGGGATGTCGCGCTTGATGAGTTCGAGCCATATCTCTTGGTCTTCTTCGGCGAGTTGCGGGGATAGGAGTTCCATTGAATGCTATTTAGAGATGGGGTGAGATGTCAGTTGGGGGTTTCTTTTGTATGAAAGGGTATATAGGAATGTATTTCGTTGTTTCGCGGTGGGCTCGTAACGTACCAGTTTCTCTGGATTGTCGACTTTCATAAGGATGGGACGAACGAGGGTATACGGGAGATTCCCGATGTCTGTGAGCACTGCATAGAGACCAGAAGAATTAGCGATATAGTTCGGATATTATCATGTTAATCTGCTGGGTTATTCTTTCGCTCAATGCACTCACACTTGACATGCTTGATTGCCGTGGTCGTAGCCAGGTGTTTTAGCGATAGGGCCGGCATGGCTAGGACGGTATAGAAATCGACCGCGTGCTCTGTAATAGCAAGGGTGACATTGAATGAGAGCGAAGTGAGAAACCGGACGGGAGAATGATCTGGTGGTATATAGATCGATCTATCGAGGGCGTCGATCGAGTCGTGGACTCGGGGCTGGGGTTGGTGCTGCGGTCATCGGGATGAACAGGAAGGCCTGAGGCACAGCGGGCGGAGCATTGGCCTTACATGCGGGAGCTAATTGGCCGGAATGCGGAGGCAATGCGAGAGGTGTTGATGCTTCGTTGGCTCAATTGCATATCTATATCTGTACTATATAGATTCTACTAGGCTTTGGATGGAAAGAATCGAGCGGAAATCATTTTGCAAATTATGAATGTAGCGAAAATAGCTTGATGGCTTTCAGGGTATGTCGGAGTAGCCTAGAATGACGTACTGGTGGCAGTAGTAGTACTTGAAGAAATACTATCGATGGTCTCTATATCGAAAGGCCGTCTTAAACTAAATAAAGACCGACTGTATTTAGCACCACGACTTGATATTCTCTAATCAGATAGTAAGGACTAAATTCCATCTTTTCTGCACTTGACATATTCCCCCTCGTCGACCAACTGGTGACTGACCGTATCCCACGTGACGTACATCTCACAAACAAAGCAAACAGATAGCTGATAGCATCATGAGGGGCTGCGCTGGGGAATTCTTGACAACCCGTTAAACCACTTGAAAAGAGAATCTTCAAGAAACGAAAAGGTATGATCCTGTTCCTCAATATGCACTCTGTCTACCCTCTACTCTATGAACCATGTCCGAGCCCCAAAAATTGGCCTGGGTTGTAATTCACCAAGTCCAGCTCCATCTGCCCCTCTCTCTCCATACCATGATGATTTTGGATATGCATGCCCTGGGAGCTATACGAACCATTGAGATGAGACCTGTGATCTCCCCAAGTTGCGATTCTATCAGATCTCAATTTGTGACGTCACAAATACAACATTGCTTCCACTGCAATGGCTTCAAACCCAACTCTGACAATCATCTAGGTCAAACACAATGCCTCCCCGCTCCCAGCTTGAGATCAACACCTCCTCTGTCCTTCGCTTGGTGAAGGAGGAGGCCTCTTATCACCGCGAGGCAGTGGAGCAGGTTGAGCGTATCAAGAAGCTTGAGAACGACAAGAGTGAGGATGAGAATCGCGAGTATTTGTTGCAGCAGGAGGTATGTCTGATTTCCTCTGGGAGCTAGTGTTTCTCTTCGATATCCATTTATAATGCGACAAATATGAGTAATTGCTAATTTGAACAGCACCGGGCTCTGGAGGAGACCAAGAAGGTGTTCCCTTCTTTGAAGAAGAAGCTCGCCGAGACTGTGGCGGAACTGCAGTCCCTCATCGTGAGTTGTTCAAATCTCCTTCTTTTACGTGACCGGAGGTATATTGACTGTCATCTCCAGGCTGAGGAAGCTGCCAAGGGCTCTGAGAGCAATGTGGCCCATATCACCGCCGCAAAGGAGGCCATCGCACAGGCCAAGACCGCAGAGCGCGAGGTCTCTTGAACTGAGCTATTTTGATTAACGTCCGAGCGATGAAAAAAGAATTAATACCCAAAGGCTGATCAGCAATATCTGACTTATCGATTGAATGTATTCAAGAAAATTTCCCAATAGAACGCCCCCCGACCGAGACCGTAACACTCCAGGGCCAATAGTTAATGTACATGCGTAGATCCTCATCAGGAGATATCCATTCTCTCATCCGGCTCTTCACCCTCCTCGAGCTCATCCGATTGTTCTCCTGCATCCTCAGCAGTAATCTCTCCCTCGTCCGCCATGTTGGCATCTTCCCGATCCGAAGACCCATTCTCACCCTCTGCGCTGATGGCCTGCCGAAGTGGAGAGGCAGCCCCCGTTGCACCGGAGGGCTTCTCAACCTGTAACCGGCCACCCTCGTCCTGGCTGTGTTGTGACGAGGTCATGCTCTCACCCTCGGGGGAGAGGGCTGTTGGCAGCACTGGGCTTGCCTTTGGAGGTAGCATCGCCCTCATCGCCATCTTCACCCTCCTGCATGCCCTCTCGTCGCTCGACTTCTTCCTTCTCATCGCGAATCAAGCGGCGGAGCTGCATTCCCTCCTCCACAATCCGACCAAACTGTTCTCTCCGATCTGCCCACGTCGTCGCGTAGTCCTTGCTCTCCTTCTCCAGCTCCGTAATCTCCATTTGCAGTTTCTGCAAGTTCGCCTGCTGGTCCTCCCGCGGCTTCAGCAGGCGGTTGCTCGTAATCTTGTCCGCGAGGTCATCATAGGTCTTGCGCAGAGCGAGCAACCTTTGTGCCTCGTCTAATTGACTGCGGAGTTCGGTTGTGTTCTTGCGGACAGATTTCATTGTGTCCAAGATGGCCAGCTTCTCGGTTGCGTATCGTTGGCGCTCGGCCTCGTTGCTGTTGAGGAGGAACTGAATCCGGGCAATACTGCCTTCAAAGGCGGCGAAGTCGAGGGTTACATCTTCGCGAAACGTGCGCCAGTCTTCAAGACGCTTTTGCCTTTTGGCGTCCGGGCCTGCAACGGCATCGGCGTCGGATTCGTCGGGCGGAGGAGTGAGTGGGAGGGAGGCGTTGGAGACGGCGAGCGAGTCTGGGTTGAGAAGACGTTTGGAGATGCGCTTGAAGGGCTTTTCTTCGACGTTGAGGAGACGCGACTTGTGGAGGCCGTCTGTGACAACTGGAATGTTAGCCCTGAGAGCTGGTTGGTATGGGATTGGCATGAGATCTGACCTTCTTCTGGCTGGCCTAACAGCCCGTAGGAGGCCATTTTGGGATCAAAGTCGTGAATAATAGGATTGCAGTAGCTATGGTAAGCGTCAAGTTAGGACTAGATGGCCGTCCGAGATCAATACAGCGAGGGCGATCGGCGAGGCTGTGGCACTGGTGAGGGGGAGGAATCAGAAAAGTGAAGCCGAGCGGTCTGGCGGAGAATGCACAGCTGCTTTCCCCAGACATTCCTGTGCCCAGCAAGAGACCCGCGCCGCGACCCGCAATCCCACTTGCTGTCTCTCTCCAATTTGAAAGTCTACCCCCATTCCCCCAGACATTTGACATTTGAGACATTCAAAGCTTGTACTGTAGTCTGTTCCTCCACCGCTCCCCCCTATTGACTTCTATGATGACCGGCTGAGAGACTACGCCGCGCTCCGCATTTGACCCGCGCGTCCTTCCCCTCGTGACCTCAGGACCATTGCGCTGCGCGGCTTGCAACCTCATGGAACTTGTCGATCAAGTAGCTGTGACGAGCGTCTCAGTGGCTCGGTCGTTTCTACCCATCTTACAGCGGCGCGTGGTTTTCCTGTCGCCAACATGACGGAGATGTACTCGGGACTCCATGCGGGCCAGCGCTTCTCGTCCTTGGAGGAGTTCAAGACGGTGATTCGAAGTATATCTGTCCGACAGCATTGGGAGCTTCGTGTCATTCGAAGCAATAAGAAGAGTGTGGTGATTGGTTGTCGATCCTCGGCCAATTGCTACTTTCGTGTTGTTTGTCGCTCAAACAAGAACGCGACCTATATTACCAGCCTTCAAGATAGCCATAGTTGCCGAAGAAGTGCTGATTCACCAGCTGCAACACCAGCACGATCTGAAGCCTCGCATGTACGCTTCTTGCTGAGTGAAATTCCAAAGCTCTTCGATATGAAGAGCCGAATCAAAGGCCAGGACGTGGTGGACGCCGTCAAACGTTACCACGGATATGATATCTCCATGAGACAAGCACAACGCGCATTGACTAAATTGCAACCGCGCCAGGCTGATATGCAAGGCGAAAATACTTTGGATATGGATATGAGTACGGGTGAACAGTCGCCCGGGCCGTCCCTGGCTGAGTCGCCAGGCGAACCGGGACCATCATACCGAGATATCTCAGAAACTCGCTGGCTTCCAGACCATCTTCCACCTTCACTGATGGATGAAGCCTCTGTCAACGCTGCCGGGTCTCCAGACCCTGTAGCTGCACCACCGTTACAACCACCCCAAACTGCTCATTCTGTCCGACCTCCCCAAATTCCACAACCAGCATCCATTGGAACACCCAGTCAAACCGCACTCAGCAACGATACCCGTCCTATAATCTCACAGCAAGGGGTGGGATACACAACAGCTACTCCCTTGTCCGTTGCACCACCAGAGCATCCGAAACCACCTGGGTATGCCCAGCGGAACGACCACCCAGGGGTTCCCCAGATGGTTCTCACCAACTTCAAGATCGAGTTTACCTGTACGACCTGCGGCTCCCTTAACCAGAGCTTCTTCCCAAACCAGGGCAATGTCACTGGACCGGGCTATATGGGTCATCATGCCATGCACGAGCAGGCCGCTGTTCCGAGACATCCTGGTGCTGCACCCTCAAATGCGCCTGATGGGAGTAATAACGAGGTTCCTGAGGACGGCGGGTATACAGTCAATGCCCTCAATGCACGTGTTATGCAGAATGCTTGGGCCACTGGAGGGTTAGGGGTTCCCATTGGCCCCGCGAATACCTAATCATTGAATATGATACCAGCCTGTTTCGTTGTTCGCCTGCTCTTTTTACCAGATTCTACAATCCTCTTTGCTTCCTCTCATAGAGGCTTATGATGTCTTTCGATCGACGTGAAGCTTTTTGATATTTTGATAACTACTGCTGTCTGACATTCACTGGATTTTGGCCGGGGAACATTCGTTTGGGTGATACCCTGCTCTTGCTTTGTTGATGCATCTGAGAATAACCCTGATATTTACAGCACGGACATCCAATAAAAAACTGAGCGTTGGGGCTCAGCTAACTCTATTTTGATTTATGGCTGTCCCACGAGCTGGATAAATAGGAACTTGGAATGTTTGGCTACGATGATGACGAGACATGACAGTTGGAAACTGCTTACTTACTTTTTATTTTCCATGAGATACCATTCGTGTGCTTCGCACTGGCTTGACCATGCCAATTATTGGATTATCTTGACTTTGCTGCATGTTGATCCTTGTGCCCCCTACACTGGCCCACTTATAAACCACGGCTTCTCAGTAGGAAGAGAAAGGGATACCTCTACTTAACTGTGGAGCGGCGATTCTTAGCAAAGGGTTCAGTCCTGACGGATAGGTTGAAGAAAGATCGCCTCAAGAATTGCACTCTTAAGTTCTATGTTTGAGACGCCTGTGGCTTTGATCGTTTGCATACTATGCGCTACTCCGCAATATTAACCCACAAGAGGTTATATTCTGGCCCCATAGTGTGCACAATAATACTGTAAGATATGATCAGCCAGTGCATCAAGTCCTCGGCGGATACTTCTCCATTTCCCCGGAATTCGCATGGGGACCTTCTCCACATCCTGCACCAGCACTGCTGATCTTCCCCACAACAAAGCACACGCGTAAAATGACCTTGTCAAAGCTCATCTACCTCGAATTTAACATCATGCTCGAAAAGAAGAAAGCATTTGAGACTATAGGACCAATTTGGAGATCCATCAAAGCCACGCGAGCGCCACGACATGGGGCCAGTCCCGCGATCCTCAAGTCCCGACCCCTCCCAGCACCAGCAGCTAGATCTCGCCAACACAAAAGTGGCAAAATTCGGCAGTGAGGCAGGTAACTCAATTCCCGAAGCGAGCAGGAAGAGTGTCTCTCCATCACTTAGCCTGCATCACTTTGCTCTATCGGTTGAATCTACCCGCCCCCAGCTTTTCTCATCTACCAATGAGCCCACTCCTTGTTCAAGCATGACTCCTCCCCACGGGGAAGCTGGAGAGTCAATCCTGAATGCTGGCAGAACTACGCCGATCTATACTTGTCATGACTTGAATCAACTCCGCATGGCCCCACAGAGGACCTGGGTAAGACTGTGTCGAGGTGTACGCGGTGCATGAAGGGGTCTTGTTGGGGATGTGTTTCTTGCTAAAAACACCCCTGGTCTGGCTTCGTGGGAGAAAAAGACGATTTGCTGTCTTTGCGGGTCTGGTGTTTGACTGACTCTCGATACTTCAATTTTTAATACATTCTGTCTTTCGGACAGAGCTTCTCTGCGTAGTACGCATATTTCGGAACCATGGGCGATAGCCAAGAGAAGAATGGCCTTCGGCTACATTGGAAGTCGTTGGCGGCTTGCTCGCTGATTTCCATGTCACCGTTCCAATATGGAGTGGACTTTACTTTGATCGGAGGTTTTCAAGCCATGGTGGGATTTCTCAAGGTGAGTACCATTTCGTTGATGTTGGATCGTCGACCTGACTGCTCCGGTGAGTGGCACCACTGACCCTGAATATTTTTGCCTAGGTCTATGGAGAGCCATCGCCTAACACATCACTTGGATGGAATATCTCCTCTGAGCGCCAACAGCTGATATCCTCGCTCATGACACTGGGTGCCTTTGTGGGATCATGCTCAGCTGGTATGACTTGTAGCCATAATTAACTGGGGTACAAACTGATAAAATAACTACAGGGCCCGTTGCAACCTATATCGGCCGAAAGACCGCCTTGTATATTGCGGTTTTCGTGATCTACATTGCGAATATCATTATGATGACTGACGCCACGATCGGCGGTCTCTACGCTGGCCGTTTGATTATCGGACTTGGAAACGGTTTCTTGATGACCTTTTCCCAGCTGTACATCCAGGTAAGCTATAATGTAGACTCATCAATTCAAGACGCTGATATGTACTACAGGAATGCTCTCCCGCCCGCTACCGTGGCCTCATGCTCGGCGCTTTCCAATTCTGGACCTCCTTCGGCTCCCTCCTCGGGACAATCGTTGACAACTTCACTGCCAAGATAGACGGCAAGAATAGCTATATTATTCCCCTTGGACTAATATTCATCATTCCTGCCTTCTTATGTGCTGGCATGTTCTTCATCCCCGAGTCTCCTCGCTGGCTGCTCCAGCACGACAAAGTCGAGGAAGCACGCAAGGCGCTCGTCTGGCTTAGGCTAGATCAGGAGACCGTGGACAAAGAGATGGAGGATATCCAGACTGCGATCGAGTTGGAGCAAAACCTTGCAAATGGTGTCTCGGTTTGGGACATGTTTGCCAACCCCGTTGATCGGCGCCGGACTATCCTAGCTGTCGCGGCTGTGTGCACGCAGGCCGCTTCTGGAGCCATGTTCATGATTGGTGAGCGCGGGGTCCATTACCTCCTTGCGAAGTGCGAAGCTTCTCAACATCGACACTAATAAGTATTTTCTAGCTTACGGAACTTATTTCTTCGAAATGGCCAATGTTGGCAACGCCTTCGAGAACAGCTGCATTCTCACTGCGCTCGGTGTGGTCGCCATTTTGATTAACATTGCAGTCATCACTCGCATTGGACGCCGTCGACTCTTCTTAACAGTTGGGTTGATAATCTGCGGCTTCAGCCAGCTAATTATTGCGATCGTATATAATATTCACCCAGGTACTCAGCCCACCGGTAAAGCGATCGTTGGTCTTTCTGTTATCTTTATTTTCGCGTATAACGGAATGGTCTCGACCTATGCTTGGGTCTCGGGCGGAGAGCTTCCGTCTCAGAGACTGAGATCTTATACGTTTGGGCTTGCTGCAGCGATGGGATTCCTGGGAGCTGTGAGTGGAGCATACTTTCCTTGACTGTTGTACGCATGCGAATGCTAATTTTCTCCATTTAGTGGTTGGCGACTTTCACCGCGCCGTATTTCATCAATCCGGACTCTTTGAATTGGGGGTAAGTTACAAATGCTGATCGTCAGGAAGCTGATAATATGCTAACATTTTTAAAGTCCGAAGTACGGGTACATTTGGTTCCCCTCTTGCCTGGTCGCCGCTGCTTTCATCTTCTTCTACCTTCCTGAAGTCAAAGGCCGCACCCTCGAGGAAATTGACGAAATGGTATGTTTCTATGACCCCATCCTTAGAACCCTACTAACAGAAGGTATCATAGTTCGAACAACGGCTTCCCGCCCGCAAGTTTGCGTCTTACAAGTGTGTTGGTCCAGTAGCACTTGAACAAAGACTCAAGGCTGCAGAGAATACGGCGGACGGTGAGGCCAGGGTTTCCGGAGATTCTGAGAAGGTTACCACAGAGACCATCGAGAATAAGGCGTGAAGTGGCTTGATCACTTGATCAGTCGGGTGTCTGATACCGAGGTTGGATGATTATTTGTGGGACAAGGCTAGTTTTTGTCGTGGTTATAGTACAGATGAATTGGAGCTTGATCTGTTTCGGTGACTGTTTCGGCTGAGTTTGTTGATGCCACCCAAAATATCGAGAAAATAAGAAGAACGCCGTGGTTTCTCCATCTTTTATACTCTAGATGGTAGCAAAAATTATCAAGTCGACGGGAAATAACGTCTCTCTCCAACGATGCTTGGTGGCCAAAAAATCCTAGCACAGTTGGTGGTTTTCGTAGGTGTATTACCCAGTATGCCATACGGCCAATCCTTGAGACCTAAGTGCCATTCTGAAAGGAGGCAATCTTGCTTGGATTATTCATTTTCCTTCGCGGGAGCAACACAATATTTCGAATAAAGTATAACAAAGAAAACTACTAGATTCTGCATCTATACTGATCTACCTAATGACAAACTTCATGACAGTTGCTTAACCACCTCATCGAATGTTTCCTCAGCATTCTTCTCAGCATCAAACTTGAAGACCCAATCCTCACGGGGCATCTGAATGGATTCCGGGTCCTTTGCAACTTTATCCCAGTCCGCTTTATGCCACATATCACGGGTCGTTTCACCTGTCTTCTGCACGGCCTTCACACGGTCATACCTGATCTCCTGATACGCACGTACCGCATTTGGAATATTTGCCTTCCCACCCCGCTTCAGACAAACAGCGAGTACCACTCCATCTTCCATCGCCTGTGTCGCGCCTTGGGCGGATGTAGGGAGGAAAGGGTGTGCTGAATCACCAAGCAGAGCAATACGCCCATGATCACTTACCCATCGAGGCAGCGGGTCTCTGTAAACGAGCTTCCAATCAACGACCTCGGGGGTTTTCTCCACGATGGCTTTACAGATTGGGTCCCATCCTTGAATGACCTTGAATACGTCCTCGAGTTTGCCGGGGAAGGACCAGGATTCTTCTATATCGGCTTCATCCTGGTGAATGAGAGCACGCATATCAGATTGTGAGACTCATGTCAGAAGGGGAGGGGTCATGTACTTTGTGAGTTAGAACCCAACAGCAGTCTTGCCCGTTCTTGATAGTCGAGAAGAGGAAGTGCACGTCAGGTCCGATCCAGCCGTTAAAGGTATCGCCGTTCTCGCAGAAATGTTTTGTCCGCGGATCATTGATCATATCTGTGTTTGGGAACCTGGTTCAAGTTCATTAGTCGGGGATGCCGAGAAGGAGGGCCGACTTCTAACTGTGATGGGCTCACCATGCGCGGAATACAGCGTATCCGCTCGACTTTGGCTTGTCATAGTAACCCAAAACGAGCTCTCGTGCCTTTGAGCGTACTCCATCAGCTCCAATAACAACATCCGCAGTGATCTAGAAATCTGTCTGTCAGTCGTCTTCGCTGCCACCAAAGCAAGACAAGGTAGGACGGACCCTTTCGCCATTATCAAGAATGATTCCTGCCTCATTCTCGTCCTCAAAATATTTCGAGACTCTCTGGCCAAGGTGAATGGGAATACCCAGCTCATCCTTGGCATAGTTGAACACAACCGTGTGCAGCTCGCCGCGGTGGCCATTGAAAACTGGTGCCTCTGGATCGGCAGGGGGCGTGCGCTGTGTGTGTACGAGCTCTCCAGTCCACTTGTGGATTTTGAAACCGTGATTCTCCAGATTGATACTAAGCGGCTTCAAGCGATCTGCGATAGCTCCGTTTGACCAGCGTCGATAGATGCGACCTGCGTTGGGGCCGAAGGAGATGATGTCGCCTAGAGACTTGAGTTCTGTGAATCCATGTTCAAGTTAGAATGGCCTCTCCGTGTCTGCTGGGATGGTCCGTGAATTACCTGGAAATGACTCGTATACCTCCACCGTGTGCCCTTGGCGATGGCATTCAATTGCGGCTGTCAAGCCGCCGAATCCTTTTTCTTGTCAGATTTATCAATCAGGGATATAGGTGGAACTTTTGTACCAGCTCCGACAATCAAGACTTTGATTCCCGTCGGCTTGGCTGTTGAGCCGTTTGATGGCTGAGGAACTGTCATCTTCCAATGTTCGGGTGTTTGTGCTCGTAAGTAAAGCAGTTGTTCTTGATTGATTATTCAAAAGATGTGCACAATGCGGTATCCTTGAGTCTAAAAACTGCGCTGAGGTCTTTATTTCCGATGGGTCCTGGAATAACCCCAAGTCAAACGGCTACAAGGTATGTGATAACTGCCGAGCACTATACCAAATACGTCCTCAAATGAGGGCTCGGTCGTTCTTACCGATTTCCCCTCACCAATGATCAGCCATGCTGTGCGGCACAAGGTAAGAAGTGGAGAGCAATCCTGCGGGGCCCCAGGATCGCTCCGAGCCAGGTTGATGAAACTGCGTAACTAGTGTGTGATGCCCCGCATCCCCCCCGCAGTTATGAAATGTCGATTATCACGCGCGATCGCTTGGATGTTTCCTAACATATGAAACGCGAGGCTAACGTGCCGTGGAGAGAGCTGGTAGCATGGATTGCTTTGCGGGGCTGTGATAGATCGCGACATTCGTTGCGGGGCTGTAATTGAAGTATTTCGGATTTCGGCGCAAGACAATAAATATAGTCTCGATGATAAGAAGTGGCAGGGGATAGAGAACAGCTATTTCGCAAAGGACAGCAACAGAGGGCTAAAATGGCTACGACGCATTCAGAGTACAACGAGAAGACCACCGCAACTTCCGTTGCGAGCGCATTTGCCGACCAGATCCGGGGGCGAAATGGTCAGTTATATCTCATGACTCAAAGAAAAACAGTCAAGTGTATATATTGACTTTACTTCTCAGTGAAAACAGTCAAGTGTATATATTGACTTTACTTCTCAGTGGTAATTACTGGTGTCGGCCCCAACAGTTTGGGTGAAGCCCTTGCATTAGCAATTGGGAGCCAACAGCCAGCCAAATTGTTTCTAGCGTCGCGGACAGAAGCCAAAGTCCAACAAGTTGCCGACAAGGTCAGAGAGCTGTCGCCAACCACCTCGATTGAAGCAGTGACCCTGAATCTGGCATCTCAAAAATCAATTCATGCCGCTGCATCGAAGATTCAAAGCCAAGTCGATCGAGTGGACATCCTGATCAACAATGCTGGCATGATGGTGCTGGAAAAAGAGACTACCGAGGACGGTATTGAGATCCAGTTCGGTACCAATCATGTTGGGCACTTCCTTTTCACCAACCTGCTCATGGATCAGATGAAGAATGCCGCGAAATCCTCGGAGAGCGGGTCGACTCGAATCGTTAATGTGACCAGTGCTGGCCATCGGTTGTCGCCTCTTCGCTTCCATGACTATAACTTCGAGGGCAAGGAAGTGCCTGTGGATGAAAGACCCCCCGACGGCTTGCCTCCTATGTTTAGTCCTTCTGCTGGTGGGTATAATGGATGGCTGGCGTATGGACAGTCCAAGACAGCCAACATTTTGTTCACTGTCTACTTGACTCAGCACCTAGCATCTGCTGGCATTGTCTCGTATAGTGTGCATCCTGGATGTAAGCTTCTGGCATTAACTGGCGTTGACTCGATCAATACTGACAGTATGCAGCAATCTGGACAGGCCTTAGTCGAGGCCTTGACGATAGTGGGAATGAGATTATGTCCAAGACTAGCAACTTTTGGAAATCAGGCGACCAAGGCGCTGCGACTATGCTCGTAGCTGCCTTTGATCCATCTTTGAAATGTGAGTTTTAGACGAGCAGACTTCTCTCTGAAAGCTCATTGTTAACCCTGTCGTAGCTGTCTCCGATCCATCGGCCGTTTACCTCAGCGACTGCCAATTTGCACCGACTGCACCACACGCGGTGAACCTCGAAGCTGCAGAGAAGCTATACCATTTGAGTGAGGAGCTTGTGGGTATGAAATTTCCACTGTGATGTCACGTCATTGTCAGTGTGATCGGAAGATCCGACGTCTAGATCCTGTTCAAGGAAAAGAATCCGAGCACCGAATCCCTGTCTTTTCTGGGCGATCGATGCGACTATTCACTTTAGCATACCCAAAATAAGTACATATATCAGACCGCTTGATATTATAGCTTCCCAGCTAGTATCCTCGGAGCCAACAGCCTGTTAAAAGTGCGATCGCGATGTAGAAAATTCCTGATTCAGGCAGGTTCGCATTCCACGATGCATCGGCAGTCCGATCGGACATCCGAATTGATGGACCCACTTTGATGACCAATCAGGACAAAAGCTGACGCGGAATTGAGCCGACGCTGCTTAAGATCGCCTCCCACCGAGACAGGATTAGGACAAGATGGTGGACTTTTTCTTTGGCGTCGGAGGCATATCCGACTCTAATTCTGTGCAGCGGCAGAACTCTCCAATCGAGGCCTAGAATAGATTGCCGATGAGCCGGATGACACTAGAACACCGCAACATTCAAAAAAAATCTCCGTTGATGATTCTTGAAATCTGTCGTATATGATATGCCCTCATTCCACCATTGCCATCCACAATATTACCGGTTATATTAAGGTGGCTATCATCACTTAAGCTTCCGCCAAGCCCTTCCCCGACCTATTACCAACTTGGCCCATACTTCTTGATCGACGAATTCATCAAGTCAAAAAGTATCAGAGCCCAATCAGATCGGCCTCAATCAGTGTCCCCACAACTAGGGCTAGGACAAACATGAATCGGCAACGTGCGGCCGAGAAGGCTCTGCACGATCAAACGAATATTCTCCCGTTTGGGCAGCTCATGGTGGTTTTTACCGGCCTCGCAACGTCTCTGGTGATTACGTTTGTCGATCAAAATGGAATTAGTGTCACTTTGCCTACAATCGCCCGGGATCTTGGTGCTCAGGATACAATCTCATGGGCTGGCACTTCTTCTTTAATCGCCAATACCATGTTCACAGTACTTTACGGCCGACTCTCGGATATCTTCGGTCGTAAGGTCGTCTATCTATCTGCATTAATCTTGCTATGTATTGCTGATCTACTCTGTGGACTGGCCCAAAACCCAGCCATGTTCTACGTATTTCGAGGCCTGGCTGGTGTCGCTGGCGGTGGTGTTACCTCTTTGACTATGATCATCGTCTCTGATGTAGTCACTTTGGAACAACGTGGGAAGTACCAAGGCATATTGGGTGCGTCCCTTGGCGTTGGAAACATCATCGGACCGTTCATTGCTGCTGCGTTCATTATGCGCTCGACGTGGCGTGGCTTCTTCTGGATGATCTCCCCTTTGGCGGCGCTATCTGCCGTTGTTGGATACTTCCTGATTCCGAATAACGCACGGAATGACCGTTTCCGCAAGAACATTAGTCGAATCGACTGGTATGGCGTACTGGCGTCATCGATTGGTATCATTTTCCTTCTGATCCCAATTTCTGGAGGCGGATCATATTTTCCCTGGGATTCACCCATGGTTATTAGTCTGCTCGTTATTGGAGGACTCTCCTTCATCGCGTTCGTTTTCATCGAATGGAAAGTCGCTGCGCTGCCAATGCTACCCAGTATGTGCTTCTTTCTTTGGTTCTCCACTCGAGATTCTTACTGACACGAATATAGTTCAATTTTTCAAGAACAAAGTTATCACCACCCTCTTCCTGCAGAGCTTCCTCCTCGGAGCAGTCTACCAGGCTTATCTGTACTACTTGCCACTTTACTATCAGAATGCCCGTGGCTGGTCCCCTATCGTGTCTGCTGCCTTGACAGCGCCCATGGTGGCCTGTCAATCGATTGCTTCCATTTGCTCAGGACAGTATATTTCCCGCCTTAAGCGGTACGGCGAGATAATCTGGGCGGGCTTTGGTTTCTGGACACTGTAAGTACCCTCCCGAGAAGATGCTTGGCATAGTGATCGCGATACAAGACTAACATATTTCAAGGGGTGCTGGTTTAATGTTACTTTTCGACCATGACACACACCCAGCTGTCATTGCAGTCTGCGTCGGCATTTCCGGAATCGGCATTGGCTTTACATTCCAGCCAACTCTCGTCGCACTACAGGCACACTGCACCAAATCGCAGCGTGCAGTATCAATCTCAAATCGGAATTTCTTCCGCTGCATGGGTGGTGCATGCGGTCTGGCAATCTCCGCTGCCATCTTGCAGGCTACCTTGAGAGCAAACCTTCCGTCGGAATTTTCCTATTTGACGCAATCTTCATACTCGCTTCCGTCGCGGTCCACACTTACCGACGCTCAGTGGAACTCGATTCTGCTTGCATATACGAAGGCTTCCCACGCGGTATTTATCTTGCAAGTACCGCTTATTGGTGTTTGTTTCCTCGCTTGTGTCTTCATCCGAGATAGGGGCTTGGAGCGACCGAAGGAGCCCGAGGAGATCGAAGAAGAAAAGCGAAAGGCAGAGCAGGCCGAAAGAGATGCTGAAGCAGCTCTACCACAGGAGTGTGAGGACCAGGAGGCCGAAAATAAGGAGACGATTGAGCAACGCCAGTCTACATCGACTCTTGTGGAACCAACCATGCCCCCATCTCAAGCGGAGCCAGATCTTTCGAACGTTGAAGAGAAGAAGAATTCTGATGAGAAGTAGTGCCCAAGAGCGCACGGATATTTGCTATCGTTTTTCTCGGTTATTTGTCTTGCATATACTTGCTTTACACCATGCGTGGCGTTAGATACCAACTTATTAGCAAAAAGCACAAACTAGAAATACAGATTAATACCAAGGCTCCGATCAACTCCATTGTTTGAGACTAGTTGATTCAACCTAGATTAGCCGCAAAGTCGCTTGTAGTTAGTCGTGGAAGTAGATAGAGTAGTGTATGGTATGCGCATCCTCCATGTCTTGGCGTTGCGGGCCCTTAGGTCGCGATCTCGCTCCAGCCTCGCCTCCAGCACTCATCCACCATGCGTCCCTTGACGACATATGCAATCTTTGAATGGAAAACTGAGTAGATTTTCGGAATATACCAGTCTGCCTCATCTCTAGCAATGAGCCAAGATGTTCGCGCCCGGCCACAGCCATGATTCCTCCCGACAGACCAGTCCCGCCTCCAGAGACCATAACCCCCGGAAGCGCGGGAGGACAGCATGCACTCGTTGCAAGACTCGAAAGCAGAGAGTAAGAGGCCCTCAGAACCTCAAATCTTTGACAAGCTAGCTGAAAATCTTCATCCCAGTGCGACAACGAGTATCCGACTTGTTCCAACTGCCTGAAGGCTGGAGTCACGTGCGACAAGTCAAGTGTGCGCGAGGATGGTGACCGTCAGAATGAGTCAGTCTAAGCATAGCACAAATCCGATATCCTGCTCTGAGAAAGCCATACTGATTAAGAAACCAGCTACACGCGCGCTCTGGAAGAACGAGTCGCGTTCCTAGAGAAGAAGCTCGGACAAGCCGAGCCATCCGCGAGCCACAACACAGGGGCCAACGTCGCACAGTCGATCTGGTCTCCTCAAGGGGGCCAAACAACCCCACAGACTGCAGCATCCGGCTTAGACAACAATCCAGTCGGAGAGATCGTGGGTCTATTGGCTCTTAGCTCATCTGAAGCTCCTGCCTATGTCGGCTCGAGCTCGGGTCTAGCGCTGGCAGCAAATCTCGGGGATATGGTACAGACCAGCGTGTGGAACCAGTTTATATCGAGAATGCAACCACAACTAAACACAGCAAGCACGGGCTGCCAAAGTACTCCGGGATCTGTGCCGGGTTCGTCTCAACAGTCTGGAGGTGGGTGCAGGAATCGCTCTAACGTGGACCCTCCGACGGATGAGATGGGATCCAAGATGCTCGAGACTTATTTCAGACGACTCCATTCACGGTACCCGTTTTTGAATCGGGGCCAGATATGGAAGATGCATGAGGACCGGTGGCGATTGGCTAAGACGAAGCGTGAAGACCTTACCCGGTCTGATCGATTTGCTATCTTCAAGTTGAATATTGTTTATGCGATCGGTGCCACGATGCTCCAGCTGAGTGAGAAGTATGCTTATACTGCTCCAGAGGTAAGAGAAGCACCCTCAAGAAGATAATTTTCAACTACTTATCAGTGTATAGCAATTCTACACGACAGCCTTACAGTACGTTCCCACCATGTGCGAAGCCCGCTCTATTGAGAATATAGAAGCCATGGTCCTTCTCGTCGTATATCATCTGCGCACTGCATCAAGTCATGGAATGTGGTACATGATCGGACTCGCGATGCGTACAGCGATTGATCTCGGTCTTCACCGCAAGGCAAATGAGATCAACATGGACCCGTTTACTGCTCAAATGCGGCGTCGTCTGTTCTGGGTTGTCTACTACCTGGAACGAGTTGTTTCCATGTCTCTTGGTCGTCCATTCAGTATATCTGACCGACACATTGACCTTGACTTACCGTTAGATGTGGATGATGATGTGCGCGACCCTGCACTCCTAACAGCCCCCCATGACCCAACGAGGACGACAAATTTGACATTTGCGATTTACCTCTTTAAACTACGCCGAATCGACTCGCGGATTCAGCATAAGATCTACCGTGCCGACCGACCCCTGTCCTCGTTGAGGCTGAAAATGGATCCCTTATATCTGGAACTGGAACAGTGGAAAGAATCGGCCCTTCAAAGGTTCAGTGGCTCGGATTTAGACTATCCAATGCTGCATTATAACAGAGCCGTGCGGCTCCTAATCCAGCCATTCCTCCCTCTTCTCCCTATCACCGACCCCTACTATCACATTTGTCTCAAAGCCGCTGGCGAGATTTGCCAGTCACATAAACGTCTCCACCAAACTCTCGAATATGGACATTCTTTCCTAGCCGTGCAAACCGTCTTCATGGCCGGAATCACCCTGCTCTACGCTCTTTGGACACACACAGATCAAGTTTGGTCCGTTCGCATAAGCAACGACATCCGCGCGTGTTCGACTGTGCTTTTCGTCATGGGCGAGAGAGCAGCGTGGGTGAAAAAGTATCGAGACGCATTCGAGCTACTCGTAAATGCAGCCATGGAGAAGCTGCAGGGAAATAAGACGGCTCGCAATGCAGGCATGGCCGAGCTTATGACTGCTCAACATAGCACTGCATCTTTGAATACCGTTGTGCCCGGCATGTCCAGCGGTGAAAAGTTCCCCTCGACGAATCCGACGGGCCTGGCACCTGAGGCTGCCGCCGCGACAGCAGCTACAAATCAGATGTACCCAGCAGATGATAGTGATCATGCAGTTAGAATGGCCTTGCAGCTTGCGCCTTGGATTGATCAAGATCAAAATGATCCTTTGTGGATGCCTGATTTTGAAACCCTCGAAACCTTGTCAGGGACATTCTGGAGCGGAGCCGACACGACTCTTTTCGATGCGTTATGATCACACGCAACTTCAATCATGATTGGTATCTCAGGGAATATCAGGGATATCGGAGAACCAGCTTGCAAGATCTGGAACATCGAATCTTCCGAGGAACCCAAACTCCTCCTGGCCCATGCCCATCTCATCCCAACTCATGAAGGGGTTGATGGTAGGGGCACTACTGGATTCGGGATCTTGGGAACTCGAATCCTCTGACATGGGGACTGCGTGTGCAGTGGAAGGGCCCTGTTGGCGAACACTTCGTTGCGGTATTTGTGATTGGCTGGTTGCGAATGCGTGGACATCTTCACTCCTCGATGCCACTGGTTGCACGTCAGTTTCGAAACAATAACTTGGGAAAAAACCAACCCAGCAGCCCCCGTTCGGAGTTTAAATGACGTACCTTTGTAGTTTTGCATGATATACTGGTGCGTAACCTGCAAAAATTGCAATGAATTGCGTGCAGACAGGCTGAAAGACGCCATGTTGGCAAGGATCTCTTCGCATCTCTGCCACGCGGTATCGACAGCATGCATATCGACCTGATCGAGAATCGAGCGACAGGTGTAAGACATGATCAGCACAAAGCCAGCGGTTGATGTATCTATAAAATCTGTCAGTCGAGCTTTGACCGCAAGAAATAGTTAAGAGGACGTACAGAAGCCATTGTACCACCACGCATCCGTGAGTGATGTCCTATAAGTCTCGTAAACGAGTGAAACGAGTTCCATGGCAGCTTTTGCACAGGCTGCCGCACAGTTCACAGACATAGAAGAGTATATCACGTTCTTCTCTGGTCGTGGGGTGCTCTTGTTGGCTTCTGGTCCGGTCTGTCGTGTGAGACCCGTCCGTTCATCCGAGCAGAGTTGTGTGAACATAGGTCGGTATAAGAGAAGGCGAAGATGGATGAATCTGTGATAATTAGAAAGTGATCGTAAGAGAACTAAAATCAAGTGGTTTTGAATACCTCGCACGAAGAACATTGCGCTGGCGCTCGAAAAGCGGCCCTTGCTGACCGGTAGAAGGGTGTGATGTTTGTCTGTTTGTCCAATTTAGGACAGCGGGAACGTTTGCTTCATATGACGATAATTTATCGTCAAGCTCCATGATCAGATCTAGACTGCTCTGCTTTGAGTCTCGAAGTGATGCGGGGCGGGAAATACCCGAGTGACTTTGCCAGGCGTTGTAAATATCCGACAAAATGGATTCGAGAATTTTATAAAGCTCAATTGTGGAGACATAAAATGTCACGTATCCAAGTTGATGATCACAAGTTTGGCCACTGAGCTCGCATGGATCGTCCGACTTGGACTGGGGGGCCATCACAGGAAGAGGTGCTGGCGAGACGTGGGACGTCATACTAGGTCGACCAAAAGTCATGCTCACGATCCTGGATTTGAGAAGTTAGCGATACTATGTAGAATGGGTGTTCGATGAAGACACTAACATATCCATGATTACACATCCATGCCAAGTTCGAAGCCGAATCTCCTTTTCCAGGGGCTTCAGCGAGGATTGTGTCGTGGTTTCATGCAAACCCAGACCTAGTGCGACGCGGCAAGCAACACCGATCGCATTCCAGCAACGATTTGGATACGGCGTACTTTGAAGTAGTAGTGAAATAATCAACAGAGTTTGAACAACGCCGATTGTACCAGTATCCAGAAGATCAAGTCCAACAAATCGTTTGGATCGAAGAAAGAAGGAATATGCGGCTGCCTCCCTCTCTGCGGCAGGTATATCAGAGAAGTGACACCCAAGACTAAAGATCGCGTTGAGTGCGCAGTGAAACACGATCGACTGATGTCCGGAGTCAAAAGTTCCTCCAAGTCCAATGTTGAGTTCAGGCAACTCTGGCTTCGGCCATTTACTGGACCCCCAAAGGTTCTCATATGCCTGTTCGAAGCTTGGACGATGGAAAATTGGGTACAAACAATACACTCGGTTCCAGTAGCATTCAAGGAGATGGTCAGCGAGGGGCCGCGGGGGTAGAGAGAAGTCATCAAACTGAAGACCGGTAGTCGGGAAGTTGATATCACGCCACAGTCCTGCATCCCGGTAAGAGGTGCCTGGAGTATCACCCTCCATGCGTTTCAGTGCCTGCAAGTAAGACTGTATGGGAATTGAGTCCCCGGCAAGTCGCATGAAGGAAGCTACCGATGAGTTTCCGTAATATTGATCTCGCGGAGAATCAGTGCATTCCCCATCGTCGCCGGCTGAAATTGCTCCCATCGCGGTAACGTTTCCATGTGAGTTGAGTGATGGCGATGGGTAGACATTCCCGGAAGTCGGATTGTCACGTGGAGTCCCAAAAACATGTTCAGATTGTCTTCTTTGTCCTTGGTTGGGGTACATAGAAGTTCTAGCCGTCTGCAGAGGTGGACCTGGTGGTGATAGAATTGATGCTAATGAAGCCTGCCGGAAACTGGCCAAGGGTGTTGTCGAGCCCAAACCAAGGAGCCCTTCTGCTGCGACAGAAGTCCTGGACTCTGTATCTAGTGCATTAGAGGATGGATGTAGCTCTCGAGACGCACTAGGCGCTCTGCTTTGTCCTTCCTCGATCTCATGGGATGATGCTCGAGGAACAGAAACCCCGTTACGGGCGCATGTTTCCTCAAGCTCACGGATTCGGTCATGCAGGACTTTGAGGTAAGCATCGTTGCTTGCAGAACGTGCATTCTCGATTTTGTAGACACATTGATCAATCGTGTAGGATCGTCGACCACAGGGCCCACATATCGGTTTCTCTCCGTCGCACCGTACCTGGGGACAACTATCAATAATGGCCTGTGAGAGACGGCCGTTTGTAACATACCTTCTTATCTCGACAGGCTTCACAAGCCAACGCAATCTTGCGACGCCGGGGAGTGCCACGTTTGGCAATATTACTTTTTGAGGACATTATGCTTCAGACATGGCTGATCAGTGCATCGGGGGTGGATTTGGCTCCGGCACTGTTAAGGACAAAGGACGAGAACCAATGAGAGTCAACGGTGGCGAGTGAGCTAACTTTCAACAACGGGAAATCACATTCATGGATCGGTCGAGAACAGACCTCCGATTAGTCGATGATGGGGAAGAGTCGAAGGGGGAAGCAGTTCGCCGGAATAGACCCGATATACATCACGTGATATGGGGTTCGGGTTGATTATACTAACCGGTCATCACATATCCCGAGGTAAGGTTATAGAGAGTCTATATCGTTGATTATATATCACAAACTCAGTGGGTTTATTGATTTTTAAGAGGCTAGAGTACGCTAGAGTACACTTACCCACGATATGGCAAGTTCTCAGCAGCGATCGCCTTCCTTTGTTGGGGCGGACTTCGGAATGCACCCGGACTTCTCTCGAACTATGTGGGGGCCTTTCCCCTCTGGGTGTGTTGGGGAGAGCTAGAGAAGATGAACCTATCTCATATATATTGAGACCAAATTAAGAAACAGTATCATAAGGGAGAAGATCATCATATGTACTTTGGCTGGACTATGCTCCAAATTTCACTTCCAGTCTATACTAAATCTCTACGAGGAGGCAAATTTTGGACTAGACCAAGAAAGGAAACGGAGTTGGTTAAATTCATAAGGAGCATATATGCCTACATGAATGGTCCCAAACGCAGAAGAACCTTTAAGAAGTCATGCCACCAGGTCTAGAGCCAAGACCCCAGAGATAATTATCTTACCACCCCACAAACATGGCATGGGGAAATGTAACCGCAGATCTCGGAAAACACCCGGGTAAAGAGCGACGATCCGGGTCTAAGCCGGCATTGACGTATAGTGGCAGCCTGCCATCTCGCAAGCCTCCCAAGCCGCTATATTCATGTGAAATTAGATCTGCAATTTCAAAAAGAAGTACCCCCTGCGCTTAAACTCCGGAATATCCGCTGTACTTTAACATATCTTGAACGTCGTCTCTGAAAGTTAAGATACTGATGTTGAGATATTGGAGCACACGCCACAACGCATTCGCACGACCAAGCAAGCACAGTGACGAATGAAAAAGAGCCCACATTCCACGATAAAACTCATTCTATTCGCAAGCGGTAAACGCCACCTTTCAGATCAGTTCCATCATCGACTAAACCCAATAAATCATCAATGCAAACCGAACGCCAACCTCAAACCCATGTCCACGACCTCTATGGGTGTTGTCCTGGACAGGGCCCCCAACAATACAAATCGACACACCAACGCATACCCCTAGATCGAGGTCTACAATGGGGATCTGACCCGAACTTCTGCTATCACGGCTTCTCCTGCCCGATCGGAAGCTGGACAGAAGAACGACTCCTTCGGAACGCGATGCGCAACATGGCCTACATGGCCAGCAGCGTCAAAGCAGAATTCAACCTCGACTTCAACATCTCCGACTATATCAACGACCATAGGTCTGAAGCGGCTGACGTGGTCAGGTTGAATGGATTCGATCTTTTGCCCACGGAACAATCGAATGGCAAGCGCAGTCCGACGCCACCGTCAACAGCCTCACCGTCAAGTACATCGAGTCCCGAGCGACAAGAGAAAGATTTGCAGCCGCCCAATAAGAAGCGGAAGTGTGTACAGAAACCTGGGCAAAAGTTGTGTCATTGTCGCTCAGAGAAGAAGAGGAGGGAGGCTGTAAGCCAGGGATATCGTGATCTGTCAGAGGTGGTGCCTGGGCTGGAGGGTCAAAATTTTACGAGGAAGTATGTTCTGAATGCGACAGCGCATTATTTGGAGCAGTTGATGGATGGAAATGAGGCATTGAAGCGGCAACTGGAACAAATGAAGGACCAGGAGGATAAGGAAATACAAAAACTCTTGATGGGGTCCGAGTCAAAGGTATGAGTTTGTGCACGAGTGTTCAAAGATTACGTGTTAAGATATGGTGTTAAAAAGGTTGTTTTAATGGAGACTTGAGAAGGCTGCGTTAGGAAAAGGTCACAGGACCAAGGTATTTTTGTTGAAGCAGATTGTAAAATATTAGACTTCTACTACAAACAACTCAATATAAATTCAAAAATATGTAAAGAATGTCAAAACTGTATAAACTAATCAGTAAAATCGGTTGAGCGATCATGAAGTTCGGTAAAAATCAGCCATACTCCAGTGCATGTTGAAGTACACAGTAATCTATTGCCCAGCCCACTCTCGACATTGTGCAGTTCTCACTGGGCGTCGGTGGCAGGCTCACTCTCGTCGTGCTTCTGGCAGTAGTCGCTTGCGTGCTTCATAAACGATAGAAGCCGTTGACGACGGTAGTAGATGTTTGTCAAATCGACACGGGCACCGGCCTCTGCATCATTCTGACCAGTGATCAAGATCAACATGAAGAAAGTTTCAATGATACTGGGAGGCACGTTCGAGATCAACTGGCCGGTCAGACTCCAGCGCATGGCACTAGAGGCAACGAGGCAGCCGATAGTCACTACGAAGCCAGCGACGACCATGAGAAGGTGGGAGCTGACAGCATCCATCTTTCGGGACACCCGACGGCTAAGAGACGGAGCCTTGGGATCCTTCACGGCAGGAATGGGCACAGACAGTCCAGCAAATAAGGTCGTGTCGAATGCCTCTACATGTCGTACCTGACACTTGGTATTCTGGTGCACCTTGTTCTGGACGTTGCGTAGAACAAAGCTGTCGAATAGGCCAACCAGCCCTGCATAGGTGCCGATGAGAAGCCACCAGGTATTGTTGAAGTGGAAGACTGGGCCAACGGCGGCCCAGGTGCAGATCACCGCTACAAGGACCAAAATTCCCACGAGTGTGCCGACGATATCGGCGTAGTAGTAGATCACCTTCTGAAGGTAGTTCTCTTTGGCTGGAATGTCAACCTCAACAGGATTTGGCACGTCGTCTTCGCTGAGAAGGCGGAGTTCACTTTCGAGAGTCGAGTCGAGTCGAAAGATCGCATCTAAACAAGTATTGGTATAATCGGCATAACACTCTCGCAGGCACGCGAGGAAAGCAAAAACCAGAACCATGAGAGCAGACGTCGCGTCGTTGATGTATAACTGCCAACGGTCCGACCAGTCGCACTTTGGACCAAAACCAAGCCAAATGAAGATGCACACCCAGTACATACCCACGGTGATGATGTGGCCAAATTTCTTCGCGGAGAAGATGATGCATCGGGCGAACAGGCTTTGGGTGCGTAAACCATGGTCCAGGGGCTCGAGTGGTTCATCCTGACACTTCTCCGAGATTTGTCGGATCCCCTCTGACCCCAGCTTATTCTTGACTTTGAGAAGCATGCGATGATGGCTGTTGCAACGCGACATAATCTCAACCATAGCCTCGCGCTGCTCGGTGTATTCACGAAGAAGCTGTCGCATCAGAAGGGAATCGAAGACATAACACAGGATAGCCTGGACGTCGGAGATGGCAGCTACCCAGACATCTGAATCACCGAAACGAATACCCATCAGAGCCCAGGTCAAAAGACCACTCACAATAACCAGAAAGACAGGAGCAGAACCAGCGAATTTCACAAATTTATCAAGCCAGCGGTCCACCAGGCGAGAGCTTCCCTTGATCCTGTATCCGGAGACATTTTCAGCGACCACAGCGGTATTGATATCGTTTTTCGCATTTTGTAATTTTGCAACCTGCTGGGTTTCTGCAGCTCCCTTCACCTCACACAAGAAAACTGGCTTGAAGCTCTTCATTGTGGCTCGCCAAAATTTGCCAGTAGGATGTTGGATCCAATGCGCAGCAGCGGCGTAGCTTCAAGCCTTATTGACACTCGTGTGTTATTAAGGTGGTCGAGTCTCGTCTGCAGATACACGAGAGGGTCTCAGGGCAGCCAGGATGCCAGGGAAAGAGAAGATAACAGAGAAAGGAGTGTTCATCGAGGAGGGGTCAGCCATTCAGAGTCAATAGTAGACACGGTCTGTCGTGAGAGTGTCGAAAACGTTGGAAAGTATTGTTTTGGGCAAGGAAGAAGAGGTAGTATGAGAATTTGTAGTTCTGGAAAGATAAAATTTGCGAAGGAGAGACGGAAAAGTGGGAAAAAACTATGTTGCAAAGAAAGTAGGATATTAAATGCCTCAGTCAGGCTCCGAAGCTTAGCAAGGCAGTGCTTACACGCTAAATTGGCACCATCTGCAAAGGATGCGATGCGCTATTTTCTAACCTCCAATATGCTTTCTATTTGATGCCCCTCCATGACCCACCTCGTGTTGACAGTCAGGACTAAAATTCTACAGTAGTAGTAGTAGTAGTAGTAGTAGTAACTAAAGAGAAAACCATTTGCTGATAGGGGAAAAAAAAATCTTTCCTGGACAAGGTGTCCCAACATGACGGGGCCAGGCAACCACGATTCGATTAAAGTTAAATTGGAGTCAGCCCTATTCTCTAGGAGCTCCAAAGCTTTCTAGGCACGGGTTCTCGGCTTCGACGGCTGCTTCCAGACGCTTGCGAACCATGGATCGTTGTGAACATGAATACTCTAACTATAGAATTCGCGGGCCATATTGATGGTTGGACTTGGGGTTTGTTGACTCAATTCAATTGACTCAAATGGATCCAGACCAACCCATCACATACTAAAGAAACTTCTTAGACATTAGAACGATAAGCATGGAGCTGAGTTGGGCTCATGCATGCTGGTGGCTCATAGCTTCTGTTCGGAAAATAGTTTGGGCCCGTCAACCTTATCGAAAGACCGTACCAGTAGGGAACTGCCAGCATGATTACTTGCTCTAACAGGGGATAACTATCTTTTACTTAGGCCGATATACCCGGCTCACTAATGCAGGTGACTGCATTTTTTCTTTCTGATACCGGCGACCTTGAAATGGAAATATTCGCAACAGAATGGAAAGATACTAGAGATCAGGCTCTTTTACTTTCAAGACTACATAATCCGCGTAAATGAGACCCTTTTAGTCCTAGGAAACCTCCAGATCCTGTGAATTGGTATCTGGCGTATGCAATGCTTTGGTAGAAGGAGATGAACAACATTTCCCCTTCGCTTGCTCTATGTACATGAAACCCAAAGAGCTAGGCTGCCCCTCCCCAGAGAACCAAAAGCAAAAACGAATGCTTAACCCAAATGTGCAATAACCCCCGCCGCGATGGAATCCGTCCATCCATATGTGCACAGCCAACACCATGCCACCTTGCAGAAAACCGAATAAAGAGTAAGGATCCACCCGTCCTAACTGGAACAGTATTCAGAATTAGCTCACAAAAAAATAGTATCTGTAGTCAGGTCTCATGTACCTCCGTAGGCTGCAGTCTTAAATCATGTTCTAGTAGAACTCGGGCGGCTCGCAGATGTCCAGGAGGATGTGAATGATATCGATCTCAGAGGCTGAATCTGGGGATGGGGGGCAATCTAGCGCGCCGGGCTTAGCTGGGATGTTGCGTTCCTTGTGGCATTGCAGGTGAGGAGGGACTGAAGTGGGCTCATCAGTAGAAACGATGTCCGCTGAGGTATCGTCGGCATCGTGCTTCGCTAACTTGAGGTTCTCGTCGTCCTCAGTATTTCCCTCGCCATCACTCGCCTCGTTATCACCCTCATAGCCAGACTCCGAAGCAGCACTGGGGACGTCATTGCTGGTTGATGGAGACTCCATGTTATGGAAGAGTGGGTGATCGATTTCGTTCGCTGGTGAGGCGATGCTCTCGTCCCCGCCACAGCGTGGGGATCCTCGTCCAGGGAGCATGCGTGACACGTATTTCGGAAGACATTTTTGGCCGTTAAAGATGAAGGTCGGTAACGGAAAGTAGGGTTTGTTTGCGAGAATTTGATAGGTATGAAGAGACAGAGGGTGAGGGAGGGACAGGGAGAAAGAGAATCGGGGAGATTGGTTAGGCATAGGAAGTGAGAGAAACAATCCAAATATTTTCTTCTTCTAGTAAGTTTGCTCATGAGGAGTCTAGGATCATCTCTCACTTTCTTATCGCCATTCGGAATTTCATAGAACGACACCCCCTGGAAATCTCCAACTACCACCCGTTCATACCTATGTACCAAAAATTCTCTACCTAGAGAGTCCGTGAATAAGCTGTAGAATAATTCCAGAATCCGTTGCTCCCTGGCCTGAGCAGGTTCATCCTTCTGGACAAAGCATCTGATACAAAATTTCCCTTTCCTTGGCGACAGCGGATGAGGAAGTAGAGTCTTCAGAGTCAATAGTAACACCATGCTTGCCGGCCGTTGAGCTTCTTGCTTCATTGTAAAGGACAAGGGCTCTATAGCGTATAAATAATATCATATCGACTTCACCAAAAGACAAATATCTCTGTGGGGGAACCTGTACAGATATACCTGAAGACTAGATTCAAAAGCAGTGGTAGTTTCCCCTTTCCTCTTCTATCGCGTTGGTTCGTCATTCCAAAGTCATCGCACAGTCACAGTATCGGTGTGTACCAGGGCTAGTACCTTGTTGATCACTGACAGGTTTCCATCCGTCAATTATTTACAAGGAGGTTCTATGACATCTCTCGCCGGGGGGAACCGCGCTTTCCTTGTCATGGACTTCCTGTAGTCCCCCGTATCCTTTGTCCCGAAACCGCTCGGCAATTCATCGCCACATATTCCCGGTCGTGAAGTCACAGCTTCTGGTCTCGTCGGATACTCTGTGTGCAAAGTTGAATTAACAGGGATATGGAGCAGTCAGAACAGGTTGGAGTGAATTGATCCTGGGCGGGTTCTCGGAAAGGTATCATGACAACACAGTGGTAATTAGTCAAAGCAGATTGGGGATGTTTCCTTGAGAGCTTGATCCAGGAGTGTCGGTGGATCATTCGACTGATGGAGAAAGGGATATTTGCCCAAGAGGAACCGCATTGCCCAGAAGGTATGAGCTCTGGAGAATCAAAACCTGAAGCCTCTAGTCAGAGGTAAGTATTCTGTTGTGAACATCTCAGTTTCCAAGCTACACATATGGCGGAGAACAACTGGGGTAATACTCGAGGGTACGGCGGGACTCACGTACGAGAAAATCACCCAGTGGCCGGCACATTGTGCTCAACTTCCTGCTCAGAAATATTGTATTCGGGAGAGCCCATGACTCCGTCATGGGGCATAGCTCAGTTTCCAAGCAGCCAACAGTCTAAGCCGGCGTGGACGGACAGATATAGTAATATCTCGCGCTTTAGCCCATCAACCGGCCTGGAACGCCAATTATCATCCTTGTCCTACCCGTACCAGGGAGCCCAGTACGATGGCAGTACATCCACAAGTAATCCGAGATGTTGCCAGGGCGGACCAGGCGGGATTTTTACCGATTTTGGCAGATTGAGTAACTGGTTTCCCTTTCCTGCGCATCCACTGCTACGGGTGATAGCATCAGTGTTTGGAAACAGATTCGATCTGGATCCTGGCCTGAGTGAGCTATTGTTTCTGGAAAACTATCTTGTCAGGTAGTCAACTCGCAGCTTAGAACAAGTAGAATAGTAAGAGAAATATCTTCTGGAGCTCATCCACTACGAAAATCTGTTTCGGGACACCTTTTGCTATGTTGGCCTTTTCCTTGAATTTGTGCACACCATACGCGAGAGACAACCCGAGCTTCTCCTGAGGTTGACGGGTGGGGGCGGGTTAAGGACGCGCGCGGGTATCTTCCCCGGCTGCACTCGCCTCGTTGTCAGCCTCGTAGCCAGATTTCGAGACAGCACAATTCGCAGCCAGCGTAGTGCAGACAAGAGCCGCTGCAGATCCAGGCCTTTTGTATCAACCTTCCAGTCCTCTGCAATGATGCGCTTGTGGTCAGCATTTATCAATGAATGGAAGTAGAGAACTGAGAAGGAAATTACCATTCAACAGGACGTCGACCACGCGTGATCAAATAAGAGGCTTCTGCGGTGAACCTCCCCCGCAAAACAAGCTCACAGAATAGCAAAGAGGTGCCACCAAACATATTTCTGTATTGGGCGAGTTCCATGACGAATATTGCTGCTCATCTCGGTGTCCCAGATATGCTGGTAGCAGAAGAAAAAGAGGAAACCACACCTAAACCAACCAGAAGTGCACAATTTCTAATTAACGTTCAGGTTCCGGTCCAAGGATGGTTTATAGTGACGATGAATGTTTAAAGGCACAGGTTACAATATCATATTAGCCATTCACGAAGAGAAAAATCGAAAGAAGTCAAAAAACGGAGACGGCATTTCAAAAACCCACCAGGACCCCTTGCACTAGCTCCACCCACGTTGCAACCACAATCGCCTTCCACGGCTTGCTCATCATATCCATGCAGAACTGACTGCGACTTCGCGCTGCACAGAGTGCGGGTCTCGTTGTCAACTCTTCATTCACCGAACCTGACAATGCCGGGGCGTCGGTAGGCACAGGCTTCCTGACGAATGTCTGGCTCCAAGAATTGGAAATAATTCTCCGTCGACCATTTATTGAGTGATACCACGGCACCCGAGTGGTTCTCGCACGAGTTTGAACTAACCATAGTGACATTCTTGATACCATCCTCGATCACGCGGAGACATGGTCATCATCTCTCCATTTCTCCGTTCTTGAAATTAGACATTGCCGGAGAGTCGGTAGACACCGTTATTGCCTGTCGACTGTCTGGCTCCAAGATTCGGAAATCTCTCTCCACTGACCATTTATTGAGTGACACGACCGCTCTCGGTTGGTTCTCGCACGAGTGTGAACCGCCCAAGAAGCATTCTTGAAGCCGTCCTCGAATCATGCGGAGACATGGTGCGCCTGGTTGTGGATTAGCATGTTTCGCAACGGGATTTTCCATAATTCTCATGGGACTTACCCTTTCCTCATGCACAGGCACAGAATGCCCAGTTTCTGCGGCATGAACACGCAGGATAATATCTAGATGTTTGTATTCTCGGGACCGGCCACAGGTTTGCGGGTTGAATGTCCAAATTCAGACTCGAGCGAGACTCCAGGACAAGATATGTTCGTCCAGAGACTGTCGGGGCTTGCAGGAGGAAGTGCATTACGCAGCACCGTGTCGCTGACAATGACAGCAGATGGGGAAACTTAGAGAGTCAGTGTCATTGGAAGTCTGGATAGAGGGGTCATATAAAGGTGGTGTTTTAATTATAGCAGTTGAAGATTGTTAGGGAAGGTCGTTCCAGATGGTGACGGTTCCCCTTTATAAATCCATTCATGGAAAACAACAAACGACGTTCGCTTAGAAAGCATACAGAAAATATCCGGTTTGTATCAATTAAAAAAAGGTATATCAAACACATTATTACAGCAGACCATCTACATCAAACAGCCATCCCATCCAATACATCCATGCCTCCCTCCAAACCCCAACTCCCCATCAAAGAGCAGGCGCATAAGTCGCCAACCCCTTCGCCAACCGCTGAATCTGACCAGCGTAATACGTCTAAACCACCCAAAATTGTCAGTACAACCATTATCCCAACTCAAATCAATCAATATTCAAGAAGAAAAAACTCACACTCTCAGCCCCAGCCCCAATCAAATTCCTGGGCAACCACTTCGCAAACCACGGCACAGGCGCCTTCTCCAACAAAAGCACCGCCTTCTCATCGGGAACCTCCTCATCCAACAAAAGCAACGGAAACTTGGGATCAACAGCCGCCGGCCTAGCAATACCCACCAAATCACAAGCGCCATCGTTAATAGCCGCCTCCGCGCCCGCGCGCGTCCTAAATCCACCCGTCAACATGAGCACGAGCTGCGGATGTCTCTCGCGCACGGTGTGTGCGAATTCGAGGAAGAAGGCCTCGCGGGCGGCGGTGCGCGCGGACTTGGCATTGCCATTAGTGTTGGCGTTGCCATTGGGTGATGATTTGGTGGGATTGGGGTAGCCCATCATTTGCGGATCTTCGTATGTTCCACCGCTGATTTCGAGGAAGTCGATGCCTGCGGAGACGAGGAGGGCGATTTGAGTCATTGTTTCTTCGAAGGTGGCGGAGCTGTGGTCGGCTGAGTTGAGTTTTATGCCGATTGCGAAGGTTGGGGGGACTACTTTGCGGGTTTCGGTTAGGATGTCCAGGACGAATCGGGCGCGTTTTTCGGGGGTGCCGCCGTAGTCGTCGGTGCGGAGGTTTGTCTAGAAGAAAGAGAAGAGAAGAGGTTAGTTTGCTGCTCGTCCTGGTTGACTGCGTGCTGTGGTGAACGGTTGAGGTCCCCGCTTTATATAGCTGGAGCCGCTGGACTGGAAAGGTAAGTCGATATTTACCTTGCTATTAAGGAATTGATCTACGCCTTTATTAGCAAACCATCACATACCCATCGTATCAGATCAATCAAAACTCACCAAGCAAATACCCATGCGCCCCATGCAACTCCACTCCCGAAAACCCCGCATCAGCCATCAACCGCGTCGTATCCACAAACTGTCTAATAACCCTCTCAATATCCCCCCTCGTCATCTCCCGTGGACTACTCCACGTAACAGCCGCAATAACTCTTTCCATAAGTCCATCGCCGATATTAATCGGCACCGCGCTGGGCGCAATCGTCGACGCGAACATGCCCCGTTTCCCGGCGACGCGGAACGATTGGCGACCTGGGTGGCAGATCTGGACGATAGCCGGGGTGCCGTGCTTTTGGCAGGTTGAGGCGTATTTCTTCCAGTTTGTGAGCAGGGTGGTGTCGGTGTTGGTGTCGGCGCCGGTGTATTCGGTGTGCAGGGCTGGGTCGAAGGGGGAGCCCATGTGGTTTACGTCGACTTGGACGTTTCCTGGGGGTTTTTGTTAGATCCATTGGTTCCAATTGTATGGCGTTAAAAGGGGATGGGGTGAGTGGTGAGGTACCGGTTAGTATGCTGCCCCAACCGCCTTGCGACCATTGCTCGTAAGCATCGAGGAGGGTATCGTTGGGTTGGTTGGTTTTGGCCATTAATTCGGCCATCGCGGCCTGTCGTGTCACCGTAAGTAAATATTTGGTAAATACGAAGAGTTAGGGTTGAGATGTATGGTACATACCTTGGACAGCCTATTCGGCAGGACCAAGCCACATGGCAACTTAACGGGGTCTGCCAATGGCGAAGGCATATTGACAATTCAATTGTGTGCTGTACAGATCTCGTTGAAATTGTAACTGAAGCGGATCCAGGCAAGTGACTCTGATTGGAAGATGTAATACGACAATGCTGCAGAATCCAATCCCAAGAGTTTAAATGCTCTGCGACAGGGGTTAGTTCAACGTCAGCATCTAAAAGAGAAAGGTAAAAGAAAACGCGACGCACCCTGGAGATATTTATCAAGACAAAAGCCGACGATCCCTCAAATCTCTCAATTGTAATAATTAACAATCAATCTGCTAAAGTCGAACCGGTACTTCCTGCATACCCAAAGAAGAAAAATCGCCATCCAGATTTAAAATAAGAAACCTCGGCCCTTAGTCATCGTCAATGCGGAGAGATGGAACTCTCCGATCGGGTGGGACGACAGACATAAGGTTTCATTAGGCAAGTTAAGCCTACTTTATGCGAATGAATGTGGAGATGGAAGAATTGATTCTGTTGAATCTATTGGTCCAGTGGATGAATAGTGTGGGAAATGTGCCGAGCTCGGGGATTTGAATTCGGCCGGCTACACGTGAATTTTAGGGATGAGTGATCTTCCCCGGTATGATGTGCGTAATTTTGGGGTTTCCGGATGGATTCCGGTGTTGAGAGGTGCAGAGTGGCAGTAATGTAAAGATAGGAGAAGATTGGGCAATAATGACAATATATTGTGGTGGTGAGTCTATTGCTCTAAAGGTATTTGGGTTGGTACTTCCATACTACACTGGATCTGCCCGGACCGAGGGACGGCATCAGTTACACACATACCCCTCTAAATCTACAAGTTTGAACTACATACAATAAGATAAAAATATTTAAAAATCATACAAGCAACACAATTTATAGTATATCAATTTTTGATTCATTCAGATTAGATGAAAAATGCTATCCGAATCCAAATGCAGGTGGGGGTCACTCAAAAAGCAACGTGACCAAACGACAAAAAAAGGGATGGGTATTCCAAAGAAAACCAAAGTGCAAACAAAACAATGTCCAAAATCCAACCCGAGAAAAGAAAACGCGCTCGAAATGACGAAGAGGGTAACAAGAAGAAGACAAATGTGCAACAAAGGACATGAAAAGACGCAAGGCCAAATCAGACGGTGATCCTAAGCGGGGCCGTGATTAGAAAACAAATAATTTTGGAAGACAAGATTCGAAAAGCCAGACAAGGTGAAGCGAGACTCCTATCCCATCCGCATTCAATGCGGGGAAGGCAAGGGCATGACATGACGGGGCATAGTGAAGAACGAAACGGATTTCTTACAGCTTCGAGCCATTGGGCTTCTCCTCGGTGGGGGAGCCGTTCAGGATGGGCGACAGGTTACCCAGGCTGGACAGCAGGTGGCCGACCTCACGCTCGAGAGAGCGAACCTCGGTGTGAGGGTCATACATGCGGGACTTGATGTAGTTGTCCAGGTCGGAGTCGCTCATCTTACGGAGATTCGTCTCACGGTCGACACCGTCAGCCTGGGCAGCACGCATCACCTTGCGGGTGACGACAATGCTGACCTCACGGATGCGAGTGATGTCGGGGTAGAGCAGGCCACGCTCAATCTCCTCGGCAGTGAGAGCAGCGGAGAGAGCCTCGCCGGAAGCATAGATCATGCTGTCGGTCACACGGACGGCCTTGGACAGAATGCTGCCCAGACCAATACCGGGGAAGACGTACATGTTGTTACCCTGGCCAGGGTAATACGTGCGGGTCTCGCCGGCGGAGTTGGTGAAGGACATGGTGGGGAAGGGAGAGCCGGAGGCGAAGAGGCAACGACCGTCGGTGTTCTTGACGGCGCTCTCATAATCACACTCGGACTTGGAGGAAGGGTTGGACAGGGGGAAGATGATGGGAGCGGTGTTCCAGTCGGCCATCTTGCGGAGGATCTCGGGGGTGAAGACACCACCCAGAGTGGAAAGACCCATCAGGATGGTAGGCTGGACATGGTCGATGACCTCCTCCAGAGTCTTCCACTGCTGGCCCTGGTTGTCCTGGCGAGCAAAGTAGACCTTGTGGTCGGCGAGCTTGTCACCACGGTCAGCAGTGACCAGACCCTTGGTGTCGACAAGGTAGAAACAGTTGCGAGCTTCCTCCTCGGACATGCCCTCACGCATGAAGAACTCGACGATCTGCTTGGCAACACCGACACCGGCCGAACCGGCTCCGAGGAACACGGCGCGGTGGTCCTTGCAGGGCAGACCGGAGCGCTTGACAGCGTTGATCACACCGCCGAGAATCACGGCGCCGGTACCCTGGATGTCGTCATTGAAGCAGGTGTAAGAATCCCGGTACCGCTCGAGTGCGGGGAAGGGATTCTTGAAGTCCTCGAATTGGATGACAATACTAGAATAAGCTCCGTTAGTAAACACGCCCTATCGGGGGGAATCGAGTCGATCATCCGGGGCGAGAGGGGAAACGAGGAGAGTGAGGGGAGCGTGAGGGGAAGGAAGAAACCGGGGAGTGGACCCCGATGATTGGGTCACCCGGGATCTCACGAGGGGGACAGGGGCTAGAAGGCTCTAAAACAAGCATAATCATATGCCAAAACTTCAAAAAAAAGTACCAACTTACCCAGGCCAGCGCTCGGTGAGAGCAGACATCAACTCGTCCAAGAACTCCCGCTCCTCTTCGGCGGAGATCTTGTCGCGACGGCTACCCATGTAAAGCGGGTCTTCCCGGAGAGTCTTGTTGCTGGTACCCAGGTCCAGAGTCAGAGGCAGGGTGGCCTCGGGACGAATACCCGCACAGGCCGTGTAGAGAGCAAGCTTGCCAATGGGGATACCCATGCCGTTAATGCCCAGATCTCCCAGTCCGAGGATGCGGGAGCCATCGGTGATACATGTGATCTCCACATTCGGCTGGGGCCAATTGGCGATCACGGCCGCCAGATTTCCCCGATCTTCCCAGCTGAGGTACATGCCTGAAACAGAAATAGTATGTTAGCCCCGGTTCAACTTCGTCAGTCGACGAAAACTAAGCCCAATGCAAAGTGGGCCTGGCTGCATCCACGAGGGTTTGTAGCTAAAGCTAGGCGTAACCCGGCCGTGCCAAAAGTTTGGGGGGAGGAAAAAGAAAGTTTCGTGACTCACCCTCGGGCTGCTGATAGATCTCAGACCACCGTTGGCAGGCCTCGCCCACGACTGGGGTATAGATCAGGGGAGTAAGTTCCTGCAGGGATGATTCTCATTAGCCGGTTATTCTCGTCTTCTCGTTGGCCGATCTCTCTCCCCCCAATCGCATGTGATTTAGATAGTCGACGTACCCTCAAGTGGTCGGTGATCAGGCGGTAGAAGAGGTGGACATTGTTCTTGCGCAGAGTGCTGAGATATTGGAACTTGTCGATCTCGGTGTTCTTCAGAGCCAGCTGGGCCAGGCATCGTGTCTTTTGGGTCTCGTAGCTCTCGGAGCGGGGAGGAGTCAGGCCGTATGTGCGCAGGTACTTCCGAATATATGAAGGGTTGGCAGTGTCATAGTTGGCGTCTCTGTAGAGAGGAAGAAAGATGGTCAGTCAATTTGCCTTGTCTTGATTGTTGCGTTCTTTGTCTCGTGGGGTTTTCTCAATTGTATTGGTGCTCTTCTTCTTTCCTAGCACCTCGACGGTGGAGATGCAAACGTAGTGCAGATGTGCAATTGACTCCATCGTCAAGGTCAAGGAAAGATGTAGAGAGCCAGACAATGGTCCATCGAGCCGTCGAGGTAGGACTACTTACGAGGGAGTAGTAGAGTGGTTGAGGAAAGGTGTCGCGTGAACGGGACGACTTTGTTGAGGAGAAAACCGAGCCATTGTGTCGATTGTGTCTGGTGAAGAGCGAAGTTGTTTACTCGTCACGGTGACAGCGGAAGAAGAGTGATAGAAAGCAAGTGTAGTATGAGTCGTGAAGGGACGAGGGGGCCGTGTTTTATGTATGGAGACACGAGCTAACAGACGACTCGGGCCCATCATCCCCTGGGTGGTTCTCGCGCACATCATCCCAGCCATTATTTCCGACCAGTTGTAACAGGGCAGAGAATTATCCGGGCATGGCCGTCAAAAGGGACGGTCCAAGGCGAGTAAAAGCGACGGCATGGTGTCGCAAGTCGGGAAGAGCCGGGCAAGTAATGCATGAAGGGGTGGAGGGATGGGGAGGAGCCATGAGGGTCTCATGAAGGGGAAGGATGGAGACTGGGAGACGGATGGGGATGGGTGGAGGACTGAAGTGGAGTCTGTTTTCGGTGATGACAGCGAACCAGTATGCGTGAATGGGTCGGGCATGTCTGGATCCCTCATAAAGCTTCTTTCTTTTTTCGGGAAGCAGATCCAGCAAGGGAGTTTGGAATCGCCGGGGTGGAGCCTGTTGTAAGAAAGGAAGTCATAGGGTTGGACGGCGGGCGCCGAATTTAGTTGAAAATTGGAGTTGCCAAAAAAAAAAGTAATAATTGGAGATTCCCAACAAGGTCTGCGGAGATGATAATTATTCTCGGAGCTGCTCTGTACAGTATAGAACAGCTTCTTTTTTGTGCTCCTTGCAAGGCAATCAATTGAGTAAGAATGATGAGAGAATGGGGAGAAAGTAAAAGTCGATTAGCTGGGAGCCGCGATACACTGTACAGTCCATCCTGCTGGACTCTAGACTACCGGACTCGTGACTGAGCAACACAACACATTCTCTCCTCTCCTCACCTCCTCATCTCCCCGACACAATTCTACACGGTACACCTCGAACTGCCACTTCCGTCGCGCTCGCGTGGCGTCTGGCAATTTTCAATCAAATTCACTGATTTTCTCAGAATCTCCTACATTCCTATTGGCTCAATTGGCCGGGGAGGACCCGCGATGGAGTCTGCCCAGCTACGAGAATCCACACCAGGGAGCTACCAGAGCCGCAGACGGTGCCGAAGTGGAGAGAGGAGCTCGGCGCTGCCAAACAGACTAGACTGTCTCGAGGATGGAGTCATTCTAACCAAACCTCCAAGAAAAGCACAACTAGCAACCAACGAAAGCACATACAGAGCGCGATATTCGGATGGTCTAACGCACTACAGGCTAAACTCCCATGCCCAACCTCCCCCTTCATCTTCCAGAACACACGGAGAAGGTCCCCATGGCCCAGCCACTACGGAGCTGACCCTGGCGGGAAAGCGGCGTGCGGAGCCCGCCGCCCGCTGGACTATGAAGAAGCATGACCACTCTCCTCTCCGTACGGATAGGAAAACCATCGTCGGGCGGAGACGAAGAGGATCACGGAGCACTGTCGTCCTAGGGCTGTTCAGAGCTTGCGATGGACTACGAGGTGTCCTACGTACAACATTGTTCATGAGCACCTGGTGGTTTCGAGATGGCCGCGTTGACAATTGCCGCTCATTTGCCGCGCCGAGCTCTGAATGGCCTCTTCCGCCGAATGCCAGGCCGCATGAAGAAAGCATCGGAGTACTTCCATATAACTACTATGGAACTCCCATGCTGTAGAACAAAAGGAAAGTGTATACGGAGTACGGAGTATGTACATACACAGAGGGCTAATGAATCCAGCCCCTATGTCAGCAACCGCAGATCCAGCACGGCCCTGCGTGATTTTTCGCTGTTAGGCATGATTCAAGATCAATCAAAATCGAGAATCTGCTTGGTGATCAGGCGCCGATGGACTTGAGTCTGGAACTGGACCAGAAAATCACACACCGACCATCCCAACTTCCCCCGCTGGGGCCGATCGGAAGCCCACGCAAGAATCGGAAGCCAGGGATTGTTCAGCGGCTTCTGATTGGCCCCGGGCGCCTTGGTGCTTCGGTGCTCTGGGAGAATCAGAATTCACGCAGGTTACAATCTGCATGGGCTGGACTTGCATTTGTCCCAACGGTTTCAAAAGGCTTAACCTGAGAATTACGCGTGGACTTTGGGTCATACGAAAATGCTTTGCTTCTTTTTTGCTCCTACCTCGCATGGAGACATGAGCGATTTATTCTTGACGTGCTGTTGAAGTATGTATGTCGCTGCAACCTCGTACATACTTGATAGCTCCTTCATGCAGCTCCTTTCTAGAAACAGTAATAATAGAATTGAGAAGCCGTGTCACTTCGATCTCTACATTGGCGCTCCGATGTGTTTCGATCTCACCGTAACAGCGACGAATCCACTGCATAATCGATCCGAGTGTCAAAACATATACTCCTTGTCCGACGGAGTCAATATCGGACAAAGGTATGATTTTTTATGTTTTCACACATGCGTAATTGATTATCATTTAGAAAGTCAAATCATCCAAATAGTCATGATCCCGATCGGCATAATAATTATTGCATATATTTCTCATAATTGATGCTCATAACGAACTTAAAAAAGGGGGTTCGGTTAAACATAATGTCCATCGTCGGCTCCGAGGCTGTGGCTGCCACTGGCTGGCCGTTGGAGTAGTCTGGAGCTGGAAGTCGAGTCCCTACCGTGACTACGGAGTACTTTAGTGACTTTGACTGCTAAAATGACTCAAGTCACTAAACTAAACACGATGTGCTCCATACTTTCTTGAGCTTTCCCCAGATCGCCGATCGTCCTAAGCTCCCCCTTCTAAGAATCCACACCCTCGAGAACAATGTCCAAGGAATCTACTAAAATAACAATGCAATTGATTCTCCTAATCATCCTTCTCATTCTCACAATCTCGAAGGAAACACAAACCCTAGCTAGCAAACACACGTATTTGTGACACAACAAGAACCATGACAGAGTGTCGTCATCGCGCCGGGCCAAAACAGGCTCCAAGGCCCCTCCATTCCTGGAAGCCGCACCTCAGAGCTCCAAGCTCAACATACCCCAACTCCCACTACACCTGCATCCTCTCCATCTCCGTCAATTCATCCATCCATCACATTCAAATTCTAGAAAATCATCTATTCCACACCAATCCACCAACAGGCCCAACTCGGGTCCAAACATCCACCCACCATGCCCTCCGAAACAGAACCCCTCCTCCCACGCTACGACGATGAAACATCCCGTCAGCGCCGCCTTCACCAAAAACTGCACACGTACCAGATGTTCCGTGCCATGGTGGAAGGCTACATGCCCTCCACCGAGCAGACCATCGCCAATCTACGGACCATACTAGCCTCTGATGTACTGAACCTGCGGAATCAGGACATTGGCTCTGTTGGTCGGTTGCTGGTGCGTGATGCCCGGCTGTGGATTACGGTGTTCATCGAATTCCTGCTCGAGAAGAACGAGGGCGATCAGTTGCAGGAGTTGTTGTGGAGATTGGCTAGGTCGAGGGTGGAGGTTGATACTGGGCGGGTCGGTGAGAGTGCTAGGCGCGTGAAGGCGCGTGCGGATGCGAAAGCTGGTGAGTCGATCTTATCTTCTTTCCCTTGCCTGGACTTGTGGCCCTTTGAGGCTTGGGCTTGTTTTCGGTCGGATGTCGGGCTCTCGTGGGTGATAGCTGGAGTGGATCCTCTGCCTAAGTCGAACTATAACCTTAGCGCGCTGTTACTGACTCGGACTTCCTTGATATAGCATATGACAGCTTCCGCACGGTAGGAAGTCTGCTCCTAACGAATGCGGATTTCCGCCTCTTTGTTGATGATGTTGCTACCGTTGGCCGTCAGATCTTTGCCGATACCGCCGCCTCCCTATCCGAAACGTCGAAACAGGTCGCGGAGCAGGTGCAACCATCAGAGGAAGAGACTCGGGCGTTGCAAGGAGCTGGCGCCGATGACGGACGTGAACTATCCGGCGAAGAATTGAAGAAAGAAGTGGCCAATGTTGTTGATATCGCTGGAAAGGGCGTTGCGCGCACGGAGCAAGCAGCCGTGGAGAGCGCAAAAGAACATCTATCGGGTCAAGAACGAGAGACGTTGCTATACCGACTGAAACAGGCTGTCTCAAAACTCCGCGAACGAACCGACTACACTGATTCCGTGTCAACGATTACACAGCTAATTCAGCGCTACGCGGCTATCTATGCCAGCGCTGCGGAAGATACGGCAGCAGTCGCACAGGAAGACATCGAGGCGAACGAGGATCTCAAAAAGGCCGTCGAACACTCTTGGAGTCTACTGCGGCTATTTGGGGATGCTAAGGAATGGGATAAACTCAAGGAGAGGTTTCATAATGTCCTGCGTCATGCTGATAAGGATCCGGAGTTTGAACATCTAATGGGAAATGTCACCGGTTCGCTACAGGACATGCTTACCGACCCGGCGTTCTTCGACTCGGCGCCTGAGAAGCTCGATGAGCTACAGCAGCAGTCGGAAAAAGTGGGCTCTCAGACGGGGATTCGCAAAGATATGGATGAGCTTTTGGCTCAGGCGAAGCGGGCCTTGCGAAGTGTGCCTAAGGACAACGGAGTGTCTAAGCTGGTGAATGCAACCAAAAAACTACACCGGGATGCATACAATGCCTATAAAGATAAAAAGGCGGATCTCCCCGTGGACTTTGCGAATGTCTTTCTTCCCGTGTTTCTGCGCATGATCCAGTACATCCCTATCCCCCGATTGGAAGTATCCGCGCCAGAGATGGACCTACTGCTCGAGAATCTGATCTTGGAGCCGGGCCGAACAGTCAACTTTTCATCCTTCCTGCCATACCGCGTGAATCTGGTTACACGCAATGACATTGACATTGTGAAGAAGCATGCCAAGCGCACAGACACTACGATCAAAACCGCTTTCACGTTAAACATCCAAGGCCTGAATATCAGTGCTCAGGACTTCGGATACTGGCTACGCGCCCACACTGGCCTATTCTTCTCTCTAAAAGACGAAGGAATCGCCAGCTTTTACCTCGACCGCCGAGGCATCGACATCTCCCTCGACGTCGAAGTTGGCCGCGGCCGCCTCGAACAAATTTTCTCTCTGCGCGGCGTTCGAGTCCGCATTCACAAACTCGACTACAAAGTCTCCCAGAGTAGATGGAAGTTCCTTCTGTGGCTGACGAAGCCCTTCCTAAAACACCTAGTCCGACGTGTTCTTGAGAGGAAAATCGCCGAAGAAATCGTCTCAGCTGCGTTCGCGCTGAACCGGGAGCTAGTCTTTGCTCGTGAACGTCTTCGCGCGGCTCGCATCGCGAATCCCCGGGATCTGGCCACGTTCGTGCGTGCTGTGCTTGCGCGGCTTCGGCCCGCTGATACGGATGTCGAGGCGAGGGTTGGTTTGGAACCGCCGAAGAGTGGTGTTTTCAAGGGTGTTTATGCGCCGGGGAGTATTGTTAAGACGTGGCATGAACAGGCTACTGCGGCTCAGGAGGTGATTGAAGATGGGGATGAGACGCATGGTGTGGGATATACGTGGCGGAATGAGATTTTCAATGTTGCGGGGGCGTGAGTTAAGGTGTTGATGTCGGTGACTGTTCAGGTTATGCTATGATTAATGATGGGAGGGATTGCTACTCGGATGTGCTCATGTTATTTTATGTTTATGATCGAGAACCTTGGCGGCGCAATATGGAACACCTTATTTTAATTCAACTTCTTCTTATACAATTTAGACTCTAAATCTCCATCAATTCTCTTTAAGACCAAGCAGAATGTCTAATACGAGGACCTCACTCTCAATAACTAGCCCACATGTATACCTCCCACGTGACCCACCCCTCGGGGCAACATTATTCCCCCGTCGCGATAAGGCCTACCTGGCCCGTTCGACGCGACAGTCCTCAAAAGCCACTAACACCCCGACACTCTCAATTGCTCTCTCCAAAGTCCCCAGGACAACCACAACACCCCCAACCAACCCTCATGTCTACCTCCTAAACACCACACCAAAAAACCATCTCAACCCCAGCGCAGCGCCAAGCTCCCGCGCACAAGCCCCAAGCTTGCTCCATACATACAAACTACCGGAGCGGGACTCCCATCGAGTCGCACCGATTTGCGCCTGCCAGCACCACAAACATTTTTACGTTGTGCATGAGCTGCCCCTGCAGCTTGGTGCTTGAAAGGCATTCTTCATAATGTATATGCAGCGTTTGTTGATTGCGGTGGCGCTGGTACTGTTTTCCGTGCTTGTGTTGGCTGCTGAGGACTATTATAAGGTTCTTGGTTTGGATAAGTCCGCATCGGAGAGGGATATTAAGCGGGCGTATCGGACGCTTAGCAAGAAGTATCATCCGGATAAGAACCCGTGAGTATTTACCCTGGCTGCCTTTGTATTCTGCGGTGGTTTTGTTTAGTTTGGTTTGCTTCACCCGATAAGAGCGCAATCGCTAACATGCGCATGATACAGTGGTGACGATTCGGCGCGCGAGAAATTCGGTGAAATCGCTGATGCCTACGACGTCCTCTCTACTTCCTCCCTCCGCAAGATCTACGACCAGTACGGCCACGATGGCGTCGAGCAGCACCGTAAGGGTGGTGCGGCGGGAGGTCGCTCCAATGACCCCTTCGATCTATTCTCGCGATTCTTCGGCGGTGGTGGACACGCCGGACATGCGCCTGGACACCGACGCGGACCGGATATGGAGGTGAAGGCCTCGCTGCCGTTGCGCGACTTCTACACAGGGCGGGAAATCAACTTCCTGGTTGAGAAGCAGCAAATCTGTGATGATTGCGAGGGTACCGGGTCCAAGGATCGCCAGGTTGTGCACTGTGATCAGTGTGGTGGTCGTGGTATGGTTATTAGGAAGCATATGCTTGCACCGGGCATGTTCCAGCAGGTGCAGATGCAATGTGACCAGTGCGGTGGCCAGGGCAAGAAGATTAAGAATCCTTGTCCCGTGTGTCATGGACAGAGGGTTGTGAAGAAGGCCGTTGAGACGAGTGCGGAAATTGAGAGGGGTATGGATAAGGGGACGAGGCTTGTTTTCGAAAATGAGGCTGATGAGAGTCCCGATTGGGTTGCGGGTGATTTGATTGTTATCCTTGATGAGAAGGAGCCCGAGCTCGGGACGACAGACGAAGAGCGCACGGACGGGACATTCTTCCGTCGAAAGGGCAAGGATCTTTTCTGGAAGGAGACTCTTTCATTGCGGGAGGCTTGGATGGGCGAGTGGTCACGCAACGTCACACATTTGGACGGACATGTTGTTCGACTTGGACGCAAGCGTGGTCAGGTTGTGCAGCCTTTGGCTGTGGAAACAGTCAAGGGCGAGGGTATGCCGCATTACTCTGAGGCGCATCTACATGATCAGCATGACGAGGATGACTCGCCTGGTAATCTGTACGTTGAGTACACGGTTGTGCTGCCTGATGAGATGGAGAGTGGCATGGAGAAGGAGTTCTTTGCGCTGTGGGCGAAATGGCGCAAGAAGATTGGGGTTGATTTGGCCACGGATAGTGGTAGGCCGATTCCTCCGCCGGCGGAGGAGGATGAGAAGGATGAGTTGTGAGAGTGGTGATTATTAGAATCATATTTGCGTCTTGTATATTGCATTGTTGATTATTAGACTTGCTCGATTTTTCTTGAGTCGTGCCTGAAGCATATCACCCATACATTCTACTCGTTGATCCACGTCGTCGCTCACAATGAACAATGGACTATATCACGTACGAATAACCACAAACTAAAGGTTTTTAGTTCAAGTCTACGTTGTACTCGGGGTTTTAGTTGCACCGACTGTCAATGCCGATCCATCCACGTATTTCTACAGTCGATCTCGTCTGTTTTGTGTAGGTTTCGGTTTAGAACAGCTGGTAATCTGATCTGTGATAGGAAATAGCATCTTGACATCAGGAGCATTATTACCCTTCACGGTTGGATCATCTGGGGACCCGGAATACTATGGGCAGCTTATATGCCTAGCTAGTCGACCTCGAGGCCGCTCGCAATTGGGAGATGTTTATTTCGCGAATACGACAGCTAGGGTTTTTTGACCTCTATATGGAAATACCTATATCTCATGTTCACGGCACAGATATCGAGAGAAGAATTCCTCAGGTATCCTACTAAGTGTGGATCAGACTCTAACATTCCTCTAGCCACGCCACCATTATAACTATTGTCCCACAAGAAGGCATTTTCATGCCAAGATGTGAGTGATGCTTTGTCGACTTGGAGAAATAACAGTGAATGAAGCTCTATCCAAATCTCCAGTTGCCACTCGGTTGTCATGTGTCAGTGAGTAATTGCGCCTCGTTCCACTGACCCGCTAATAAATCGCTAGTCGATTGTTTCCTGCTCAACCAGGTTCGATCGTCGCCGCTAAGAAGCGGCCACGAGGTTAGTCAACTATTCACCGGCTTGGCACATTCCCCGAAGTTCCTAAATGCTAATGGAAATACACAACCTGAAGTGTTAATTCGCTGGGCAATCGTTTAACCCCATGCACTCACTCCCTATGATACTACCCTATCAGCATGATGAACATCTATCGCCCAATCACAGCACGTTCTCTTCATCGCGATCCCATTCGTTCATCGATGCTAGTTTCTAATGATGCGTGATGCACCCTAGGCTTTTTAAAGGGAGTCAGTCTTTTACATATTCCCATTTTCTCCCTCCGACCTTACTACACTCGGTCATTTCCGTTTTTTTTTTTGCAATGCTCTTTCCCCGGCTCTTCAGCCTGGCTGCCCTCTCGGCAAGCCTAGCTGCTGCCGTCGAGCTTACCGGCTATGAATATGTCGTTGTCGGATCAGGAGCTGGTGGCGGTCCCCTCGCTGCCAGACTTGCTTTGGCTGGCCACAAGACCCTCTTGATCGAGGCAGGAGATGATCAGGGTCTGAATGCCAACTATAGTGTTCCGGCATACTCTGCCAAAGCTTCAGAGGATGGCGCTATTGCCTGGAACTTCTTCGTCCGGCATTACGCAGATGAAGAACGTCAAGCTCGTGACTTTAAAACGACATACGTGACCCCCGAAGGCGAAGAATACACTGGACTCAATCCTCCTGCGGGCTCAACCATGAAGGGCACTCTTTATCCTCGCACCGGGACTCTTGGTGGCTGCACTGCCCACAACGCTCTCATCACTGTTTACCCACACGAATCGGATTTCGATTATATTGCGACCCTAACGGGCGATGGGTCCTGGTCTCCCGCAAACATGCGCAAGTATTTCCAGCGCATGGAAAATAACAAATATCTTCTTCCTCTAATACCTGGCCATGGGTATGACGGTTGGCTGAGCGACGAAGAGGCGCCTATCAGTATCGTGCTGGAAGACCCCCAGCTATTGAGCATGTTACTCGGTGGCGCTTTTGCATTGGGAAATCATACGAACGCAGTTTTCAATATTGCAACTCTGTTGGCTGCCGATGCGAACAGAGACTCGAAGTCGCGCGACACCAACCCGGGATACTACCAGGTTCCGATTGCTACGGATGGTGGCAAGCGCAATGGTCCACGCGATTTTCTCGTTGCTGTGAGAGATGCAAAGAATTTTGATGGCTCGAAGAAGTATCCGCTGGATATTCGTACCAATTGTCATGTCACGAAAGTGACTTTTGAGAATGATACGTCTACTAGTACCCCACGTGCTACTGGGGTTGAGTTCCTCGACGGGAAATATCTCTACCGTGCTAGCCCGCGCTCTGCTACTGCTGCCAAGGGTGTACCAGGCAGTGCTACTGCCTCGCGCGAGGTCATCATCGCTGGTGGAGTGTATAATTCTCCCCAACTGCTGAAACTGAGTGGCATTGGCCCTGCTGATGAACTCACAAAGCACGGTATCAACGTGATCAAGGACCTTCCAGGCGTAGGAACCAACCTGCAAGATCATTATGAGACTGCCGTTCAGGGCCACGTTCCCAAGAACTTTTCGGCACTGGATGGCTGCACCTTTAACGCAGCACATGACCCCTGCCTGACTCGCTGGAAGAATCCGATTCTTGGTAATCGCGGCATCTATTCCTCGGCTGGATTCGCGAGCACTATGTTCTACAAGAGCTCAGTGACGGCCGACGATAGCTACGATGCATTCGTCTTCGGCGGACCCGTTAATTTCCGCGGCTACTTCCCGAATTATAGCATTAACATCACCGAACGCCATGACTGGTTCTCCTGGGCTGTTCTCAAGGCTCACCCTCGCAACACTGCCGGATCTGTGACTTTGCGCTCTGCCGATCCACTCGATATGCCGGAGATCGTCTTCAACTACTTCGATACCGGCAGTGGCGATTACAAGGCAGATCTGCAGGCCATCACCGAAGCTATCGGTCTCGCCCGTGACGCATTCGACCGCCAGCTCGTGGATGTTACTGAAGTGCTCCCTGGAAAGGACGTCACATCTAATGAGGATATTCACAATTATATCATGGACACTGCTTGGGGCCACCACGCCTCGTGCACTTGCCCTATCGGTGCGGATGATGATCCGATGGCAGTACTTGATTCAAAGTTCCGGGTTCGCGGTGTGAGTGGTCTTCGTGTTGTTGATGCGTCGGTTTATCCTCGCATTCCTGGTACTTTTACTGCTGTCTCTACTTATATGGTGGCTGAGAAGGCGGCGGAGGATATCATCAATGATGCTGGATCTAATTGAGAAGCCTGATGGAGATGTATATAGATAGTCCTTCCTCTTGTAATTAAATCATGTATCATCTTAGCTCTCCACCCGATCAATCCTAGTTTGACTGGAAGACATACTCATCTTTGTGCCAAGCACCTCGCCTTTGTCCCCGACTCCCCACCCCACGCCCTGCGAGTGACAGACTCCACTCGGCCCTCCCGGAAGATTACCTTCTTATAACTTGCATCAAATCATGTTTTTCACTTGTGAAATATCATTTTGCGGAAAACTCGAAGATGCGCCGCTCAACACGATCTTCAACTTACGAGTTGTCCGAGGTCGACACCGCCGTCCCCGAAAGTACTGATGTCGGTGTCAGTCTGGCGTTTCCAGAGGGCGGGCGCGAAGCCTGGACTTGCCTTCTAGGCTCAGCTTTGCTCATGTTCCCCTCATTCGGATTTCAGACAGCTGGTGAGATATTTCTTCAATAAGCTCAATAAGCTTGATGAATAGATCTAACAACCTCACAGTGGGATCGGTTCAGGACTATATCAGCACACATCAGCTAGCGGCATACAGCGTCCGAGATGTTGGCTGGATCACCGCCGTACTAGTCTTTCTGACTCTCTTCCTTGGTGTCCAAGTAGGCCCTCTCTTCGACCGCTATGGACCTCGCATGCTCTTAATCTGTGGCTCTCTTACCAGTGTGACGTCTTACCTGCTTCTGGCAGAATGCACCGAGTACTGGCATTTCATGTTGTGCTTGAGTGTCCTGGGCGGCATCTCTTCCGCAGTCATCACAACAGTCAGCATCGCGGTTCTAAGTCACTGGTTCTACCGACGTCGTGCTCTCGCCTCTGGAATTTGCATGAGCGGATCCTCAGCAGGTGGCGCAATAATCCCTCTCCTATTGCGAACCCTCTTCCAAAGATATGGCTGGACATGGGGCATTCGCATCATCGCCTTCATAGCGCTAGGCTGTTATTCAGCTGGAATATTCTTAGTCAAGGGCCGCTTGCCAGCAGGAACTGTGAGCAAAGCTATGATAGATTTCCGAGCCTTTCGAGAACCAAGGCTCTGTTTCCTCGCCGTGGCTGTTTTCGCATTCGAATTCATTATCTTCGGCTGTGCGGCACTATTACCCACCTACGTCCGCTACACAGGCCTCGACCTCAATGTTCAGTTCTACTCACTCACCGTGCTGAACAGCATGAGTCTGATGGGCAGAGTATTACCAGGTTTTGCGGCGGACCAAGTTGGTCGTTTCAATATCCTGCTCTTCCTGGCATTGATCACTCTTCTTGTCATGTCGGCCGTTTGGATTCCCTTTGGATCCCGTGATGAAGCTACGCTGTATGCGGTAGTGGCGATTTTTGGATTTGGGTCGGGCGGTTGGGTGTCTCTTGCGCCTGTTTGTGCGGGCCAGTTGTGTCGTACGGAGGAGTATGGTCGTTTCTATGGAACGATTTACAGTGTCGCGGCTTTTGGGGTTCTATTGACTGTGCCGATTGGTGGTGAGCTGTTGCAGTCGACGACGCCGCAGACTCTTGTTGGATTCTATTCAGCTGTCTTACTGGTTGGGCTGATCAGTGTTGCACTATCACGGTGGGCGCTGTTGGATTGGAGGTGGAAATGGAAGGTGAAAGTTTAGTTTGAAATGTGAATGAATATGAGGCAAACTTATTTCCTACGTGCGCATCTTCGATGCGCAGCCTCAAATTTCAAGAGCCGTGAAAAGCCAAAGTTTTACCTTATTTTAAGATTGCAATCTCTTCTTGGATTGATTGGGTGGCGCGCCAGAGCGCCATAGCGATGACCTAAAGAATTTTTGGATAAAGTACCGGGTATATCAAGACAAAACCTCAACATGCTTTTTGAAGACACATAGTCCACTGCCTTCAGACAATTTTCCCCCTTACAGCTGCAAGCTGTCAAAATCATCTCTCTTGCCATGATAATTCTGGCCAGCCAATTTGAACTTGCTGTTGGGAACCCATTGCACGAAGTCAACCATGTTCCGGGTAACCAAAGTAGCGGGATCCTGAACAATCTGCGTACCAACGCGGACATGGCCTTGCGCAACGGCTTGAATGGCCTATTTATCAAGTCAGCCGATATCCATGGAAGACCATTCGCCCTGACCCGCACGTTGTACGTGGGCAACGAGTACCAAAGTGCATGAATCGGTCCCGTATAAAGGAAAGGAAAACTCACTTTATCCACAAACTGAATCATTTTCTGTTCCCTCACCATCACAATTGGCAGGCGCCTCCGGCAAATAGCCGAAACTGTGAGATGTTCCACCTGGGACAACGCTCCTCCCTGTTCTCGTGACTTTTGGATAATACCAATGCTGTACAACTTCTCTAGCATAGCCGACTCCAGCTTCCTGCGTGTAGGGTCCTCAGGTTCCAGCTGCGAGAGCTTGTGCGCCATTTTACGCATCGATCCGCAGAGTGCATTGTAGGTATTATATTCGACATCCGTAATTCCGTACTTGCGCTGGATCTCACCAGCACGGTGGCCTTGATCTGACTTGTAGGTGTAAAGGTCGGTCTTCTTGAGGAGCCTGCGATCGAAAATTGTTAGGTCTGGGTTGAGGATAGAGCACGCGGTGCAAATGGAAGATCTTGAAGGGTGCGGACAGAGTCCATTTTGCACACGGTCTTGGTACTCACTTCTTCTCGTGGTGCTTGAGGTGTCGAACCATCTTGGCGGCTCTTTGACAGGTTTCGCTTTGACTGTGACTTGAAGCGAATAACGATAATTGGAGTCGAAATCGAGAGCTGGCGGTCGCGAGGAAAATGATCGCGATAAGAAAAATTCCGTTATCGGGCGGTGAGGTTCTGCCAACCCACGATAAACCAAGGTCACGGGACCTGTAGTTCGACTGAGCCTGATAGTGAAAAGATGCTATCTATTGATTGAATCTGAGTGGAAGTCGCTATGTTTCCTCTAGTCGGTATTAAAGCTTGGATTGACTCTTACAAGCTGGAATTTGAGAGTTCGATGGAAACGAACTGAAGTGGCTTATCTACATACCAGAGGATATATTCTGGAAAATGTTATTGTCCCAAGTTCAACACCAGAGATAAACAACCTTAAACCCGAAGTTTCGATTGGTTTCATTCATTAAAATCGTAAACTAAATTCAAAAACTAGCTATGCTGAAAGATCAATGGAAAATACATTCGAAAATGACGTCGTATCTCATAAGGGGCATCAACATAATGTAATGATGCTAGGATTCGCTGTAAAGTAAAAGCCATAAAGTAAAAGCCAAAAAAAAGCAAAGAAAAGAAAATCCGGCAAGTAATCACTGGTATCCCCAATGCAAATCATAATTCGTAAACGCTAAGTTGAACGATCACCCAGAAGGCGAGTTGTCTTCGTAATCTTCTCACTGAGAGAGCGGATATTCTGGGCACCCATGATATCCAAAAGAGAGACATCAGCTTTCAGCTCCTTGACAATCCAAGAGCGGAACTCCATTGCGACTAGTGAGTCGATGGCCCCGAATCCGAATCTCTGAAGGTCAAGGTCTGACATCGGTATTGAAAGAAGGGAGGAGAGTCTCTCGACAATTCCATTAGATACCATGGAAACTGCGTCGTCGACCGAGGACACTGAGCTTAGAAGAACTGCAGTGCTGATTGTTTTTTGGTCAACCGATTCTGCAGCTTTTGCAGTGAAAATGGTGCGTTGGTGGGTGAAGAGAGAGTAGTTGAGGTATGTTGGTGGCGGAATGCCATTTTGTTGACATAATTCCGCCGTTGGGAGGCCCAGCACCAGCTGTGACTGGGGTGTAGATGGGTGATGGCTGATCTTCTGATATCTTGGATCAATGAGGAATTCAATGGCACCGTGAACTTCATCTTCCTGGAGTAGCTCGAACAACGTAGCTGTTTGAGTACGCATTGATTCTTTGTTCTCTGCCACCCAGCCGACATTCGATACGCTGCCCAAGTCGAGGCTGTATGTGTTCATTCCTTGTGCAGTACGGTATGCAGCGAGGGCATCTTGGAAAGTGTTTCCTGCGGCATAATTGGCCTGGCCACGATTACCGAAGATACCTGCGACCGAAGAAAGCATGACGAAAAAGTCCATGTTGGTCGGTAGGAGCTCATGCAAGTTCCAGGAGCCTTGGACCTTGGGTGTGATCGCAGTCTGCCAATCACTCACGGACATACTCGCGAAAGCGCCATCCTGCAAAAGAAATTAGTACACAGAGAATCAGGCCGATAAAATGTTGACTTACCCGCAAAGTCATAGAGCACTGGATACACCCTTTGATAGGAGGGAGAGAGGCTGCACAATCCTCGACGACAGACTTGACGTGATCGACATTGGCAACGTCGCATATAAAAATGCGGGCCTTGCAACCAGCGCCTTTCAAATCGTCCAGCATTTCCGTTACAGGTGGGGATACACGACCTGAACGGGAAAGGAAAACGACGCTCTTCGCGCCACGGGCTGCCATCCATCGGGCCAGACTGCGGCCTAAACCACCCAGTCCACCCGCAAGAACATAAGAAGCCTCGCTGTCAAATTGGTATGGCGATGGTGCATCAGGGATCACGGGGATGGGATCAGAAGGATCGTATTTGAACACGACCTTTCCAACTCTTCCCTTGCTGCTGTCCAGGGCCTGATCGTGTTCACCGATTTTGGTGAAATCCTTGACAATCAAGGGTTGAGTCTCATTAATCCCACCTTCATTGTACAAATCCATGGCCTTCTCCAGCAGATCTCCGATCAAATTCGGCCGGTGCTGAGCCAAGGAAGAAATATCAAGGTTGGTGATGGTCACGTTGGACCGCACCGAAGAAAGGTCGAGCATGGTTTTATTGAGCTTCCCATTTTTGCCGACATGAAGGAAGCTCCCAAAAGGAGCCACACAAGCCAAGGACTCTTGTAGACTCTCACCAGCCAAAGTATCGAAAACGACATCAGCTCCTGCGCCATGTGTGTATCTCATGACACCGCGAGTAAAGCTGTCAATCTGTTGGGAGAAGACTTGGTCCTCAGGTACTCCATACTGAGAGGTGAGGAAGTGTCGATCTTCCACTGTCGACACAGTTGTGAATATCATTGCGCCGATTGTCATGGCATACTGGATGGCAGCCTGACCAAGAGGACTTGCTCCGTCATGAATCAAGACAGTCTGGGATTGGGATAATCTTGCCACATTTACTAGTCCGTAGAGGGCAGTGACAAAGACAGAGGGGAAGCTAGCAGCAACATCAAACGACATTCCTGTGGGGATCTTGGCGGCCAGTCTTTGATCAAGTCGCGCGACAGTCCTGAAGCAACTCTTGCGTTTGTCGCCGGTGAGAAAGACGACGTGATCACCTGGAGCGAGGTCTTCCACCCCTGATCCAACGCGTTTTACCACGCCAGCAGCTTCGTTTGAGGGATTGAGACTGTTGCTATCCGGATTGAGACCCACGGCACGAACTTCAACCTCGATTTCCGTGCTCTGAATAGGACCTTCACAGGATGTATCTGTTGACCAATAAGGGTTCTGTGTGCCAAGGCTTGAGAGGTTCAAATCCATGGGACGATCGATCTCTCCAAGGCGCTTTAGTTCCGGTCTTGAACTTGACGCCTGCGCAGCGAGGAAATCATCTGGTTCTTGCCACTCGCGCAAGCGACCAACTTCGAGAGTTCCATCTCGCAGGCGGTACTCGGCATGACGGTCGGCTGCCACAGTTGCCGAAAATTGATATTCGACGATCCTTTCGATCCATAAGGCCAGGTCTCTTCCGCTAGTTACTGAGGAATCGAGGTCCAATGTCACTATATTCGAGCCATCTGCATCGCGTTCCCATCGGACTGTCCGAAGCAGACCCATGCTCATACTGGTCAAGGGTTGGGCGGAAGGGTTTGGAGTCACCCAGAGGATATTTAGACATTCCATGAGCATTGACCTCAATGCAACGAAGTCCTCTTCCTTGACGTCTGAAAGATACGGGATTTCCAAATCAATCAACGAGATGTAAAGCGAGTTGGATCCAGTGACGCGGTTGAGTCCTGACGGCTCTATCACAGACACATTCCGGCATTCTCCATTTTGCCGGAGAACATCTTGAAGGTTTGTGACTGCATCCGCGCTTGTTGATGACCCCGTCGTAAGGATAAAGATGTCTTGGGAAGGCACATTTGGCGGAGTAACGGCAGTCGAGACAAGGATGCTTTGCCACGTCAAATCCTCTTCAGTAGAACTGGGGTATTCGATATCAACACCCGAAAACCCAGCGCCGGCGAGAAGCTTGTTCCATTCACAGGATGGAATGTATGGACACCATTGTCGCGTGGGCTCATTGCCAAGCCACCACCCAGGAAGCTGGCCAAAGACAAGCGGGTACCATAGGAAATCCTGTCGAATCCCCTCTTGCATGATCAATTGACCACCAGGTCGAAGAAGAGATCTGAGATTGCACAGGGCATTTTGCAAATCCGCAGTGGCGTGGATAACGTTCCCCGCGAAGATCAAGTCGTAAGTGCCAGACTGAAAACCTTGTTCGACGGGATTTCTACCAATATCCATTGTCTTGAGATCCATGATGCTGTTCCATGGTTGGAATCTTCTTTTGGCTTTATCGAAGAAGCCGGATGAGATATCGGTGAACGTGTAGCTTGCAATGCTTCCTTTGGCGGGGTCCGATTCGGGTGAAAGTACAGCGAGAATTTCTGCTGTGAAGCTGCCGGTTCCACCTCCAACTTCCAGAATATTCATACTAGAGTATTTGTGACGAAGGAGAGTGAGGTGGTTCTGCAGATACCTGGGCAAGTTGTACAGCTGAAGACCCTCCTTGTACACATCCTCCATGATATTGTCTTGTCCGAACATGAGATGGAGAGGGTTAATCTCGTTTCGCATGACACCGACAATGTTGCGGCCCATTCGGATGGTGATGGCCCCTTCGGCGCTGTGTCCTTCAACCTCCCTATAGAGGGATTCTTTCAGTGACTTGTCGTGGGCTAACTCGCGGAACTTGGAGTGGGGCAGGTGGATGATGGCGTCGTTCTGCAGCTTCTCTCGCATGTGCTTCATCCAGTCGTGAAATCTGCGTAGATGTAGATCAAGTGTGGTGATATCGAGGTCCTTGAGCTCATGCAGTGCATCCATGACATGAAGCATTGTTGCAAGTTGAAGCCGCTGAATCCACAATCGATCCTCGCTATTACCGGCTTTCTCAAGTGGAACCAGATCACAGGCAGACTTGGAATTGAGAAAATGGACATCGGGCTTCCAGTCAACCAGAGTGCATAGTTGACGCTTGGGAGTGTCTTCGGATCGCGAGTCCAAAGGAGTGAGTTCAATGTCATTCATCGCGATGCGGTGCCCTTTGGTGTCGGCATCGAATACCTGTATGCGGCCTTGGAACTTGCCAGCCCCTGAGAGGCAGACAGATGCATGCCCCATGAATTCATGCTTCGGCGACGAGTCAATGTCGGCTGAAACCCACATATTGCGAATGAATGTTGGGAGCCGGATCGAGTCAAGGGAGTTTTTCCCATTGAAATCAATCACTGCCGCGATCATCATGTGGATCATACTGTCCATGGTGGCGGGATGGATCAAATGAGAATGCATGTACTGCTTTGGCATTGACTTGGCAATATCAGGAGTAGACACAGTGCCTGTCATAGTACCCGACCCCGAGCCGCTAACACGCACATCACCAAGGTTCTGGAAGAGAGGTCCGAAGTCGAGGCCCTCTCTCTGGAGATTCTTGTAGATCATCGGGAAATTCATAGATCGGGTACAGTCATCCTCGGCCTGTCTGAATGCTTCCAACTGGGCTTGCACTTCTGCCTTCGCTTCGCGACCATTGTCAATCGGATCTGCAATCTTGGCAGATTCAACAGCGATATCACCAGAGCAGTGCTCAGTCCATGTATCGCTCGACTCATTGTAGGAGCTGATATGGAAGCGACGCCAAGATCTGGTTTCAGATGATGGCTCTGTCGGTGTCATCGATAGACTGATTTCAATACCTTGTTTCGTATCCGGAATAATCAAGGCTCTGTGAATGGAAATATGGCGTAGTTGAAAGCCGTTGAGCTTTGCATCACCGGCCAACTGCCGACAGGCCTCGATTGCCATGACTAGAAAACCGACACCTGGATAGACATAATTTCCCGTGACCTTAATAATATTAGTAAGTGGATTGAGCAAAAAGGAATGAAAGCCTTACCATGTGATCCCGTAGCCATGGGTTCTCTTCTAACCGAACGAAATGTCTCCATCTTGGGAAATTGGGATCCCAATCCGTGACTGGAGCACCGAAAAGATCATGACGAGGATACTTCCTGTTCCGCAAGTTTCTGCTCAATCTACTCTCGTAGAGAACCTTCTCTGTGTGCTTGAAGCTATATGGAGGCAAGTCAACCAGAACCTGGGGCTGTCTCCTTCTTTGAGACCGAGAGGCGAGATTGATCTTGTGCAAGTCCAGCGGATAGCCATTGACTGCCAGAGACCCAACAGCGTTGAGTAGAACATTCAGCGTATGATCATTTCGCTTCAGTAGACTCAGATATTTCACATTTGACTGGTCCTTGCTCAAACCCAGTGTCTCTTTGATGGCGCTTTGTAGTGTCGAATGAGGTCCGACCTCAAGGATGTGAAGATTGCCATCACTGGATCCATCTATCATTGCCCGCGAATGCAATTTGCTCAGGCCAGTGGTAAATTTGACAGGCGAAACCATGTTATTCACCCAGTACTGACCATCAAGATGCTCTTGCTGGACCTCTTCACCAGTCACAGTGGAGAACATATGCACCAAATGTGGCGTGGCTAACCGACTTCCAGTGTTGAGTGAACCCATAAGGTAGAGATACTCTGGGGCAATCGCTTCCATGTGAGCAGAGTGGTATGCATTTTGAACATTGAGTTTCCGCGCAAATACCCCATCAGCATCCAAGAGCTCTTTTAGTGCGTCAACCAGGGCCTCGTCACCAGAGACTGTGTTGTTCTTCGGACTGTTGTGACAAGCAATGATGAGTTCCCCTTTCAAATTCTTGCGAACTGCATCAAGATATGCTTCAAGGCGGGATCCACTCAGACCAACAGCCATCATTGCGCCGTTGGCGGCAAATTGCTTGGATGAGACATAACCACGGAAGTATGAAACCTTCCAAGCGGCCTCACGCGATAGCTTACCCGCACAGTAGGCAGCTGCAATTTCTCCAGAGGAGTGACCAGTCACGTATTTTGGAAATATCCTCCAGCTTGCCAGGAGATCAACCAATGCTACCTGCAATGCTGTACAGACTGGTTGGGAGATTTCAGGAAGGTTGATCCGTGTCGACTTTTCTTCGGCAAAGAGCTCCTCTATAATATTCGTTAGCTTTGATCGACCTGTAGCTTGAACATATGTGCCTTACCAATCAAGAACCAGGGGCTTCCAAGCCTGTGGATATGCTCCGAGGCTTCTTCCAATGACTCTTTGAATACTGGATAAGCCATCAACGCCCGACCCATCGCTTGGTATTGTGCACCCTGCCCGGTAAAAACGAAGCAGATTTCCGGTGCCGTGACCGTCCTTGTCACGCTTGAGAAGTCAGAATCCGCCAGTGTCCATGCAAGCTGTTTAACCGTGGATGCTGTTACAAAAACCTTCCATGGGAAGAGCGATCGGTGGCGAGAAAGGGTTAGAGACAGGTCATCAAGCAGTTGGTCAGTTGGTTGTGGACGTTTTAGTTTCTTGTTCAAGTAACTGGCATATGCAGAGGCGTTCCGTCTCACACCATCTTCGTCAAAGGCAGACATCAAGAAAAGACGAGGAACCTCAATCAGACTACTGAAGTCTGGGGGTCCAAAGCCAGGCGAGGTACAGAAAGCTTCGCTAGTGGGCGTGTCCACGAACACAAATTCACTCCCCGAATGGTCGCTTTCGTCTGCAGAATCGGAGTGGCTGTAACTGTCATAAGTCTCATATCCAGACCCTGACGGTCGCCTTGACAGAATCTTTGCAGTGCGCGGGACAGTAGGTGTTGTGTGATGATTTGCCGAGATTCTGCGTTCCTGGAGATAGTGGTAGGCATCATCCAACACACAGTGAGCATTGGTGCCTCCGATACCGAAGGAATTCACGGACGCTCTGCGCAGTCCCTTTGATGGCCATGGGGTTTTCCGAGTTGGAAATTCGATGTTCCAATCTTTGACAGGGATCTTGGGATTAATCTCTCGCAGACCATGATTGGCAGGAATGATTCCCGACTCAAGAACAAGGACAGACTTGATGATGCTGGCTATCCCTGATCCCCCCTCCAAATGTCCAATGGTAGACTTGACTGAACCAACATAAAGAGGACCATTGCGACGGCATTTGAATGCTTTTGACAAAGCTTCTGCCTCTATGGGATCGCCAGTGCTGGTGCCAGTGCCGTGTGCCTCAACAAACCTGGTCTGCTCCATGTCCAGTCCGGCTCTCCAGTAGACTTCTCTGATAAGTCTCTCTTGTGCATCGGCACTTGGTACTGTGATTCCAGGCGTGCGACCATCCTGGTTGACGCCGGTCTCCCGAATGACGGCGCGGATAGTATCGCCATCTCGCACCGCAGCGTGCAATGGCTTCAGGATTACAGTGCCAACACCCTCCCCGCGGGCGTAACCTTCAGCACGAGCATCGAAACTGAAAGAGCGCCCTTGAGCTCCAAGCAGACCGTGATGGGCCATTCCGATTGTCTCGACAGGGTTCTCTAAAACGCTGACACCGCTGACAACGGCCTCGAATAATTGTCAACAATTGACTGTAAAATACAGTCAGTGCAAGGAAAACTTACTGTGTTGGTCTCTCGGGCTCGCAGACTTTGCACCGCGAGGTGCAATGCTACCAGACTACTGGAGCATGCTGTGTCAATGGTCATACTGGATCCTTTGAAGTTGAAGAACCAGCTGACTCTGTTTGAGAGGGTGGCATTCGTTACCCCGGTTGGCTTATACTTAACCGCAGTTTCTGGGTCTGAATTGAGAATCCCGAGGTAGTCATGATTGAAGCCGCTGACAAAAACGGACGTATTGGATCCCAAGGCACTCTCCATGGGAATACCAGCGTTTTCCAGGGCGTGATACACATTCTCCAGGACCAACCGCTGTTGCGGATCCAAGGTCAAAAGTTCATTCTTGGAAACGTTGAAGAACGGCGCGTCGAAGAATGCCGGATCTTCAGAGAGGAAATGCCCTGCTTGGACGTGGAACTATAGATGTGATACATCCGTCAGCCACAGGCTCCACACCCATACTTTCCATCATGCAAATCATCAACCAGAAAGACTAACCGTGCCTCCATGTTCCGGATCTGGGTGATAGAACGCATCAGAATTGAACCGTTCCTTGGGAATGGAAGACCAAGTTGAGCGTGCTTCCAATAGTAATTGCCATAGATCTTCGGTAGTGGCTGCATCCTGTGAGAAATGAGTGGCCAGGCCGACAATAGCAATCGGCTCTAGAGTATCAGCGGGTGCGACCCGATCGCCACTGGCCCGACTGACCAGTGACAAGGGCCGCATCTTGTCTTGTTGTTGTCTGGATCGGTGTATATCAAGAAGGTTTCAATAACGGAATGGTTCCCCGGAACACTGCCCGATGGTGAGAGAAAAGTGAGGTGGAGCTGTCATATTTCTATTCTCGAGAGGCCGGGGTCAAGGTCCAACTTGGCAAGGTCCAAGCTATTCCACCAACAGAGTTTAGAAGCGATGGAGGACTAGAGTGGTGTGGAAGGAACGGGATTTGCATGAACGACGCTATGACCAAGCGCTGGTACAAGCCCGAGGTAGACTTGCGATTCAGTTTGATGCACAGGCTGATGTATTTTTGGGATTTGGGGAGTCGGGGGAGTCGGGAACTATCTGGGCCTGAAGCAGCATGTAGGTACGTTTGTTGTTCACCAACGAACACCGTCCAAGGCTGAACCGTAAGAGGGAAAGATGGTGCAAGTTGAAGCTTCGAAGGTCTCACGTGTTGGCGATCTGATGGGAGTTTCCCTCTTTATTTTTTGTCATGAATTATTTCCCTTCCTTTCTCTCTTCCCTCCCCATCAAACTGTGGATCCCGAGTCGCGCGAGAACCCTCCGCAATCAAAAACCCACTCCAGTTCTCTTCAGTCCTCAATACACTTGGGAAATTCAATTGCAATTATCGCACTTCCTACTCGCACGTTCTACTGCATACATGGGCCCATTCCACCGGGTAGCAAGTTCTGTACTCCTTTTCCGACGGACTGGACCCGTGGGGGTAAAGACGAACGCTGGATGGCACACTGCTGCAAGTCCCAACGCCCGCAGATCAAGTTCAGGTTTCCCGCTTCTAACGGCTGCAGGCTCAGGGCTGTCATTTGTCATTCTCCACTGACGCTAATTGGCCACGAGGGCCCCAGTCCATCAATGGTGGTCGCTTCCCCTTTCCTATCGTCTTCAGTCCGTTCGCGCCAGTTCGCAGGCCTGCGTCGTTCTGCGTTCGACTTCCCAATAATGACATCTTCTGCAGAAGATCGCCTCCGGAGTACTCCGTACAGTAGACACCAGATGTGCTTTTTGACCAGGGAGCTCCTTGAATCTTTGTGGAGAGTAAGCCACTTGGAATTCCAAGAATTCTCCGAGCCGGGACCTTTTTCACCCAACCAAATTGCTCCGTCTACACCATCCTGAAATTGACCCTATCATCTGGCTGGAGTAAAGTCTCGGCTCTCAGCACACAAATAATCACATATCAGAGGGGGGCCTCACCATCATGAGGTGACGACTGTTGTTCCTTATTTTGCCAGTCCAGGCCCACCTTTCCACCTGGTTGATCGTCGCGCATTCTTGCTCAATCTCGGGGGCTTGCTTATCTGGGCAGGAGTGAGGCACCCGACAGCATGGTAACTGGCATGCTTCAAGCGCGCCCCACTCTGAGTGGCTGTTCTGGACGACGGATGAGCCGGGGACTATCCACATTTCGCGTTTTCCACGATCCTGGCAGATGCATGAGGACTGATTGGGATGATCATCTAACATGATGCTCTGGTTAATAGACTCTGACTAGCGTGCTTCGACCGCAAAGCCTTCGTTATGAAAAGTACTGTCTAGACCCCGAACAGACGTTGATTTCCAAGGGCCGGAATACTTTTGACATCGCGCTAAGGTGCATCTTTCAATGCAACTAACCCCGCCACAGAACGTGGGAATCCCACATTGGTCCAACTCACCACATTATGCCGGTACATACCTTTTGCACTTGCATCAAGCGGTGGTCCCCGGTTATGGAAATAGTGCATCCGCCGTTATTGACCAGGTGAGCTTTGGGGAACACGACATGCAAACTATGCTTTCACGCTATGCTTCCGTGGGGTTAGGCCCCGCCATCTACGACATCCTCGGGCTCCTGTCATGCTTGTAGATCTATCTCGGGTCGCTTGGTTGCCTTCAATTGGGATAGCTGATCTCAACTTTCAGACTTTCCGGGTGGAGGATGATTTGGAATACTCCATTTGCCTTGGATTAACGGACGGGCGAACGGGATGGACATCACAACAATTAACGTGTCGCCATTGGTCAAACTTGGTTCACAAAGCGCTGATAGACTTCCCTCGGTCCGTCTAGATTATTAACAGTAAGCGGGGTTGAGGGTTCCAAATCAAACCATGGAAGTTGTTCTCCATCCAACGGGAATTTCGAATCAATTGGTTTCGATGTAGTTTCAGGAAAACTATTCACTACAAGAGCGGTTGGTGAACCATGGGCATGGGACACTTTCCCAAATGTCCCAGACTGGGGTCTGACATGCGCTGCCCTCTAACACAAATACGGGCAACTTCCAGCTATAAACTATGACATCGAGCATGTCGAGCATTCCTCTCCTGATTCTCTTTCCCCTCCAACTCCCTCCTCTTTACACCTCCCTCCTCTTTACACCTCCCTCATTTTCAATCCTCCATAACTGAGACATCACACCGCTGTTCCTCTATATGGAGCCAGGGCCATGACTCGCAACAACCCCTAAATTGTGAGCGGATCGCGGGACGGGTGGAAGCACTTCCGTCGGAGCCGGCGCCCAGGGGCAGGGCACCCAAAAGGCCCAGACCGTTAGCACTTTATTGCATTATTTGTATCCGATTGGACTCGAATTTGATACTATCCATCTTCTACAGTATGTCTTTGTCTGTTAGGCACGGCTACAGCCGCGCGTCCGACCCGTTGCTCTAATGTGGCTCTTTCAGGCCAATTGCATAGACGCGAGTCAGTGGCTGGATACAGCCGACTTCAGCCTCGTGCATCATGTGAAAAGGCATCCGAAGTCGATATTGAAAGAAGCTTGGGGCGCTTAGAGAAAAAGGCATGCCGCATCGACGACAGCCTTGCCACGGTGACCACCGGAGAATGGCAATAGGTGCCATTAACCGAACTCGCGCTCTTTCCTGGATCGTCCTAGCATATCTCGTTCTTTCAGATGATTTCCTGCGATATCCTTAGTTTATCAGGCTATCAGCGCCGTTAGTGGGTCCGGTTGCGTACTACTCATCCTTCATCTCCTGCCCATGGCATCCATCGCCTAGTAGAGACTGATCGGATTGACCCCTCCTCATGCTCCTTTTTGGGTGTGATCATTCTCCTCTATCTCCTTTTAAGGGCTTGCCTACATGTGAGAAGATTGGCTGATAGCAAACCATCGCGGAGTCTGCACGGAGGCAACCTTGTGCCTACTACTCTCAAATTCTCAATCACAATCTGCTATACATTGCCACTAACTATCTTTCTGACTATTCGGTGCTGAGTCTCTCAGCTAGATTGGGATCTTCCTTTTCTTATGTGCTGGTGTTCAGAAGATGGAGGTCGTGTCTCTTTGTTGAGTAATCTCCATGGTCGTCTATTTGGTTAGGGATGCTGAGCAGCGTCAAAATTCCAACATACCTTCGCTTTGTATTAAGATATACTGATGTATAATTAGAATTCTGACGTCTATCTAATCTGATAACAAGAGGATGGGGTGTGTGATGGGTCACATATGTTTTGCTTCCGTGTGCCTGGACACTCAGGCTCAAATATGATTTTGTTCCCCTCGTTCTTTCTTTCCCTGCTCAGTCAACACTCCAAGCGATTTCCATGCGCCGAATCTGTGACGCGATTGCTTCATTATCTGTCAATACCAATGGTGTGCTACCTAACCGGCCGGGTATGATTCGCAACAGCGCTGTGTGGCTTTGCGCCCGATGCATTAACGTCTCAAATAGTCAGAGTGGCTGCCCGGTATCGGAATCCTATCTTGAGAAAGCCCGGTTTTCCGTCTGAGATCGTGTTTATCTGATTGAGATTGTTTGTGAGCTAGACGACAATCGTGGTCTTGACAAACGCATTCGATAAGGTTATTGTGTGCTTTGTCTGCCGATCTCTCGCTCTCTTGTTATCTGGCGCCCGGGTCGCATTGCCGGCAGATTGCGAATCAACACGCCTTGACAAGACGGCGAGGCAAAGGCATATTAATCAATAGTCTTTATCTCCATTATGGCCTTTGAGGATATGAGTATCTGCTCGCAGGATAACAAATGTAGTCTGGAGTACACCGCTATTCCTTGATGCACGATCAGTTTTTGTTTTCTCGCGCATCCTCAGACAATCAAGATTTGTGGAGCTGAATGAACCCTCGAAGACCCAATCACCTCTAAACACAGGACCATAATGAGTGATCACGAAGCCCTGGTATACATGAACCTCTGCATGAGGTGCAGCTGTTGCAGATACATGACCGCATAGCTCCTTCGACACGGGCGCTCGTGCGACCTTCGCTGAGGCGCTCGCAGGGCCAAGGCGAAGCTGCATTGGATAGATCGACAATTGGATACTGAGACCGCTTATGAGCTGCCAAACACACGATCCTTGGGGGAGCTTCAACCAATCAAATCCGGGCATGACACATGTCACTCTGCTGTGTGACCTGCAGTACAGCTGTAGCTCGGTGACTTCGTCAACTCGCAGTCTCCCAAAGAACACCCATGATCGGCGGCTAGCTAGCTTCAGCTGCAGATTCCCCCGCCTCAATCGTAGATGGGAAACGATGTGCAACATAGTATAAATACAAGCCCCTTCCAAAATATTTCTCTTTGCTGGATATTCTGTTCAATCCATTCATAATAACTTGTCACAATGGGTTCAATTAGCCAAAACTCGACAGTATTGCGTTTGCTCGACGCCATTCATGCGCAGGATCCTACCGCGCTATACTGCGTCCATCCAGTCTCATCTGACGTCTCGGATGGATGGACCGATATCAGCATTGCTGACCTGGTGAGCGCGACTAGCCGTTTCGCTTACTGGATCCACACGAAGGTGGCCTTGGCCGATGGGCCCCAGACTCTGGCCTATATGGGTGCGAATGACATTCGATATTGTGCGTTTGTTTTCGCGTGCATGAGGCTACGCCATACAGTATGTTCCACCAATGCAAAACTTATTAGACCTAGTCGAGTTGCTAAAGGGTAGAAGGCTGTCCTTCTCTCATCAAGAAATTCGGAAGAAGCATCCAGCCATGTCCTTAATGCTGTGAATTGTTCTCAATTCATCTACACGCCCGAACGAAGTCGGCAGGTCGACGAGATACAAGTAGCCAACCCGTCGCTGCAATCATGGGTGGCACCAGATTTTTGGGAGCTATTTGACCGTCAATCTCCTGAGCCTATCATCGAAGAGCCGGCAGACGACCCAGAAGACAGGGTAGCGGTCTATATTCATAGTTCTGGGACTACTGGTAAGTAAAATTAGGTCTTGGTGATTGAATGAAGGCTAATAGTAAGGTTTTCCATCTCATCAGGAATGCCCAAGCCAGTGCCAATGACAAATGGCTATTTCATCGCCCTGCAACAAATCTGTGAACTGCCCACCCCGGAAGACCGAGTTGGGAGCATCGTCGCAGTCGCAGGAAGAGGCAAGCGGGTTCTTTCTGTCAGCCCGTTCTTCCACCTCATGGGGATACTCAACATGATGATCCCAATTTTGGCAGCCACACCGTTCGTGTTGACTCACGAAAAACCCTTGACGGTCGATCTTCTCGCCGAAGTCGTCAAGCATGGACAGCCCAAGACTGCTAATCTAGCGCCGTCCATGCTCGAAGAGCTCTCTACATCTGAGCTGGGTATGGAATGTTTGAAGACATTTGACTACCTTACCTTTGGCGGTGCTCCCATGGCTCGCGAGGCTGGTGATCGCATTGCGGAAGTCGTTCATCTTCAGTCTGTGCTTGGATCTAGCGAGTGTGCTATCTTTGGTGCCTTGAAGTACCAGGCGAAAGACGAGTGGCCGTATCTTGAATTCAACCCCTTTGCTGGGTATGAGATGCGTGATGCGGGTGATGGGTACTTCGAGCTTGTAGTTGTGCGTCACGATCAGAAGCCCACTCTTCATGCTGTGTTCCATACCTATCCTGACAAGGATGAATACCAAACTGGGGATCTCTTTACTCCCCACCCTGAGAAGGAAGGCCTCTGGCTCTATGCTGGACGGCGTGACGATGTGATTGTCTTGAGCAACGGTGAGAAGTTCAATCCGATCACTATGGAGGAACTTATTTCTGGTCATCCTCTCGTTGCACGAGCAGTTGTTGTTGGCCAAGGCCGCTTCCAATCGGGTGTTCTGATTGAGCCTGACTGGGAATCATGGAATGGCGAACCAAGCGCCTTGGTCGAGGAGGTTTGGCCATTTGTGAAGAAAGCAAACGCAGCAGCTCCTGGCCACGCCCAGATTATGAAAGATCGTGTCGGGCTTGCCTCTCAATCCAAGCCTTTCCACTTGACGGCTAAAGGCACCATCAAGCGACGAATGATTGTCAATGACTATGCGGATGAGATCGATGCTCTGTATGTCGACGCGGACCAGGTTGATGTCGCGCAGATTCCGAAGAACGCTACCCAGTCGGAAATTTCTACCTATGTCACATCAGCTCTGTGTGGTCTCCTAGAAATTGAAGAGTTCGACAAAGATGCAGACATCTTTGCATCTGGTCTTGACTCGCTTCAAACGCTACGCTTGGGGCAAATTCTGCAAGCCTCATTGAAATCCGCCCGTCCTGACCTGGGTGCAGCATTTAGCAGTCCGCAGTTGTATTCGCTGCCGACAATTGCTCAACTGACCGAGTACATCTACGGTATCCTCCAAGGGCAGGATTCCGCCCCCGCTACCACGGTGGTCGAGACTGACGACGACCGCGAAACAAGGATCGCTGGCCTTGTTGGGAAATATTCCGAGGGTTTTGGCCAGGATCATGCTGTCATCCTCACTGGTTCAACCGGCTCTCTGGGCTCCTACTTACTATCCGAGCTTCTGCGCGATTTCAGCGTCACCAAAATCTACTGTCTCAACCGATCAGAAGACGCCGCTCCAAGACAACTCCAGAGCCTCCGTGAAAAGGGACTCACCATGCTTGACCAATTCCCGCGCCGAGTAGAATTCATCCAGGCTCAATTTGGCGCCGAGAAACTGGGACTGGATGAAGCCAAGTACGAGGAGATGTTGCGGGAGGTTGACACCATTATCCACAACGCCTGGAAAGTGAACTTCAACCACCGAGTGGAAGCCTTTGAGCAGCCGCATATCGAGGGCGTACGCCGTCTGGTCGAGTTTAGCATTGCAAGCGAAAAGACAGCTCATATCCACTTCATCTCATCCATCTCCACTATTGAAGGGTACAACAAGGGACCGTCGATCCCGGAGGAGATATTCGACGAGCCAAGTTCTGTCCTTCGTCAAGGGTACGGCGAGTCGAAGCATGTTTCTGAGAGAATTTGTGCGATGGCATCAGCCAAATGTGGTGTTCCGACGAGCATCCATCGCGTCGGCCAAATCGGAGGCCCAACTACCGATTTGGGGATGTGGAATAAACAGGAATGGGTGCCGTCGCTGGTCGCTGCCTCGAAGACAATCAAACAGATTCCGAACTCACTTGGTTCGGTGTCGGTACAATGGGTTCCAGTGGTACGTATCTCCCGAATCATCCGGCATTCAGGCACAGCTAACAGCGGTTCTCCAGGATGTCTGCGCCAAAGTGATCACCGATATCGTTCGCAGTCGACGCTCCACACAAGAGGATGAACCATGCGCGGCATTCCATATCGTCAACCCCAAGGTTGCTGATTGGAAATCACTTATCCCAGCCGTGACAAAGCATTTCGATGTCGAGCCTGTTGATATCCAGACCTGGATCGCAACGCTGGAGAGTTTCACCAACCCGACTGAAGATGATCTTCGTGACAAGCCTGCTCTGAAGATCTTGGACTTTTTCAAGGCGATTGCTTACTCGGAAGAGGCGGGCCCGTCGACAGAGACAACCAAGACACAGGCGGCTAGTAAAACGTTGCGTCAATTGCAAGCGATTGATGCGCCGTTGATGGAGAGATGGATCAACCAGTGGAACTTCTGAGTCGGTCTGGGGACGGATCTTCTTAGGGCCTTCTAAAATACACAAATTATATAATTGTCCTAGAATAAGAGCGATCAAGATAAGAAATAAAGTACACATGATTCACCGAAAGCAGGTGCAAGATCGCAAGATCGGGGTCGGGGGTAAATTATACATGGTACATGGGCAACAATGAAGAATTGGGGCAGGTGTCGACTTCGAGAAATGACCGAGTACGGCTTCATTAGCCCATTTGCATGACCAACCCTGCCTTAAGGGCCTTGATCCCCTCTCCAGCCAGGGGGTCCTTGCCTTCAAAATTGGCCTTCTTGCGCTCAGGCCCAGACATGGTGGTGATATCGTGACGGTCGCCACCAAGCGTCTGCTCTTTCCCGAGCTTCTTCAGTTCTGCTGAGAAGCCCCACGGGTCGTTCTTCTTAGCAGTGGGCTCAGGCAGCGAGCCCTTACCAGTCGCAGGCACTGGCTCCTCCGGTTCGCTATCTTCTGGCAGATCTCGCAGGACAATCTTGTGCTTCGCGGCATACGCATGGATATACTTGGGTAGGTCATCGAAGCCCTCGAAGTCTTCAGCGAAATCCCCGAGGCCGATGAGCAGTCCCATGATCATTCCAACGTTTCTGATCTCGGAGTCTGGCTTGAGGAGGTCGTTGCGCTCGAGGGTGGCCATCATCGAAAGGAACATTGTTCGGAGAGCATGGAGGAACATTTCCAAGCCTTCGCTGTCATCGATCCTAGAAATCCAGCAAGCATTAGAGGAGAACTGGTAAGGCAGTAGGACGGAGGAATTTAAGTAGGAGAGCCAACTTACATGAACAGCGGGGCAAGGTCAACACGATGGAAGAACAACGTCACGGCCTCGCAGATATACCATTGTTGTTTCCAGTCATTCTTGGCCTCATCGAAGTCAAGGAGCAGATTCCCAATTACCTCCTGCAGCCCGTACCCATAGAAGTCATTGTAGATATGCATGTCAAACAAATCCGGGTCACGCAGGGAACAGAGGATGGAAGTCGTGTGGAACTTCTGGATACCTCCCAGCGTCAAGGTGTAGGGGTGTTCTGGATGGTCTGCGCTTGGCTTCGTGCAGAGACAAGTCTTGCCATTATCGCATGGAGGGCGATCGCCTGTCTTCTTGGGCTCGCCCTCGCCCTCGCCCTCTTCGTCTTCGTCTTCCTCATCCTCATCGTCATCGTCATCCGCGTCGGTAATTGGTCGGCACTGACAAACAAACTCCCAAGCAGACCCGGGGTTGCGCGTCATCATCGTGCGATATTCCGTATCAGCGTTGGCGGAGCCAGAAACACCCTTCGACCAGCGCTTGCTGCGAGGGACCGGGATCACTTCGGGCGCATTGTCGGTGCTGGTACTAGCTTTGGACTTCTTGGAAGCGCTACGGCCTGCGGCGTCGGTAGACTTTCTTTTGGGAGCCATTGTGAAGGTATACCTGCAAGCAATTGAGAGAGAGAGAGAGTGAAAGGTTGCAGGTGTGCAGGCGACAGAATAGGGGGGATGTGAATGATAAATCACGCGAAGGAAACGCGCCCCTAATTATAGCGGGGGTGACGTCACAAAACAACACTCACCGACATAAATGGAAATGTATCAACAATGACATTTGGATACCTGTGATTAACATATGTTTTCAACTTACGGCGTTAAAGATCTGTGAGGGTGAATATTTATGACGGTAGCGAAGGACAGGCAAGCTGACTTGCTGCTCATTCGATTCTTTGTCTGGCCGGTCTGCGTATATATATGTCTCAGAAGGCTAAGGTCTCCAACCAAATATCCGGAACAAAGTGATTGAAACGGACAGGGAGTACCTATCGCTAAAAAAAGACTGTAAAATTCAGTTCTATTCAATAGGGTCAATGTTCATTGAGAGTCCTTCTTAGACTGAATTTAGGCGGACGGCTTGTACACAACGTTTTGTATTCCATTCCAGGGACGAAAGGACCTCTCCGAGTATTGGATGTAGGCTCTGGTATGCTCACTACACTACTGGCAGAAGCTAGTGCCGAGGTCAAAGCCATTCATTCCCGAAGACCATGTTGCTTCTTTGTAGTCCCTTTCCTTGATCAATGCAACAATCAATAGGACACCCCCTCGAACAAAGCATGATTTCGATCATGTTAAAAGTGATAGACGAAGCTATGTGCTGGGTATTGGTAACCTCAATGGGATAGTGATAAGAGTATATCCTGCTCCATATTCAGCAACCCCATCCTGACGGATATCCCCTTAAGAGCTGGTCGTAAATACACCGGGAGGTGGCATCTATTCTGATATAGTTCGATGTCGATCGGCGAGCTGCGTTGGATCCGGCTTCAGACGAAGCTTTTGCTATATTGCCGTGGAAACCTTGGCAAGTTCTGGAACAGTTTGGAGAATTTACATATGGAAATCGATGTCCCTGTTATGGGCACGCCTCGGGGCAGACGGCCCCTGCTTGAAATTTGGATGTTCTTGCAACTTTAGTAACCTTTAGGTTTCTAGTCTGTACTTAAAACTTCACGGATTATGAGCACTGCGAGTTATTAGATCTTGAGTAGGGCAATCTGTCTGGCGGCATACACCAGGCACCATAGTAAGGAACTGACATGATTGGCTGGAATATGGAAAGTTTATTGTATACGGGGAGGATTTTCCCCCTGCCATTCCACGCCCTGATTTCATACAGGGAAACTCAATATTCCGATCGATTGAAAAGAGTCAAATCAATTCTGAACATGGCCTGCATGGTCAATCACCAATGACCAAGGAGCATCGGCTATCAGCGATCGAGTGCCTGCCAAGTCCTCGTGGGAGGCGGAGGGCCAAGACCTGATCGCTTGGCAAAAAAGCCTCCCAAGACCTTCCAAGACTTCCAAGACGCCCGAAGCTTTCCAAACAATCTTCAAGACGCCCGCACGTGCAGATGCTACTCGATGCTCATTTGTTCAATCAAATGTAGTCGTTTACCCGGCTTGACATCCCCTTGTACAATGCCTAGCATGGGTGACACCATCGGAAGTCACTTGGACCCTGCACGTTGCACCGGGGAGAGCCTCTAGCGGCCTTGGAATCGTAACACGCCGGAGATTTGATTGATTGCTTTCTAGACGTTTGCTTGGCAAGAGAGCTATTGCATGAGCCTGCATGAGCCCGATCTTATCTCAGGAAGGAGCCCTGGAGGGAAGGGCTCCTTCCCTGGAGCTTCGCGGACCTCCGACCTGCCCGGCTTCTTTTTAAAAGACATCTCTCACTTCTTTTCTTCTTTCTTCTTCTTCCTTCCCCACCTCTCGTCAACTCCTCCTTTCCAACCTTCGATCAGACCGGCAGTAAAGATGCAGGTTCTATCGTTCCTCGCTACGTTCGCAGTTGTGATCTCCTTCACAGCTGCTCAAACCCATCAGCGTCTGGGTGGCTGCCCTGATCTGGGCTGCGTATTCCCTCCTGACCAGTATGTATCCCGTGTCACCTTAGGGATACTGATTACTTCATGTGCCCCAGCTAACCGAAGCTCCTCTAACCCCACCATAGGGCGGACTTCCTTGCTGGTCAGTTCTTTGACATTCGTCTCGAGGTCCACTCTCCGGTCAACGGTACCGAGGCGCGCGCGGGCGAGCCAGACCCCAACTTCACCTTCACCATTGCCAAGAAGGGTGAAGCTGGTGTCCCGGCTACGAAGTACTTCAAGCAGGATGACCCCAAACTGGAGCGCTGGACTTTCAGCTGGTATGAGGGTAAGGATTCGCCCCTCCCTTGAGTCTGATCAATTATCTAATGTTGATAGATCGCTTCGCTGAGGATGCTCACACCCCCTCCGTCGTCAACGTCACTTCCAAGATCTTCCGTCGTGTGGCCCTCCACGAGCCCGGTGAGTATGAGGCCACTCTTAACTACTACGGCACCCAGAAGACCGTTGCGAACTGGCTCGTCCGGAAGCTGCCTACCAAGCGTCGTGCCAAGAACGTTATCCTCTTCGTCGGTGATGGTATGACTACCAACATGATCACTGCTGCGCGTCTTATTGCCCACAAGAGCGTCAACGGCAAGTACCTGACCAAGATGGCTTTGGACAAGTTCCCCGTGCTGGGTCACCAGATGACCCACTCGATGGACTCGTTCATCACCGACTCGGCCAACTCTGCCACTGCTCTCTACACTGGTCACAAGACGACTGTCAACGCTCTGGGTGTGTACGTCGATTCGTCTAAGAGTCCTTTCGACGACCCCAAGTTCGAGACTATCGCAGAGATCTTCCGTCGCCAGCACCCTAATGCTGGTATTGGTATCATCTCGACTGCTTTCCTGGCTGACGCCACTCCTGCTGCTTTGACTGCTCACACCAGCAAGCGTGGAGAGTACGACCATGTCATCAGCACTTTCTACGAGGGTGTGACCAACTACACTTGGACTGAGTGGAATGGTCCTGACGTTCTCCTCGGCGCCGGTGCGGAGAACTTCTTGAAAAGTGAGGAAGCCAAGCGCGAGTACTACGACTTGTTTGCCAAGAAGAACTACAATATTGCTTGGAACAAGACCGCGCTGCAGAAGGCATCAAACGACGAGAGGCTGCTGGGTGTCTTCACCAAGTCGAACCTGCCAACTTGGCTGGACCGCAACGTTTACCAGGCCAACCTCCTTAACAAGACCAACTACCCGGATGGCTCTGGTCGCGATGCGGATGACCTGCCCGGCCTCAAGGAGATGACTTTGAAGGCCATCGATGTGCTGCACAAGCGCAACAGCAAGGACGGCTGGTTTATCATGTCCGAGGCTGCCAGTATCGACAAGCAGATGCACACCCTGGACTATGACCGTGCCCTTGGTGAGCTGCTGGAGCTTGATGACACCGTCAGTGCTACCATCAACAAGCTCAAGTGCATGGGCGAACTGGAAGACACCCTCATCATCGTTACCGCCGACCACGGCCACGGTTTCGATGTCACCGGCTCCGTTGACACCAAGTACATGGAGGCCCAGCACGATGACCGCAGCAAGCGCAACGCCATCGGCTACTACGAAAACTCCGGTCTGTCCCAGTACACCGTCGGTGGACCTAACTCCCTCCGTTACTCTGAAGGTGTCCACTTCCCCAGCCACTGGGACCCCCGCTACACCCTGCACTCCGGCGTGGTCGCTTTCCCCGACCATCGCGAGAACTACGAGGTGCACAAGGATGGCCCACGCACCCCCGCTGTCTCTTCCAAGGGTGACAAGCTGGGCAACGTTGCCAACTACAAGGATGCCGTCACCGGCTTCCTGGTCAACGGTACCCTTCCCGTGGACGCCTCTCAGGGTGTTCACTCGCTGACTGACGTGCCCGTGTTTGCACGCGGTCCCTGTCAGGAGCTGTTTGGTGGAGTTATCAACTCCATCGATATCTTCTTCAACATGGCTGAGTGCCTGGGCCTGTCGGAGGGCAAGTGATTTCTTTGATTTTTATGAATTTGGGAGAGAGCACTCATGCTTAGCTCTGGGGAGTACGGGCGGCATGAAAATTAGCAAGTTTTGAGTATGAATCTTTCGGTTCATCTAGTGACATCAATTCAAGAAAATTAATACCCCCTCGAACCAGTAAAACGTATTCTTGACCTTATCAATGATCGAATCAGGAACCTACAATTGAATTGAATGTCGATCACGTTTGCTTGGACGGCAAGGCTACAGTCAATCAGCCCGAAAACAGTCCCAAAACGCCCTCGCAGCCCTCAATCCCACAATATATCTCTCAATCTGCCTTCACATTGGCCTGCTGCTTCCTCTGCATCTCCATCCCTGCTATCCCTCTCTGGTATCCACATCCTCCTGCTCCGTTCTCGATTGGTGGCGTTCGCTGTCGACTAGTGTGTTGACATGTTGGATGTAGTCGTCCACGACCTCTCGGTTGGCCGTGGTTTTGGCGTTCCTCCTACCCAGCATTTGGCCTTTGCTCGAGACGTAGTTAACACGCCCCCTCTTCTTTTGCTCTTTTATTACTTCAATCAATTCATCAATTCAATCTTCACTGGTTAGTTCTCCTTGAGGGAAAAATTAATCAGCCGAGTCATACAAATATAATAGTCAGTTTACCGTCAGTTTCAGGGTACTATGGCAGCTTTTGACATTGAGTGTACCTCAGTCTACAATCATGCAATACGGTGTCCACCAACAGACGGGCCGACAGTTACAGCACTGGATCGAGACCCCCGCAACGCCAGGAGATGGATGTCCAGTTCGTCCCTGCGCACTCAAATTTCGAAATCTCGGAGACTGGCAACCCGTAACCTTACCGTGCAAATTCCATCCACGGCTCATACAATCCAGAGACCTCGATCGAATACCCCCCTACACCCAAACAGCAGAAATCCCGCTCAAGTTCCGCGAAGAAGCCGAAAAAGCTGGCACGCGAAAATTCAATGACAACGAGGTCAAAAAAGTCATTGCCGCGAAGCGCGCACCAGGAGCAGACCCGACAATTTGTTATACCAACTGCGTTGAATGCTGCGTACTTCCTGGGGGTATTTTCATCGATAGCATGTTTCGAAACAACATGGGTGGCTTTTTTGTGTCGGAGGTTTTGAAAGCTGTTTATGAGGAGTATTTTGTTCTTGAGAGTTTGAAGACTGTCCTGGTTGTTGATTCGACGGTGGAGACGAAGGAGTTTGTTAAGAATCAGCTTTACCCGATGAAAGGCCTGAGATGGCCGGATGGTGGTGTGCAGCGCTCTTGGGTAAATGGTAAACCTGAGTTCGAGGCTTTGTTGGGTACGAAAGTTGGGAGGGTGGTGGCACGTTTGGTTTTGGGGGCTTTTGAAAGAGGGAGTAAGCGGATTTATAACATTGTTACGTGGGGGAATGCTGGTCGGGTACAAATGCGTTTTGATATTCAGCATGTTCCTAAGAGGGCGAGATAGTTTGGTCTCCTGAATTGGTCAAGGTGTTTCTGGAATCATATGAGGGTCACTTTGGTGCTATTGCCGCATTCAGTAGGGTCCGCCGGTGGTTGGTTATTACCAGGAGATAGTGTGGGTGCACAGTCTTTCGGTTAAATATTATAAATTCTCTGGTCGTCCTTCTTTGTGATAGATTGGAAGTGTCCAACTGGCAAGAAATGCCTGATTCGAGTGACGGATGGCGGTAGAAATTATGTGCACCAGATGCTTGTGAGATACCTTTTATCTTGCGTGTGAACCATCACACAAGGACCCGAGTCTCTACATCGTCTCTACATCACGTCAAATTAGAGTTCGAATCACTGAAGAATCAAAGAAGCGACAGAGTTGGTCGAGTGATTTGAGGCGGCTAGCTTGAGTCTAGCTAAGGATGAAGATTTTCATATATTCGAAGATTTCGCTTCACTGGCGGCAATAATCAAGTATTATCTAAGACAAGCGAATAATACCAATGGTAGCTATAGAATCACACAAAACTGGGCCGCGTCTCCGAGGTCTCGCTGCTATTTCACTTTAACTCCCTGAGGTAACACCGCAGGCATTGGTGCGATCCTACGGTTATTCGCGGAGAGACCATTTGAACTGGAAAACCCTCGCCTAATATTCTTCTTTGATTGCACTCGGGTGATACTTTCGGCCAATATCCAGGGGAAATATAAAGGAGAATGGGCTTGTCAATGGCCAAACTTGTTTAGATGGTCACCTCGAGTAACAAGCGAGGCCGGACATTTGCGAAGAGCTCCTCCGGTAGCGCCGAGGTATGTCAAAACTAACTTATCGGGGTCGTTCCACGGGTGTTACACCAAGGAAGCTTGTGCAACGTATGTTTTGAAGTCACTTTTAAAATGTTTGTGCGTAGTGGAATGGCAGCTGGAACAACGCGGGGTGAGCGTTTAGCTTGGATCCATCCTCAACGTTCCACTACTTTGTGTGCTCCTACGTGGATCTTGATTTTACTAGGAGATAGGATCCGGGGCCATGATTTGCATTTGCGTAATGAGTGATTTGGACCCCTTGGTCCTTAGTTCCACTATCTTCGCTGAACGCACATCTCCAACAACTCTCAGTCGATTTCAAGCCACACTTGCATCAAAAATACCCTCGTCAAATATTAGTTGTCCCAAAACTCAGTACTAACACCGGAGGTGCGAATTATAGGACTGTCAGATACCTAGGCGGTAAAAGTGCAGGCTGACAAGTCCAAGGATGTTAACGCAATAGTGTATGGAGGTCCGGTGCCTGCAACGACGGTATTCAGCAAAATGCACATAATCTAAACAAGGTCAAAGGGGTAAGTACTTAGCGCAAGAGTGTAAGCCACAGTGCAAGAGATAGATTGATCCGGGGCAAGAATGTCTGGTCTTCCGTTGTTCCTTAGAACGTTGATCAGGCCCTTGAGTTGATCACCCTTGAATACCACACGCTCCGTGACGTTTTCCACCGGAACAGCCATGGCTGCAACCGCAAGGGATGCCAGAGACCCGACGATGATTTGGAACTTCATGTTGAAATTAGGCTTTTGGTGCTAGACGTACGTGTAGCGAGATAAATGCGAATCTTAGTCTTGGTTTCTTGACGAATATAGGGTGAAAGGCCTGAAATTTCTCGGCCTTATATAGTCGATTCTGGTAGCTCCTGGACTGTTCGGCATTGCAAGTGTATGCTTTGCGTAACACGGTTCTCATAGCCAAACCGCTCTCGTCGTCACTTGGGTAGTAGTGCCACAGACACAGCATCCATCATTCATACACAAACATATTTGAAGGACAAATTGAGAGTTTTCCGGGGGAACTTCCGAGGATTCCAATAGATTAACCCCGCATCCATCATGAACCACTTCCGGGAATTCCAATAGGCTATGCCTACGTCGCCGTTGCTTGTACCATATGACATGTTGAATAAACCAATAAACCAACGCTGCTAAAGGTAATCATGTACATTTTCTTGCTAATTTTCTACTATTTTGAGTCTTCTTGAAGGTGGAATTTGACTAACAAGGGGGCCCAGACTTACGATCTTCACATGTCTATGCTTCCTGAAAGTCTTGATTCCACAATATAACATTGAAATTGAGTAAAATATTCATGTATTGGGTCACATTCTGCAGGTATTCTTGAAAATAAACTTCAATTTTGCACCACATTTAGACAAAGTCAGTAACCCCCGAATTTCCCTTATCAAGGACATGTAAAGTTCAGTGCACTGGGTCCTAGCACGCAGTGTTGATTACCTATGTCTAATACATCAATTCAGAAGATATCATTTTATTCAAATTGGATTCGACTCACTGCAAAATGCGCCGACGTTAAAGCTTGTAAGCCTGCATCGGATGACCACTGTTTCACTCCAATTGCTTTGCGGGGAAGGAAAATATCGCAAAGTCGAGTTACTGTTGGAGACGAAGACAAAGCTTTCTTCATTGGGTAAGCTGGAAGCAGGTGAAGCTACAGCAGTGCGTGACAAAGTCATTCCAATGACTAAAGATTTAAGTATGTGTCCGGTTGTCATAATTGACGGCGTTGCTTCCTGGTTAACGATTTGGAGATAAGAGAGCCGGCCAGGCGGGGTTGGTGCATGTTAAATTGATTATGTAGGATGATGACTAGAACATTTATATAGACGTATAACATTGACGTAATCTTCATGTCCATTAGAGTTCGTCTCCGTGTTATAGGGGTGTACAATGTGTCAAAACTCGGGTTCGTCTGATATTCCCATCTATGTACGTCGGTACACTAAATGGTACGGCAAGCACGAAGTTTGTCACTAAGTCTTCATCCTTATAGAGCAGACGGAAATAGACATCCTTGACCGTACCTGCATATCGGCACCACAGGCCAGTGTAATCCAAAATGTGAGCCATCCGCCTCGGAGGCCAAAGTATGGGTTTTTGGACTTGGACATTTTAAGCGCAAGGTTGGACTGATTCATACCATGGGCATGCATCTCGTGGACAACAACTTCCACTTATATTCTTAACATCCATTTTATGGAGAATATGAGGAGGGAGTCTGGGGTTCCGGGGTACTGGCGAGCTTGTCGCAGTTTTCTTCCACGAGCGTCATCATATTCGTCTCCCGGGCCGAGGACGCATAGTAAGATTGAGTGATCGACATCGAAGTTCCAATTTCAGGCAAGTTTCTTGATTCTGGCGCCAGATGTTAATCGCGAAAGATCGCGGGGTATCTTACGTATCGGCTTTCTTCCAACCGAAGATCTATGTCCCCGAGACGGCGACAACGCAAACATGGCTCACAATCGCTTTGTTCGAGCCTTGATGATGGGTACCCAGGATTTCAGGCTATGAGTGGGGGCCAGATAAGAGGCTCGTGAGGGTTATGACGAGCTTCATTCACTATATCGTCGTTGTCTGCCTACGGAAGCCTCAACGCAGTTCAGTGATATGCGTTTCATGCATGAAACCCGTTCGACGTGTTCAGATAAAGGATCTCATTGGTGGCATTCCCGTCGCTTTGAATCTCATTGGAAAGCGCATTTATACATACCCCAGCCTTACCACTGGGCATTTCTTTTGCTTATCGTATGTCCCCGTCTCGTGGCTACACAATCCTGGGCTCGGCACACAATATCCGAGATGCCCCAATCCAGTCAGACATGATAGGAGATTTAGAAGTATCAATCGCATTTATTGCATGCATATCTATCGTTAGGCCATACGCCACTTGCTTATTTCAAAGCCGGCACTGTCAAGGAAAAGACACTATCTGGGTCAAAAGACGCCTTGAGATCCTTCAACACTTGTGCCTTAGGGCCATAGGTCTTCTCAAGCGCCTCACTCGTCGACTTGGCCTGAATTGCAGAATTATACACAGAAATGTACGCGGTGGGAAGCACATTATCCGGGTCGGCCTGCTGGATTTCATCGGTAGTTTGAATTGCCCACTGCCTTGACACGTCTTCATCGCCACTGGTCGAAAATCCCAGGAGCTCTAGCATGTAATGCGGCTCACGGGTTGCAAACACAGATGGGTGATCTTGAGGTCCTGCAGATGGCCCACGGAGTTGATGGATGGATACCATGGCACCACGATCTGCCGGCATAATGGCAAGGTTGCGTCCAATTGCCTCGGCCACGGAGGGAGGGATGCGGCGGACGTTGTGTGAGAAGCCGTTGCCGGCGATTTTTGGGGGAATCAGGGCGCCGTTGGCGATGAACCAGTCCGGGATCGTGGTGGAGCCGACCATGTTCACCATCAGGGGGGCAAGACTGGCAATCTTTTCGCTCCATCGCTTTCCCTCCTCGATGTTCGCGCCACTCCATAGAAATAGGGCGGCAAAGGCGCGACCCATGGGGCCGTTAAAACAGATTTGTTGGACGCTGAGCTGCGGGGGAGACCCTCAGAGTTGAGGAGCTTCTCGTAGGCTGCGTTAAAGTCGACGTATGTTTTGGTGATATCAGTGGGGTTAAAGATGATCGGCCCGGCCAGAAGCTAATGAGGTAACGTTAGTTTTGATGCAATTTTTGAGGTTGTTCCAGAGGCGAAAACTTACACTAGTGAGGGGATAGACCTTGACCGTAAGATCGATGATAACACCAAAAAGGCCGCCGGCACCACGAATACCCTCGAGAAGAGCTTCATCGGCTTTGACGATGTCACCATTGGGGTCAACAATAGTAGCGCCAACAATTTGATCTACTCCCAGACCCCAGTGTGGCGAGAAGGGCCCATAACCACCATACATAGCCCAACCAACATAACCTACGGTTGGAACTGCTCCTGTTGGGGTAGCTAAGCCATGTTCCCACAGCTTACTAGCAAGCTCACCCTGGAGAATGCCACCTTGGACCGTGGCAGTTTTGCGATCGGGCGCGATGGTGACAGCAGTCAACGCACGCAGGTCAATGAGCAGGGCATCTTGAGCAACGCAACGACCTTCCAGGTTATGACCACCCGATCGAATAGTGAAAGGAAGCGAGTTGAGTTTCGCATGTTTGACTATAGCGGCGACGTCCGCCGGCGATCGCGGCTTTACCACAGCCAGTGGGTTGTCCAGACGAGCCTCGTTCCATGGCTTACGAGCTGCAGGGTACTCGGAAGAGGAAGGTGGAATGTATTCGATGGTGGGGTAGCCCTGGAGGAAGGCCTCCAGGGTAGTAAGCTGGGCACCGGTACTGCTCATGTTGTAAGTGCTAGTAAGTCAGTAGATGGATTGCGATGAGAAGTAAACAGCCGGTATTTATAATAATCAGGCGTCCATTCGTATTGCTCAGCTTCAATGACGGTTGCTGACCTCCATACGTAAAGTCATTCGACTGCAAGGCCGACAAGGCCGACAAAGCCGAAGTCGCATGGATGGAGAGGTCGGTATAAGCGGACATTCACGGGAAAGCCTAAAATGCCGTACTGTCGTGCAAGAGATCGAACGTCCCCAACAGAATCCAGCGATTCTTGCATACGGACGCGCTCAATCTGACGCGCCGAGGCAGGGAAGAAGCTGAAGAAAGCGAGAAGAAGAGTGGGGAAGGATGGGGCGATTCAGGCAGCAAGGCACTCAATCCAAATATGCATACTCGTGTTCTCTCTACCGAATAAGATTTGCAAAAGGCTTCTTGAACTCGGTAATGTCAGCGGAGGTCTCTCTTAAGCCTGTTTATAAATACCTACTTAGGCTGTTTTACGTTTGTGCTTGTTTGAGGAGAAAGTATAAATGATATTGTCATTAATTATGCCGTTCGGCTCATCCTCCACGAAGATAGATGTGTGTGCCACAAATTCAACAAAAGCTCATCACAACGTGTACTGTGCGTGGTCTTCAAAAACTAGATATGCTCCACAACCTCAGTGAACGGTTTCTCCATCTTCGTGACGAGTGGACTCTCACGTTCATTTGCAAATGGATCCACATGGGTGGAGCTGAACTTGCGCGCTGAAACACGTTGCTCAAACAACAGATCAAGTTCAGCATATGTACGTCCCTTGGGCTCTGGCAGGCGGAAGAAAGCCCAGAGAAGACACAGGAAGCACATGCCGGCCCAGAAGAAACCTGCCTTTGCGCCCCAATCCCACGCGGATGGGTTAAGCATGCGTGGCGTGATGATATTGGTGATGAGGCCGCAAATGTTGTACAGATTGCGAGCAAGGACGATCGTCTTTGTGCGCAGGCGTGTTGAGCTCAACTCTGAGACCAATGAATAACAGATAGGTCCAACGGTGGCATCGTAGAAGAAGGTGTAAATGAGGAGTAGGGACCCAACAGCCCATTGAGCGGGCACACTCGTCTTGGAAATGATACCCAGGAAGCCAATGATGAGTAGCAAAATCATCATGCAGCACAGGCCACCGACATACAGTGTTCGACGACCATACCTGCTCATCATCGGCCAAGAGCTGATAGTGCCAATCGCGCCGAGGGCATACAGTGCCATGGACATGGTGAATGCATTGTTTGTTGCCATACCAGCCTGCTCATAGAAATATGTGGAGTAGCCCATGAGCGCACTTCCGGATAGCGATTGAGTTGCCCAAGTCAAGCAGACAATTTCCGTGCGACGTCTTTCGACGCCACGGAAGCAGTCAAGGTAGGATGATCCACTTGTCATGCGCTTCTCGAGCTCGTTGGTACTGCGGATCATGGCAATGGTCTCGTCTGCGTTGAAGTTGGGGTCCCTGCCGGGAACTGTGAGGCGTTGCAAAGCATGTCGTGCATCTTCTGGACGGTCTTTGCGGACCAGCCACCACGGGGATTCGGGCGCAAGGGCAACACCAATCGCAATAGGAATGGGCCACATCCATTGCAGGGCAAATGGAATCTTGTAGCCCCATTCGTCGGCGCGAGTTAACATCGCTTTGAGAACACCCTAATCGGTTAGCCTGGTAATCATTCACGGCATGGTAATCGAAATCTTACTGAAGCAATCAGTTGTCCCATCACCCAGCACAGATTCACGTAGGTTGTCAGGTATGGTCGGAGTACCACAGGGCACACCTCAGAGGCATAAGTGGTTGTCACTGTCTGGAATAGACCCCAAGGAATGCCGATGAGGATCTCGCCGACCAAGAGAACAGGTAGAGACTTAGCGAAGAAGATAATGAAGATAAAAGCCACACAGGCCAACAAAGCCCCAATAAGACTCTTGCGATATCCGAATTTTTCAACGACGATACCGGTAGCGAACAAGCCGAGCACCTCACCAACAAGGGCGCCGTTGGTAAGACCCGACTGCCACGCAGCGGTTACCTGGTAGCTTCCGTCTGGCTGTCGCTCCCCAAATGCGCGCTGGAATGGGTCATATGCAAACAGACTGGCGATCAGGGCATTGTCGTACCCTTCCATCACCAGCGCGGTCGAGAACAGAATAGACCAGCCGACAGCTTTCGGATAAGTTTGCACACTCTGCCAGAAGCTCATCTGATGCTCAGCCTCGGTGGCGCGCCTTGCCTCGGGTGTGGCATCAATATCCACAACCCGAGTGGTGCCGTCCTCTTTGGATGAAGCGGCCGACATGGTCGACTAAGGACGGGACTGAATAGAGAGAAGAGTAGAAAGAATATCAGAAGCTGCTCGCTGCTCGCAATCCGGAGCCTGTGGAGAGCACAATTGAACGGGGAATCGCCCACCTTTTATGGTAACATCCCGTGTAGCATTCTCAAACGAACGTTTTCCCCGGATTTGCGAATTCCATCCCCCGAGCGGAAGAAAATCTGGGGAAAGGCATATTCTAGCGATGTCGGCCCGAGATTGACCCAATCAGGGGCTGCAGTGTGCAACCGGTCTCCGGTGAGATTGTGCGGATGGAAACTTCTTCAGCCAAAAACACGCTAAACTAAACCTCGCTTACGTCTTCTGAAAGAGAATCCAGCGCCCCGGCCAGACTTTGTCTCCTAGCGCAGCCAATCAATCGGGCAAGCCCCGAATCGGGAATCGGCTTAATCTTAATTGCATCTCGGGCCGAGTTCTGGCCAATCACCAAAAAAGGAGGCGTACGCCCAGCTTGTGTCCTCAACAGCGGGGTAACTCATCTCGGACCGACAATGGACCAATAGATTGAGAGTTGATGGAGAGGCATTCAAGATAAAAGAGGGAACGCCATGGTCATTTCTTTCTATTTTGACCAGAAAGCTGGCATTCTTCTTTGTTATTTTGCCTAAGTCTTTCATATCTCAGTCTATACAACCCTGTCGCTCTTTTCCTGGGCATTTTTTGGGCGATTGTGACCAACTTTTTCACTTAATCAAATAACCTTTTTCATCCCTGAAGATGTCTCGGGAGGCCCCTTGGTGGAAGAACGCCACTATCTATCAGATATATCCCGCCAGTTACAAAGATTCCACCGGCGATGGCGTTGGTGATATTCCTGGAATCTTGAGCAAGCTCGACTATATCCAGGCACTTGGTGTTGACGCCATCTGGTTGTGTCCTATGTACGACAGTCCCCAATATGATATGGGATACGACATTCGCGACTATGAGAAAGTCTATGCTCCATACGGCACAGTCGAGGATGTCGAGACCCTGATTGCTGCGTGCCATGAGCGTGGAATGAAGATTTTGCTCGACTTGGTGATCAATCACACATCACATCTCCACGCCTGGTTCCAAGAGTCACGATCGTCCAAGACAAGCGCAAAGCGCGATTGGTACATCTGGCGACCTGCCAAGTATGATGCCGACGGAAACCGCCGTCCCCCCAACAACTGGCGTAGCGTGTTTGGAGGCAGTGCCTGGGAGTGGGACGAGGAGACACAGGAATACTACCTGCACCTTTTCGCAGTTCAACAGCCAGACTTGAATTGGGAGAATCCCACAATGCGCGCGGCTGTCTATGAATCAGCCATGGAATTCTGGCTACGCAAGGGAATTGATGGCTTCCGCGTCGATACGGTCAACATGTACAGCAAAGAACAATCATTCAAGGATGCTCCGATCATCGATCCTCGGCTGGAGTGGCAGCCTGCTTCATCGTTGTACTGTAACGGCCCTCGGATCCACGAGTTCATGCGGGAGATGGGCGATATTCTCATCAAGTATAATGCCATGACCGTCGGTGAGCTGCCACACACACCAGCAGTCGAAGATGTGCTTTCCTATGTTTCAGAGAAGGAGAAGCAGCTAAGCATGGTCTTCCAATTCGACATTGTGGATATTGGTACTGGTGCAGTGCGGTTTGACACTGTCCCACGCGCCTGGACGTTGCCTGACCTTCGGGAGCGTGTGGCCCGCACTCAGGCTCTCATGGATGGCACTACCGATGGCTGGAGCACAACTTTCCTTGAAAATCATGACCAGGCTCGTTCCATCTCCCGATGGGGTAGCGAGGCGACCCCGGAACTTTGGGCCCGAAGTGCAAAGATGCTGGCTATGCTTGTTGCTAGTCTGTCAGGAACTCTGTACGTCTATCAGGGCCAGGAGATCGGTATGGTGAATGCCCCCATCGAGTGGGACATTAGCGAGTACAAAGACCTCGACAGCCTTAACTATTACAAGTTCGTGCAAGAGCTGTCCAATAACGACCCGGTCGCAGTTGGAGCTGCAAAGAGCGCCATATCTCATCTTGCACGCGATCACGCCCGTATGCCCATGCAATGGGATGGCACGCCGAATGCTGGTTTCACTACCGCCACAGCTAAGCCTTGGATGCGTGTGCACGACAATTATCCAGAGCTGAACGCGAAGCGACAAGCACTCGATCCAAATTCCGTTCTTTCCTTCTGGCGTGAGCTCCTGAAGGTCCGCCGTGAGTACCCAGAAGTCTTTTCGGAGGGTGTCTTCGTTGACACAGACCCTCTAAACGAGTCTGTCTTTGTCTTTGAGAAGAAGGCTACTCATCAGAAGCTGGTTGTTGCTCTGAACTTCACGGTTGACAAACAGTCAGTTGATCTGGCAGCCCGGATCGGCTCGAGACCTTACAAGACTCTGTTGAAAAACTGCGAGGGGGAGTCACTAGATGAGTTGGAAGCATATGAGGGGCGGGTTTACCTAGTGGATAATTAGACATGCCTAAATTTCTGGCAGATATACCGGATGCACAGGGCCCTGGAACCATAATGAATTCAAACGTGCAAATGTCTCCACATCATCTTACCATCAGTGTAGCAACCATTGGTACTCTAGTCTTATCAATGGCGATTGAAGTGTAATTTACTTGACTAATGAGTATCATCACTACCACTGGCGAGTCACTCGGGAAATGCAAGAGCGAATTTCCAGTGTTTGAGTCTCAGAATTTTCCATGTCCATGTAATAAGAATAACTATAAACAACACCAATACCCCATTGTCCGATTATGCCTGGATCAAATAATAATACTAGAGTAAAAGCTCGATTTCCCTGATCTCCGGATATTTCTCACGAATCATCTCAAACTTCTGCGTAAGAACCACCGGTCGCAGAGTTTGAAACCCAGCAAAAGAGTAGACAAAGTTTTTGAGAAAGATGATGTCGTGAATTCGTTGAATAGTATCGTCTCCAGATGCATGAGGCAGTTGCAGAACCACATCGGTGATTACATTGGCGATTTCATAGAGTTTTTCGAGAATTCCGGACCCATGAATGCCGACCATATCGTGTGGAATGGTCACCAGAAACTGACGTAGCTGATTTGAGAGTCGTAGTGGGAATGAAAGGGAGAGGAGTAGACACGAATCAGGCGAGGAGGAGAGGAGAGTGTTTGACAGCGCAATCTGCCAGGTAAGCGTGCGCAACCAGTGTCGAGTAATGATTAAATCTGCCTGCAACATGCCCGGTAGCTGGGAGACTTCGCGGTGCCAGCAATTGTCTTCCAATTGGCGCTGCTTGTTCTCGATCCATTCGGAGCTCACACCTGTCCGTTCACATAGCCAGTATTCAAGAAACTCTCTATCGACCAAGCAGAAATTGTTGATGATATGGTTGAAGCCGGCCTCAACATCTTCCGGCAAGGATGGATCATGGTCTGGCAGACCGCGCAAGGGACTCAGACATGGTGGCCTGTTGTAAGTCAGAGCCGTAAAGCGCTCGTGTATAAAACATTCCCAATAGACGCGTTGTAGGCGTGCCCGCTCCGGCATTTCGATTTCAGCCAGCGCTTCATCTGAGTGAGCGTGAAGCATGTACAGCAGCGAGATGGCCTCTCGAAGATACAAAAAGCCCATATCAAGGCGCCGTAGACCAACACTGCACATCTCTGTAAAGAGACTGCAAATGACTGACAGGACTGTTGGCTGCGAGTCAAACCCCAGCGGCCGACGGTGCTCCAGTGAGCGGGTCAGCAAAGTCGCGATGCGCTCACGCGTCGCGGGTGCCTCCTGTACAGGCTCACCTCGCGTCAGGTTTAACGTTACTGCGGCAAAGATATACACAAACGAGGCAGCGTCGCGATCATCGTCCATATTTGCGATCATTTCTTGAACCTCAATAGCTGGGATGACCGGACTCATCGGGTAGACGTATCGTTCATATTCGTGCAGGAACTCGTGGAAGAAGCTCGGATTCGGGTGCGACACGATCGAAGCCGGTATGGAGAGTGGTAGTACACGGGAGGCGAGAGTGCCTTCAATCTGACTTCTTTGACTCGGTTGAGTGCTAAGTGTCCTGCACTCGGCAATGACTGAGCCTCTAGCCAGGTTTTTCTTTCGGGTTTGTGATGAGAGCGTTGAAGAATAAGTGCAACGCAACCCGACGTGCGTACACTGCTGACAACTGGACTGGCCATTACAGCGAACTTTCCGGCGCTTACACGCATCGCAGGCCCTGGAAGTGCGTCGCTTCTCCATCCTGCCGCCAATCCATCATCGAGCCGAGTACAGTTGGAGAGATGGACAGGAAGCGCGGCTGAAAATGCGGGGGGGCGTCGGGGAAGCCCTCCACACTGTTTGCCGAGTGGGCCCATGCCATGAATCACTTCACCGGGCACACACGAGGTCTACCAATTTTTGGTCGTACAACAAGCCAGGGATTGCAGATTGTCCAAAAGAAATACCAGAATTACGATCATCGTTAAAATCTTAATCTAACCAACAGTTGACTCTTGTTTCGCTGACCGGATCACCCTAGCAGGAACACCAATGGCAATACTACAAGGTGGAATGTCTGCCTTCACTACCGAGCCGGCGCCAATAGTACAGCCCGAGCCAATAGTCACACCAGCAAGGATTATGACACCAGCGCCAATCCAGCAGTCATCTCCAATGACAACACCCCCTGTAAACTCATGGCCTCGATGCGCTCTTCGCTCTTCAATCATGGTGTAGTGCTCCCCTGTAATGATGCTGACATTTGGGCCAATTTCTACGTTGTTCCCAATCGACACCAACCCACAATCGAGAACGGTGAGGCTAAGCAGAAAGAGGGTCAATAATTAGGTTAATTTCCAGCCAGGAAGAAGGTACATACTGGAAGTTGGCGTAGAAGCTCTCGCCAACACTGATATTACATCCATAGTCGACGAAGAGAGGAGGCTCAATGTAAATACTTTGTCCCGTGCGACCGAAGAGCTTCTTCAGGATTTCTGTTCTCTGCAGGCTGGTCTTTTCCGAAGCGACATCGCCGTAGAGAGATGCATTAAACTCTCCTGTCAGTTGTCTGGCTCGAGACCGACCCTCTATGAGCTCTGGTGCAAGGGGAGAATATCTACACTCGGAACACACGTTAGTCAACGGTCGCCAGGAGAAATAACAGACAACATACAACATGCCGCTGATCATCCGTTCATATTCTTCTCCCCAGCAAACGCCCTGAAGACCTCGGGCTTCTTCAATAATCACGTCATCCTTGTCTACTTTGGGGATCATCTTGGCTCCGGGGTGAATTTCTTGTCTTTGTGCTTGTCTTAGAGGAAGAACATCTATGACACTTGTTCTGACACTGTCTTCGAGCGAAGCAGATGCCCAATTTATAGCTTGAACGCTGCTACTCTCGTCGCTACCGATTCCCCCCTCCCCCCGTGATCATTCAAGTCAGCTGTCCATCGATATTAGTACTAAAACCATACATCTGTTGCTCATGGACTAATATGTCACGGAGCGATTGCTGGAATACGAGGATGCGGAAGATCGGACTCCCGGTTTCGCGGGCCTGCGACCCGTCCGGGACAGCACTGTAGTGCCAACCATTTCAATCGCAAAGATTAGATCCAACGCACCAAAATGTAGACACATTGGATCTGAATCATGATCTGATACGAAGAAAACCTTCTGGGGTAATCGTCGTCTCCTGTCAGTTAGCGCCCTGGGTGACAGACCGAGCCTTAGCGCCCGTGGCAATCGGCGAAGTGGATGCAGGTAATTAAGGGTCTCAAGGGGCCTCAGGGGGGTCCTTGGATCGGGCCAGATCCTGACCTGCCAAGAGGAGGGCTGAATGAGCGGTCGGAGTTAATCAAAGTTTTTTGGACAATGGATCTTGATGGATCGGAAGGTTTACTTTGTATTCTGGTTAAAGCCTCAAGTTGTCACTGCCGACAGCAGAAAATCAAACGCTCACCCTTAATTTCCACATGGCTCTGCACTATGAAAAGTTGTCCGTGTGAAAGAATGTGAAAGAACCCTCACATCGACGGACAATTGTGTGAACGATGTATCGCAAAAGACACTGTCATATGTAGTCAGCATAGTCGGCTTCTTGACACATGCAATAATCCCTCATCATCTTGATTCAAGCCACTATGCAAGGCTCGCTTTGTTCTGTATGAGGGGGCAGGGTTGAGGGAATAAATGTGGTGGAAGCATCGATTCTTGTCTGGGCGGAGATTTCTTGGCGTGCGTTTCATCTTCGATTTCCGTACGATTCATGCATTGCTTGCCGCACAGTGCCTGCCACATCTATTAAATTTGTGTGTTGATTGGCTAGGATGCGTGAATTTGACGTCTGTGGATTGCATGGTTTGCTAAAAATTCCCGGCTATGATTCCCCTTCATTGCTTTCTGACACGATGCATCGGGCATTTCTAAGCCCTATCGGAAGTTTTTAGCAAGCCACAGAACTAGATCTGATCAGTCCACCACCTCTTCCAGACTGTGGACTGTAGACTATAAGAATGGGAATTCATGCACAATATGTTTTAGTTTCTCATCTTCACGCCCACCACTACTTCGTCGCTCCTTTTTTCCAACACTTGGCCGGACCAAGCTGTTCATTACATTCTCTTGAATCCGTCTTCACTCCTTAGACGCTTTTTACACCAATCAAAATGTCTTTCTCTAACAACTCGAGCTGGGGACACTTCTTTCTCAAGGGCAAGACCCTGGCCCTTTGTTTTTTTGGCCTCATCCTGCTCGTACTCTGCCTAGGCTCCTGGGCGGAGCTTCCAGGCAGCTCCATTCAAAGCACCATTTTGAAGCGAAGCACCGAAGTCAGTGACACGGCCATCTGGCAGCCAAAGTCTGGAGTTAAATGGCAGATCCAGCTAGTGGATGCCGTTGAAGATATCGCCAATGCTGACATTTTCGACATCGACATGTTTGACAACACCGCTGAAAAAATCTCCGAAATTCACAAGACGGGTGCTAAAGTCATTTGCTATTTCTCCGCTGGTACCTACGAGGACTGGAGACCCGATGTCAAGGAGTTCGCCGATCCCGACTTTGGCAGTGCACTTGAAGACTGGCCTGGCGAGCGTTGGCTCGATCTGCACTCAAGCAACGTCCGCAAGATCATGCAAGCCCGTCTTGATCTGGCGAAGCAGAAGGGTTGCGACGGCGTTGACCCTGACAATATCGATGCATACGGCAACGACAATGGTCTCGGTCTGACTGAGGCTGATTCCATCGATTATCTGGATTTCCTTGCATCCGAGGCTCACTCTCGCGGGATGTCGATTGGACTCAAGAATGGAGGCGACATCATCCCCTCGGTCATTGAGAAGATGCAATGGTCGGTCAACGAACAGTGTGCGCAATATGACGAGTGCGATGTCTATGCGGCTTTCACGGATGTCGGCAAGCCCGTCTTTCACATTGAGTATGCTGATGAGATCGAGGTCAACAATAAGCTTAAAGTTCGTGATGTCACGAGCTCACAGAAGTCTGCGGCTTGTGATGCAAAGAGTGCCGAGAACTTTTCGACTGTCATCAAGAACATGCAGTTGGATGCTTGGGTTGAATATTGCTAGTCCACTCATCAAGTCAAGGTGGAACACAATTATGGAATTGCGTATCCGAGATGTATAGTGGTGGGGATCAACTAGATTGACACATCCGAATAGCACTTTTTCAACTCTCGTCTCTTGCAACCACTTTTTGGCTCCATATTTATGATGAATGCAAATTACCTTTTGAAGTCATGAGGTTTATTTAAGGCCCAGAAATCAGAAGGAGAACCCATTTAACTTGTTTGGGTATTTGGGTATCAAGAGGGGTTCTTACCGTCTTCCAGGTCAAACAATCAACTCCCCTCCCTCCGAAGGCCTACCTAGTTGGTCAACATAAATTGTTGACCATAGGTGTGCCCTGAGGAGTGGGCAAACAAAAAAGAAGAAAAAAATACTGGGCCAGTGTTGACGCTCTAAGCTCCACGGACCTATGCTGGGGTGTTGTTTTTTTTTTCTTTTCACAGTTCTGTTTGCAATGTTATTCTTTTTAGTTGAGATTATCTTGAACCAGCTATACTATTAGTTCTAATTTTTTTTAAATAGCCTCTTTGATTGTGTAAGAAGGTGAAAACGGCGTGTAGTGCGGCACTGGGGTGAGATGGCGATGTTTTTCGGTGTCCGGGGATAGCGATGCAGTAACAAGGCGAAGTATATAGGGAACGGCAAGGTCGGGTGTTCGATTCATGGATGTAGAGATCTTTTTCAAAAAGTAGGCGTTAGATATCAAACAAAATTGCGAAGAAATATCGTAACCTTGTCTTCGATGCCTGTATAGCGTATCCCATGGTCTTGCCCGCCGGCACACCCCTGTCAAAATATGTGGGTCCATTGCCAAATTGGGTAAGTAAGAGGGGCTTTTCCCACTTGAGGAATTTGACAACAGTGGACATCCATGATGCTCCTTTTACCCCAATCACCTATCCATAGGGTACATAACAAAATGACCGGGCTGGATTGAAACGCCCGGAAGGTGAAATATATTCTGTGCATATTTTCTTCATCAGATCATCGTCTCGCTAAGCTCCGACAGATATTGGAGATTGATGACTACGTCTGGGACGACTACATCTCGCCATTGGACGCCTGTCGGGACTATGTGGCACATCTGGGTTCAAGAGGACTTATACAGAAGAACCATCACATCTCCTAACAATCTTCCCATAGAGATGCGATTCCTGACAACCAGAGGATGAGTCACGGCCGGCGTGAGCTAGACAAAGCTCGACGTACTTGGTTCAAGTACGTACACATTTCCTATATTGTCCAGTTTTCGGCTATGCTTCGGTTGTGCTAATGCGATGTGTCAAATCAGAGATGGAGGCCATTACTTCGAGAATCCGGATGGCTCCTCAACATATTATGACCCACGTCCTCCGTATAACGCATAGATTAGGAGGTCTAAGAACGGACAGAAGATGCCATGGTCAAAACCACGAATTACCTGTGTGATGAGAGTCAACCCACCACCGTGCTGGTGGGTGACTCGAAGAATCCCAAACAGGAGCATCAGAACCAATCATCGAGCGAGGGGCTAAAGGAGAATAAGACGAAGACCGCCAAAGACACATCCCGGTCGAGGGGGCTCTCTAGGCAAGAGCTAGCGACAGAAGACGATGTGGAGCCTAGTCAAACGCAGGCATTGAATCAGTCGGATGAAGTGAAGACGAACCAGGATGCATCGCTGTCAAAGAGGCGTCCTAGGGAGGAACGTGCCCCTGAAGGGGTCCTAGTCAAACGCAGAGGCAAACTCGGTCAATGAAAGCCAAGACGGCCGAGGATGCATTACGGCCGAAGAAACCCTCTAGAAAGGAAAAATTCACGGAAGAGAACGTCGACCTGGAATCTCGGGATCATCAGAGAAAGGCCCTGAGGGAGGAGGAGACGGGGATGAAGACAGAGACGCTAAAAGAAAAGACAACCAAAGATGCCTCACGACCAAAGACAAGGTCTAGAGACGAGCGAACCGCAAACAAGAGTGTTCAGTCCCGATCTGAGGGTGATCAAGAAACGACCGCTAGCAGTGAGGCTAGAAGAGAGAAGAAGAAGAGACACGAGTGAAAGGAGGGAGCCGACACAAAGGCTGGATGAACTCCAGTCGTCCGCGAGGTTGATATAGATTGATTTTCGACTTCGGTCGTCAATAACTTTCGAGATCTTTTGCTTCCTTTTCAGCAGTTATGTTTGTTGAATTCTTGACTTTGTGAATTTCAAGCATGCTCCATTGGTAATGATCCCAAAATCCGATGTCAAAACAACGTGCAAAGCATTCGAGCCACGTAGATCGTAAGCATGATGAGGTTAGGAGGGTTTGTTAGCTACCTAGAATGCCTACAGAGTAGACCCTAAACCGCGAAGATTATCCCACGATAGGCTTGAGCATAGTCCATATCCATGTCCTTGGTACTTTAGATAGTCTTCAGCCAAACAGACCTAGGCAACTTCGCCCGAGTTTCACCCGGCAGCTGAATTCGGGCTTCTCGAGCATGAGGTGTTTTGATAGGCAATGCCAATTCCGAAACACGACCACCCTAGGGAACCCGAAACTTGGAAACGGCCACTTAGAGTGGGGGTGGCTAATCTTATTACCCCTGTCCAGGCGACAGGGTATTCTCAGATTCTGAAGCATGTATGTCAGAATTTTCACACTGGTCAAAGTCCTCATCAAGTCAGCCACATTCAACTCAAGGGGCAACTTGCCGCCATTTTATACGAGCGATGGTCCTGAGAGACGGCTGGAAAATTAGATTATGCTGAAGTGCCATGTGGCTTAAGGCCGGTGGCGTCAGTCCTTCATTGAATGCATGGGCATGGGCACGGGCGGCGGCCCTGCCATGGTTTCGGGATAGAAGAAATACGGTACCGGGCCGGGCTGAAATGAAATGACGTTATATAAGCAATGAGGTCATCGGCAAAGTTGAGACCCAAATGAGGACACCCTAAAAGGCCGATGGTAACCTTCTTTGGCAGGGCGAAGAAAACTCTGCAGAGATAGGGGATAATTACTCGCTGGCTAAAAACAGATGAGAAATTTGTGATTCGCTCATGCAATCTTGATTGGATTGCTTATTTGTCTGAGGGCAAAGTCTTGTTTACTGTGCTCTTGGCTGATCTACTCTGTTCACTGCATATTGAGATAAACAAAGCTTAATGTAAGGTCCTCAGAGAGGAAATATACTAACTATGCTAGCCTACTACTTACATACGCCATTCACTATGGACTGTAGTACAATATCCTAGCCTAACCCCTCTTTTTGGCCCAGATGCCTTATCATTAGCCCCTCCATCATTCGAACACGACTGACCCTTACGACCTTCGATAATCATCACCTTTGGTTGCATGCCGGTGGTGGACCAAGATCCACAAATTTGTGGGTTTCGGGACACTCCAAGGGGAAACCCGGAGTACGGTGCACTTGCGCGAGGATGGTGTCAATTGATTGAATTGGATAAAGAATTGTACTAAATCTGTTTTTGAGGATTGATGGGCTACAGTTTGTTGAAAATTTTTCATTTAAGGATGGCGAATTGGCACAGTAAAGTATAGTCCTAACAAGGCAAAGTAGGACGAAAGTGGCGGAAGGGAAGAACGTGTTTCCGCCTTCACCTCATCAACGGGCTGGAGGGGCAGAGTCATTACGTCATTCATGCAAAAGCGGGAGCCGGTAAAAGCGCAGATTCCCCTTTGATACTCCTTTGGGTCTAGTGGGGGTCGATCGGGTTACCGACCTCCGTCACATCTTCACCCTAGGTGATTCCACCCAACCAATGACGCCAGCCTGCAGATAACTCGGACTTCAGTGAGGCTCCTAGTCCGCCCGGTCTTCCCGTGCATTTGATGAGCCCGATCTTCAGGTGAAACGAGAGATGTAGCAACTCCGATAGGGCTCTGCAGGCCGAGAGGAAGGTCTTCCGAAAGGAGTCTGAGCACTCTGATATACCGCCAAAGATGGAGGTGCGATCGTGAAATCCCGGTCTCATGGAAAGGTTAACACACCTACGTACGTGCCCGATGTGGCTGGCAAGTCATTGATGGGTGACAGCAGCATCAAAAAGGCAATTTGACCCCGATTCTATTGGCTCAAATGCTATGATGAGCGTGTGGGTATCTTGAACACTTCTTCCGAAAACGGCCGTTCTTGCACCTTCGTGCCCACTTAGCCACATCCCACCTATTTTTTTTTCTATCTTTTTATTTGCCTCTCCTATGAGAATGGACAAGCCTATTTGGGGGTCATTGATGGGAACAGATCCGCTTTGCGCGATTTGCTTCAATGCTCACCACGTCATTGTGCTTCCTACTGGACTGAAGTCGAAATGGGTGGAGGATGCCAAGTATAAGGGCTGATTGCACCCAATGGTAGCAATCTGGGTCTAATACTCCACCATGGATCCATTGAACGGGACTGCTACTTGGGGGAACCGATCACCAGCCCGGTTCTTTGAAATATAATGACTTAATGATTCCCAGAAAACTGTCAATTTCCCCCAGTCTCACAATTCAACTGGGATATACTTTACTTCTGTGGCTCGCTAGACGACTGCCATCAACGTTCTCTCTATCTTTCTACTCTTCTTCCTCCTCTTCCTCCACCATCCAAGCATCTCCCTTAAATCTCCTTCCTCTTATCCATCGTCAACATGTCTCAAGCCGCCGCTCCTAACGGAGCTGATGCTGCTCCTCATGAGGTCGCTCCCAACGAGGTGCCAGCTGAGCTGCCCATCCCTGGAGAGCCCGGCCTCGGCCACACCATCGAGATTCCTGCTACCAGGAGCTCTATCAGTGATGTTCACATGCAACGTTTGAGCCTGTCACCTTCCATGAAGGACCGCCGGGGCTCGCGCAACTCCTTCGGCGTCTCCCTTCCCATTCCTCGCGAGCCGCGCAAGTCTTCTCGTCTGTCTGTTGTTGGCAAGCCTACAAGCCACGTGCGCACTATTATTGCGTCTGAGTTGCAAGATCAGGAGAAGGAGAAGGTCCAGAAGGTCAAGAACATGTGCTTCTGCTTTGACATTGACGGTGTGCTGGCACACGGTAACAATGCTATTCCGGAGGCTCAAGCTGCTCTCAAGATGCTTAACGGAGACAACGAGCTCGGTACGTGATTTGACATATTTCAAGATATTATTGCACAAAGCTAATTGTCGAACTTTCAGGCATCCAATTCCCCTACATCCTCCTCACCAACGGTGGTGGTAAGACCGAAGAGGCTCGCTGCGCCCAGCTCTCAGAAGTCCTCGGTGTTCCCATCTCCACAGACCAGTTCATTCAATCTCACACCCCCATGCAAGCTCTTGCAGAGTACTACGAAAACGTCCTGGTTTGCGGTGGTGAGGGATTCAAGGTGCGCGAGGTTGCCGAGAGCTACGGTTTCAAGAACGTGATTCACCCTAAGGACATTCTGGCTTGGGACCCCACAATCTCTCCCTGCCGCAAGTTCACCGAGGAGGAGCAGAAACTAGCCAAGCCCCGCGACTTCTCCAAGTTCAAGTTCGATGCTATCATGTGCTTCGCCGAGTCGCACGACCAGTCCACCGAGTTCCAGATCATCCTCGACCTCCTCCTCAGTGCCAATGGCAAGCTCCTCACCCGTGCCAAGGATCCCGCTGCTCGGGATGCCGTTGCTGGCCACATCCCCATCTACTTCTCCCAGGGTGATCTGCTCTGCCCCACCGAGCACAAGGGCCCCCCACGTCTGCACCTGGGTGCTTTCCGTGTTGCGCTGGAGGCTCAGTACAAGGCTCTTACCGGCCGTGATCTCGACCGTATCGTCTACGGTAAGCCCGAACGCGCCACTTACATCGTCGCCGACGAGATCATCAAGTCGTGGATGGAGGAGATCCACGGCGAGAAGAAACTACCCGAGAACATCTACATGATTGGTGATAACCCCCAGTCTGACATCATCGGTGGAAACTTGTACGGCTGGAACACTTGCCTGGTCCGCACTGGTGTCTTCCAGGGCAAGGGCAATGACGAGAACAACCCCGCCAACTTCGGTGTCTTCGACCAAGTCTACGACGCCGTCAAGGCTGCCATTCGCAAGGAGCTTGGTGATGACTTCAAGTTCAAGTGGGACCCCAAGAAGCACTCTCCCCACGGCTCCGCTGTTGAGTAAGGGTGTAGCGTGAAGAGACTTTAATCTTCTTTCCTGCATCCTTTTCTTCCGTTTCTTTCTTCTCGCTGCCGGTCATCACTACGCTACGAGTCTCCACGGAGCTCTAGTCTTTTGTTTCCTTTTATTTTTTACTCGTTTGAAATTCCCATTTCTTTTGGTAGAAATCGTCGCATCTTGTCTTTACTTGGATTATGGAAATCAACCCTTTTGGACATGGGTCCAGGGCTCTGATAGATATTTGTCGCTCATCTATCGGGTGAAAATTATGAGCATATTTTACGAACAACGAAGAACTTTGATACCATTCCAGCTCTTGAAGCAAATTCAAAAATTTTCTCTAAAGCCACGTGCTATTGCATATTCATGACGTCATAGACTAGGTCGATCATCTTATCATACCTTTTTGTTCTGCAAGCTTCCCTTCTCAAGAACCGTGGAAGCGAGATTTTTGGAGGAGTGGTCCTCTGAATAGTCATAGTTCCTTTATAGGTTAAAGGAAAACAGAAAACTGAATGTATGTAAACCGTGAATTGTATTGGATGGGTCCCTTATGAGACATTCACGACGACGCCCCTAGTAGGATTTCCTATTTTCACACTACATCTAAGGACTCTGATCCTAGGGTCTGCGGAGCCAAATTTTAGCTGCCTCTTCTCCACTGCGCATCATCGTAACGCCGTATTCCCCTGCGCGACCCGCGGCCTCCAATTCAAGGTACCCAGGAGCATTATAGCTCGACGTCCTCTGCGAATTGTTCCGCTTCGCAATCTATACCCTCCAGTCTTCTCAAATTTCAATCTATCCACACTTCAAGCCAGTCCATATATGAATCGCAACGGAGTTGTCAGGTTGAATGGTCGAAGAAGCAGCTCTATTTCGATTTGTCCGTTGGGCTCGAAGTCTAGCAGTGCCACGCGACCTGTCTCCAGGCCATGCCGATCAAAAGGAATCATGTGAAGCGATTTCTCAGAAAGCGGACTTCTCCAGATTCTCTCATGGGCAGGGATGAAAAATCTGCGGGCTCAAGAAATGACCATGACATAAATTCGGTTTTATTGAGGCCTTCTGGGCGCGCGGTGGCAGGGTTCTGTTCGACAATGACTGCGCTCTCGTCCGGGAAGAGATGACCGTATTCGCCATCCAGACGGAAAAGCATGATTTGAAACTTGAGCCACCGTTTGTAGTTTCTCGGGTGATCTTTGCTCACGGGGACCAGGCAAAAGACACAATCTATGGGCAGTTGTATGTCCATGATTCGTTCCAAAGCGCTTTGGGAATAGTCAAGTAGTGATTTCGGCAAAGCTGCCCGAGAATGATAGGACTAGTTCTTGGATCAGTAGTTGAAGTAGTAACGCAGCTTCGTAAGCCGGGCAAGACTAACATCCAGAAAGCTCTGCTTAGCAGATGCCCATCTCTCGATCAAGGATCGGCGTTGGCGAAGCTCATATTCCGTATCATCCGCGGAAATACCCTCAACTTCTCGAGTTTTCCATTCTTCCTGGTGTTGGGCTTAGTCAAGAGCCTAAATTTGATGTTTCAACGTGTTCTGAAACCTTCACAAATAGCAACCATCCCCTACTATCGCCCATGAAAGGGCGCAATTAGACCCTGTGCGACTTCCTAGTGAAAATATTCTGATTCATTTCCTGCCAGCGTTCGTGGGTGCGAGGTCTGTTCTTGTCCAGCCCGTCTCCTTCATCCCTTAATTGATTCTGACTATGAATAATTGAGTGTGAGCTTGATCTTTCCACCAGAATGTCCAGATTCTTGCCCTCCACACGCCTCGAAGTCGTCCCCGCACATGATCCTGAAGCCGTCAGTCGGGCGGCAATCTATACAGACCAAGGGCTACAGTACATCGATAGCAGCCCTCACATTGAACAAAAGAATCTACAGTAAGAGAAACCACGAATTTGTGGTTTAAAAAGAACCACTTTCTGGATATTGGTCGCTGCAGCTGTGGTTATAATAACCGCAGCTGCCGTTGGTGGTGGCCTTGGTGGAGGCCTGTCTCGCACTAAAGAAACGACGGCATCCAGCCAGAAAGCTAGTGAACAATCTCCATCTACCTCATCGACCTCGTCAATAGACAGATACATGAGCAATACAGCTTGAGCCACAGCTACAATCTCAGCAGAAGTTGGAACAGTCAGTGGCTGCAAGAACGCTTTATCGCGATTGTCCCTCGAGTAACGATACTTTTTACAATGTCGACTATAAGTCAACAACATACAAATTCCGGAAGCTTTGCAATATGCAGGCTGTCATTAATTGGGTTCATGCGGCATATGTCAATCAAGCAGCTAGCACGCTGAATGAGTGGATCAACCTTTGCGCGGCATATAATGAGAACAATGTGACAAAGAGCACCGGGGAAAATGTTTGTTCTTCGGTTTGTTGGAGGAACGGATTCGTCAATAATGACTGGCCAGGCCAATATTTTGGGTATGCAGGGGGAAATAAGTCGTACAGCGCGGGCTTCAATCTCCAGGCGGATATTACCTGCGATTCCGCAATCTGGATTGATGAGGTGTGATATTTATGTCACCTCGTTGTAATTCGCAATGTATATATCTAGGCGGCAAACGGCCTTGTTGACCCATCGACAAAAAATTTACAAAACAATAATGGACCCATTGTTGGTGCTGAATGACAAAAGGGCAAGAAGAAGAATCACGAGAGTCAGGGATGTGTAATTTGATCGGAGCGTCGAATGTCTGAGGGATCCAAATAGCTTTCCTTGGGTTATGTAACCTTTGGGCAGAATGGATAAGAGCACAAACATGCCCCTGATCAACCATACCGATCATTACATCCTCCAAGCCTTAATGATCGAATAACTTAATTGCCCGAATAGCCAGGTCGCTTATCCGGTTTCGAAGAAGATATCGTCGGGATTGGATCGTACGGTAGAGGCAAATGCCCGCCTGACTTTTGAGTCTTCTCGGAGTTCACGAACACGGTGTTCATGCCTGAATTCTGAGGGTTGAAGAATGTGTCGGAACAGTAGCAGCAGCGGAGAACGGGGAACGGAGATACTATAGACCCGCATATATTAGTCATTATTATGCCCACATAACTAACTTACTTAACTAACTAGTTAGTTAAATTGTCAGATAGGGGCTTTGTAACAAGGCAGACTGGTTGATCTCCAATTGGTGCGCAGTATGATATACTAAGCAGTATTCCGGCTGAATGTCATACGAGTCACGTGATAGCCATGACGGCCCACTTTACTGTTAGATTCGACCAATCATAAGGCTGGACTTCTACCGGAAACTGACCAATCAGAATCGAGTCTTAGGTACAACGAAACGGCCCCAGCCACGCAAAATAATCTCAGGACGTAAGCTACGTTACCGTAAGCTCCGCAATAACTAGAGCCCTCATGTTGCAAAAGAGGATGAGCACCTTCAATTTTCATTAATCATCAAGTGGCGAAGAAACTGCAAAACAAGGGTCGCTGCTGACTCGCGGTGAACGGGGAGGGTGAAGAATGAAAGGGCCTCACGAGATATGGTCTGCTCTATTATTTGAGAGTGCCAAGCGTTCAGGCTCTGTAGACTAGACCTACTACACTTCTATCTCCACAACAGTACGATTCGGGGCTCATTAATCCTGCCAAGTCATGCCGACCACACTCGCTAGGCGCAAGCGTGCGAGGAAAGCATGCATTCCTTGTCATCAGCGCAAGCGAAAATGCGACACCATGCACCCTTGTGACATGTGCGCTACGTACGGATACCACTGCAGGTACACCGACGATGACAACCCAAATGGTACTACAAGTGGCAGTGTACCCATTCCGCCTCCAGCCAAGCAAGTCAGACTCGACTATGGAAGTCTTCTGACAGGTCGAGCTGCTACAGACCGCAGTTCGAGCGGCCAGACTTCTATGGGGCGAGAACACCAGAAAGGCGACAGCTTGTCAGCCAAGCGTTCTACCGTGACGGCCGGCGCGTCCCCGGGTATTTTCGACGAGCAGAAGTTCAGATACTGCGGGGCATCGGCGGTCATGGCATTCCCACATATCCTGGGTGCGGCTCTCGGTTCCGACAGCCCTCCCAAGATGCGGCCGTTCGCTTACAACTTTGGTATTCGCCCCGAGGAGGCATCCAATTCTCACTGCTTTCTAGGAAATCTCATCTCGGAGGGAGAGCTTGAATCTTTCTCGGGTACCTTCTTGAAAGTATTGGGCCCTATCGGCGATGTGATAGACCCAAGAATCTACGCCCAGCGATGCCGGGATTATTACCATAGCTCGGGTAGCAGTACCATCGCCTTTGCAGCCGTGGCAGCTGGTGTTGCTGCTCTTGGATCATTCCTTTCTCCTAACAGACACCCGCGAGAGTCAGATCTGGTGCAATACGCTAAAGCCATCCTCGATGATCCGGCCTCCATGCGTTTGCATGGCATCGACCACATTGTGGCATGGGGCATGCGAGTGTTTTACTTACGGGCAACAACCCGGCCCAGCAATGCTTGGATCGCTTCCTGCACGCAAATGCACCTCTGTGAAGCCTTGGGCCTACATGAGGAAGTCAATATCAAGAAAATAGCGTCCGTCGCTGGGGCCGCTGTCGTTGGACACGATACGGACCGACTCAGGAAAATTTTCTGGATCTCGTGGGCTGGGCATAATATGCTGTGCTATGAGTACGATCGTTCACCTGTAGCATTTCGGACCGTGACTTGCCAGCCTATCATCTCGACACCAGGATCTGTTGCCGATCAGTTCGTAAAACTGATCCAGATTATTCCATCGCCCGATTCTCCGTTCCAGCTCGACTTGCGGCTCCCAAATCTGAGCGAGGAGCTATTTCAGCGCCTCCAGGCGCTGGATGAGCTCCAAGTCACGCATCCATTCCTGGTAGTGACCAAAGCGGACATTGCGTTTTGCTTCTACCGGCGCCTTTACCAGCTAAAGATTCTCATACCGGATGATAGCATCAAGTTCATCATTGATAGTGGCAACGCCGCAGTGGAGGCAGGCGTACAGGAAGCTAACCAGGGTCGTATGTTCTGGAACGTCATCGGAAGCGTCTTTCAGTATACCTGCATCCTGTTGGCCATTGACACACCGACGGCCTCTGCACATATCGGCGCCGCATTCAAGGGCTTGGAGAGCCTTGTCAAGGCTGCTGATACAGAACTCACGCGTGAGGCGTTGTCGATGGCACGGCACCTACTCAGCCTTAATAAAGCAAAGAAGCGAAAAGAACTTGCTCAGCTGGAAGCTGTCGAGGCCGGCTATGAATTCTTTCAGGCAGCCCCGGTATCCGAGGCCAATTCCGCTGTGCCAGGAATGAATTGGGAAGTGGACTGGGATCAATTCTTCATCGAGCCAAATTTATCCATATTCGGTCCTGATGTACAGTTGCAATGATGCGGATGTCGTTGGGTATTGATTCATTCCAGTCAAAAGCGATTCAATAAAGTCCAGCTTTCTACCTATAATGATGTAAACTAGAAATGACATGATGCTGTGTTAGACTCATTTCAGTCTTTGGAGTATTTTAACGATAGTCTTGTAAAAAGGGTATGTAGATCGATGACACCTCGCTACAAGGTGCAATAGAGTATATCTAAATATGTGCCCCTTGTGGGGATTTTCTATCTATATCACTCCAGAGGTTGAACACATGCTCGGAGCTTCATCAGTCCGTTGGTCCGTGGTAAATCATCAATGACACGAGCCTTGTGTGGCTTCATGTGCGGCTGTTGCGGACTTACACAGGTATCGCCGCACCAACCAATAAAGCGGCATTGGTCCTTGGGTGCGGTTGCTGCGGCGGAGAAGCGCGGCCCCCAACCATCGCTGTCTTCAATTTGGCTGACTTCGCCCGCCGTAGCTCCGACCTTCTTTCCCGGCACTTTTATCTCCGAGCGAGTCAATTCCGGAGTTCCAACCTAATTATGTCGGATATACTCCAGAATGGGGAGATAAATGTCCGAGTCTATCGAGAATAGGCAACTATGACAAGGCTGAGATAGAGGGGGCTTTAGAGAGTTCTAGAGAGTGGTCTAAAATGTATAAATTGACGTGCATTCCCTGTTCAGAGAGAGAGATAACCAGAATATTACTGTCTCATAACCTTGATTGTCTCAAACGCCTTGCTCAGTCATGATGCCCAAGTACGCCAAAAACCAGTCCGTCAACTTCAAAAACGCAATCGAAAGGGTCGCTCTTGTCGGCGTAAGTACACCCCTCGACAACACTACGCATATAAAAGAAGCTAACAAGCACTATTAGGCTGGAGGTACCATCGGATCGCATATTGCGAACGCCCTGCTAGAGACTGGAAGACACACAGTCACGGCTATTTCCCGCAAAGGCAGTGGCAACAAACTTCCCGAGGGCGTCCGAGTCGCCTCAGTCGACTACGATGATGAGGCCACCCTTGTTGCTGCCCTCAAGGGTCAACAATTCTTGATCATTACAATGGCTCCTACCGCGCCCCGGGACACCCACAGCAAGCTTGTCCAGGCAGCCGACAAGGCCGGTATCGACTACGTTATGCCTAATGGGTATGGCCTTGACATTGACGACATCAAACTTGGCGAAGACACAATGCTGGGGCCCGTAGCCAAGGCCAACAGGGACGAGATTGAGAGGCTCGGCATGAAGTGGATTACAGTGTGCTGTGGGTTCTGGTACGACTACAGCTTGGCCGGCGGGGATGCGCGATTTGGGTTCGATTTTGATAAGCGTTCCCTGACAATCTATGATGATGGTAACGTCAAGATCTCGACGTCGACGTTGTCGCAGGTCGGGCGCGCTGTGGCCAAAGTCCTGAGCCTCAATGAGCTTCCCAAGGATGAAAACGATAAAAGCCTTACTCTGTCCACTTTCTTCAACAAAGGCGTATATCTGAAAAGCTTTGTGGTCAGCCAAAATGACATGTTTGAGAGCGTCAAGCGTGTCACTGATACCACCGACGCAGACTGGACGATCACCCACGAGGATACCAAACAGCGATACAAGGATGGTCTGGAGCAAGTGAAAGTGGGTAACATGGCTGGTTTTGGCAAGATGCTGTACGCAAGGGGGTTTTACCCGGATGCTTCCAATGATCTCACAGCCAAGACGCAGAATGAGCTGCTTGGATTGCCCGAGGAGAGCCTAGATGAGTCTACCGAGATTGGGATAAATCTGGTCAAGGAGCTGCAGCTTCGTGTTGAGCGTATGGCATCCTAGCGAACAGCTTATAGGTAATTCCTATCTTAACTATGAAGTCGAATCCATCTCTTCTACCAAGTGCAGACTATATCGACAAGATCCTATATTCAAGGCTAATTTGAGGTTAAGCCATTTGCGTAGTTCACAGCCACAGCACTGTGGCTTACTGGCAGCCATCCCTTGTAAGCTCAAAGATGAGCTTTGCATTTCATACCTACACAAGTCATCAGCGTGCCCTTGGCCGGTTTGCAATTTGAGTGATAGTAGTAAAATCATGGTATACCTGTTGCAGTCGTATTCTAGTGTTGAGCCAGATTAGCGGGAAGTGCAGTGTTTTCACTATTAGCTGATGTCACTGGTCACTATCTCAAAAATTCAGGGAATGAGTGCAGAAGAACCAAGGAGCCTAACGATGACTGGGTGGTATGTATTCCTATTAGGCATCGAAGAGACATTCTGCGACGTCAGAGCATAGGTGGAGAAGAGTACGAAACATGATAGAATTAATCAACATATTAGGGATGTCCTTGGAATATCCCCGAAAGGTGATTTGAAGCGCACTGTAGAATTCCCATGGTCTGTACACATTCTGCGTGATAAAAACGGGACATCGGAAGATTACACCTCTAACGACGACTTCGAGGTGTTTATATCGATTCCCTACCTTGTTGCCCTGGAGAAGGGCGGCCAGTTCCCCTTCTAACTGGGTTGCTTGACAAGATCGCGGAGGAGCATGAAAGAAAGTGATTGATTTTCTGGGCTCTACAGTAGGGCAAGTCGCTCGCCTCGTGTCATTTCAGTTAGGTATATCCGTTGTGAAGACCTTGGTGCGGACTTTTCTCTGTTCGGTGGGGGAAGGAGAATGGAGGAGGCACGCCGACACAAGTTCGCAGCGTGACTACAGTGTCTGAGGCTTGCAAGCTTGACCAAAAATCATGGCTTAGTATAGTATGTAGAAGTTACTGGCAGCTTGAATACTGAATGCTCTGCAAAAGGGCCTCCTATTGGCTGATCACCAGGAAAGAAAAATACAAGCAGGAACGCGACTTGATCATGAGTCTGCATTATCGAAGCAAAAGACCCGATCAAACAGACGCTATTACTATGAGAAGCGCAGTGAGGTTAGAAAACCAAGATGATATCAGATAAGCCAGTAGATAGGTAGCCGAGGAGGTGAAAAGAAATGATTCTATTGGGCGTCTTTCAAGAGACGGCAAGCAATCTGAGAATCAGGAAGAGATAATGAAAAGGCAAGGTATAACAAACCCTACCAAGCAAGGAACGAGAAAATACAAGGAAAGAGAAAAGTGGGGCAGATACCAACTCTACAGTAGCACCATGGCCCGTAGCAAGAATCTTTGTATGGGTCATATTATGACCCATCTGGTCAATTCTGCATGTCGAGTATCTAGTTCTCTAATTGTTGCGCGCCTTCAGGGTATTAGCAGCAGTGATCAGAGCCGACGGCGCGTCTAAAGGCGACATATGCAATTCCACAATCTCCCAGGGTTAGCCAAACACCACACGCCTGTGTATCATGAAGCAAGCATACCTGTAGCACATGGGAATTATCGAAGCTCTTCCGGGAAGGCAATTCTTCCAAACGCGCTGTTGTTCTAACACTGTGTGATTGGTAGGTACCTGGGATTGCTCCGAAAACAGCAGGCAGATCACGATAATTCCATCCCTATATAACATTGTAGGACTTCTTGGCGCCATGAATGAATCTCTCAACAGTGTAACCATTGTTCGATATGATGAAGCTGGCGTATTCAAATTTCGTTTAATCCAGTTTCACTATTTCTTGCAGTACATAGAGAAATGGAACCATCTCGTCCTTCCTCAAGACTTAGGCCCTCTGAAGCACGCAACATTCTATAGTATAACGGTCACGTGATCGTTCACAGAGGATTTCCAGTGCTATGTGTTGTCCATCATGGTTGTTTCGTTTGCTTTTTCGATTCGTTGGACGGCTTCTCTGGCTCTGCCAAATCACTAGTCGCGTGATAGTTGATAAAACCGCGTGTTTTCGCACCTGCCTGTTGCTCCTGCTCTGGTTCCGTCACTGTCGACTTTGAGCTTTTATAAGTATGAACTAGCTCACTATGAACAAGACCATTGATAAAGCGAGACAGAAAATACATTGGCTTGAGAAAGCCCTCGGAGAACAACTAAGGTCCATATGTCACGTGTCACTATGCCGACTGTCAGCAGTCACTCGACCACCATCTTTTACTTAGGCCGGAACATGAAATTTGCCTTGTTACAGTGCCTCCAAGAAAGTTTGAACACACCCTACCACCGCCTACCACCACCGCTTTCCTCTTCCGCCCCTTAGTGCTCTAGCAACCAGCACCAATTGGAACTAGGTAAAATAGGCCGAATATCAACATCAACATCAACATAAACATCAAGATAAACATCAACAAAACAACGCGTGGAGTAGGGGGTAACGATAACTAACGTATGTGTCTATCCCCGAAGTCTTTCTATATACCACTAACCGTTAATATGGGTAGTGGCACAGAGCTTTCTCCCTCTATGCGCTCACGAATCTGTTCATTACGCCTCTCTGGGCGTTGGTCTTACGGTCAAATCCACCAAGAGTTTCCATATATACCTCGTTCAACAATTATAACAACTTGCCGGCGTCAAGGCATACGAGGCTTCGAGAACACTACAAAAAAGCGTTCTAGACGCCCACGAACGCTTAGCGAAGACGAACGGCAGATATTATACGACTATATTCAGGAGAAACCCTTAGTTTTACACGATAAGCTACTATTATTAGTAGACTACCGAATCTGCCGCGAAACGCTCCGAAAGATTCTTAAAGACTTCGGTCTTCGGAAATAGCGTAAAATCTATCGACTAATGCTTACTGAACACTACGCGCGTAAGCGGCTTATATAGGCAGAACGCTACCGACATTATACTACTGAGGATTTTACACGAGTATATTAGTCTGATGAGACCTTAATTAAGCGTGGTTCGGGTGAACGAGACGAGTGGAGCTTTTGTTGACTGAAAGATCAAGCTTATAAAGGCGAGGTTAAGCTAATTCCGCTAGGAAAGCAGCTTCGACAGATGTTTTGGGCTTTATTCGCAGGGGATACGCGCCGAACAGGCCTTATACCTCTTTTTAGGCACTCAGAATCTCCTCGAGGTGGAATTAACGCTATTCGGATACTCGAAACCTATCAACGTGTTATGATATATCCTGGCATGAGGTTATTCCCAAGTGTTGGTGCCTCAGGCTTCCCGGGCCTGATAAGCCGGCAGGCCTTCCCCATGTGTTGGTGCATCAGGCTTCCCGGACCTGATAAGCCGTCAGGCTTTCTGTGGAGGTTCGCTGGGGCTTCGGCATCAGTACGTGTACGAACTCCTGCAGGGAACACCCTTGACAGAGGTTACACAAGCCTCGTGTTTCACCCCGCTCCCATTTCCCTACCAAGGATACATCTCCTTCCTGTTTGAGTAATGAGACTGTATATAAAATGTAAGGATATACTCTATAAGTCAGGATAGAGGCCTGTCAATCAGGTAGGAGAAATGGAGCCAAGTCAATAGTGTAGAAAGGTCAAAGACTGTTTCTTGAGGATTGCAAAACCTCTTCAACATGGGTCAATTTATATACAGTCTCATCACTCAAACAGGAAGGAGATGTATCCTTGGTAGGGAAATGGGAGCGGGGTGAAACACGAGGCTTGTGTAACCTCTGTCAAGGGTGTTCCCTGCAGGAGTTCGTACGCGTACTGATGCACCAACACTTGGGAATAACCTCATGCCAGGATATATCATAACATAAAATGACCCATGTTGAAGAGGTTTTGCGATCCTCAAGAAACAGTCTTGACCTTTCTACACTATTGACTTGGCTCCATTTCTCCTACCTGATTGACAGGCCTCTATCCTGACTTATAGAGTATATCCTTACACAACGATATCTTCCAATCTTAATTTCTAATCCACACAAAGCAACTTTTATGCACGACGGTGCTAGCACGTATACTGCGAATATTGTACGAGACTAGCTACGCGAGCAATGTTTTGAAGTGATGGAATAGCCTCTATATTCGCCTGATCTTAATCCGATTGAACACCTCTGGTCGCTACTTAAAGATAAGGTATTGAAGCTATTCCCAGAGCTATACACAATGCCTAATAACGAGGAGACACGGTGGTATCTAATTGGGTGTGCCTAGCAGGCGTGGTCAGCGATAGATCCGCAGATATTGCGCAACCTCTGTGACAGCATGCCCAGACGTGTTTAAGCTATTTTAGAAGCAGAAGGGTGGTACACTACTTACTAAGGGGCTACGTATATTAGAGTATGTTCGGGTATTCTGCTGGCAGAATATTATGTCATTAATTAATTATTAAAATAGGTGTGTTCAAACTTTCTTGGAGGCACTGTATTCTTCTCTTCGTAAGAAATGGCGCTAGTGCATGGTGGCTGGGCACCGGAAACCTGCGTGATTGTTGCTTGCCTATCAGGTGGCTGCGGCCCCTTTATTAGGCGGCCACTGCAGGGTTTGACTATTGATACTTTGGTATTGTATACAAAATCAATACAAATTACCATACAATACATAATCTTACAAATACTTAGTAAAGACTGGAACTACTGAACCCTGGTCTGTCTGACGTCTTTCTAGCGGTAAATTATGACCACTGAGTTCATCATATATAGCTAGCTACACGCGAGTGCCTAAATGTGTCGTACCCTATGCTTAGGGCCCCGCTGGTGCAGCTAGTAAGCCGAATCCAGAATATGCTTTTACCTTTTGATTTGTTCTCCAGCTACAAACCTCGGGCATGATGGCACGGGGGCGGAATTTTCGGCGACGGCTGATCGCTGCATTGGCGTTAATGATTCTCTTCACTTGCTATCTACACTGGCAGACAAAGAACACGTCAATTGTAGTGACTCAGCATCCGCTGCTTTCAAAATATGTCTCTGGGCAGAGGGGAAATGGTGGAGGTACGAATGAGACTTACATATGTCGCCACACAAGCCGTGTCCTTGCTAACATCCGCAGCCTGGTATATTCCCCCTAGCTGGTTAGAGGATTCTAACGCTCCCATTGAAAACATTATCGACGCTGCCACTTTGGCTCTGGGTGCATCGCTATCCCTGTCAGAGCGGCAGATTCCACACTCTGTTATACCTCTGATTATTCATCAAACATGGAAGGACACACACCCTGAGCAATGGCCAGACATATTCCGCCAAAGCACTGAAGCATGGCTATCAGGCGTTGATAGTGGCAATATGGCGTACTTTCTGTGGGATGATAACGGGATCGCCCAGTTCATCCGGCACTTTGAGCCGGACATAGAGAGCCAGTTCTATGCACTGCCGAGTAATGTGGAGCGATCAGACGTGTTTCGCATCCTGGTATCCAAACGGATCGGTGGCATTGTGAGTTCATTCTCTTTCTTTGCCTAAAACCGGATTTGATTCCGACATTTTCGCGGCACTAATCGAACACAGTACGGTGATATGGACACCGAACCCACTCGACCCCCGTCGCAGTGGATTGCCCCTGAGGATTTACAGGCTTGGCAGGATTCGGAGACGGGCACTGTCTATAACTCAACCGAGCCAATCAAAGCTATTGTTGGTCTGGAGGCAGATTGCCCACCTACCAGCGACCTATACTGGCGTATGGGTTATTTCTACCCCGTCCAACTCACTCAGTGGTCATTTGCCTGGGCTCCCGGGCACCCCATTCTTCAGTTGTTTATCAACCGTCTACTTGCAACAACTCAGGCGGTCTCTGAGAAATATGGAGGGCAGCTGGGATCATACTCAGCGCAAAAGCTCTCTATGCCATCGACCCATTAAACCTGACTGGGCCAGTCGCGTTCACGGATTCCGTTCAAACGAGCCTGGAAGCAGAGTGGGGTTTACGATGGAACGCTCTTTCCGGGTTGGATGACGGAGGGCTAAGCAAACAAGTAGGCGATGTTCTCGTCCTGCCAATCACAGGCTTCAGGTATGTTCTGCACCACCAGACTTCGTCCGTGTACTAATTGAGTGAAGCCCCGGACGGGGACAATATGGAAATATGGGCTCCAAGCCTGTTACGGATGATTCTGCTCGATTATTTCACCATGCAGCAGGGTCATGGAGAACATCTAGCCTGTTGGTCGAGTACGGCAAATTTTGTCGTACCTTTTTTGGGCGCTGTAGGTACTGGTCCAAAGTTCCTCATAACTGGATTATCTGAGATCGGCGGAACTGAACACTACGTGAAAATAATGTTTGTGATCGTTTTTCCCTCTATCAATGATAGCGATGGCGCTGGGTGAATTGATGTGACAAATTTGAGTCACTCACGCAGAATTTATATATGCAAGAATAGAATACGCCCGACAGACAGCCTAATCGAATGTAATCGTCCTGAACTAGAGGTTTCGAGTATCCTGGAAACCAAACGACTACTTGTAATTCAATAACAGCGCGGATGGCATTGTCGTGGCAAAACTAAATTTCACATGGTCGTCGGAGAGAGAAAAAAACAACCGACTTCATCATCATTGGAGGGACATTGTAGCTGCCACTTGATTCTAGTACATATTCTTGTTATTCATGAATATCCATCACATTTTGCGGAACTTGTTGTGTAGACTGACAGTACCTGTGTTAAGTTAGGTATTTTGTACTCCGGACTCTCAGAGATCATTCTATGGCTTGGCGTCATCACACGTGATCAGGTACCTTTCTCACTCGGGTGTCAGGCAGCACCGGAACGGAAAGACATCCAACAATGCCCGCCGGTGTCCAGTCCGACGAGTATGAGCTTAGCTCCGAGTCGTTACTCGGGTGGAGGAAAAACGACCTGCCTGGTTATGAATGGCGACATCACACCTCCACCCTGCGTTGGATGGGAAGGAAACTGTCCGCGCTCTCAACTGCCGTAATCCTCCTCTTAGTTCACACCCTGAGTGTGCTCTTCGGATTGGGAGTTAGACGCCGAGCGATTTTCTTGATTCGCCTCACACTCGGTGGCCTTCTAGTGCTGATATGCCTGACTGGATTATTTTGGCCATCATATACCCACTTACCGCCACATTATAAGACACTCAGAAACCAAGTCCATAGCAGCGGTTCTCCTGGACGCGGTAACATTGAGAACCAAAAAGTCTACATTGCCGCTGTTCTTTACGATCCCGAAGGGACAATTGCTAACGGGCGATGGGGAGACGCAATTCTCCAACTTATTGAACTTCTCGGGGAGCAAAATGTTTTCCTCAGTATATACGAAAACAACAGCGCACAAGAAGGCGAGAATGCCCTCCAGGCTCTAGCTGATCGAGTGACTTGCAACAAATCGATCGTATCAGAACCAGGTCTCAGCTTGGGGAAAATACCTAGAGTGGCCATCCCAGGAGGAAACATGCGAATCAGGCGCATCGACTATCTGGCCGAAGTCCGAAACCGTGCTTTGAAGCCACTACAGAGCGCTGGCATGACGTACGACAAAATAATTTATCTGAACGACGTGATCTTTGACCCTGTCGAGGCACTCCAGCTTTTGTTTTGCACCAACGCGGACTCTGATGGCGTTGCGCAGTACCGAGCCGCATGTGCAGTGGACTTCAGCAACGCTTTCAAGTTCTACGACACCTACGCAACTCGCGACTTAGAAGGCTATGGAATAGGTCTTCCTTTCTATCCTTGGTTTACTACCGCGGGCAAGGCGCAGAGTCGTCAAGACGTGCTGGAGGGGAGAGATGCTGTGCGCGTCCGCAGCTGTTGGGGTGGTATGGTGGCATTTGATGCCAAGTTTTTCCAAGACCCTGATCCTGTTCGATTTCGTGCGGACTCTGAAATATTCTGGGATGCATCCGAGTGCTGCATTATTCATGCAGACTTACGCGATGCAATACCGACCTTGGAAGGATCCCACAGCTCAGGATCATACATGAATCCCTTTGTTCGGGTCGCTTATGACGCACGAAGCCATTCTTGGCTTTGGACAACTCGACGTTTCGAAAAGCTATATCCATTCATTCACAACATCTTGAGCCATTTGGTCGGATTTCCCCGATATAACCCTCGGCGCACAGAGTTGTCTGGCCAGAAGATCATGGACACCATTTGGGTGCCGGGCGATGGTAAAGGAAAGGAGGGGAAGGTTCGAACTACAGAGCGTGAAGCTGGGAATGATGGCTTTTGTGGCCGTCGGGGACTCGAAGTCCTCGTTGAAAAGAGAATGTCTGGTCAAGATGGGTTTGAGCCCATCAAAGTTCCAGCCGGCTTGGTTTAGTCCGTGTTTGAAACTGTCCAAATAGATACATTTAATATCAAATATGCGCCAGATAATGATGAGGCTCCGCTCGATTATATCAAACAACTTCACCCCACTATACTCATCTTGAAATCAGGAGTAGTATTTAGTGTACTAGGTAGCCAGATCGTAAGATGAACCTTTGAAACATGTAGTGTATCATGTATGTGGCATCCGGGGAGTAAGTTACATCAGGAAGTCATGAAAGGGGAAATTGAAAAAAACCCGGGTTGGCAAAACCTGGGCAGAGTAACGTAACCAAGACCATGTTTAAAACATGTGATCTATCACTGTCTCTAGGATTTCAGGTGGGGGGCTGCAACTAAGGAGAGTCTTAAACGAGCCGACCTCTCAGCTCTCGCGAAAAGGCGGGACAAATTTGTCTCTCAGCCTTGCGAGGCAAATTGGCCCGAGAGGTTGAGAGCATGCAATTGCAGGGATCAAGACGAGCACTTTCTCAGAGTGGATAAGCTCGTTTTCTGGCGAGGATCAAATAGCTTAGCTGTGTAGTCTGCGACATTCTTCGATCATCGATTGGTCAATTGAAGAGTTTAAGCTTTAGGGGTGAGATCAAGGTGGGCCTAAATTCCGGCCCTTCCGTAGGCAACCATATTGTGATTTGCTATCAGGTCTGTCACTGTACGGATGTACCGTATTGTATACAGTACTACCTTGTAATACTATTTCTAGCAAACTCGACCGCCTGGGCCAACAAACTGACGTGATCAGCAATTATAAATGGCGTATTGACGGTTCTAGACGCATTGAAGCCTACATAGGCATCGCGTGTCGCAATACACGAGGAAGGACCCAGTTACAAAACTGTAAAACCAAAGAAAAAGTGTATTCGATTAATAACCCTCTGCCAAGTACCTACCACCTGTTAGCCCTGCAAAATAATTAGATAGTCAGAAACTGCTAAATTCTCTCTTTGCTGACTTGATGGCCTTCCTGCTTGTCAACTAACCCCCTAATGAGATGATTGTAGTTCGTCTCGTTAAGCGGCTAGGGCGCCGGCTTTCCACACGACGCTGGCCTGCGATTCTGATCGCCTTGGCCAGCGCTGTCGTAACATATGCCCTTTTCCTGTATTTCATTTTTGCCTATTATCTGGCCGATGACCCACGCCTTGTTCCTGATACATTTCGACATGCACGCCGGCCTGTGCTTATCACGGCACACCCAGATGATGAAACCCTGTTCTTTAGCCCCAGCATTCTCTATCATCGACACGATCCCCATGTTACACGCTCCCTATTGGTGATCTCATCAGGTAGGCAGATTAGGTCTCTGAAACATCTAATGAATAATCGTCTAACGGTTATTATAAGGAAACTATAACGGGATTGGCGAGCAACGCCAAACAGAAATTCACAACAGCTGTGCTGCCTTGGGTATCTCCCTTGATCACTGCGTCGTCTTAGACCATCCTGAGCTTCAGGATAATCCAAAGAAATGGTGGGATGAGAGGCTGGTTGAAGAGATTGTCGCGTCCTATATTAAGAAATGGGAGGCAGATCTGGTTAGTGCCTCTACAACACCCGGTTAGATGAAGCTATTTCCTAACCTCGATTCCTAGATCATGACGTTCGATGAAGGCGGAATCTCAGGTCATATCAACCACAGAGCTGTCAGTGCTGGCATTAGGTAAGTCTTCAATGAGGTCCCTTGTGTCCCTGTGTCTACGTCGTTTCCCCACGATTCTCAATTCATGAACGTCTGGTAACCTTTGCGAATGCAGGAAATATGTCACGGCCAAGGAGAATGCACCCCCTGCGTTTACTCTGCAGAGCACTTGGCTACTGCGAAAGTATTCATCATTGATGGATCTAATTCCTTCCACTGTCCCATTTCTGTGGAAGATACTTAAGAACCCGGTGTCCCCTGCCACTATTCCAGGGAACCCAAAAAGTGCAGATCGATCTCTCGTCCTGGCGACAGGGAAGGAGAGCATACTACTAGTGAGCTCGTGGAAGACATACCTTGAATCACGAGCTGCATTCGGTCAACACGAGAGCCAATATTCATGGGATAGAATGCTATATTTAGTGATCAGTCGTTATATGTGGTTCAACACATTGGAGAGAATTTGATAGCACGAGATATGACACGCAAAGAAGTGAAGTAGAGGATAAAGATGAATTTGGATACATCAAATTACAGAATGGATCAGTTGGGGGATAGAAAGTCATGTGCATGTCAGAATGTTTGCAGGAGAAGTATATTACAATAAAAGAGGTTTGCCTACGTGTTCTTCCACAGAGGCTTGAGGGGAGAATTCCCCGAGTGAGATTCGACATCTCGTCGTGACGAACGATGTCGTGCCGAGCAGGTACACCAGATCAGTAGACCCAAGGCCCCAACCACAATTAGCATAGCAGCAAAGACAAGCTTTGGATCGACATTTTTGAAAAGCAGTATGAGTCGCGCGTCTTTTGTGTGCCACGAGGAAGATCCTAGATGGCGGAAGAGGGGAGTATCGACATATCCGTTCAACATATGCATGGATGGTTGATCGGGGGTCCCGGAGAGAATGCGAAGGCTCGATTGTTTTTTTTGTAGTGTGTACACGGTCCTTCATATAGAAAAATTAGTTAGCCGTAACAACACGCACGCGTATTCAAATCCGTAGACCATTTAAGACACTCACGAAGCATAGTGGCAGCCTGTGCTGAACATCACTGTCACATACGGCAGAAGCGGCCATACATGGTTGAACATAGGTAAACTCTCGATGAGGGATTTGACAAAGGGGTTATTAGGCGAGGAAAGCATCATGCCAATTGAGAAACCCGTCGGATGGGCAGCCGGCGCGACAAAATCAAACTGACGAAGGGGCTCGAGGGACCGTTTGCAGGCCAGATCAAAGTCGAGAACAGCCCCTACTCACATTCCCATTGTCAGCACATCAGCTTGACTGATAATCTTGTATCATGCGCAACGTACCCCCATGTTTCTCCAGCGTCATATAACGTAGAGCATCGACACGTTGAACCATGAATGGATAGCTCCTCCACATGTCAAAGAAGTGAGGATAATTTTCCTCTACGAACTGGGCCGAATTACTATCATTCCAGAGAAAGATCTCCCACGACTCGTGGTGCTTTAGACAATCGGCCCTTGCTGCAAGCCATTCCGAATGTGGAGGATTTGGACCGAGGTGAATGTGGTGTAGCTTTGCTGGAATCAATGGGCGCAAACCTGCATCCTCCGTAGAATAATTGGCCGGAAACGACGAAAATGTGAGGTCAAAATGATCGTGTTGCTGGGAGATGACCGCCTGCGCAGAAGACTTGGACCATACAAGTGGTAGTCGGAAAAGATAGTATAACCTTTGGATCGAAGGAGCTGATAGGCATACTAGAATCAGTAGCAAAAGTAACACAAGGAAAACTCGAAGTCGACCTCGCGCCATGACTCTGGCGGTAGTCAGGACAAAATCAAAGCCGCCACGGTTGGGTATAGTGCTTCGCGTGATGATTTAATGTATATGCGCACTGCTGCCTGGGCAGCCTTGTCAGAACCAGAATATCAAAATACACTAGTAATGATGGACCCAACTGAGATCCCGAATGAAGGTTGAGAGCGTCTCATCTCTAGCCTCAACAACTCGTATTGGCAGCTTACAAGGGGCCTCTACTATTGTATGTATTTTCAAAACAGCCTGACAGGAGTTCCCATATTTAGTTTCATCTTAAAACTCCTTCGTTAAGCTTAGTTACAAGCGCTAGCAAACCCTATATGTGAGCTCATGACTCCTGAAGGAGCAAAAGCCAGGATTCAGGGTCTATCACTGGCTTGTAAGTCCGCTAAGTAGTGCCGTAAATGAATACAGTCGACGGAAAATACATCGTTACCAGCACGGTTATGTACTAGTATTAAGGGTCCAACCTAGATATGATGCATAATCTCCCTCGTGGGGGCGGTCAAGCTTTGACAGATATTGGAGTTTTTCTTACCGTGTTCTAATCGTATTTCAAATACCGCACGTTGTCCTGTACAAAACCCGAGCAGGTACTGCATGCAGTCGTGCATGTCCTCGTGTGATAGAATACCGCCTCTGATCTTGACAAAAGAAACTGCTCACAGAAAATTTCCTTTCCAAGTATTGAGTCTATACATTGTAATAGGGATCCGGCGCCCCACTCTAGGCTGCTTTTTCGAGCGCCCTTGTCAGCTCGCTTCGAGGAACCCTAGAAACTAGTTCCATAAAGCTTGGATCTTCCTGTTTCCTCAAAATGTGCTGTGTTCTTACAAGCCCCTTTTGCCTTCATGCAAGCACAGGCTCCGAAGGTTGCGATAGGGCGGTGGTTTCATTTCCCGTCCAACCAAAATGCACAACTATGGACATACATAACTCTCACCCTCGTAAGCAATGCATTCCGAGTCTTTACTTCCTGCCTGACATATCAATCTTAGCTGGTTCTACAGAACATGACATCTATATTAGTATGTACACTGTCCAAAAGCCTTGAATTATGAATACTAAGACGAGTTTTAGTTGCAGCACGTACTCCAGTCACAGCCGATTACATATCATAACAGGTTCGAGCCTTTATCTGGCATTGTCCTGGTTGAAATATCCAAGTTCGCGATCTCTACATTATGCGTCGTGCATTCAGACACAGCCCCATCTCTGCGGAAGGTTCTCCACGACACCCTGCTTGATGCTTCTAAGGACGCAACGGTGTCAGCGCTACTTTTTACCGCCGCTACCATTCTACAGAGCGTGGGGGCTCACTATCTCGATCTTATTCCCTATCTTGTATTGTCCCAACTAAAGACGCTTCTTACGCCGCTTTTCGCCAAGTTCATGCTAAACCAGAGATATCCTTTCAAGAACTGGATTTTTGTCGCCATGATGGCGCTTGGCATTGTCTTGGCTCAACTTGGATCCAGCTCAAGCACATCAAGTACGAAAGATTTGAAGACTCAGGCGATCGTGCGTGGGGCCATTGCAATGCTACTAGCAGGGATTTGCGTTGCTCTGGGGAGCCTGTGCATTGAGAGAACCATGAAGAGATCAGGTCTTCTTTTTCTCTGCAACGCTCAACTAGCGGCTTATAGCTCCTCATTCGCCTTGATTTACTTTTTCTGGCTCACAAAGTTCAGCTTCAGGCATTTTTTCCGAGGATTCAATACTTTAGTCTGGATTTACTTAGCCCTCCAAATTTCGGGAGGTTTCCTGGTTGCGCGATGCGTTCAGATGACCAGCACAGTAACCAAAAACTATGCCCAGGGTCTGGGATTTGTCTTGGCCGTCTTGATGCCTCCATTGGTGGCCCACCAGCATATCAGCATTAAGGTGAGATAACGCGGGAACTGGGCATACTGTGAGAAGTGGTGTCACTAACTCCATCGTCATCATCAGCTACTGGCCGGAGTTGGCCTTGTCCTGGCTTCTGTACTTGGGTCATCATCTTCCAACCAAGGAAAATCGGCTGAGTTAGAACAAAAAGAAAAAGACTTGGGTACATGCAATGTGTAAAATATCATATCCCATTATGTCAGCGTCGTGATCATAGACGCCATGGATTTCAAGGAACAATGCTAGATCTATCAATTTGTCTAGGTGATTCTCACCGTAGTCGGGCGCTGCATGCTTGATATCCGGGTCAGACATTCTCTTACCAGGTGTCCTCCATGTGTCCTTCAACTAGAGAATGGTCTTTCGAGCATATGTGACCAGCCCAAGGCTTTTTCGGCTGCTGTGAACCGGTGCCTTAAGGAGTCAATGCACCAAAGAAGCAAACTACGCGCTCACGCCTTTAGATTTGTGTTATCACCATAGCGAATTAGCGTTGCACAATGGCAATTATTGAAATTTACGGTACTTAACAGGGAGTTCACTATGTGTCGTAGAGAGGTAAGATTGATCTGGTAACTGAGATACATCTGGTACTATTGGACTCCACAACGAGAGTATCACAAATCTTTTACCCAGAGAGTGTACAGCAAATAGCAAAGAAGCAACAGCCGGGGGCGGGGTGGGACAAAGCAAGCAGTTCTATACCATTCCTAGGTTTCAACGAGTATAGGAAAAATGGGGGCAACTATCTCCGGAGGTAATACGTGGTCGGGCGAGGTATGGAAGTTGGCTGTCTCGGCTATTTATGTGCTCTCAGTGGATTTTGATGAGACAGCTCCAAACTGGATCCTTATCAAATCTGATTTTTCAACCCTACATAGCAGGTGGAATTTCAAAGCTAACCTTTCGCTAGATGATTACACACTAGACAAGTAAGACAAGGCATGTCTATGGCCAGATAGGCGAATGTCCTCGTACCAAAATGGTTTTTTGACTGCCCGCTCCGGCCCATGCGCATCGCAAAGATATATCTCCAGACCCTTGATAGACGCAATGACTACCAAGCTCACTGTCAGACGGAGATCAGGCTTAGCATTCTCAGACATGTTATACGTCCTTTATTCCACCCTTCCAGCGAATTCATCTAATTCATCTAACTACCTAGTGCATGGTGGACGCAAGTAAATAGATCTATTCTACCCTGATAGAGCCCCACTCCGAGAAGTGGGCGGAACGGAACGCGTGGGAGAATTCGTCGGCAGGTCCGATGCAGATCCGGAATTAGAATTCGACATGACTACCCGACCGCGTGACTTAGCGTGGCTTGAAATTCAAAGCTTGCCAAAGCTCTAGACTTGCCCTAGATGGGTTAAGGTTACTGATCTAACCCGCCAGAAAACACGTGGTGAAACTGCCATAATATAAAGCGATGGCATCATGGTCCTTCCTCCTCCTTCTGGAGGGCTCTGTATTCATCCGCATCGATAGCGAACGGGATGCCGCTACTTACCCGATCGGGCCCGCTGACGTACGACTATTGCGCGGGCAGCGCGTATCCCCGCCTACACTTGTCCGTGGCCCACGACCTACGCTTCCACCAAGCAATCCTGACTATGATGTCCAAAGAGAGAACGAGAAAATTTTTTCGCCTCGCTTTCCGGCGCGCTATGAAAAGATCCTCGCAATTCGACCTGGTCGTGGGCAACGCCTTTGCGCGGCGTATTAGCGAGCGATCAGTAGTTGCTCTGACTCTCATTCTCGGTCCGATTGAACGGGCTATTCCCATAAGTTCTCAGTATCCAGCCTGGAATCTTCAAGCTCTTCCTGGCTAGTTTTCGAATTTTGATACAAAGCCATAACTACGTTGCCAGTCAACCAACCTACTGGATTCTCTCGTCCGGAATTGGTTATCTTAAGATACAATGCGGACCTCAACGCCGACGGCAATTGCTCCCCTTCTTAACGACTATTTCGGTTCTGCGCATACCAGGGAGAGTAGCTATAATTCGGATGGCTCCTTCGATGTGAGTCTCACTTTGGTGAACCAACGAAGTGACATCTAGTGGCACGCAAGAAATAAGGAACTGATTGGGTTGCAGTCCCGTCGCTCACTTGTCTCTGGCATTCGCCGTTATCCCACGCGAAAGATTAAGCTCGTACAGGGCTATGTTCTGAGTGCCGACTACCCAGTGCCAAGCGCCATTCAGAATGCCGTCCAGAAACAATACCGAGAGTCCGCAGAACTTGGCGAGGAATTCTCCCAGGTCAGATGTGAGTTACGACCAGTGAACTTCATGCTGTGTTCAAGACTGATTGAATAGACACTGCTGCTACCTGCGACCCGGATGAATTTGTTATGCGAAATGGCTATAACCTTCGCCCGGCCATGTCCAACCGGCACACTGAATTGATGATCGCAATTACATGCCGAGGCGAGAACAAGGTTCTGACTGCGCGGACTCTTCACGGAGTAATGCAAAATATCCGCGATATCACCAATCTCAAGAAGTCGAAATTTTGGAATCAAGGAGGACCAGCTTGGCAGAAAATTGTTGTCTGCCTAGTCTTCGATGGAATCGACCATTGCGATAAGAACACACTTGACGTACTCGCGACGATCGGTACCTACCAGGATGGCGTGATGAAGCGATCGGTAGATGGCAGAGAAACAGTCGCGCACATAGTAAGTCAAGACATGTCAGGCTTAATGTTGAAATACTCACCAAGAGTAGTTCGAATATACTACGCAACTTTCTGTTACGCCGAACCAGGAATTGATCCGACCTTATGGAGACGACTGCTCAAACATCCCTCCCGTCCAAATGATGCTCTGTTTGAAACAGGAAAGTAGCAACAAAATCAATTCGCACCGTTGGATCTTCAACGCATTTTCTCGCATGTTAAACCCAGAAGTAGTGATACTACTTGATGCGGGCACCAAGCCTTGCAAGGAATCATTTCTCGCATTATGGCAGTCGTTTTATAACGACAAGAATCTGGGAGGCGCTTGCGGTGAAGTCCACCCAATTCAGAACAAGAAAAAAAGCATTCTCAATCCCTTTTTCGCTGCACAGACATTTGACTTGAAACAGTCCAATCTTCTCGAAAAGCCACTGGAGAGCGTCTTCGGACATGTTTCACTGGGCGAATTTTCCGCGTACCGCTATCGAGCTATTATGGGCCGACCACTTGAACAATATTTCAATGGTGATCTGACGCTGTCGAAGAAGCTGGGAAAGAAAGGCTTTGAGGGCATGACCATCTTCAAAAAGAATATGTTCTTTGCGGGTGATCGCATCTTATCTTTTGAAGTAGTCGCTAAGGCCGGCTTCAAGTGGCATTTGACGTTTGTCAAAGGATCGAGGGGAGAGGTTGAAGTCCCGAGCGACTATGCAGAGTTCATAGCGAAGAGACGCCAGTGGCTAAATGGATCTCTTGCGGCGAATCTCTACGCTTTCATTCACTTTGGTCGGCTTTATAGGAGTGGACACAATTTGTTGTTTCTGGCATTTTTCCACCTGCAGATGATATACAATTTTGCCAAATTTGTGATGAGTTGGTTTTCACTTGGTATGATTGACCAAAGTATTCCGAGTTTGAGCCAATACTAAGTGTCGACAGCATCGTTCTTCATCATAACGTCGGTCATCATGGGCCTTGTCGGCACACCTAATGATGCCAATGATCAACAAGCATGGCCATTTGGAAATGAAGCTACGCCAATTGTGAACAACTTCCTCAAATATGGCTATGTCTTGCTCTTGTGTTTGCAATTCATTCTTTCTCTCGGAAATCGCCCCAAAGGGTAAGCAATTTAGAGTTTCGCTGAACTGACAATATCAAGCTGACACTATCCTTGATTTCTTGATGTACAGTTCCCAAGTAGCTTATATCATCTCATTCACCTACTTTCCACTAATCAATATGTACACCGCTGTGCTAGCATTCTACTTGGTTAGCCAGGCCACGAAAAAGCTGGTTGTCAACTCAGTGCTATACGAAGATGCGATGCAATCGGCAGTCTGGAACAATCTTGGCTCGAGTATGGTCTTGATTACATTGGCGGCTACATACGGGGCACATCTCGTTGCCAGTCTTCTTTATATGGACCCGCTGCACCTTCTAACGTCTACCTGGGCCTACTTCGCAGGAACAACCTGTTTCTCGAACATACTTATGGTCTACGCCTTCTGTAACTGGCACGATGTCTCGATTGGCACCAAGGTCGTTGACAAAAGCGAGGCTCTGCCCGAAGCCCAGACAAAGAAAGATGAGAAATCAAAGTTCATCGAAGAATTGGATCGACCCCAAATTGATATCGATACCCTCTTTCAAGCTACTGTCAAACGAGCTTTGGCCACATTCGAGCCACCACAGGAACCGAATGGGAAGGACGTGGACGATCTGTATAAAGCTTTCCGGACATACCTCATCCTTCTATGGGTTTTCAGTAATCTAGCCATGGTTCTTGGCATCATGTGTACGGAAGTTACTCGATTTTGTCTTTCGGTCAGTACTATCAGTGACATATACCATGGCCTAGCTAACACATTGAATAGACACTACCCATTATCCGTATTTGGAATTATCTTTTGGCTGTGGTGTGGGCAACAGTCGGAATCTCACTGTTTCGTTTTGTCGGGTCCCTCTGGTTTTTGGCAAAGACGTCTGTTATGTGCTGCGTCTCACGGAAATGACCCTCTTATATCCTGACAGTGAATCACCCTGTTTGCCATATGCGACTCTCATCCCTCTAGATCCTATAGCTGTTCAGAGACCATTTATTTTATGACATTTGAATTGGATTGCCTTGAAATGACATACAACGAGATTCAGGCTTCGTGGAATCCTCGGGAGGGCTATTCTCTTCTGCATTCACCCGAATAGTATATGGTATTAGCCAATCTTATGAAACTCAGTTCGAGTTGGAAAGGAAGAAATATTGAGTATTGACATCGCTAAATTGACAGACACAGGTCGATCTATAAACAGGACAAGAGAAACTATAATGGAAAACGAAAATGCGAGGTGGGTATTTGTTGCCAGGCAGCATACACCGTGTATTGATGAAATAAGGACCTCATTGAGCCTCATGAGAGGCCTTCCGCTTGGCCCTTCAATTCTTGGAAGTAGATTTCCATTTCTTCCATCGCATTTGCAATGCGTGCAGCCATATATCCATCTCCTATAGGCCGCCACCACTTGTGGTGAATAGATTTGAGCCCGCCTTCGTAATCAGATTGAGAACCTCCTTTGAAATTCCAGCCAGGGCCAAGATCTTGCCATGGCATTGGTCCATCCGTTCTATGAGCGCAATTGAGTAGGTTCTGTTCAGGGTACGCAGAGTCGAACTGATCGGGGGTGTCAAGAATAGAAACGTAGTAGTCGAACAAGGTTTTTGATGGTCGCAAAACAAAGAACCCTGCATTCATGTAGTTATTCTTCTCATAAAACTCATCACCTTCCACGGGAGGCATAAACTCTTCCATCCAAGGATCGTGGATACCAGAGATCATGTAGTGCTCTGGTAATTGGGCGGTTGTGTTGAGTTTGGGCGTAAGTGTGTCACGGAGGTTGGTCTCTGGACTCTCGAATATTCCATCAATTGGGCGGAAGATGACAGAATCGGCATCAAGAAACGCAATCTTTTCATATTGTTCAAGCTTCCATAGATTCAATTTGGCTAGCACACCACTCCAGCGACCCCATTTCGGATGAATCCAGTCACGCCCCAAGCTTTCGACTGGGACTATAGTTGCCCCGTCATTTTTGAGAATTTCTCGGTGTGTTTGAGGAACGTCAGGTGTCACGAGAACAAGAAATGGGATCTCATGACTGCCGTTGCGAGTACGAGGGTTGTGAAGCAGTTGATAGGTAAGTAGTCTTGCCGCTTTCAGGTAAGGCTCTTCCACGGCCGGGTATTCGACATCGCCTTCAGCAGTCAAGATCGTAGCGAATGCATATCGTGGTGAGCTTAGCCTGTCACTGGGAGTTGTCACAATGGACTTCACGTCTCGTATGAAGTATAGTGGGTGGAGTGAGACCGTGGCCCAGAAAATAATGAACAGACAAATGAAAGCCAAAAGAACCCTCCTGAAGTAGGGCGATGTCTGACTTTTAAACATTAACATCATTGGTCGTTGGCTCTCATTGACTCAATGCCACAAATTAGCGAGCGAACGTAGGAAAGGAGAGTCGTATTCGACGAGAATTGGCCCTAGTCGGCCTTTTTGCAAAATATTCAGTCAGCCTCTGGGCCTTGGGAGAAAAGGGAAAAACTACACGTGAGGGATCCTGCGATACGATCCCGGCATTGTTACTTTTTCACTGCTAATGTATAATAAATCTTGGTTCCACCAAGGCTTCAGCTTGGCCCCTGGTCTCTTATTTGCTCAGACTCCTAAGTATGGTGGGGACTAAGTAAGATGAGCAACTGTACTCCGTACTCCGTACATAGCTACGAGGCAGCTTAGGGTACGGGAGCGGCGGACCGATCAGGATGTCCATGGAACCTTACGGTCGCTCCCACGCAAACAATGTTGGACCCTGAACCCGGGGAAGACGAGGGAGAGAAATGTCAACAAGTGTGGTTCCATAATAGTCATTTTTCTGAGAATAAACTCAAGATAAGTGCCCAAAAGGCATCATGTTGCTTTACTTCTCTCTCCTTATTTTTGCAGATGCTCCTTTGAACCTCAGATCCCTGGTAATTCCAGCCCGACGATCCCCTGAAAATGTTGACACTTCACTCATCCGCCATGGGGCTTCTCTGTAATAACACCCACCCATTAATAATGACTAGAGTGGACCCTGTCTGGTTTCGTTTAGGACCGAGCACACACTTGATAGGTTGCCTCGAACTGAAAGTGGCTCTTTGGCCCAAAATCAGCCTTGGCCTGGCTCCACTGTCCGAGGAGGGCAGTTGTAATGGTCCTCCCTGTATTGCGGCTGATGCGAACTGATGGATATCCGCCCTTATGTGGCTCCTTGGCATTTTCAATTAGTTTGCTATTGCTCACCGAGCTGTGTCACTATTGTCTCTAATAAGGTCACAAGGAGGATCTTGTCCGCCTATAAAAGGTAGCGATATAGGGCACTCTATGTATCATGTTTCCTCTGTGAGGTAGGACCTCCCCAGTCATTTTGTTCTCTCCAGGACTGATCCGGCGACAGAAGGCACACGGCCAGCACCTTGCGCCTCCAGGTCTGCATCCCGTCTGACCTCAAATTTCAGTATCCTGTTATGTATATAGCGAGGACCATCTCTATCTTTTGTGGTTTTAAGTTTTATCTTGCCTAGTATATGTCCCATGAGCACCGTTATCCACATCCGGGCAGCTTCGATGTACTCGATTCTAAAGCGGTCCATATGAGGGTGGCTGATACGAGGCTGGAAATGGGGACTGCGTTATAATTGGCGATAAGCTGTCGATTTTCTAATCAAGAGAGCTATCTAGGAATATGTTGTAAAGGTCCTTACAGATGATATATGAGACGTAACCTAGGTCAAGCCTACCCTCAGTATTGGTGCGGAATTGGCTAATATCGAGGGTGAAGAACGAAGTTATGAACGACAATAGGAGCTGCAATGAGTCAACTTTAGTGATCAATAGGGGAAGCTGCACTTACGAAGACGATGGTAGTCAGGGTAAAAATAAGGACGGTCTGTGCTTGCTTTGTTGTTCCTCTGGTCATCTTGAGCGACTCTCACACTGTTCTGCTTCAGTTTAAGGTCGAGAAGAAAATTAATCTGCAAGCGTAATCAGCCTAGCTTCAAAGAGACACGATTGAGATGATTATGTACCGACTGGCTAACCCTCTCTGCACGCCTAAGCATGCCATTGAACTCGTCAATGCTCGCTTTGACCATGACCAACGGCAGGCTGAAATCATCCGGGTCGTTACGGGCTCCCCATATCGCCGTAGCGCGTTGGCCTGCGTAGGATTCTTCTATTCTTGCGATTTTTTCTGGATCCGCTGGTGCATCGATGATATTGCTCAACACCCAGAGCCACAGCTGATCGATCATAGTAGGAATCTTTGGTTGAAGATTGTTTTTCATTTGATAAAAACCAAGGAATTGATCCTCGTCTCTTCTTGGAGTGTCGGTAGTAGTATGATAGTAGTACTGATCTAGAGTACGTCGTATATGCAACGCGTGCTCATCAGTGAGATACACTTTTAACAGATTTTGATCCCGAGTAAGCCTTTCATCCGTGCTGTGCTCTGCATTCAAGGATTTGACAATTGCTTCGCGTCTTGAGTGCATTTCTTTGAAGTCCCAATGGAGAAAGGGCATCTGTATGCATGTGAGTATCCGCCCTGATTGTTCCGGGAAGGAGTGTTACAAACAACACTAGGTCCGTGTGATAGTCCGTCCCTTCCCCATCCAGAGCCCCTGTCGAGTAACTTAGCTATGGTGGCAACATGTATGATGGGAAAATTGCGTACAGAGCGCGGCGCTTGGAAACGCCTGACATTGGGACCGCATAAAATGAGCATGCTGGGCGCCAGTGGAACCATGATGCTGTGGTTAACCCAGCGCTCAAGCTTTAGTATTCTATAAGCAGAGGCTGTGTTATTATTTAGCCAGGCCATCAAAAGCTGTCGCCATTTAGCTCAATACGCAATACAGGGAATCTCTTTCATTACTTCAATCCGTCATTAGCCAGTGATATCCAATAGGAAATATTCTACTTACATTATTAGCCGGAAGATGCAGGCAGCCATCTAAATGAGGCGGACGAAGTGTCTGGGGTAGTAGAAACCCAAGGAGTTTGTAAGAGCTCATCCACGGCAATTTCTACAGCGTCGGGTGTCAGGACACCAGAGACAGAAACAAAGTCAATGACAGTGGCCTTGAATTCATGGTCAATGCTGGAATTAAGGTGCTCATCCGCTATTTCTGCAAGTCTTCCGACTTTATCTAAGGTGGCAATCATATGGAGGAGGGTTGGATGGTGGTTAGCCAGGTCCATCAGTGCCTCCCCCTTGGAATTTCTCAAATGGACACTAGCTCCGGCGTTGAGAAGCAATTTGACTACGGACTCATGCCCAGATCGGATGGCCAGCCCAAGGGGGGTGTCTCCAGCTTTGGTAATTTGATGGTTGCGTGCGGCTCCAGCCTTGATCAGAGTCTCCACCACCTCTGTGCGCCCTTCCTCTGCAGCGACGCAGAGAGGCATGCGATTGTCGTGGTCTGGATTGCCGCAGTCGATTTCGACTTTCCTCTCAATGAGAAGCCTAATATACACCATCCCCGTTGCGCAGCTCTATGCACATAAAACTACGTCAAAGGCGGCCTGGTGGGCTGTTCGTATATGTTGGGGAATTGAAAATTTTCCTCCACCAAGAGCCGCAAGGTACTTCCCTGCTCATTTCTAGCTGCCCAAAAATTCGGACTGCCAACTAGATCGCATTTTTCGCCGATGGGAGCGGTGATTATCGAACGATCCTTTTTCGCGTGATTTATCAAGGCGATAACCGCATCGGCGTGTCCGTTCCCAGCTGCCCACGAAAGTGGTATTCGCCCCTGGCAATCCGGCCAGTGAATGTTTACCATTGGTTGAGCCAGTAGCAGCTCTATGGTATCAACATGACCGTTTTCCGCAGCTCAAGATAGCGGCGTTGCCTTGTCGACCTGTATCCCCGGCTCTTCGAAAAGCAGCATGGTGACAATTGCTTGTCCGCCACCAGCGGCTGAGGACAGAGCCGACCTTCCATTATGATTGTGCTGCGTAGTCCCTTTTTCTTTGAACAGCATTTTTACGCAGTCCTCCCATCCATTCGCTGCGGCCCATGACAGAGGTGTCCAAGGAGTGCTCTCTGATCTGTCGGCCATGATATTTTGCGTTAACTGATTTTCATCTTGGTAGCTTCCGTGGTGTGTATAGGCTATATCGAAAAGTACAGGAAACGGAGCTTCCTGTTCGGCTCGTCGGCGCCGTAGCAGGACAGCTACGCCATGACACTCCGAGACTTTGATTTCCAACACGCTTTGCTGAGATCCGGTCCTATTGAAGCCGGTACTGTCCAGTATGTCCCCATCCACAAGTCCCCCAGAAGACCGATGGAAAAAACCAACTTTCCATTAAGAATCCACCGCCTCGCCGTCCATCGTTAAATCCATATCACAAAATGCATTCAGCTGTGCGGTCTGGATGTTCTCATCAAGCCGAATTATGAAAAACGCAAGATACAGCGATTGGGTATCTTCTGCGGTGCTCGCGCTATAAGGGAAGCCGAAAAAACCTTCCGGCACAACCACTGGGGATGGAATCCAGCGAGGGTCATCGGCATCCTCACACGCTCCGGCGCAGAGTGCGCCGCTGCCTCTCCCGTCGCTTTCCTCTCCTCATCTTCCAGCCCTTGTTCCTCTGTTTGCTCTGGTAGGGGCCACATGTGCAGAGTAATTGATATGCCCAGGACCACCACATGCTCCCAAATGGATATGATTTTGATGTCGCCATCTGGCCCGACCAGATCATAGTGTCCTTCAGAGACGTGCGGTTTGATAACTCCAATGTGGATGAACCCTCTCGAATCAACCTCTCCAAACCCTGGGACAGATCGTTAGCACCATGGCAGAACAATGAACACCCAAATCTTGTACGGAATAAGACTACACTTTGTACTTACGGGCCATGTATTGACCATTTCATATGGAAAGGCGATTTTCCTCCCAACGGCATCACGAAAGTGGATAGGCACCTGCTTGGGTTCTCTGGCTTGGGTTGCGGGCGCTTCTGCCGGTTGACTTTGGCGGTGCTCTTTCTCGGCAACGAAGAGGTTACCATTTTGATATTCCGCGCATGCGAATAAGGCTAGCCAAGGCCAGACGAGAGATATCATATGGCGCTCGTGTGATAATTCGAACTGCCGGAAGCGCGCGGGTACTGATGGGCGACAGGTTGACAGGCTTACAGCCCCGCACTATTTTGGCAGGAGTCAGGCCCAATAAAAGATGATGAAGGCGCGACCTCACTCAAAATGAGAATCACCATGACTTTTCTTTTCTTTCATGCGGTTTGTGGATTCAGAGGTTGAACCCATTTTTGGGTTCTACCGAAGGCCAGCAGAGGCTCATAGGTCAAATGCGAGGACAAACATCAACTAACGTAGTAACATTTCAACAAACAACTACCTTGAGCCGCCTGAAAGGCTATGCGGAGATCCCCACAAATAATTCGTCAGGTACCGTTTGAGGATCTTGATGAGAATTCGTTCTGACTTCAGAAATAACACGGCAACTAGCCTGACTCTTATCTCAATTACACCCCAAACTTCCTCCCCGAAGGACTATCGCATGGAAGAAATGCATCACGAACAGCTGGCGACACTGGGAACGTTCTCACAGCCACTGTAAGTTGTTCCACCAGTGACATCAACGCTCGACCATGTCCAGTCAGAGCAGCCAGATGATCCACAAACAATTACAACATCATATCCGCTAGAGGCAACAGCGTCAACACCAGAGATATTTTCCACGGTCAAATCGGTAATAGGGATACCGCTAGTCGGGGTTCCCTTGAGATCACCACCATCATAGTTTTGCTCGATGAGGATACCATACCTAAGCAACACAATTAGCGAGCAGATTCAATCCAAGGAGATTGGTGGAATTACGCACTTAGAGATGGAGGCAAGGGTGATTTCGGAATAGGTCACGCCCGTGATCGAGCCGGTGTCGCCTTCGGTGGCCTTGATACGGATACCTTTAAAAAGAAAATGTCAATAGTCTGATAATTGTGCCTGAAACGAATACTTTCACGTACCATTCACTGAGTTCTTGACCTCGCAGTTTTTGAACGTGACCGTGTCAACGACGTTGTCACTTCGACCACCAACGCTTCCAATGGACAAACCGTGACCACCAGAGCAGACACCACCACTGAAAGTGATGTCCTGTCCACGAAATCAGCTCGACGCCCAATATGAGAATCTGTTCCTCCGAATGCTTACCGTTCCAGAGTTCACGGCAACGCAATCATCCTGGTTATACACATTGGCACCGGTGATAACCACGTTAGTACTGCTGCCGATATCAAATCCGTCGGTGTTATGGCCGCCAGCAGTATCACCGGCTTCATTGTTAATAGTCATATCGGTGATGGTGAGTCCATCACAGCCATTGATGCTAACAGCCTGGACGGGTGTGTTCTCGATGTAAAGATCCGTGATAGTCGAGGAAATAAGATCATGGGCATAGAAGAACTTGGGCTTCGTAACGCCACCGTTGCTACCTTCGCCGTCCCACCAACGCGCACCATCGGGGTTCAGGTAGGCACCGCTAGCACCCTTGATGGTGATTCCGGTACCGGAGATTTGGAGGAGTGGGCCACTCCATTCCTCGTATCCCCAGGTAGTCTCACCCTCGAAGATGACCTGTGAATATAGAGTGAGTATTAGCTGGTATGAGTTGAATATTGAACAAAGCATTCTCACGGTAGTGTCATCTGGCAGGTCACTCAGATCCAGAGTTGTTCCAGATGGAACAGCTACACTCGACAAGATAATAGTCGAGCAGGAAGACTGCGACTTGCTCGCCGAGGCAGCACCAGAGGAACCCGAGAAAGTGCAAGATGTCGCTCGCTTTGCCAAGCTGGGGGCTTCAGTGATGGCTGGCTCGGCGACTGGCGAAGCAATCACACCAACCGCCAAGGCGGCTACCAGGAGAGAACCAAAGAGCTTAGACATTGCAAGTAGAGGATAAAGTTTTCTTGGTTGCTGCTTTGTGGGTGTGATTCTCCTTGGCACTGCACCACGGATGCAACCCACTTTATAGCCCTACTAGCTCAGATGCTTATCCTCCTGATCATCTCTTGGACTTCTTCAGGGGGTGGATGAAAAAGCTCAACACAGTCCGAAGACGCGTATAGCTTCATGATGGTCCTGATTGTTTATCCTCCAATGGTCGGAACCTTAGACGATGCCCAGTCTCCTCATTGGCGGGTTTCAAAATCAATACCGTTAAAGGGATAATTATACATTCACGCTTGCATATTAACCGACCCTATATTTCTTGAGGTCGGCTTAGTATGCAGAAACAACGAATAGGAGGAATATTTAGGGCGGAGTTGAAACGCGCCTGTGTTTCCGTTATAACCTGGGACTAAGGAGCGCCACCATGCTGCAGATAAAACCGGGGGAGAACTGGGGGCTGCTGTTCGCATGCTCAAATCCCGTTCATTTGTGGGGAAAGCCTGAAATCGCGGGGGATCGTTGCCAAAAGGGATAAAAAGCACGGGCCAATGCTCATATTCTACGGGTTTACGTCGGCGTTTCTTTTTACCACCACTCATTTATTCACGCCGAGGGATGTCATATCCACTTTTACAACGACAGGAATGAGATCTGCGTGGCTGCGTATCTGATCCGGGTGTTGGGTACCCGGCTCTAGCCTCTTTACCTCTCCTGACTTCGAAGCCGAAAGTTTTCTAGGTGTGCTACTGCTTATTTCCCTGGCATGGACTTTGATGGTGGGAATTCTTAATGAGCTGTTCCAAACATGGATTAATTACCAGCAACTGCAAAAGCTTGATTACAGACAATGGAACTCGGGTTGCGAAGCGTATGCACACTGGCAAAACTTAAGCAATACCAAGCTTCAAGCCAAGCCTCGGGCGTTGAAACATAAACCAGCGGCATATCACACCCGCTCAAATATCAAACCGACACACCAGGCTTCTTTTCCACATCCCCAACAGACTCCTGATTCTCCACCGAAGTAACATAATACTGCTCATCATTCAGATGCTTGAACCGGAACCAGAAAATAACAGTTTGCAACGCAAGCGCAACAGTCGGCGCACCCCAAATCCACAACAACCACGGATCCTTAGTGGCAGGAAGCAAAATCTCACCGATCGCGCTCGACAAAGCATTCATAAAGAGGAAGATTGCCATCACCAGTCCTCGCATACCCTCGGGAGATCGCGCATACGCAACTTCATACGCGGTTACGTTGGCAAAGATTTCACTCAGTGCGCTGAGGATGGTATTGGCAAGTTGCCACCAGATGCTGATGGGTGCTACCTCGTCGCAAGTTGAGGCATAAAAGCCACAGGGTGAGAGCTTGTACACACGCCATTGAACAAGAGTACCGGCGAGGCCGGCGAGGGTTGCTAGGAAGAAGCCGAAGGTGATGCGGCTGATGGGTCCGAATCTGATGTTGCGGCGTTGGAGGGCTGGGTACACGACGTATGTCATGAGGGGGACCACGAAGATGATGGTGAGGGCGTTGAAGTTGTTGAGGACATCGTTGGGTGCGCCGTTAGTGATCATGGAAGCACCTTGGTTTGAGGAGACGGAACCAATGCCGCCGTCGTTGAGGTTCCAGATGGGGTAGAACCAGAAAATATCGCACGCACCTAAGCAAGAGAGTTAGTGGCTCATGATTTCGACACCATATTGAAGCAACCTAAGATTGTAAACATACTGACTGCCCTGGCTACATCCCTGACATTGCTATCAGTCCAGTCAACGACAATTCCCTTCTCACGAAGATTAGCAGGCTTTACAGCCTCCCAAAAGTCCTTGCGCCACACTTGGAACTTGTTCTGACGCAGCGCAGCCCCCGAAATCTTCAAAGCTCGGGAAAGTTCCGAACTTCCAGCAGGCGGTGCCTTATAAGTCTTCTTATACACCGCAAACAGCAGAATAGGAAGCAAGAAATAAATAATTCCCGCCAAGAGGAACGACAACCAGAACCCGACATACTTCTCAGCGTAAGTAGTGGCCAGCATGAAGAAAGCACCAACGTTGACAAAGCCATAGAAAATAAGCATGGTGCGAGTAGTCGTCGACTCGGGGTCGACAATGACCCGCTCTCCAGATTTGAGAGTCTTGATGTATGCCTTTTTCTGGCGATTCTGGTCCAGGATGGTCGGTGCAATGTTGGGCTTGAAGATTCCGGCGCCGAAAGATAGCAGTATCATTCCGATGATGAATGGTGGGGCTGAGTTGGATGCACCTCTTTGGAGGACGGAGGGGATTGCACCGAAGACTTGGATGATGTGTGCAACGCCGCAAATAGCTACGCCGACGATGATGGCCTTGTATCGACCGACATGAACATCTGCCCACCAACCACCGAAGATTGGGATAACGTATGCCAGGAAGAGGAAGAGCAGTGTCAATCCTGACGCGGCTTGGAGGCCCATTCCCAATGCGCCGGCGGTTTCCTGTGTGTGCCGTGGAGGAGCACCCGCTCCATTACCGCCTACAAAGGATAGGTCAGTAGCAATTCTGACTCCATTGATTTTGTCGTGGAACATAATACCATCAAGAAAAATAATTACGTACCTTTGGGCAATGGAAACTCAACAAAGTTGGAGAAGACAGTCTTGGCGCCATAGTAGGATGCTCGTTCGGCAAATTCTACCAAGCAGAGAGCAAAGGCAACCAAGGGCAAGTTTCCAGGGACCTTGCGGAGGGTTTCAGTCTCTTCCTCAGTTGGAAACTCATACCCATCATCCGAAGAATCTGTTGAGGCTTCCCGGTCGACCGTTTCCAACGACTTCTCGTTGCCTGATACGACAAGCGCTGGGTCCGCGACAGTATCTATTGAGCCCGAGGAAGGGTGAGACACTGCTGTCTCCGTGATAGGTGCTTTGGCTTCCGCTAGATTCGCAAGTTTCCATATTAGTATGAACGATCGTGCGTAGAGAGGAGAGCGACTGAGGACTGTCAGTGCAAAGGGGATCTGACTGACCCATATCGACAGCTATATATAGCTTGGAGCTATAGAAAATATGTGCGACACAACAGTGAAGTGAAGAAAGGAAAGAGTCCCGATAGAAACAGGAAACATGCCTTAAATATGTCGCACGACCCTGTCAAGGTCGCACGCCAACGGGGGATGCACTCTACACCCCAGCGCAGGGTCGCGCAAACCGCGTATGTCGTCAAATTTCGATTTCAACAACCATCGACGACCCTCAGTCCTGACCCTCCAAGCACAACCCCAACACGGCAGACGCACACCAACAAAGTGGAGTATTGCCAAATAAATGCACTTCGGATTGGACTACTTTTCTCCTTTGCGTTATCGCCATGAGCGATGGCGAATCAATGACAATGTAACCTCACGCCCATGCCCGCTGCATAAGGTTGACACCCAATCGGCCCGCGCGATTGTGAAACTTCATGTTCGGAATCCAGAATGGAGGGTGTATTCCCTCGTGGCTTGCGTTGAGATAAAGACGTGAAAAAGACCTTCGGCGTCCACAGGAACAACTTAGGTAGTTACACTGTATGGGAATGCCAAGCTCTTGTCGAGGCTTGGTCCGCTGGGCTCCACACGCTGCCATTTTAGTGGAAGATTCGCCATCGGGTGGATGAACCGATTGGTAGTATTTCGCCGAGGTGAAGAGAGGATATTTTTTCTCGTTGAACAGAGAAGAGGATAAAGCAACTGATGTCTTGGCGAAACAACGCGAAGTTACCCGGGCCGGTGTTTGGAGCGCCCAGTCGGAATATCCGAAGATAGACGACTACACGTGATGTACATGACCTAACCAGATTTAGACCAGGGACGAACAAGGCTTGAAGGCCAAGACCTTGTCTTGGATGACTCTGAGAAATTATTAAGCTCAACGTCAATTCAATAAGACCAAAGGTTGCAAGTCATCTGAATCTGAATCTGAACCACAACTTTGACCGTCAGTGGTTTCGACATAACGCTATCCAACAAGCGGAAACTCCGATCACGAGGACGAACCTAGCACTGGGGTGTAGAGAAGACTTACCAGTTCTATTGACGGATAAAGCCACGAAACAGTCGCTAGAATAAATGCGTAGTACAATAGACATGGCTACTGATCAGATCTCAAGCAAAAACCTGCATAATAAGAGGGGTCGAGATCGATCCACAAACTTGAGGCGGAAAACCATCGACGTTGCCAAAATGAAATATACATGAAAGAAATGGAGAAGGACCCTCTAGGTGATTAGATTGCTGATGAAGCTAAGTTCTATCTAGAGGTTCTAGATATACAGGGTCATATGACCGCTATCTGTCAAACACCATGTAGCAATATTCTTCAGTCGACTCGAAAAACATTTGTTAAAATTTACTCTTATGTACAGCAGGTCAAATACACAGTCTTTGAAGTACAGATGTACAGTATTCTCAATTAGCAGATGGGTATCTTAGTCTCGACAAAAAATAAAAGCTATACAATTAGTGCCGCAGAACAAGCTGCAAGACAAGAGACAAAGATAAGCATCAATGAAAAGGACAAGAAAAGAATCCATGAACAAGCTTCTCGGTCCTCAAGATACCATATTAGTAGCCAGTCCACGAAAGGGAGAACATTGACAGGAGAGAAATACTAAGTCCCATTATAGGAACCGACAGGGGTATTCGATTTGAAGCGAGGATAGAATATCAATATCCAAGACGAAAGACAAGGCAGGCAGGAAGATGCAGGCCAGGCGCAATGCAAATGCAACATGCAATATACTGTATGGGTGATCGTCAGTGCGTAGGAGGTCATATAGATAGGGTAGGTGCAAGTCCCCGGGTATAGGGACTCGGGACAGTGTATGGTTGTATGGTCGTATGGGGGTCTAAGGATATGAGGGGTAGAATGGTAGAAGGGTTGAAGGTTAGGGTTAGGATGGGTATCTCAGCAAAAGGCAGCACCAGCACCGCACAAAGCAGGAAACAGAATAAAACGATAGCGTAGTCGCAACAAACAACCAACTCAACCGCCTTAACACCAACAGACTTTCTCTTGACCATCAGTGATCAAGAAGTCTTCGACCGACGACAAGCACGACGCTTATCCCAAGGCCGAGTCTTTGATTTGTTGTCGTTTTCTTCCTCATCCGGCAAATCCATACGGAATCGACGCACGCTACCCTCACGACTGGTCTTGCCTTCTTCGAAGAAGGGGGTTCGTGAGTCGCGGCTCTGGCACCAGCGCGGAGCAACGCGGCGCCATAGACCGCGGACGCCACGGCTGGCACGGTCGATTTTCTCGTACTCGGCCCGCCGGGTAGAAGGGGATGTCCACTCCATCACGGTCGCCGGGACGTGAATTGACGAAGCGGACGGACTGTAGCCATGGCCATGGGAGTTGTGATGCGCTGAAGAATAATTGCTAGGCATGGTGTTTGAGCGGTCTCTATGTTGGAGAAAGTGTGGTGTAGTCGTGGAGCTCACAGAGCCGCGATGTTCGGGGTCGAAACGTCTTGTTGAGTGTGAAGAACTGATGGGTGATGACGGTGCTGAGAAGTCGTTCTCAGAGGAAGTGCGGCCGTCGCGTCTGGATTTATAGGATGTAGAGGGAGCGCGGTATAGAGTTGGACGAGGCTGGTCGGTGGAGTATTTGGATAATGACGGTGGTTGTTGATGGTCCTGGTCTTGGAAGAGACGGCATGATTCCCTATGCAGTGCTAACAGAGACTCTCGTTTGTCGAGCGGGTTTGGTCGAGACGAGGGGACTGGCACGGTACTGATACTTGGGTTGGCGGACCGTCGAGGCGAATGGAAGGAACTGTGTCTACTGGGAGGACGAGATCGAGCAGTACTGCGTGAGTTGGAGCGCGAGTGATGAATCGAATTAGCTGCCGAGGAAGGTCTTGATGATGTTGCCCGTGGACCAGACAAGCGAGTGGGTGAATCCGGGCTTCTGGAGCTAGAATGCTCTATCCTTTTCCTCCTGGGCGTCTCCATGGTGGGAGAGGAAGGTTCGGACGAGATGGCCGAGTCGGTCGGAGAGACACATGTCTCCGTTGTCTGGGAGTCTATGGAGACTGTTGATGGGGAGCGAGATATATCATGGAGATCGGTGAGTTCGGTGACGGTCGTCTGAGAGGGACATTTGAGGGTGAGGATGTCCATGTTCATGTCCAAACCGGGCAGGGCTGACCCTGTCAGTGCACCGGCCATGTGAAGATCCCCACGACATGTGACGGACGCCATCAGCACTCAAATCAATTAACCCGGAATAAACCTTCTTTCTTAGTCTCAAGACTCGAACACGATAGGCTGCTAAATGGCCACGGGATGGGGGGATGATCCCATTGTTGTGTTTGTTGACCAGTTCGCTAGGCAAAGCCGAGGCAAAATGCGTCTCAGCAGGTGATGGACATTGGAGGACAGAAATAATGAGGGTATACCAGCACCACAACCAATAGCTGAGAAAACGAGCCATAACTAACTCCCACTGCAGGCGATGGGACCGCTCTTTTGAATTATTTCGAATGAGCTACACCGCTCCCTCAAGGAGATTGTTTTTAGCGGAGGAAGTGGGGGCACTTTACTTTTGCCTCCACTTTGCTCGTTTCTCTCCAAAGTACATACCCCAAAGGGCTTTCAAGTATAGAGTACTCTGTACTTCACTAGCTACTACTGTAGTAGCTCCGACTGGACTAGCCACCTCCGAAGTCCTTCCAGCGCACGGTCTGGATCATCCTTAACATGGGATCATCTACGACTTGCCTCTGGTTCCAACGCCCTTGCAGTGGGTACCGTGGCGCCAACCGCAGGGGCCAAGGGTTTATTTCGAGCCTAGGCGCTTAGTGATGATTGGGGGTACACCAATAGAGACTGCCCGATTCTGTCCGTGACAGCGGCCATGTTTCTCTCTTTTCCCGTTTTTCCTGTAGGGACTGGGGGAAAGACAGGTAGAGGTACAAACCAGGTACATGCATCAGGTACAGAAAAGTATGTAGTACTCCATACCACTCACCCGATCGGGTTACAGCAGGCGCTTTGCACCGCCAGTGATGGACCCCTGTGACCCTGACTCTAGTCTGTCCTTCTTTTTTCATTGGATTCCTTTACCCCAAGGTAGTTAGCCGTCGTTTACAGCGTCCGCCATCGTCTGGTTGAACCCCTCCAAGGGCCAAGACCAAGATGGAACCCCCCACCCGCGACAGCAACTGAACCCCACCAACATCAACAAATCCTGAAAACGTGGGTCGGGGGTGTGTGCGCAGATCGCAATGATGTGGCCTGACCGCATACAGTAGTACAATAATTGAAAAAGAGTTCTGGATGATAGGGTCATGCCAGGTTTTGCATAGGTAGATATGCTTTCTACCTGCAGGTCACAGGTTAGGGGGATTCCGGTTTGCCTGTTGGCACTAGGAATGCGAACTGAGATAAGGTCCATCTGGAAAGGAAGGAGGGGACCCTTGCAGAAGCAGGAACAGGAAGTTAGGAATACTAGCTCGTTGCCAGGGACAGAATTTGCAAAGTATGGACTAAAGTTAATAATAATCGAGAAGGACGAGGAGCTTCTAGTTACGTAGATTGCCTATTTGAAAGCGCGCATACACTAGTTGTCTGAGAAGGCTCATTAGAATCCATCTGGCAAGTCCAGACCTAATTTGAACATGATCATTGAAGAGGCATTTAATTAGAAAATCCCGTATTCCATGCCGCGCCAGTAACTTTAGTTAACTTAGTTAATTGGAGCTCCGGTAGGGCAAAGAACTAACTACCGTTGCCATTGTACCACTAACCAGTAGTAACTACTACAAAAATCGCCACCGATGCCGGACTTCACAGCGCATACGTAAAATCGGGGTTCTCCCGATCCGTCAAATCAAGCCACCTGCCAGTTCAGTCGAGTTAGCGTTAGCGCCCACAAAAAACATCCCCGCCAGAATATGACCAGAATTTTCAATGCAAAAGTAGTAGCAGGAAGTGTTAACTCACTCTTGATTCTCCAACCGCACATAATCCGGTCGCCCTTGAATCTCCGCCTTCCTCGCATTCTCTTTCCGGTACCACCACCAGATAAACACCATGATGCAAAGAGAAATGCCCAGACACACGATAATCGTGATCTCGGCGGGGACGTAGCGGGGGGCATCTTTTGGGCGGAAAGTTTGGGGTCCTGCCGGTCGGCAAATACCAATGTTAGCCAGAACTTAAGCGGTTTGAGATGCCCTCTGTGGAGTGTGGATAATGGGCTGCCAAGATTGGCCAAGAAGGCTCAATCAAGGCTTGATTGATAATATCCTTCTTGTCTCCGCACTTTGCACACCGTCTTCTCGAGTTCGAAGAAGACGGGATATTATTCTGCCATCTGGCTGGGTTTGAGGGGTGTTTCACTCACCGATAATGTTGCCCACACAGTATCCGATCAAGTAGAGCGCTGCTACCGTTGTCTTCTTCGTATAGCCGGCTACATTGGACGAGATCATTGATAGCAGCGCGACAAACGCTGTCGGACTCGCTTGCGTCATGTAGTATCCGATCAGACGACCGATGTTGTTGGATTCCGGGAGTGCAACGATGAGGATGATGCCGATTAGCGCAGAGACCAGGCCACCCAGACTACACAGCAGTCGCTGGTTCGTGATGTGGCCCATATACCCATTCAGCACGAGGGCGATGACTTCAACAGCGCCGCCGGGGACACCGAGGATTAGGCTCTCCTCTTTGGTGAAACCGAAGCTGGTAATCTAAACAGCAGAAGTGAGCACGGTGTTGCACAAGGCCAAAGATCCAGATGAACGTACCAATTGACTGAAAAAGTTAGTGATACCACCATTAGGGATATCGGCAATCAGCGCATAAAAGAAGAACGCCCATGTCATCGGGTCCAGCAGCGCTTCTTTGACCTGATACATCTTAAAATGCTTATTACCGATTCCCTGCTGGTTAATCCGAACTCGAGCTACGGCCAGCACTCGATCCTCTTTCTTAAGCCAGCGAGCATTCAGTTGATTATCTGGCACAATCCAGTAGAAGACCAAGCCCAACAAGATAGTCAGCACACCGGTGAACAGGAAAACGATCTTCCACGGTTCGATCGACGAGCCGTGCTTCTCCGTACCGATGGCGATGCCGTATGCAACTACGCCGCCGAGGATTTGGCCGACGCCGTTGAAGCTGAACCAGATGTTGACGCGAGAACCTTGTTCTTTCTTGGTGTACCACTATAAAATTAATCAGCAAGGAATTGTCTCGTTGATACACCCGAATACACGGTTGCGACATACCTGTGAAGTGATTAGGGCAAACCCCGGCGTCACCGCAGCCTCGAAGACACCAAGGAACAGTCGAATCGCAATGGCACCAGCAAAGCTCTTCACCCCAGCAAAGCAACTCAGGATCAAACCCCAGATAATGATACACGCCGCGGAGTACTTGCCCAGCGGCAACCGCTGCAGCAGGCGGTTGGTTGGGTACTCCCATGCCAGATAACCTATGCCCTCGCTGTCAGCCAAACTCTCATTCCAACTAATATTTTCCATTTCTTCATCGAGGAAAAGACGCACCGAAGTAGAAAAGACTCCCCAGCCACTGATACTCATCGCCCTTGAGATGCAAGTCCTCTTTCAATCCCATAATACTCGCATACGATAGGGTAGTCTCTGCGCACAAGAAATCAGATTAATTTCCGAGCGTTACATGGTCAGGCTCCCGTCTCATGGAGGACGGACTGGACCACCCGTTTCAGGATAGATAAGTAACACAGGATATGGTTATCTGGACTACATACTATCGAGGTAGTTCATCCCATAGACAAAACACATAATTGGCATCATGTGCCAGTCAATCGTGCGGAGCAGGCGCTTATTTGTCGCCTCGTCGAGTTCGATTGCTTCGCCGTGCAGTTCGTCAAAGATTTTCATGGCATCGTCTGCGTCGTGCGCGTGTTTCTCGAGCGTGGGGTCGACATGCTTGGCTGTTTGAATGTCGACGGCCGAGGATGTCCCGGCTATCTTCTCTTCGTCTGCCATGATGAGGGGTGAAGGAAAGAGGGGATTGCCTCGTATCAAGGGGGTGGAGATGAGGAACGAGGGGGCACAGTATATATTAGACAGTGGAGGGATGGGCGTGCAATAGTCGGTGTGAACGCAGGCAAGACGATTCTCAATCAACCGAGTCAAATTGGATGATCGCCGCAGGCCACTTGAGGGGGGTTGAAAAGTGTGGACGAAGCAAATAGTCAATATTTAAGAAGTCGCACGTTAAAGTACCTTCTCCTCGCGGTCCGCTAATTCCGTCACACGTTAAACCCAAAGCCTCGTGGCGTTATCTGCTCGACCTCATGGCTGTCCCGGAGCTCCTCCTATCAAGCCTATCAAAGCCTCGGTGGATTTCCCCGCGATAAGCTCGTATCAGGTTTAACAATATCTGGGGTTGAGGACTATTCCCAGCGTGGATATTCATTGGTCGCAGCGGGAGGGGGAAAAGAGGAGAGATCGGCAGCAGTCGACCAGTCCGACGATGTAATCCTCTTATCGAGTGGTCTGCTTAGCCGGTGGTGGGGAAATGCTAACTTAGTCCAGGTGAGGAGGTGAGGAGGGGTGAGGAGGTGAGGAGGTGCTGGTGTCTGGGGGACAAAGTTGGAGAGTCACAGACAAGGTTGGAGACAGTACGTTATGGTCGGGATCTAGATGTAGCTCCGGAGGTTTGCCGACCAACTAGAAAATTGAAAGTACGAGACTCGCTTGCGGAGTTATCTCGTAACTTTTGATTTCTGGAAGGTCATTGTTTGGTGGTGGTTGGCGATGTGGCTGTTGGGGCTGGGCGATGGCTTGTCTGTGCATGCTTCTTATCAGCCCCGAGTCCACAGTGTAACCGTGCCAAGGACGGCCCCTCTTTCTGGCACACGGAGTCAAGGAGTATAAACATGGTCCGTTGAGTGAATGATAGGTTTGTTTTGCTATCTCTTGCATTTCTCGTTATCACCTTCCGACCGGGACCGTGGAAAGTACCATATGGCACCACCTTCATCCAGATTGGATGATTCCTATTCCCTTCAGTCTTCGGGGGTTTAATTCACAGAGTACAATCTCGTAGCCGATTCGCCAAGTTAGACGAGCAATGCCCAGAAAGCGTAGACGAGCAAGCTTTTATTCGTGCTCCGTGACAACCATTTATACTTTTGCGCCCGTGTCAAAACCCTCGAGGCCAAAGTCCCGACGTCCAAGCTCTCACCTTCTCCAAATCGCGGAATTAAGTCCCGCTCTTATCCCGCAGCTCTAGTCCATACTATATGCCCCTGGTATTCGCTGTGGAAATGGCGGGTTTCCCCTGGCAAGCCTTACTGGTTATAACAAGAGATCACGTTACTTGGATTAGCGTTCAGCGAAAGACTACTTGTCATGTGGGGAATAATTTATTTTACAGATTCTCGGCAGGGAGAGGGCATATGAAGTAGGAGATTAGAAGGGGCTGGAACAACCCTGGATTGAAATTGCATTATGCGGTGGATAAGAACGACTAGTTATGGTATCCAACAGTGTACACCTGCCCTTGGCTATGGTAAACTTTTGTGCGAGACTTGAGCGGGAGACCAAAACCTATTTCTGAGTAAAATTACTCAAACTCATATATCCTGTACAAGATACAACAACCGTCGAAACTTTTCTTCCTCATCTAACTCCGAGTTTGGTGTCATTATAATCTGCCGAAAACTGTTTGCCGCTTGCTCGGGCCGTGTATAAGTCTCCCCACACAGCATAGATCCGAGTGGATAAGAAAGGATATCAGAGGGCATCTTTAGCACCTTTCTGGCATTTTTGTATACATGAAAGCATGTCTGTACTTCGCGTGGCAGAATATGCGTTTTAACATGCCGACGGATGTCACACTTCAAGAACATGGCGCACAGGAGGCGGACTCTTAAATTCCTAACTTGTAGCTCCTCACAGACCCCTGTTCCTTTGGCCAGAAGCAATCGCGCAGTGTCATGATGATTTCTGCTTTGTCGTTGTCCCGCAAATTTGAGCAGCTGTTTTGACTTCGGGCTAAGTCTAATGATGCTAGCAGGAAGGTGTGATGGGGCTCCGGAGCGATAAATTCCCCTGCCATGTCGGCAGTGAGGTACGGCATATACTCGGCCAGACTTAGGCGAGAGTAAGGGACATGGATGTGGATATCGAACGCCCTTGTATCTCGAATGTCATCTAGAATGCATAGGACTCCGGTGCTACGGGCGAACAGATCATGGTATAACTGCCGAGGTTCGGGCGTGGCAAAGCCATTGTTATAGCAAGCCAAGAACCGACTGACCTCTTGAATGATGGTAACATAGTTCCCTGCACGCATCCAATTGTAAGCACGCCACGTATCCGGAGTGATACTGTCAACCGAGTAGCGTAATGCAGTCTTGTCAATTCCCCTAGACGGCTGTTGTAGACGTGCTCTAACGACCGATAGGTAATTATTGAAATAGACGAGGTAATCATCGTAGAGATCCAATATTTTGGGTTTCAGGGGATGGTTATTAGGCAGCAAATACCGCAAAGCTTATTTGCCCACCGTTATCAGTAGTCCCACGTCGGTGGGATAAGAGAATGATTAACGTGCCAACGTCTGGACAGCGTTGGTAAAAGTGGGATCTGTCATCTCCGGCATAAGTTGCATGCACGCTAGGCGGCGATATACTTCTCCAAATGTACCTTGGATCTCTTCTATGATGGAGAGTTCAAAAGTCTTTACGTCAAATAGAAGGTTTCGCAGTCCAGATGTTCACGGGGCCAAGTGAGACCATTCACATCACCGTCCATACCGAGGTAATAGTCTGCTATAAACAAGGACATCGCATCTTGATTGAAGTCCAACATATGGAGATATGGCTCCATGATATCTATTGCGAGGGATGCAACTCTGTGGTGAGCTTTAAAGGATGGACACGGGGTGCCCCTGTACAATGTTGATGAATATCTTCTTCTTCGCAGAGTGATCTGTAGTCCTAGATGGCTATTAGCAACCGAGTGGGATCGACCACAGTTTGTGGCTTATTCAGTGGTTCTACTTAAGATACTCCTTACCCGACCCAAGACAAGGAAAGTCTGATTTGTTTATAATCTTGCAATAGCGTTGAGATGACCAAATCGCTACTTAATTCTCACTTCAAAGTTATCATAGTTGGGGCTCAATTGCGGGGTTGAAACGTATGTACTCGCAGAATAACGGTCGCTCACACGCTCTAAATAGAACGCAACCAGAGCGTCTTAGAGAAGAAGAAAAATAATCATTTTCATGAGCAATGGTATACAGGCGCATCTTGTGACCCCAATTCTAACTCACCTGATGAGTTAACATGAGACCGGCAGGCTCAAATCCTCTAGCAGGAATCTTCGGATAATGTGGAATCGACCATCACCGACTACCCGGCACAAAAACAGACTAACAACCACTTCATACAAAACAAGCACCAAGCTTTAGAATGGCAAAATAATAGCTGCCCCCAACGCCGCCGCAGCAACAGAAACGCCCAGGACAGCACCAAGGCCATTCCAGCTAGATCCCCGTGTCACCAATCTCACAGCCGCATTCGAGGTCGAAGCAGCCGTACCCGTGGAGCCGGTCGGCTTCCCAGTCCCAGTCGCGACTCCACTGCCTGTGCTTGTAGCTGAACTTGAACCCGTAGTAGTCTTCTCAGTAGCAGAAAGATCAGACTCATGATGAATTAAGGTCACTGCAGAAACAAACATAATAGGCGTGATAAATTCGCGATAGTCATCGCCACCAGTCAAAGTCGCGTAATAGGTTTCCGTGGTTCGAATAGTCGATGTACTCCGAATTATTTCCTTTATTGTGCTGCCGTCGGTGGTGTAGGTAGATGTCGTCTTGCTGACTCTATGGGTGGTGTCCTCGTAGACGTCGCATACTGTTGAGGGGGTGTATGAGGGGACTGCTTGGAAGCATCCGCCGATGGGGTCTGCTGTGAAGCCACTAAGATAAGGATTAGTATCAGTTCATATTTCGCATAACTTATCGAAGGAAGATCATATCGTCAAAAGTGAAAACGGATTTCAAGCAGCAACGCAAATGTAAACGAACCTAGGACAACACAACGCCACAGTCTCACTAGGCTTCAAAACCTTCGCCAGCAGGCTAGGCTCATAATTGAAATCCGGAATCCAGTGGCTCGTCCCGTAAGAGCTCATCACCCCAGAACTCGTGCAAGGCTTATCACCATCACGTCCAGCCAGTCCGACAGTCTCCCACCCCGACGGACAATACAAACCAGGGGAGTAATAGTGGCCCACGGAAGAAGCCCAATCCGCATTATTGCTGGTCGGAGCCGGGGTGGTAGTCGAGGGAGGCGCACATTCTGGCCACTCGGTAGTTTCACATTGCACCCTGTACGACAGGTAGGGGAAATTGTCGTCAATGGTTCCCATGTTGAGGTGGGATGTACCGGAGCAGCTAGGTGCAGGTGTGAATGTCGTTGTCAGGGGACCATAGTTGTGGAAGGTCCATGATAAGCTGTTGACTGCGACAACGGTAGTCATTTTGGTGGTTGAACTGGATTGTATATCCAATTGCGAATGATAAAGACAGCGGATGGAAAAGGATACACTATCCGTGTACGGGGAGGGATCTATGACCCATTTTATAAAGTAGAATTAGAATCTCGCTTCCAAACTCAACTTGGAGGGATTCACTAAATCAGCCACTCATAACCGCAGAACCCGAACTAAACACCATCGGAGATCCCCTGATCGAACCTCCGTCCGTCCAAACCCGTTCAATTGAGGCTGAAAGGGTCCTCGCTTGTCGGTGCGGTAATCTCCGCCCCACGCGCTACCGGCTTGGCAGGGACCGAAATCACAGTCGATGTTGGCTGGCGAGTAAGCTAGTGGTGGAATTGGGTTAGCAGTGTCTCTCAGGGTCGCATCATAACAAGCCAGGGCTAGGTGCTTAGGTTAATGAGGTTAGAAGGGTGAGTGCCAGACAGGGAAAAGCATGTAGAGGGAGTCTTGGCGTGGTTCCTGGCGATATTAGGTCTTGGCGCTCAAATTTGAGTCCCCAAGTCGTACTGCGTCGGAGAATCGGTCATCTGGATTATAGGAAAATATACTATTGGGGTGGCCTGGACTGGATGAACCCTTTATTAGGTTATGTTGGTTACAGTAATGAGTTGGATTTTTCTGAAATAGAAAGAAAAGCTTCCAGACTGCGAAGACACGCAGACTCGAGCCTTGCATCGTACGCCGCCCTGCCGTAGCGCTCAAGGACTAGATTCTGTATAAGAGCAAGGAGATTGCCATCCGCGAGGTAGTTCACTGTCAAAAAGTGGCAGGTTCCGCAGCATTGGCGCCGAGTAGTTTTGCACTAGCCGGTCCAGATTGCGCGACTAATAACGCGATTGCATCCGATTTGAAAGGTTCAATGCGATGTCGACCCTTGAATGCGGGAACACACCGAAGAGGGAGCTCTTCCAAGAGTTTTGGAGACTTAACAGTCTTTCCTATAGCGAGAGTGGTAGCAATACTGACTGTTCGGCCGTTGATAGCGGCTGTTGCTTGAAGCTATCGACCTTCCCAATCAAAGAACAATCATAGTCTATCTACTCCAGGTGGTACCAATAGCGGTCATGATTTCTGTGTTGTTCCATATGAATGTCTTGTATGTTGCTATGAGGCAGCTTTTGAGAGATGGCTGTCTACCACGAATGACCTTAAATTACTCCCTGGCAACTCAATTACTTGCCGCCGATATAATTAGAAGGCCATCAAAATTGTGAGGTTTCTTCTACGATTACCAGTTATTTTAGGTGTTAGGTAACGTTCTTCCCGATTTCCGATTTCCGTTTTGGAACACTCGTAAACTGTTCGTTGTACCGAAAAGTTAACTATCGTTTACTCGACCTTTTGTCCGGTCCTTGGTTCCCAAGTTGCGTCATGATACTGCTACTCCTTATTATATTGGTAATGATAGTCTTACAGATCACGTACATCCGCAACAATTATCGCCAGTACATATCTTTTGGGAAAGGTACGCAGAAACTCGTGGACGGCCACTACAATGAGGTTAAAGGAGATATCAATTTGGTACATGCTTCGGCTTCCTCTGGGTTCTTTCAAAAAGGTTCTCTAAATAATTTAACTTGTCTTTCCTCGGATATGTAACGTTTGGTTTCTGTACTTCATTTCGAGGTGTCCTACGATGACCTACTTTCTGAGGTATCTTGTAGGGTTAAGAAGGATTCAATTCGGCGGCTATTAAATGCGGAAAATATGCGAAAGTGGCGCTGCGGCTGGAGACCTTATCTTGATGAGGAACGTGCTACAAAACGCCTACAGTGGGCTCGTCGCTATTAACACTTTTTCCCTAATGATTAGGCCCGTATTTATTTTGAGATCAAAGTAAGAGCTGAATTAGGGAAAACAGAGAGTTATTAGAAGAGGAGTATCGTCTGATTAATTCGTCAATTTTCGGCAGGTAAAATTTCCAACCCAAGCTATCAGATAAAAGCAGCATATTTTTCGGCAGGTAATCGCCATAAGCCAGTTGCCGCGTCTGCAACGACCCCCGACTTCGAGACTGATGCAGTATCTAGGCAAGATCCCATTTCTGCTCTATATCGTTCACCAGTCTGTTTATCACCTTGTGCGTTACCTTGTGAGAAATTTTTTGTGGCACATTGCAACCAGGGAGCAATATCCCGAGGTAGAGACCGCCAGCCAGTTCACGATGCCTTTTGCATTTACATGGCTAGTGGGGTAACTTATCATGGCCGTGTTTAACCTATATGCGGTACATCTGTAGACGGAGTATGTCGATGAACGTTGTGTGGAGATGGCAAAAAGGATCGACAATTGGTTTACTCGACAATAATCAGCTGCATACATGTACCATAATCATAATACTATGACGTTAGTTCCTTCGTCATATCGAATCTACGTCGTAGTGGTTGTATCTTGTGAGAACCTTCCGTAGTCATAAGGTTTTGCCTACACCATGTTGGCGTACACCAGTCACACCAATAGCGTGCTGCTGGCTTTGTAATGTATTGATTGCATAATATTGACATTTGCTTCTCATTCCGGTGAGTCTTCACAATGTGCAGCGAACCGTATTCAGGAATCTACAAAAAGAGTGTCGACTTCCCACATATCACGACAATCTATCTCTCGCTGACCTTGAAGGTGATGGTGGAGGATGTCTGCACATTTTCGCTCACAGTAGCGGAAAGAAGCAGAGATCTCTTGTGGCAATCTCGCCGTTTATAGTCTTTTTGTAGCTGGAAAATAATAAGCAGTCGTTTGATGAACCTCAAAGTCTTTATTGTAATAAATCCTTTATGATGCTTTCCGTATAGGAATGAGATTATAGTCGCACCATTAGTCGAAGGTAGCACATTCCACAAGTATCCAAATCGCTTTACCCATACTCGGGCCCGAGTAGCCAACAGTCGTGTTCAAAAGCCCCCTGCGGCGCTTTTTTTGGACAACAGTAAAGCCTGTGTCCTCGTCGACATCTAGGCTTTCCGAGAGTCTGGGGAAATGAAGCAGACCTTTGCTTGTTCCTCTCAGGAGTTGCAAGTTGATGCTATTCAGCGACGGGAATTTACTACCCAAACTTTGAAGAATCGAAATCCAGCATTCACCAGGCAGTGTAGAAAAGGACAATGATATAGTTTGTAGACTTTTGCGAACTGTGTATAGGAGGTCTGGAAGTGCTTCCTCGGATACTAGGCTAAAGTTTTCCAAAGTCAGTTCTTGCAGCTGACACAATGAATTGAGAGTGGATAGGCGGTGGATAATCGAATCTGCTTGGTCTCCAAGGTCGAAGTTGAGATCCAACTTAATGAGCCTTGTGGCATATTGCACCAATTCTACGGTCCAGTCGGCGTTCTTCGAAGCTGCGCTCGCATTATCTGATCCCATCGTGTATTGAAGGCTGAGGTCTTGCATATAGCCCCAGGCGGCGGTAAATCCTGGCTTTCGAAGATCTAGGGGGCTAATGCACTCCATTTCCACGTGGTTGTTGCCTATAGTGCCCTTGGGTTTGAAATGAATAGCAAAAGCTGACACAGGAATAGATGCCTCGGAAATGATACTGAGGACGACTGTAATAGCATCACTGGACCTTAGACTGGAAAGATGGGAAGATTCAAAGGAATGCTCGCGGCGTATCTTGAATCCTTTACAATTCACTAGGCGACATAGCACCGTTTGCCACTGCTGAATTGCTTTTTGAGGTATAGCAAGATAACCAGAAGGATGTCTTGCCCATGAAATTTCACGTCCAAACAAGTTGTCTTCAGGTTCCTCGATGACCAGTAGCTGAACGTGCTGCCTTAGATAAGGGTTTTCTGCAACCTTTGACAGACGCTCGATTGCATTCCGAGAAAGGTCGATGTGCACTGTTTTCAGAAAATTCCGCCCAAAGGAGTGAGCTGTCCTCTCGTAAATATCTCTACAGGTAAGTCGGAGGGCGCAAAAGTCAGATGGTTTTAGTCGAATGGCAATGGCCTCGAGAATTTCGACGGGCATCATGCAAATCAACGAAGGTGGGTATTTCTGAGAAGTCCGCAAAAGCCAAAGGCTTTTCAGCTTATAGAACAAGGTGTTGCCTTTCGGATAGCTCATGTTATCGGTGACTGATAGAAGATAACAGAAGTTTGAAAGTCTCAGTTTGACTAGGAAGAAGGATTGAAGACCTCTCAGCTTTAAGCCCCATAAAATGGAAGTTAAGCAACTAACCTGCCTGAAACACATGGAGCCTTACGTAATGCACCTCGGTTGCATAGACTGGGGGTGAACCACAAGTAATCATTCGTCAGAACCACCTCCTGCGCTGACAAATATAGACGATAATGCTTTTCTGTCACAAAAATGATCAGCGGTCTCTAGATATTATCATGGTACTATGCATCGCAGATGACAGGATTTAGGATTGGCCCCTATGTAAAACAAATAGGGGCTGGGGGCTGGGGCTGGGGGCTATGATAGAGCCGAGGGGGCCAATTCTCAAGGATCAGTCTGAGTGGTCCTTTGCCATCAAACCTACTTTGGGGTCCATGACTGCATACAAACATTTGCTGGAAGAGAAAACCATATATATCTGAATCCAAACTGATAGATCTTCTCGTGGAGTTATCTTGAAGAGGCACTCGCGGCCCAGTTATTCACAACTTGACTTCATATATCATTTTCTTCCTTTACTCTGCGTCGCATATTTTTTTTATCATCAAATCGTCATGAGGGCCAGAGGCTTGTTGAATTTTATTCTCGGGGCCCTGCTCCTTGTGCTGCTGGTTGCAGTGCAAGTGCAGCCTGCACCCGCCAGAGCAATTTGTCCCTACCGGTCCGGTTTCGAAACAAGAAAAGGAGGTTCGATTTCTGACATTCCGAAATAATTTTGGTAGAAGAGATATTGCTCTAGCGCCAGGTCAAAGTTTGGACACCCGTGGATTGCCCGGAATTTTCAAGAAATTCAAGAAGTCAAAGAAAGGAACATGCGATGAGTGCGATCTAGCAGAGCCGCAAGGTGTTCAAGGGGG